ATTATGCCGAATTTAATTAATTTGATTGTTAACTTACACTTAAAACTGTTTAATTTGATGTGTCACTCGATTAGGTTATCTTGATTTTTATAAAAATCCAAAATGGCGCCTAAAAATGACATTTAAATTAATCGTTTTCGCCATTTTTAAGATAAATACGTCGTGTTTGGACTTAAATTAAACATCGTCCTCTTAAAAACATGAAAATACTCCAAATATTTAATATTTTTTTCAATTATAAATGACATTTCTTAAAAATAATTAAATTAGGTTATGTTTTAATCATTTTTTAAAATCATTTTCGTATTATTTATTCAAAATGCTTTAATTTGATGTGTTACTCGATTAAGTTATCTTAATTTTTTATAAAAATCCAAGATGGCGCCTACTTTGACATTTCATATATCACTTTGGGCAATTTTTAAGATAAACACGTCGTGTTTGGACTTAAATTAAAGCTCTATTTTTGTTGAATAGAAATATGCGAGTACAATCGGTGTTTTTTGTGATAATATGTCGCGTTTTTTAATAAAAATCGATTCTAGTTGTAAGAATTTTTAAATTTGTTTATCATTATCTTAATGTTCACTTAAAACCCTTTAATTTGATGTGTCACTCGATTATGTTATCTTAATTTTTTATAAAAATCCAAGATGGCGTCTACTTTGACATTTTATATACCATTTTGGGAAATTTTAAAGATAAATACGTCGTGTTTGGACTTAAATTAAACATCGTCCTCTTAAAAACATGAAAATACTAAAAATTTTTAATATTTTTTTCAATTATAAATGACATTTCTTAAAACTAATTAAATTAGGTTATGTTTTAATCATTTTTTAAAATCATTTTCGTATTATTCATTCAAAATGCTTTAATTTGATGTGTTACTCGATTAAGTTATCTTAATTTTTTATAAAAATCCAAGATGGCGCCTACTTTGACAGCTTCATAAACAACTTTGGGAGCTTTTAAGATAAATATGGCGTGTTTGGACTCAAATTAAAAGTCTTTATCTCTAGAATACAAAAATGCTAGTTTAAATTAATTTTGTTTAAATGATAGATGCAAAAATTTTTGTTTTTCTTTTCCAAAATTAAAAAGAGAGCCATCTATTATTTGAGATGTCAATTAGAAATGTGATGTTAATTGGGTTGCCTACCTTATTATTATTTTTTATTTATTTTTTTAATGTTTTTTTTGAGGTTGAATAATTTTTTCTTTTCTTTCGACCCCTCCCAGTTGAACAAATAGCTGAAGGACTTTAGCGCCTAATAAATATTAAAGAGACGCCTCCCGAAGGAGAAAAACGGGAAGAAACCGGGATAAAAGTGGTCTCTCTCTTCAAAAGGAACCCTTTTAATATTTAAGAGACCGCTCTAAGAGGGAATTACAACGAAGAAAACTTTTTTTATCTCGATGTCCCTTTAAAAAAAATTTTTGCGGGACATTTTTTTAAAAAACAAATAAAATTGGAGGATGTCGAAGGGATATGTGTAGCAATATTGGCTGTTCTGGAACGAAAGTAACGAAACCGAGGGAGGCTTTTGAAATGCCACTCCACCCAGTCTCCTCCCTATAACCCAGGGAAAGCTCCCTATTTCTATACTAACCGGGTGGAAGTTGCCGCTCTTTCGCCGTTTTCCTCTCGTTCCAACGCGATTCATATTCAACGAAACAAACCGCATACATGAAATTGCTTTACGGTCGGATGCTTAGACGATTTGTAACGAGACATTTTTATTCGATATTTTATATTTTGAATCACTTATTATCTTGCGCAATATCTAGGTATAATATATAACAAGGATTTTAGTTTGTGCTTAAACAAAGTAAACACAAACCTGGAATTAACTCGGATTTACCAAGTACACGTACGATATTAAAGCTTAAACTTGAGTAAATACGAATACGAGGCGGTGATGTTAATTCCGCGGACTTTATTATTAATGCCTAATCGATATCTCAAAGATATTTCCGGTTTAAAACTAAAATTTATGTGATGCTCGATCAATATTTTCCAATCTGCAATATATATCCCGGTTCCGGCTTAAAAACGGCCGAGGCATAAACCGTCACGTAAATCACACCTCAATTTGTCGAATAAGGAGAGGCGTTGCCATTTATCCTTAACGTCCGGAAACTCGAATTTCGGACGGTTTCCGGTCGTTCAAGCAAGATAAACGAGATCATCCAACTAGAACCGTTACAACATCCTTACTAAATTTTTTTAAATTCAAAGTCGCGCAGAAAAATTTTTCTTTAAAAGAGAAAAATATAGAGGAGAGAACCTGCCACTTCCCGCTGTCCAATTTTAATACGAAAGACGTCGCCGAGATGGCGTCAATTCACAAAACGGGATTCGCGTGAAATTGGAACTGTCTTTGGAGTTGAAAAAGACTTTATTTTACATAATTTAACCGAAAACTTTATATATACAGGGTGATTCACATAAGAACCGACACAGAGCAGGGAAATGTAGAGGACAATAAATTAAAATGACTTAACGTAACTTACCTCTATACTAAGTTGTACACCTGAGGAGTTATAAACTTATAACTAAACCAAATCTGTTTATGAGTATTGTCCTTTTAGTTCATAATAAACAATTTATTTCAAATAAACTTTTCTCCAACACCTTTAATTTTTGGGTTATGATCGATTTTAACACCAAAAGTACTCAATTTTGACATTATGGGGATTTTTTCTTTATCACTAGAAAATCATTATAACTAAACCAAATCTGTTTATGGATGATGTCTTTTTAGTTTATAATAAACAATTTCTTTCAAATAAACTTATCTCCATCACAATTAATTTTTGAGTAATGATCGATTTTGATAACAAAAGTACTCAATTTTGACATTATGGGGATTTTCTCTTTATCACTAGAAAATCATTACATCTAAACAAAATCTGTTTATCAATAATATCTTTTTAGTTCATAATAAACAATTTATTCCTAAAAAACTTTTCTCCATCACCTTTCATCCTTGAGTTATGATCAATTTTAATACCAAAAGTACTCAATTTTGATATTTCGATGATTTTCTCTTTTTATCATTAGAAAATCATTATAACTAAACCAAATCTGTTTATGAGTAATGTCCTTTTAGTTCATAATAAACAATTTATTTCAAATAAACTTTTCTCCATCACCTTTAATTTTTGAGTTATGATCTATTTTAATACCAAAAGTACTCAATTTTGACATTTTGGTGATTTTTTCTTTATCACTAGAAAATCATTATACCTAAACTAAATTTGTTTATGGATGATGTTTTTTTAGTTCATAATAAACAATTTATTCCTAAAAAACTTTTCTCCATCACCTTTCATCCTTGAGTTATGATCAATTTTAATACCAAAAGTACTCAATTTTGATATTTCGATGATTTTCTCTTTTTATCATTAGAAAATCATTATAACTAAACCAAATCTGTTTATGAGTAATGTCCTTTTAGTTCATAATAAACAATTTATTTCAAATAAACTTTTCTCCATCACCTTTAATTTTTGAGTTATGATCTATTTTAATACCAAAAGTACTCAATTTTGACATTTTGGTGATTTTTTCTTTATCACTAGAAAATCATTATAACTAAACCAAATCTGTTTATGGATGATGTCTTTTTAGTTCATAATAAACAATTTATTTCAAAAAAACTTATCTCCATCACAATTAATTTTTGAGTAATGATCGATTTTGATAACAAAAGTACTCAATTTTGACATTATGGGGATTTTCTCTTTATCACTAGAAAATCATTACATCTAAACAAAATCTGTTTATCAATAATATCTTTTTAGTTCATAATAAACAATTTATTCCTAAAAAACTTTTCGTCATCACCTTTCATTTTTGAGTTATGATCGATTTTAAAACCAAAAGTGACATTTTGGGGATTTTCTCTTTATCACTAGAAAATTATTATGCCTAAACTAAATTTGTTTATGGATGATGTCTTTTTAGCTCATAATAAACAGTTTATTCCTCAAATTACGTACAATTTCACAGCCGACTACTGAATTTTCAATGATTTTAAGTAGCATTAACAAGATACGCGTCTTTATTTTTTTGATTTTTTTATGAAAACGACGTTCTTATGTGAATCACCCTGTATATCGCTGCCGAGGCAGTGGCTATATTATATTACAAAACAATAAGAAAACATTCCTTTTCAGCGTTAATAATTAATTCATCATATCCGAGGCAGTGGTTCAAGTAAACAGAGCATAAGCAAAGACTTTTTCCGTATTAATGTATTTTTAGAACCCGAGGCAGTGGCTCAAATGTTACAAAGGTATGAGAAAATGTATCTCTTCAGTGTTAATTTATCATCATTGCCGAGGCAGCGGTGCTACCGAGGCAGTGACTCATGTAAACAAAGGTTTTTCTTCGATATTAATATATGTGTAGAAGCCGAGGCAGTGGCTTAAATAAACAAAGCATAAGAAAAGATTCTTTTCGTATTAATACATTTTGAGAAACCGAGACAGTAATAAAAACCCACTACCTCGATAGCACAGCTGTCTCGGCTTCTAAAAATATATTACTGAGAAAGAGAATACCTCATTTCAAGCACTACTTCGGCAGCGCAGTTGCCTCAGCCTGCAAGAATAAATTAATACTGAAGGGAAACCTTTTCCTATTACTTTGTAATAAAACAGCCACTGCCTCGGCAGCACCGCTGCCTCGGCTTGGAAACATATATTACTTCGAAAAAGAAACCTTTACGCATTATTTTGTAATACTTGAGCCACTGCCTCGGCAGCACAGCTGCCTCGGCTTTTATGAATATATTAATACGAAAGAGGATACTTCACGTAATGCTTTGGTTACGAGCTATTTCCTCGGCAGCGTAGCTGCCTCGGTTATGATGATATATTATCACTGAAAAGAAATGTTTTCCTATTACTTTGTAATAAAAAAGTCACTGCCTCGGCTACAATGAAATTAGACTTATGACGCGTACTGTATAAATGAATATTTGTTATAGATTGATATGTTGAGAATTGGGATGCTATTGAGTTGCATCTTTATGTCAAACACCGCATTAGATGAGCAAAAACAAATCCACCAAAACGAACTGATGACGGCGATCACTTCCGGTCAAGATTTGGATTTCGACAATTACGCGGTCACCTGCTACATTTGCGTTAACGTTTCCGACAATCTTATCTGCAATCAGTACGCGATTGATAGACCTTGCAAACCAGGTAAGACATCTTTATTTAAAAAATTATGAAAAAAAATACTTTCAAATTAAAAAAGAACTTTTTTTCTCCGCGAGACAAGTTTTTAATCAGTTTCTCTCGCCAACGACGAAACGGGATTTCATCCACCCCTTAAAAGTACTAGTTGAAGGGATTTGAGGGTTTGAAAAGTTGGGGGGAAAATGAGGATGGAGTGGGAGGTGAAACGATGGCTAACTGCGTTCTTGATTGGATTGAAAACTTTAATCGAAGATGCTGCTTACCTAAGTTATAGTTTGGGGGGTGATTTAATTAGATCCTTTTCGTCGCGGAGGTAACACCACCTCGAATTATTCGAAGAATGTTAATTAAATGTTTCCCCCAAAAGAAATTTACGATTTTTTATTTAATTTTCAATTAAGATAAAAAAAACCCTTTGGAATGAGCCCAAACACGATGGGGTTATCTTCAAAAATTATTTTAATCAGAACCGGAAGTTAACCTAAAATTTTATTTTTACATTTTTTCTTAATCCCCACTTAAAATGCTTTAATTTGATACGTAACACGATTAGGTTATGTCAATTTTTATAAAAATTCAAGATGGCGCCTAAAAATGACATTTAAATTATTCGTTTTGACAATTTTTACAATAAATATGACGTGTTTGGACTTAAATTAAACGTCTTCTTCTTAATAGTATGAAAATACTCCAAATTTTTTATTTTCTTTTTAATTGTCACTAACATTTTTGAAAAACAATTAAATTAGGTTATGTTTTAATCATTTTTTGATGATCATTTTAATTATTTTCGTATCATTTATTAAAAATGTTTTAATTTGATACGTAACACGATTAAAATATGTCAATTTTTATAAAAATTCAAGATGGCGCCTAAAAATGACATTTAAATTATTCGTTTTGACAATTTTTACAATAAATATGACGTGTTTGGACTTAAATTAAACGTCTTCTTCTTAATAGTATGAAAATACTCCAAATTTTTTATTTTCTTTTTAATTGTCACTGACATTTCTTAAAAATAATTAAATTAGGTTATGTTTTAATCATTTTTTGGGATCATTTTAATTATTTTCGTATCATTTATTAAAAATGTTTTAATTTGATACGTAACACGATTAAAATATGTCAATTTTTATAAAAATTCAAGATGGCGCCTAAAAATGACATTTAAATTATTCGTTTTGGCAATTTTTAAAATAAATATGGCGTGTTTGGACTTAAATGAAACGTCTTCTTCTTAAAAGTACGAAAATACTCACCATTTTTTATTATCTTTTTAATTGTCACTGTCATTTTTAAAAAATAATTAAATTAGGTTATGTTTTAATCATTTTTTGGGATCATTTTAATTATTTTCGTATCATTTAATAAAAATGCTTTAATTTGATACGTAACACGATTAAATTATGTCAATTTTTATAAAAATTCAAGATGGCGTCTAAAATGACATTTAAATTATTCGTTTTGGCAATTTTTAAAATAAATATGACGTGTTTGGACTTAAATTAAACGTCTTCTTCTTAATAGTATGAAAATACTCCAAATTTTTTATTATCTTTTTAATTGTCACTAACATTTTTCTAAAATAATTAAATTAGGTTATGTTTTAATCATTTTTTGGGATAATTTTAATTATTTTCGTATCATTTATTAAAAATGTTTTAATTTGATACGTAACACGATTAAATTATGTCAATTTTTAAAAAAATTCAAGATGGCGCCTAAAAATGACATTTAAATTATTCGTTTTGACAATTTTTACAATAAATATGACGTGTTTGGACTTAAATTAAACGTCTTCTTCTTAATAGTATGAAAATACTCCAAATTTTTTATTATCTTTTTAATTGTCACTAACATTTTTGAAAAACAATTAAATTAGGTTATGTTTTAATCATTTTTTTATGATCATTTTAATTATTTTCGTATCATTTATTAAAAATGTTTTAATTTGATACGTAATACGATTAAAATATGTCAATTTTTATAAAAGTTCAAGATGGCGCCTAAAAATGACATTTAAATTAATCGTTTTGGCAATTTTTAAAATAAATATGACGTGTTTGGACTTAAATGAAACGTCTTCTTCTTAATAGTATGAAAATACTCCAAATTTTTTATTATCTTTTTAATTGTCACTAACATTTTTAAAAAACAATTAAATTAGGTTATGTTTTAATCATTTTTTGGGATAATTTTAATTATTTTTTTATTATTTATTAAAAATGCTTTAATTTGATACGTAACACGAATAGGTTATGTCAATTTTTATAAAAATTCAAGATGGCGCCTAAAAATGACATAAATTAATGATTTTCGTCATTTTTAAGATATACATGTCGTGTTTGGACTTAAATTACAGCTCTTTATCTCTAGAATACCAAAATGCGAGTATAAATTAATTTTTTTTAAATTATAGGTGGCGCTTTTTATTAAAAATCGATTCTAATTATAAAAATTTTTATATTTTCTTTATCATTATCTTAATGCCCATTTGAAACCCTTTAATTTGATATATCACTCGAATAGTTTATTTTAATTTTTATAAAAATCCAAGATGGCGTCTACTTTGACGTTTCATAAATTACTTTGGGCAATTTTTGAGATAAACACGTCGTGTTTGGACTTAAATTAAAGCTCTCAATCTCGCGATTAATAATATTCAAGAATAATTTAAAAAAATTTTCAATTATAGGTGGCGCTTTTTTCTAAAATTAATTTTTTAATAATTTTTTTTATAATTTTTATGTATTTCCTATCATTTTATTTACGTTTAATTCAAATATAATTAAAATTAAGAAATCAAGATGGCGCCTTAAACGTCAAAAATGACATTTCTTTGACAGTTTTGATTTTTTAAGATAAATCCGCCGTGTTTGGACTTAAATTAAAGCTCTCAATCTCGCGATTAATAATATTCAAGAATAATTAGATTTTTTTTTGATTATAGGTGGCTCTTATTTTATACATAAGAGCAATTAAAAAAAAATCAAAAATGTTATTTATTTTAAATTTAAAATGTAAATTGATGTAATGGAATTTGTTTAATGTTTTTTTTTGGGGTAAATATTGTTGTAAAGTGTTTTAACTGTTGATGGAAAGCACTAAAAAGTTGAAAGCGGTTAATAACCACAAAACCAATTGAATTCGTTTAATGTATCAATTAAGGTCTGGGGCGGAAGTGGGGAAATGAAAATTTATCGAAAATCGATAACCATTTTCCTCCTCCCTCTAGCTTCTCTATCGGCCTTTATGTTTAGTTGAACGATTGATGCTTTTCGGTTTTATCCTAAATCATATTGTCGCAATTACAATGTAATTTTTTTATTTAAACGGATACAATCGGGGGGGTTTGAAACAATTTCTTTTCGAACTCAAAAAACTTGGACATCTTCGGATTTCTTAGCACCTTCACCTTTTTGATCACAACGTTTTTAATTTTTTGATTCCGTTTCTTGTTGCACTCCAACTCGATTTCTTGGGCGATCGCGCCGTTTTTAACATCGTCCAATATCGTTTTTAAGCAAGCGCGAAGTCCCCGATTTCGTAGCGTTTGCAAAATCGTTCTGCGGATTTGAACCCGAACCTTTTTCGAATCATCAATTTTTTTCATCTTCGCCTCAATTTCAAGCTGGATAACGAGACCTTCTTTCGTTATCACGTCGAAAGTACACTCAAAAGGGGTCGAATTTTTGTTTCCCATTTAACTTAAAATTTTTTGTGTCAAAGTGACAAAAAAAGGAATTAATGAATTTGTTTGGTTGTTTTTAGGCGAAAATTTTTGTCACACTCTTCATATAATGGATTCGAAAGGAACGAGCGTTTTGGTGAATAAAAGGTGCACCTCGGAGAAGGAATGCCAAAGAACGCAAGTGGGATGCGTCGAAATTGACACTCAAACGGTAGGGTTATTTAAAATGATTTGATGATTAACGTTTTTGTGGGATTTTAGATTTGCGTGTCTTGTTGCGACCACAATTACTGCAACAAATTGGTCCCGTACAACTCATCGACGGCGATATTCGACGACAAAATCACCAAAATGCGAATGTTGGCTAAAAACCTTTTCAAAGAGAAGGAGAAAGCCGAAACGATTTCGATTAAAGAGGCGACATCTTCAGGGCGAAACGTTTATTCGCTTCTAATACTATTTCCGACCTTAATGATAATACTTCGACTGTTAGATAGGGGAATATTGTGATATTAATCGGGCTTAATTATTTTAATGTAAAAGAAATAAAATGATGTGTTTTTTTTTATTTTTTTAAGTTTCGGTGAAAATAAAAAAATCGTTTCGGTTTTTTTGTATACATTTTAAGATTTAAAAAAGATAATGATGGAATAAAGTTATCTTGCTTAGTTATTAACTTTTAATTAATTTTAATTTGATTTAAAATTGAGGGTAATTTTAATGTACCACCCCAATCAAATCAGTATTAAAATTGGAGGCCTTTCTTCAGTATTAATAAATGTTTAGAAGCCGAGGCAGCTGAGCTGCCGAGGCAATAGCTTCTTTACAACACAATAATAAGAAAAATCTTTCTTAAATATTAATATATTTTCGGAATCCGAGGCAGCTATGCTGCCGAGGCAGTAGCTTTTTTATAGCAAAGTAAAAAGAAAAACCTTTTTTTAAATATAAATATATTTTCCGAATCCGAGGCAGCTGTGCTGCCGAGGCAGTAGTTTTTTTATTACAAAGTAATAGGAAAACATTTCTTTTCAGTGTTAATATATCATCATAGCCGAGGAAGCTACGCTGACGAGGCAGTAGCTCGTAACCAAAGTATTACGTGAAGTATTCTCTTTCGTATTCATAAAAGCCGATGCAGCAGTGCTGCCGAGGCAGTGGCTCAAGTATTACAAAATAATGCGTGAAGGTTTCTTTTTCGAAGTAATATATGTTTCCAAGCCGAGGCAGCGGTGCTGCCGAGACAGTGGCTGTTTGTATTACAAAATAATGCGTGAAGGTTTCTTTTTCGAAGTAATATATGTTTCCAAGCCGAGGCAGTGGCTGTTTTATTACAAAGTAATAGGAAAAGGTTTCCCTTCAGTATTAATTTATTCTTGCAGGCTGAGGCAACTGCGCTGCCGAGGTAGTGGTTGAAAAACCTTTTCCTATTACTTTGTAATAAAACAGCCACTGCTGCCTCGGCTTGCGAACATACACGGTGTCCCGTTAAGCGTACGGAGCGGCTGTATCTCAATAACGATAAGGACTAGAGGTTTGGGAAAAAAATCCTTATAAGCAAAGTGGGCAAGAGAAATAGCTGGAAATTATTTTAAAGTTCGTAATTCGACCGCTAGGGGGCGTAACTGCCATAGAGAAACATAAAATTCCTGCTATCTCAGAAAGTTAGACGATGAGCTATAACTTTGACAACATCATTTAGTAGCTTGGATAATACCGCATCGCTTTTGTTTTGCAATATTTTTCATATCTGTCATAATAAGGGAGGGGGAGGCCAATGCGTTTTCAAATGTTTACATTTTAATATCTCCTGGACCATTCAACCGATTTGAATATTTTTGGTCTTGTTTGAAAGAGCATTTCATGCTCTTTTAAAAGATATTTTCAGTAAGACCGCTTGGTTTAAAACAAATAAGCTAGAGGGCGTTATCTGCAGCGGTTACATATTTTTGTGATTTTTGAAAAAAAGTTAAATGGAACGGTACTATTTACTTCACAGACCGTTAATCACCATAAAATTTGCTAAATATTAGTGAAAACCGCATCTCGATATCTCCATCCATTCTCGAATTATAAAAGAAAATGTTAAAAATTCGTATATCTTAATCGGATCAAGTTACCTTAGGAAACAAATAAGAGAGAACAAAAATTTTATTATCTAGAACCTTCCTTCACACTTTATCCAAGCTTAGAACTGCTTCAAAACTACTTTTGAGGCGTGTTGAAAAGCCAACGGATCAATGAAACATCAACAATGATAATAAAACAAAATAAACCAAAACACTTAGAATAACTTAAATTTTTGGCAAAAATAACTCACTAATGTGCGAAATGCCTTCCATAAACCTCGATGCATTTATTTAATCTAGTTTCGACGAAAAAAAAGCGCTGCTTAAGTCTCGGCCCTGGACACGTTTCTACTGGTATTTAGTGTTTTGTCATATTTTCCCTGGTTATTGGTTTTTCTTGAAAAGTCAGGTCGTTTAGTCTACCCAATAGATAAAGGGGTGAAAGCAATGTGGGTTTTGCTCGAACCAAGAATGCATATTATGCAAGTTTACATCAGCTTGTGGACAGATGCTTCATGCATCCATAGCATTTGTGATAAAAGGTTTGGATTTGCCCAAATCATATTTAAAAGTCAATGGTAATAGTTCAGTCTGTTATCATAATCGGTATCTGTTAAGGCCTGATGTAAAACAACGTGGTGGAGATATTATTCTCTTGAGAACTCTTGTGGACAATTGTTTTCGGAGTTCCCAGATTATGTGGGATCACATTGCGCACCAATATGATTTACGAATTCATAGAGATGTCTGAATGGGCTACACGTTGCCAGTTTTCCGTAATCGCTAAGTCAATCTTAAAAACACTTCTAGAGAAAAATGTCTTTCTTTGTCGTAATTGCATTGCACATTTTTGCCATGCAGTTGCATCGTATTCGAAACATTGAAAATAAATCATCATACGCTCTATCATACGCTTCTGCGTTAGTAAATGACATGTTTACAGTTACCATGGTAATGTGATTTGTTTTTCTCGATGAGGTAACTGGATCCGATTGATGGCACTCGAGTTTTTAACATTTTCTTCTATAACTCGAGAACGGGTGGCGATATCGAGATGCGGTTTTCACTAAAATTTAGCAAATTTTAAGGTGACTAAGGGTCTGTGAAGTAAATAGTATCGTTCCATTTAACTTTTCTTCAAAAATCACAAAAATATGTAATCGCTGCAGATAACGTCCTCTAGCTCATTTGTTTTAAAGCAGACGGTCTTACTGAAAATATCTTTAAAAAGAGCATAAAATGCTCTTTCAAACAACACCGAAAACATTCAAATCGGTTGAATGGTCTAGGAGATATTAAAATGTAAACATATGAAAACGCATTGGCCTCCCCCTCCCTTATTATGACAGATATGAGAAATATCGCAAAACAAAAGCGATGCGGTATTATCCAAGCTATTAAATGATGTTGTCAAAGTTATAGCTCATCGTCTAAGTTTCTGAGATAGCGGGAACTTTATGTTTCTCAATGGCAGTTACGCCCCCTAGCGGTCGAATTACGAACTTCAAAATAATTTCCAGCTATTTCTCTTGGTCACTTTGCTTATAAGGATTTTTTTCCCAAACCTCTTGGCCTTACCGTTCTAGAGATATAGCCGCTCCGTACGCTTAACGGGACACCCTGTATGTTCGCAAGCCGAGGCAGTGGCTGTTTTATTACAAAGTAATAGGAAAAGGTTTTTCTCTTTAGTATTAATTTATTCTTACAGGCTGAGGCAGCTGCGCTGCAGAGGTAGTTCATGATGTGAGGTATTCTCTTTCTCATTAATATATCTTTAGAAGCCGATGTATTAACACTGAAGAGCTTTTTTTAAGTATCAATAGATTTTTAAAAGCCGAGGCAGCTATGCTGCTGAGGCAGTAGCGCTTTTATTACAAAGTAACAGAAAAAGGTTTCTTTTTAGTAGTAATTTATTTTTATAGTCTGAGGCACTTGTGCTGTTGAGGCAGTAGCTTTTGTATTATAAAGTAATAAGAGAAAGCTTTGTTTAAATATTAATTCAAATAAACAAAGTAATAGGAAAAGGTTCTCGACAGTATTAATACATTTTAAAAGCTGAGGCAGCTGTGCTGCCGACGTAGTAGCCTTTTTTATCACAAAGTAGTACAAATAGCTTACTTTTTGGCACTATTAATTTATTAGGATCCGAGGCAGCTGTGCTGCTGAGGCTGTAGAGAGTACATTATTGTTTTCTTAATACGAATGTGTCGCTTAGAGTACTACCATATAATCGTGGTAGTGAAATGTGTAGAGTTGTCTCGGTTTTTGATAACATATCAGTATTGAAAAGTAATCTTTTATCATTACTTTGTAATAAAAAACCTGAGGCAATGGCATATCTTCTAAATATGTATTAATACAGAAAAATAACCTTTAGTTATTGCTCTGTAATACTTGTGCCACTTTCTCAACAGTACAACTGTCTTAGTTTCTAAGCATATTATACAGAGTGGTCCATTAGTAGTGAGACACAGATAGTGCACCAACGGCTTATTTTCGTTCTTCTTTAATAATTTCGCTTTTTCTTACATTTATAATGATATGGCGGTGTACAGGGTGTCCAAATTTCGATGGGTTTGCAGGGTATCTCAGTTATTATGAAAGATAGAAAGTTGCGGCTTCCGCGAACGTGAGCTACTTTTTTGTGAAATTTACAATGGCGCAAACCAAATTTTCATAGTCCTCTTCGTTTTTGATATACAGGGAGTGTTTGAAATTTACCATTTTCAGGCACCTCCTGTATCTCGGCTATCCGGAAACTTAGTAAAAAAGTAAAAGCGATTTTTTCACGTGGAATCCAATGGTGTACGTAGAATTTTTCTAGTCATCGTTAGTTATAAACACAACTCAAATACTGAATACTCAACTTCTAAAATACTTAACTCTTTATAACTCAAAAACCGTGATGACTAGAAAAATTCTACGTGCACCATTGGATTCTACGTGAAAAAATCTATTAGAACCCATTTTTACGTTTCCGGATAGCCGACATACAGGGGTGTCTGAAAATCGTAAATTTGGAAACACTCCCTGTATATCAAAAACGAAAAGGGCTATGAAAATTTGGTTTGCGCCATTGTAAGTTTCACAAAAAAGTAGCTCAGGTTCGCGAAAGCCGCAACTTTCTACCTCTCATAATAACTGAGATACCCTGCAAACCCATCGAAATTTGGACACCCTGTACTTATTATTATTTATGTTTTTGTATTAATTTTTTTTATATTTTTTATAAATTTTTAATATTTTTAACCAATTTTTATATCAAGAAAAAGCGAAATTATTAAAGAAAAACGAAAATAAAGTGTTAACTTTAACCATCTGTTTTTATTATTAACAATTGGACTAAGATAAATTGGGTTAAATCATAATAATTTAACTTAAGGAATTCATTGTTGCTCTGTGTCCCATTACTAACGAACCACTCTGTATTAATACAGGGAGAATACTTCACTAAATGCTTTGGTTATTTAAGCTACTGCGTCGATAGCACAGTTTTTCTTGTTACTTTGTAATAAAAAAGTCATTGGTTTCTTTTTGGTCTACTTTGTTATTAAAACTTGAGGCAGCGATGTACAGGGTGGTTCAAATTCGATGTCCGAATAGGCTAACTCGGAAACTATAAGAGTTAGACAAAAAGTAGTTTACATGTCATGATCTCGTTTTTCGAAAAACTGCTAATGCCGAAAACCGCAAAGCGCTATCGTCTTTTGTTTTTCCCCTAGAGACTAAAATTGAAAGTATCGTAAAACCAACAAGTGCAATTATCTTGGTTATTATTATAGGTGGAGTATTATAACTAAGACATTATATGGACACTTTTTTACAGAGAATTTCATGGCGTAGTCAACAAAAATTTTTCGGTTTTAGATTTTGAGATATCATGACAATTTTCGTTTTTTTAAATGTGATTATTCGCTTATTAAATTCGTTATTTTTTTCTGATTATAAAAATATAGGGTTTGACAGGTCTATTTGTTATTGTTTTAGAATAAAGCTAAAAATAAACTTTTTTTTAGTATCGTTAAAGAAATTAAATTTACAGTTTCCTGTAAATTATAACTAAAAATTAAGAAAACATATTTCAAACAAATACATTTGTTGAACTATTTAATTTATATGTTTATTTATATTTAATTATTTCACATTTTTTATTAATAGTTAATATTAGTTTTAAATGACTTAATAAATTATTGATAGATGGCGCTCATATATATTTTTTTTTATTTATATTTATTTAATTCAAATAAACATAGCAACATTTGTTTGTATTCAAAAATTTTCTGAAGTGTCAAATTAAACATCCTCTTTTTTAAGATGTATTACGAAAAGTTTAACATGTTAGAATGATATTAGAAAATAAAGTTATAAAATTTTAGTTATAGTACAGGAAACTGTAAATTTAATTCCTTTGACGACATTAAAAAAGTTTTTTTCTAGCCTATTCGGACGTCGAATTTGAACCACCTGTACATTCCATTTCCTCGGATATATGGCAGCCTCTGTTTAAATAGCATATTAACATTAAGAAAAATTCTGATGTCTCTTTACATAATTATTGAAATGTTTGTAATAATGAAGAGAAATCTTAATAACTCGTTCATGTGTTCCTTTATTCAATAAAGAACCATTCACTGCCTCAGCATCATTAATAACATATTAATACTGAAAAGTTATCTAGCTTAATTATTTTAAATTTGGTCAAAAATGGAGGGAAATTCAAAGGTACCACCCAAGTCAAATCAGCATCACCGAATCAAAATTTTTTACCATTAAATCAAAAATAGATCAGATCCAACAAAAAAAAATTTACCTACTTAATTAATTAATCAAATTTACTTTAAATGATTAAATTTAAATTGGATTAATTAATTATTAATAATAATAATTTAAAAATTTTAACCTAATTTGACACTTTCGGTAGAAAATAAACAACACCGCCGCCATATTGGCATTTTTTCTTTCAATACAAACATTGCGATTAATTTTCTTCAGGATCCGAAGCGAAACTCACAAAAAAGCCCTTTATTTAACGAAAAACCAGCATGAACGAGAATGAATTCGTCGTAACAGACATCGATTTTGAAAATTTGGCCGAAATGTCGACCCCGACCGTTGAAAAAATGTAAGTCATTGACAATTTATTTAAAAATAATCGAACTTCGAAAACAAAAATTAAAATGATACTCGATTTTTCATTAATTACGCCGATTCTCGATCATTTTTTAGCAACATCCCGTTCGAGGATCAAATTATCAAAGAAGAAATCGTTAAAGAGGACGATATCTTGTTGTTCACCCAAGCCGAAGTCGAGGAGGAGCTGAGTGGGAACGACCGAGGGGTGGTATCGAACACCTCGTCGTTTGAAATCGTCGATAACATCGCAAACACGGTGCAAATACCCGAAAACGCCTCGTTTAATTACCCGTTTAGCGAGGAGCAATTGAACCAATTAAATCAGCTTTTAAACGGAACGAATTTTATCTCGAAAAATAATCCCGGCGATGGATACGAAAACTTTTTTACTCCAAAAATCGGTGGGATTAAAATGGAAGGGAATTATTCGCATTTTATTAAGTATAAAGTCCAAGAGGGGAAGCACACGAAAGTTTGGCAATGCGGAATATGTAAATAAATCGATTAAAAAGTTAATTTTTTATGAAATTTTTTTTGTTTTAGGCTCAAAAGAATTCGGACATCAATACATTTTAATGCGCCACCTCCCCACTCACACCGACGAACGCAAATTTCAATGTAACACTTGCGGAAAAGGTGACATAACCTAAAAACCTAATCTGTCATAACCTAAAATCATTTTTTTAACCTAAAAAAAAAAAAATTTCTTTCATAGCATTCCGTCAAATGTCGACCTTATCCCAACACCGAGCCATCCATTCCGCCGAACGTCCTTACATTTGCGAAATCTGTCAGAAAACCTTTAACCGCGTCTCGACTTTAATTTCCCACCGGAAAACCCACACCGGACACAAACCGCACCGTTGTCACCTTTGCAACAAAGCGTTCCATCAAAAAGGAAATTTAAGGAATCACATTTTTACGCACACGAACGAACGGCCGTATAAATGCGATGTTTGCTCGAAGGGGTTTAATCAAATGTCGAATTTAATGTGTCACAAATTGAAAGCTCATCAACGGGCTGATAAGCCGCGGTATACTTGTCAAACTTGCGGGAAAGATTTTCAGAAACGGATGGGGTTGAGGAATCACGAACAATACGAACACGGAGATGGTGCTGTTGCGAATCCCGCTCCGGGGCAAAATGGTGGCGGTGGAACTAATAGTACTTCGAAATTGAAGTAGGGATTGATTGGGTTTATTTAATTGAGTTGTTTTGACACGTTAAACGATGTTATTGAGGTTGCATTATTAACACTTTCTCAATGTTGAGCATTGCTGAAGTCGTTACAATCTTGTTCTTAGAGCATAAAATCTCATCTTTGCAAGTTTAGAGTATCTCTAGCTATTTAGATTGAGTTAAAGCAATTTCTTTTAATTTTGAGTTGGGTTGGAGTGAGATTAAATTCGTTTTTTGCTGCTTGGTGTAATTTCTGATTGTTGCTTACCACTTGGTATGTCTCTAGTTCAATTGCAGACATTTTCTCAAAGTCTGGAATCTTGTCAATAATTCCATTTTGATTATGTCTTTATGACTTACATAGAGGAAAGAAGGGATACCTTACACATGTTAAAGACAGGAATAACAGAAAGAAAAAATTAGCAGCACTGGATCCCTTGTTTCCTTTATACAGGGTGTATCTGAATGGCTGCAACAAACTTCAAGGGGTGATTCTTTAGTGAATTTTAAGGGTACTTTGATATATAGGTAGGTTGAAAGTACAAATAGGGTCAAAACGTGCCCTATTATGAGTTAAACATATTCCCCAAATTTCATTTTCCTAGCGTTTATGGTTTTTGAAAAAAAAAAAAAAATTTAACCAAAATTTTCCGCCATTTTTGGAGGGGTGTAGCTCATCCTAACATTCCTTCACGCTATAATTTGGGTTCAAAAGAAAACCGACATTCCTTCACGCTATAATTAGGCTACCAAAACAAAACTGACCTATCCTAACATTCCTTCACGCTATAATTTGGGTTCAAAAGAAAACCGACATTCCTTCACGCTATAATTAGNTATTTAAAATAGATATAAAATAGTTATTAAAGAAGTTTTTTCGAAACAAATTTAGAATAGTGATTAACAAAGAAGTTAACGAAGAACGATTTTGCTGACCGATTTCCAATTTGTTACCATTCAAGAACGTACCCCGAGAAGGGGGTTAATTAAACTTCGCCGACTTTTCCTCAACCTCTATTTACTTTGAAAGACGGCAGACTCCCCTACTGGTGGCGATAAATCGATGCCACTACTTCTAAACTCGTACCGCAAAATGCAATTTTAATTACGCTGGTCACTTTAATTGGTATTTCCTACAAAAAAAAAATCTCTTTAACGTATCTAGCTTTGTATCTACCATAACAATAGATGGGACTTCTTTGATCTTTGAAGTATATAAAACATGTCTTTCGTTTTCATCTATCAACAAGGATATAAAATGTTTACTACCTCCGTTTCAATTTCCTCAGAATTGTAAAGTAAGCAGGAAAAGATCAGGAAAAATGGAGTACTTTTCTATAAAAAGATAAAAAAGTTGTATTCGTTTTAATTAATATCGATGGAAATATCTTTTTTAAAATTTCTTTGAGATGATATAACACGTGTCCTGTGAGTCGAAGCGGTTGAATATTAAAAAAAGGACATACAAGGGATGTTTACGAGACGGGGAATGAATAATGTTCCTTATATTAAAGTGCACAAAAAATCCGATTGTAATTAAATTTCTAAGCCCTTTGAAAGCTTAAACGTCCGAATAATTTTTTTTATGCCACTGTAATGCAGACTATAGCATTTTATACTGGTGGACGTACCCTGCAAAATCGAAACCCCAAGGTTCTTTAAGTGGATTTCTTCTACCGGAAGAGAAACACTATAAAAATTTTATTACCACTTAACCCCCATGGGTATTTTATTATGAGAATTATGTGATCACGTTTGATTACTTTTATAAAAACCTAAAGTTATAGCGTATCATTACTTTTTTCGTTTTTCCCAAAAAATGTATTATATCTTGTAAGGGAATTGAGAATTCTATGATATGAATTGCACAGATACAAAAAATATTCCATTACAGACAAAATCTTGTACGAAATCAACCAGAAACGATGTCATGCGACGTAACTCGCGACAAAATCGCAAATTTCCCGTCACCGTACATCTCATATTTACTCCGTGCGGAGGCGTCACGACGCTCAGTATCAATATTCCGCGACGCCCCATCCCTTTTCCATAATCCCGTCGGCGATGCCATTCCCTTGCAAATTGAATACCGTATCCATTCGTTCCATTTCGGTTTTCCGCAGGACTACAACGACGACATCCGTCAGGAACAAATGTGGGAGATGCAGGTGCTGTCTAGTCAACGGAACAACGGAGGCGCCTCCAAGGGAGATCCCGAAGCGAGTGGAGAATCAAGTGCAGCAATGGAATTTGGCGAAGATCGTCTTAGTGCCGGTACGGCTGATGGAGCTCCTGACAGTCCTCAAGAAGAACATCCTGCTCTTAGAGGGGTACAACCAAGTAAGACTATTTCTTTTTTTATGTTTTAAATTATCAATTATTCAAATGTTTATTATAAAAGTTTGTGGAATATTTCGTCGGTATACAAGAGAAAGTGACTTAGTCCACAGATAGTGGTTTTGAGTTATTAGTATTCTAATTTTTGCTTCTTATTATAAAATCAATTATTTTACGTGAGATTAGTTTATAATGATTTTTATAAATAATATAGTTTTTAGAATATGTATTTTAAATTAAAAAAGGCTATAATTAATTTAAGCAAATACTAAACCAGTAACTCATTTCAACTGCATAGGTTTGTAATGGTTTCTATGAACAATGCAAATTCTAGAATATGTATTTAAACTTAAAAAAGACTATAATTAAACAAGTAGTAGTAACTAGTTTTAACTTCATATGTCTTCATCACTATATACATTGTGTGAGGGTTCTGGACACTTGTCTTTCAAGGAATTGTCACAACCATGGTATTCGATCGGAATTACCCCCATATGGCAAAGTTGAATTAAATCGTTTTTCTTCTTGATCGATATAGGCAAGGGTTCAGTATAACATTTCTTTAACTCAGTTTCTTTTGGAATATTATTACNATATTAAAATGCGATTAATAGACTTGTTGGTTAAATAACTATTAAGAAGCTGAGACAGTTGTGTTACTGAAGTAGTAGCTCTAATATTACAAAGCAATAAGAAAAGATATATGTCAGTACAAGTCGAGGCAGTAGCTCTAATATTACACAGTAATGAAAACATGTGGTATTAATATACAGGTGTCTCAACGAGACTGGTCATTAGACGTTTCTGGGGTTCTGGCGTTAAGAAATCGAGAAGAAAGTTGAGAATTCAGACTTAAGTATTATCAATTACGTTTTCTTCGACTAAAATATTTTCAGATTTCTAGCACTTCCGATTATACAGGAACATCCTGTATATTTTTACATATTTGGATTTGTCCGTTTTCAATGCTTATGAATAACTTTACTTTTTGCAATTTGATTCGGCCGTTCTTGAGTTATTCGAACTTTTCTGGAAAAACCTGCTCCAGCAGACATTGTTCAAAAAATCAGAGAACATTCAATTTTTGAGATATCAATTTAGGATTGAGAACATGCTTAAGCAACACGATGGAGTATGTTTTGGTGCTATGAACGGCTGTCTAGATCGTTTGGTCACTTTACTATGGCACGTTAACTTTTCGAAATTTTGAAGTACTATAACTTAATTTTTTTAAATGGCACCCCCTATATTTTATTATTTAGTTGTCTTCGGCGTCTCATTTTACATATTTTATACTCGATATGTCCTATACCTAAAGGTGAGTTTAGACATGCATGAATTTAGTTGCGCCAGTTCTACTTGCACGCCAGTAAAGGTTTACATTAGGCCACTGACGTGGCACATGTAAAAAATAAGTGACACGCCAGTTTCATTTTTAAAGTGTACTACAACTATATACACAAATTAGGACCTCAACCGAAACGAAAATAGATATATTCTAGGTTTAAGGTGGATAATTATACGTTATCGTTGAATGTGTTAACGTAATTNAGTCATTTTCTCCTGTACAGGTTTTTACAAAATGGACTTGGGCATTATGGAATTTGAAATTATAAGCATTATTATGGCATTTTTGGACTTGTTCATTTTTTCCAGAAAAATAATATTGAATTTCCGGTACATGAGCATTGAAACCTAAAAATCTAAAATTTTGGACTTGGTCACATTCTTTTGTATACCGACGATATCTTTAGAAGCCGAGGCAGCTATGCTGCTGAGGCAGTGTCTCAATTATTACAACACAATAAGTAAAGTTTTTTGTTCTATATTAATATATCTTAGAAATCGAGGCAGCTGTGCTGAAGAGGCAGTGGGTTTTTTCTTACAAAGTAATAAAATAACGTCTCTTTTCAGTATTAATTTTTTTACAGGCCGAGGCAGTAGCTTTGGTATTACAAAACAATAACAACCAGATTGTCTTACACATTAATATATTTTAAGAAGCTGAGACAGTTGTGTTGCTGAAGTAGTAGCTCTAATATTACAAAGCAATAAGAAAAGATATATGTCAGTACAAGTCGAGGCAGTAGCTCTAATATTACACAGAAATGAAAACATGTGGTATTAATATACAGGTGTCTCAGCGAGACTGGTCATTAGACGTTTCTGGGGTTCTGGCGTTGAGAAGTATTATCAATTACGTTCTCTTCGACTAAAATATTTTCAGATTTCTAGCACTTCCGGTTATACAGGATGTCGCCACATACTTTATTTTTTTTAAATGGAACACCTGTATATTTTTACATATTTGGATTTGTCTGTTTTCAATGCTTATGAATAACTTTACTTTCTGCAATTTGATTCGGCCGTTCTTGAGTTATTCGAACTTTTCTGGAAAAACCTGCTCCAGCAGACATTGTTCAAAAAATCAGAGAACATTCAATTTTTGAGATATCAATTTAGGATTCAGAACATGCTTAAGCAACATGATGGAGTATGATTTGGTGCTAAGAACGGCTGTCTAGATCGTTTGGTCACTTTACTATGGCACGTTAACTTTTCGAAATTTTGAAGTACTATAACTTAATTTTTTTAAATGGCACCCCTCATATTTTATTACTTAGTCGTCTTCGGCGTCTCATTTTACATATTTTTTACTCGATATGTCTTATACCTAACATTAATAGTTTGGGAAATAATTAGGGTTTTTTGAAAAATGCACACATATGGATATTTAGCCTAGTGTGCCATGGAAAACAAGCCTTCTCAATGAGTTCTTGTCAAAGACTCACTTGTTTATGTCACTTGATGGATGTGAGCTAATAATTATCTGTTAGGTCAGTTTGAATTCTCAACTTTTTATTTTGGTCAGAAACGTCTAAAGACCGGTCTCGCTGAGACACCCTGTATCTTTAGAAGCCAATGCAGCTTTACTGCCTTTTATTCAGTACAATGTACTAAAAAAAGGTTTCTTTTCTATACTAATATGTTATAAATCTTTATACATTCTATTTCCATGGCTACATGGTAGTATTATAAGCGGCACATTCGCATTAAGAAAATAATAATGTATCCCCTAGTACCTCAGATCTTAATAACATGTTGATACAGAAAGGAAACCCTTACTTATTATTTTCTAATAAAAAAAGCTACTGCCTCAGCAGCACAGCTGCCTCGGCTTGTAAAAATATATTTCTTCTAATACGAAACCTTTACTCATTGTTTTATAATATTTGAACCACTGCCTCGGCAGCATAGCTACCTCGGTTTTTAAGATATATTAATACGAAAAAAAATCATTACTTAATGTTTTGTTTACTTGAGCTACTGCCTCGGCAGCAAAGCTACCTCGGCTTTTAATAATATTTGTCAGTGTTAGTACAAGCTTTGATACCTTGGCTAGTATTTAGCGATATAGGGAACCTTTTGCTCAACTTTCCAATCAACCTAATGCAATTACAGACTTCTTTTTTCCATTTAGCTTCGTTTCGATACAATTTTAGACGTTTTCTTTCTCTTTCGACTTTGCCCAAAGTGAACCTAAACGATTTTTTTGCCAAGTGCTGCTTTGGCAATGCAATTCCAAACTTATTTATGCACTTAGAAGCAAAACCAAAGCTACCCCAGACTGTTTTTGGCACCATGACTCATACTCAATTAGAAGCAAAACTTTTTCACCAACTCTCCAACCACCCCAGTGCAATTTCAGACTTTCACATTTCTATATAACATCAATCTCTGGCCCAGTTCTATTTTAGACATTTTCTTGGAAGTTGGACTTTGCTTAGATCGATTCTAAATGATTTTTTTGCTGCGTGCTGCTTTAGTGTTGCAATTCCAGATTTATTTACAAAGTGGGAAACCAACTTCAGATTTTTTTTTTGCCCCCATGAGAAATACTCAATTGATTCATTTATCCCAATGCAATTTCAGACTGCCCATATTTGATTTAAAGTCTTCTCCACGCTATTTTAGACATTTTCTTGAATTTGAACTCTGCCAAAAGTGTGTCTAAATGATTTTTTCGCAACGTTCTGCTTTGGCATTGCAATTTTACACTTGATTATGAAGTAAAAAGCGAGACCAAACCAATTCCGAACTTTTTTTTGACACCATGACTTATATGGTTGTTTTCATCAACTCTTTATTCATACCAGTACAATTTCATACCTCCTCTTTTCCATTTAGCATCATCTTATCATAATTTTAGTCATTTTTTTGGTAATTTAAACTCTGTCCAAAGTATGTCTAAACGATTTTTTGCCACATACTCCTTTAGTTTTTGCAATTCCAGACTTAATTATGAACTCAGAAGCAAAACCAAAGCAATTTTTTTAACACCATGACCTATAGTCAATGAAAAGCAATACTTTTTCATTACCTTTAGAATTCCCCTTTTCAATTTAGCACCATCTTAGCGCAATTTTAATCATTTTTGGAATTTGGACTTTACCCAAAAAGTGTCTAAACGATTTTCTTGTCCTTTGTATTGCAATTCCAGACTTATTTATGAAATAAAAACCGAGACCATTAAAGAAAAATCGTTTAACGTGTTAAAAAAATTTGTTTTTAATATTAATCCATTTTTCCATATTTTTATAAGGTATACTAACGGTGTCCTTGTCGATCCTATAAACACGGCTGCAATGCAACACGCCTTAGCTACAAACCAGACTCCTTTTGCCCTCCTTCGGCCTTTAAACGGCATCCCCGTCCTAGTTAGAGTACTTGCAGCTGGTGATAAACAGGTTTTAACTCATTAATCATTTATTTCGAAATTAATTTTTAACTCAATTTTTAACCCAATCCTTTTTTATTTAAGATGCTCGTTCCTGCAACTGCTGAAGACCTTAAAAAGCACGGCCAAATCACGATTACGGAGAAGCCTCAAGATGATCCCGATTCAACCGCGGCCGTTATTAAAACGGATACGGAAACTAACCCCGATGGTAGCACGGTCCAAATTAAAATTCCGGTTGTTGCAACTGTAGTTCAACGTTGTGGGAAAGATGGAAATATGTGCATGGATGTTGAGAGTCCTGGGCCGAGTTCTGATACGCTCCAAGATGCTAGTTATTTAGTCAAAGCGAATCAAAATCTAGGCGATCAAGGTTTTATTAAAAAAAAATATGGGGAATTAAGTTTAATTAAAATTTTTTTGTAGGAATTAAACCCAACGAGAACACCATGGCTGTTTTAAATTCCAACGATGTCCAATTTTTCGATTTAACCCCAAAAAACGCAAACAATTTTAATTTTGACTCAACAGTGGCTGATGTTTTTAACCAAAATCATCTTCAATTCACTGGGGAGGTTATCCAATTGGATGAGGCTAACAATGAGTTAAATAACGAAGTTGGTTGTATTTACTCTGAAGAGATGTTTGGAAATAACGTTTTTGAGGTTATCTTTAAATTATTGCAAGAATATTTAAGATCGTTGTAAAAATGTTTTATTGGGGGATCTTTTTGTAGATTTTGGATAAGCCAAGTGTCGTCGAATCAGATAACGCTTTGTATAATGGAAGCTTTTAGGGTTTATTTGTTGATTGGAGTTTAGCAATTAAGGTTAATGTATTTAATTGGATTCGAATAAAAATGTTTTTATTTTTATTTTAAATTTTTATTTTGTTTCCTATGATAGGAACTAAAATTCTCTGTGGATCAGTCTTATAATTAAACAAAAATAATTAAAAAAAAAAATTACCAACTAAAAACAATTAAAATTAAATTACGTTTTTATCATCACCTAAGTACAACATGAGAAAAGAAAGTATAAATTAATTAATTTTAATTAAAATCGGATAAAATGTACAAAGTATTTACAGGACGTCGCGTTTTGTGGAAAATTTTATTTTTTTTTTTTATGTTAATCGGATTCAAAAACAAGGACGGAGTGAAAATTTAATTAATTAATTCCCACCCAACACGACTTAATTAATTAATTTATGTACAAAAATCAATTTAACATTTTTTGAGCAATCAAAAAATCGTTTTTGAGAAAAACACTTGGCTAAATCTAAAAATCACTAGTTAATTAATTAATTATTAAATCATTAATTTAATTATTTACAAATCGCGAGATCAAAATTCATCTCCCTTTTAATTTTATTTTTAATTTTACACTTTTTTAACGAATTAAATATAAATAAGTCAATAATTTCTTTGGTGATTTTTTCTTTTTTATTAAAAACAAACAAAAAAAAATTAATTTCGGAACAATTAAAAAAGAGATTTTATATTTCATTAAAGGAGACAAAAAAAATAATCTTATACGAATCGTCACGATAATATACTATTTACATCGTCCAGGTCTAACGACGATTGTTGCAAGTTCAATATCGAATCGATCGCACTCTGAACCTGTTCATCGATGATATTATCCGTCCCCGAGGGGCCACCCAAACTCGAATTAGTACTCGAAGTGGATCTCGTCGAGCCAGTCGATGATCCATTAAACACTTTCTCACTAAAAACGTTACCACTCTGATTTTGCTGCTGAAACATAACCTGATGATGTTGAAATTGTTGCCGAAAATGTTCCCCCTGATTATTCGGCGAAACACTTCGTTTCTTCTCAACGCGAAATTTTTTCAAACACTCCAATCTCATCGAGTCATTTTCGTGCTTCTCCCGATTCCTTTTTAAGTTATCTTTAGATTCTGATGAGATTTGAGGGGTCGATTGGGGCTGCAACGAGCTCAATTCTTTTTGTATGCAAGCCCATTCGTCGTACTCCTCTTGATTCGAATCTTCTTGACTCGGAGGGGTCACCTCGATCGATGGGGTTAATTGAGATAGAGTCGGGGGGTTTTCTTGGACATCTTGACGCAATTTAATCAACGATTGTTGCTCCTCCATCACAAATAAACGATCTAACATCATTAATTCGGAAGTTGGAACTTCTCTCTATCAAAAAAAAAATTATTTCATATCATTAATTAATTAATTAAATCAATTAAAACTAATACCATGCTTTCTTTAATCCTTAAACATTGATATTTATCAATCATCTTCGAGAATTTATTTAAATAATGTTTAGCGGTTAATTCGAAACACTCATCGGCTGCGTCGAGGTCTTTCGAGCAAATTGGGGGCTGAGAAAAGCAGTGGTAATCCATTAATCGTTTGCAAGCGTCGGTTTTGTTGGAAAATGGGCGCGAAATGTCCGGTTTTTGCACCGAGGTTTGATCCAAACTAAATTGCTTCTCTAACCTAAAAATTAACCCAATTAATTTATTAATTAACCGATTAATTAAAAAAAAAATTACTGCTCGGCAGCTTTTTTCCTCCTCTCTTGATTTAACTCCGCCTCGCTTTTCTCGATTTTAATTTTTGAGATTAATCCTTTCGACGTCGAAGAGCTCGGTTGGATTTGATTTTGTTGGATTTGAATTGATGTAACGTTATTATTATTATTACTCACTGGGTTAATACTTATCTTGCTACTATTATTATTATTTATTATGTTTTGAGGTGTCACAACCTAAAAAGATCACCAAAATTAATTGAAATTAACTAAAATGAATCAAAATCAAACCTGTTGACTAGAAATATTTTCACTATTAACATTATTCCTCCCTTGACACTGATTTTGGCTCAAACTCTCAACTTTTTGCGAGGGTAAAGGTTGCGGGTTAACAATCGTTAACTGATTATTATGGTAATAAACCTTATCCGGTGGTAATAATTTCCCTGTGGCCAAAATTTTTTGTTGCTCCTGAAACAACACGTTAAGCGCGTTGTGCATCTCCGTATCCCCCGGAGTCAATCTTGCGCTTAAAGTTTGAATTTGTAGCTGAATACTTTTTAAATGTTGTTGTTTTTGCGGGGTTAATTGAATCGTATGAACCCGCTGAGGGGGTCTCTGCCGAACGATTTGATTTTGGGGTGGAGGCGGAGGTAAAGGAATCGTGATAGTTTGAGACGTCGCAACTGGAGGAGGGGCTGTGTTATTATTCGTCGATTCTTCGATTATTTGCCCCAAAAGATGATCAACTTCATTGTTATTATTATTTCCCGCGTTATTATCGCTATTTAAGTTAAGATTATTGCTTAAATTTGGATTGGTTTGGATTTTTTGTTGATTCTTTATCGGTTTTTGCGCTTGAACGGAACTATTTTGAATCGGGGCGATGCTTTGGGGTTGCACGACGCTGGGTTGAACTAAAGCGGCGGGTTGTTTTTGGATTATTTGAATTTGTTGTTGTTGTTGCTGCTGTTGGGGTTGCACCTAAAATGTAAAAAAAGGATTGGAATTAAACGCATCGAAAAAAATAACCTAAAACTAAATTAGAATTGAAAACAATAAGTTCTCATCTCGTAAAGATAAAAAAAAATAAATAAGTTGGAGATAAAAATGCTGATTATATCAATTTGAAGGTTAAATTAATTTTTTTTTAGGTTATTTGACGCTTAATTGTCAAAAATGACGTTTATTTATTAACTAATAAGTGTTTCAATATTTTGAAATTAGGAATTTTGTATATTAGATAATTTGATACACAAAAAAAATGTACTAAATGTCAAAATTGACTTTTTTATTAATTATATAATTAACGAAAGTAACTAATATTTAAGAAAAAAGATTTAATTTTTTAATCCTTATAATCACAAACAACAAATTATATTAATTAAATTAATATATAATTAAATGAATTTTCTATTTAAATAGGAACGTACCCTAAATGTTTTTTACGATCTGTCAATGTCAAAACGTCACCTAATTTTAAATCAATTTGTATTGGAAATTCTACATTTTTAAGATTGTTTGAAGTACACCAAAACAATTTCCAACTTTGCATCAATGTGGTTTTCACAATTCTCTTTGTAAGTATAACAGCCATAAAATGATTTTTAAATTTGTATCAATGTGGAGTTTATTAATTGTAATGGCTAGATATGTAAATATTGATAATAATAATAATATAACCCGAGTATTCCGTATTAATGTATTCTTATAAGCAGAGGCAGCTTCGCTGCTGAGGCAGAAGCTTTCTTATTACAAAGTAATAAAAGATTTCTTGATAGTATTAATTTATTATTATATACCGAGGTAGTGGCTCATTTTTATAACGTCAGAAAGCAGAGTTTTTTTTTTAGTGTAAATATACAATGTAATGAGTAAAAGATTCCCTTTAGTGTAAATATATCATTATAGCTGAGGCAGCTTTGTTGCCAAATGTCACAAAACAATAAGAAAGGTTTTTTTCAGTATTAATATATTATTATAAGAATCTAAGGCAGTTGTGCTGCCGAGGCAATGTGTTTAAGGTTATCTTATATGCTAAAGCTATTGCCTCTGCAGCAAAACCGCCTCGATATTATTAATATTACATATACAATGTATATTCATTGATATTTTTCTGTCTCGATTGCTTAGCAACCTCAGCTTAATACAGTTCCATTAAAAAAGTTTCGAAATCTCTTCGTACAATGAAACTATCTTCATTGCCTCAGCAATATGGCTATATCGATCTGTAATGACATATCAATACAAAAAAGAAACCATTACTTATTACTTTATTATACTTTAGGGTATATATACTAAAACTGGTGCCTCTATTAATATATTAACACTACAAAGAATCCTTTACTTATTACTTTATACAGGGTGTATTTGAATGACATGCCCAAACTTCAGGGGGTGATTCTTTAGGCAATTTTAAGGGTACTTTGATATATAAACCATGGGCGACTTGGGCTCCCCTAAGGAGCTACACCCCTCCAAAAATGGCGGAAAATTTTGGTTTAATTTTTTTTTCTCAAAAACCATAAACGCTAGGACAGCGAAATTTGGGGAATATGTTTAACTGGTTTTAGGGCACGTTTTCACAGTATTTGGACTTTGAACCTATCCTTCTAAACTACTAAACGTAACCACCCCCTTTACATTTTTGCTAAAATTTTTTTATGCAAAGGGTAAATACATTAAAAAAAAAATTACATAGGTAGATGAAAGTATCCTAAAACTTTTTTGTCTCTCTAAAATTTTTCCAAAAACGACTAATTTTTGAGAAAAAAAAATAATAAAGCAAAACTGCCCGTTCAACAACGGGGTTGTCGATCAAAAGTTGGAATGAATTTTTAATGAAAAAATCTTAGTAGGCTTTGCAATCTTTGTCAGAACTATTTTTGACGTTTAAATGTCAGTGGTTTTCTTACTATTATTATTGTTTTTCAAATTAATTTATGAATAAAGTTCTACCGCATTTGCGCTCGTTCACTTGACGTTTCAAAATTTTAAATAAAACAATAATAATAGTAAGAAAACCACTGACATTTAAACGTCAAAAATATTTCTGACAGACATTGCTAAGCCTGCTAAGATTTTTTCTTTAAAAATTCATTCCAACTTTCGATTAACAACGCTACAGCTTAACTAGTGTTTGCTTAATTAATTTTTTTCTCAGAAACTATTAACTTTTCGAAGAACATCAGAGAGGCAAGAAAAGTTTTAGAATATTTTCGTCTATCTAAATAAAATATTTCCAATGTATTTATCATCGTCATAAAAAAGATCTAGACAAAAATTGAACGGGGGTGGTTATGTTTAGTAACTTAGAAGGGAAGACCAAAATTTTTTGCCATTTTTGAAGGGGCGTAGCTCCGCAGGGGAGTCGAAATCGCTGATAGTTTATATGAGAAAGTACCCTTAAAATTGCCTAAAGAATTACCCCTGAAGTTTGGGCACGTCATTCAGATACACCATGTATATTAGTACCACTGTCTCAGCCTGTAATAATAAATTAACATTGAGAAAAATGTTTTTTATTACTTTATAACATTGAAACCATTGCCTCTGTAGCATATAGCTGCCTCAGTTGTAATGATACATTAATATTGAAGAAAAACTTATTACTTTGTAATACAAAAAGCTATTGTTTCAGCAGCATAGCTGCCTCAGTTTCTAATAATATGTTAATATTGGGAAGAAACCTTTCTTATTGCTTTATATGACACTTAAACCATTGCCTTGGCAGCTAGGCTGTCTCGGTTGTAATGATATATTAATACTAAAGAAAAAGTTTTACTTAATACTTTATATACTAGCGCTAATGCCTCGGCATATGTTTATACTAAAAAGAAAACTCTACTTTCTGAAGTTATTAACCCTTTCGTTACTAAGAGCGTACGCATACGTTTTTGTATACAGGCTATCCCGTTAAGCGTACGGAGCGGCTGTATCTCAACAACGGTAAGGCCTAGAGGTTTGGGAAAAAATCCTTATAAGCAAAGTGGGCAAGAGAAATAGCTGGAAATTAGTTTGAAGTTCGTAATTCGACCGCTAGGGGGCGTAACTACCATAGAGAAACATAAAATTCCTGCTATCTCAGAAAGTTAGACGATGAGCTATAACGTTGACAACATCATTTAGTAGCTTGGATAATACCGCATCGCTTTTGTTTTGCGATATTTCTCATATCTGTCATAATAAGGGAGGGGGAGGCCAATGCGTTTTCAAATGTTTACATTTTAATATCTCCTGGATCATTCAACCGATTTGAATATTTTTGGTCTTGTTTGAAAGAGCATTTCATGCTCTTTTTAAAGATATTTTCAGTAAGATCGCTTGGTTTAAAACAAATAAGCTAGAGGGCGTTATCTGCAGCGGTTACATATTTTTGTGATTTTTGAAAAAAAGTTAAATGGAAATGGTACTATTTACTTCACAGACCATTAATCACCATAAAATTTGCTAAATATTAGTGAAAACCGCATCTCGATATCTCCATCCATTCTCGAATTATAAAAGAAAATGTTAAAAATTCGTATATCTTAATCGGATCAAGTTATCTTAGGAAACAAATAAGAGAGAACAAAAATTTTATTATCTAGAACCTTCCTTCACACTTTATCCAAACGTAGAACTGCTTCAAAACTACTTTTGAGGCGTGTTGAAAAGCCAACGGATCAATGAAATATCAACAATGATAATAAAACAAAATAAACCAAAACACTTAGAATAACTTAAATTTTTGGCAAAAATAACTCACTAATGAGCGAAATGCCTTCCATAAACCTCGATGCATTTATTTAATCTAGTTTCGAGGAAAAAAAAAGCGCTGCTTAAGTCTCGGCCCTGGACACGTTTTTACTAGTATTTAGTGTTTGTCATATTTTCCCAGGTTATTGGTTTTTCTTGAAAAGTCAGGTCGTTTAGTCTACCCAATAGATAAAGGGGTGCAAGCAATGTGGGTTTTGCTCGAACCAAGAATACATATTATGCAAGTTTACATCAGCTTGTGGACAGGTGCTTCATGCATCCATAGCATTTGTGATAAAAGGTTTGGATTTGCCCAAATCATATTTAAAAGTCAATGGTAATAGTTCAGTCTATTATCATAATCGGTATCTGTTAAGGCATGATGTAAAACAACGTGGTGGAGATATTATTCTCTTGAGAATTCTTGTGGACAATTGTTTTCGGAGTTCCCAGATTATGTGGGATCACATTGCGCACCAATGTGATTTACGAATTCATAGAGATGTCTGAATGGGCTACACGTTGCCAGTTTTCCGTAATCGCTAAGTCAATCTTAAAAACACTTCTAGAGAAAAATGTCATTCTTTGTCGTAATTGCATTGCACATTTTTGCCATGCAGTTGCATCGTATTCGAAACATTGAAAATAAATCATCATACGCTCTATCATACGCTTCTGCGTTAGTAAATGACATGTTTACAGTTACCATGGTAATGTGATTTGTTTTTCTCGATGAGGTAACTGGATCCGATTGATGGCACTCGAGTTTTTAACATTTTCTTCTATAACTCGAGAACGGATGGCGATATCGAGATGCGGTTTTCACTAAAATTTTGCAAATTTTAAGGTGACTAAGGGTCTGTGAAGTAAATAGTATCATTCCATTTAACTTTTCTTCAAAAATCACAAAAATATGTAATTGCTGCAGATAACGTCCTCTAGCTCATTTGTTTTAAAGCAGACGGCCTTACTGAAAATATCTTTAAAAAGAGCATAAAATGCTCTTTCAAACAACACTGAAAACATTCAAATCGGTTGAATGGTTTAGGAGATATTAAAATGTAAACATATGAAAACGCATTGGCCTCCCCCTCCCTTATTATGACAGATATGAGAAATATCGCTAAACAAAAGAGTGATGCGGTATTATCCAAGCTATTAAATGATGTTGTCAAAGTTATAGCTCATCGTCTAAGTTTCTGAGATAGCGGGAACTTTATGTTTCTCAATGGCAGTTACGCCCCCTAGCGGTCGAATTACGAACTTTAAAATAATTTCCAGCTATTTCTCTTGGTCACTTTGCTTATAAGGATTTTTTTTCACAAACCTCTAGGCCTTACCGTTCTAGAGATACAGCCGCTCCGTACGCTTAACGGGACATCCTGTATATGGGCTTGCTAAATGATCTTGAAAATACTCTGTAACGAAAGGGTTAAAATGAGCCACTGCCTCGGCAGCACAGCTGCCTCGGTCTATAATACTAAATTAATACTGACAAAAGAAACCTTTTTTTAGTTTGTAATAAAAAAGCTACTGCCTCGGCAGCTAAGCTGCCTCGGTTATAATAATATATTTATACTAAAAAGTAAACTCTACTTTGTGACGTTATAAAAATGAGCCACTGCCTCGGCAGCGCAGCTGCCTCGGTCTATAATACTAAATTAATACTGACAAAAGAAACCTTTTATTAGTTTGTAATAAAAAAGCTACTGCCTCGGCAGCTAAGCTGCCTCGGTTATAATAATATATTTATACTAAAAAGAAAACTCTACTTTCTAACGTTATAAAAATGAGCCACTGCCTCGGCAGCACAGCTGCCTCGGTCTATAATAATAAATTAATACTGTCAAGAAGCCTTTTATTATTTTGTAATAAAAAAGCTACTGCCTCGGCAGCGAAGCTGCCTTGGTTTAAATAATTCAAATTATTATTAATTAATTTTTAAAAGAAATGGATTAAAATAAAATGTAAAAATCAATATTTACCTGAATCGTATGATTTTGAACGGCAACATTCTTAACAACTGGAGGCGAAGTCTGCACCCCTCCACTCTTAATAAGATCCTTCACCTGATGATTCCCCTTCTCCTTATTAATCTCCGCATTTTGACTCCCCATCAATTTCCCACCACCACCTTTACTCTGCACCTTTTTAATCGGCTTACTTTTCGGCGACAACTTCACCTGCCCTTTAACAACATTATTCCCACCATGCTCGTTACCGCCACCACCACCACCACTAAACTGTTGGTTATCAACGTTCGATTTACTCCCCGTCGAACTCCGTTGCATAAAAATCGTCTGTCCATTCACCGTCACTTGACCGCAACGCTTTAATTGTTCTAGTTGATCTGGGGTTAAATTCACAACGTACGAAGTCGGTTGTTGTTGTTGTTGTTGTTGATGAGATGGTTGGTGGTCGTTGGTTGTGGAGTTATTCGTCGTTGAGTTAATCGGTTGCGGGTGGACCGTTTGTACGGGGGGTTGACTTTTTTGAAACGGTTGGACTTTTAGGATCGGTTGAGTTTGGATTTGTTGCGACGAAACGGTCGGTTGATGAATTGAAGTTTGAATACCTTGCGATTGGACCGAGTTCGATTGGATTTGGTGTTGCGATGATGGTTGGTGTTGAATCGAATGATTATTTTGTGATAAATTTTGACTCAAATTCTGAGATAAATTTTGTGATACATTTTGGTTTAAATTTTGAGACAAATTTTGTTGTAAATTTTGAGGCAAATTCTGCAAATTCAAATTAGCATTTTGATTCAATTGATTCTGCAAAATCGATTGAATCTGAGATTGAATTTGATTCTGAATCGAATGTTGCAACTGATTTTGATGAAAATTTTGCGGCTGCACAATCTGCATGGGCTGATGATGATTAACAGTTTGATGTTGAATCGTTTGTTGGACCGTCTGTTGCACCGTTTGCGGCTGAACAGCTTGAATCTGCGGTTGAATCGTTTGTTGGATCGTCTGCAACGAATGTTGCACACTTTGCGGTTGCACGGTTTGTTGTTGCACCGTTTGAATCGTTTGCGATTGAACCGTTTGTTGTTGAATCGTTTGAACGCTTTGTTGTTGGATCGTTTGAACCGTTTGAGAATGAACTTGCTGATCCAAACTCGGTTGAAGAACTAATTGGTGATTCAACCCAAACAAACTCTGCAACAACAACTGCGATTGCAAATCTTGATTGAGCGTCGGATCGTGTTGAAGAATCAACCTCCCGTCTTCCCCCAAAGCCAATTTAAACCCCCCCGTGCTTCGTTGAAGCATCAACCCGTTGTTAATCGTAAAATTCGGGGCAATAAACGGATTAAAAGGAACGGTTGCGTTTTGATTCGACGTCGGAATCACGTTACTTGGAAAAGTTTGATTTAAAACTTGCACCAAAGGAGTCGTGGGGGGTTGCACGGCGGTTAATTGGATCTTTTTCGAATCGGAGATTAAATTTTGCGGTTGAGGCGTATTCGGCTGAGAATGAATGGAGTTGTGATCGCTACTTTCACTCAACGATGTGTCGCTTTCAAATTGGATGTCATCCTCGTCTCCGATCCCCGACAACTTCATTATATTCGCCAAATCCAATTTTTGCTTCTTCTTTTTGTTGTTGTTATTCGATAAATTCACTTTTTTCTTCGAAACGTGATTTTGCGTGATTTGGTGGCAATTTTGCGATGTTCCGTTGCTTGTGTTTGTGTTGTTATTGCTGACTTGGGTGACGTACGTGGTCGTGGGGGCTCCAATTTGCATCCCGTTCGTGAGGACTCGCACTAATGGTTGAGAACGAGGCGGTTGGATTTGTAGAACTGGTTGGTTTTGGAGGATTAATCCTTGCGGGGTTGCTGCTTGGACGTTGGGAAGTTTCGTTTGGGGGCGAAGAATGAATTGGACCCCCGGAGTCGTTAAAACTGGCATTTGATTTAAAAGAAGCGGTTGAGTTGGAACTATCGTTGTTGGTTGATTCGGAATTACTATTTGGGGACTAAAACAAATTTTTATTTTAATTACTATAATTCAAGAATCATCATGTCGCTTAAAAATTGATAATTTTTTTTTAATTGACCGTAAATCGCTCAAAAGTGTACACGGAAAAGTGTAAACGCTCCTGAATGCTAGATACTGTTGGCAAAACTGCTTAGAAAGAGGAAATATTATTTCAAAAAATTTCCTATTGCTTCTAAAATACTAGATACTGCAGAAAAAGACCACAACTTACTTGGAAAAGACTAAATACTGTTTTCAAAATAATGCCTATTACTTCCAGAACGCTAAAAACTGCTGTTATAGGTTTTGAGATACTTGGACTGGCTGCCAAGACTACTTATTGCTTTCAAAAACTTTAATAATTGTTTGGAAAAGAGATATGCTTTCCAAAAAGCTACCTACTGCTTCTAGAATGTTAGATACTGCTGGAAAAGACTAATAACTGCTTGGAGAAGACTATTAACTACTTTCAAAATGCTAAATATTGTTGGAAAGACTATTTAATGCTTTCAGAAGACTATATACTAGTGCTTGGAGATGAGTAATATCTTTACAGATTTAAAAATTGTAAATTTTATTATTATATTCGTAATCTTTATAAAATAACCTTTAAAATGAGTCCAAACATGACGCACTTATCTCCAAAAACAAAAAAGTTAGAATACAAAGAACATTAAACCTGAAGTTAGCAACAATGAGGTAATACCAACCTTAATTTTTGATTATTTTTATTATATTTTTGTTTTTGCGACAAATTCTAAGAATATGCCAAAATGAAGGATTTTTCACGACGATTACAAATATGTCAAAATTGACGTTGACATTTCTAACCGGAAATTGACCATAACCTCATTAATATTGAAGATAAATATGTCGTGTTTGTACTCGTTTTAAAAGATTTTTAATGAAGATCACAAATATGTCAAAATTGAGGTTGATATTTTAAATCTGACGTTAGATATCATATAACAGACAAATGGACAACTTCATGGATGATGTGTTCAAAATAAAAAAGTATATATACTTTTTATAATATACTTAATAAGAATCAAAAATGCTTTCAATTGATACCAAAAACGATATATTTCGGTTAAAAAATAAAAAGTTAGGTTAAAAACTGTCAAATGTCAAAATTAAAAATAACGATTTTTTGATAAATATTGAAATGATCTTAATAAGAATCAAAAAAGCTTTCATTTGGTACCAAATTTGATGTGTTTACGTTTAAAATAAAAAAGTTAGGTTATAATCTGTCAAATGTCAAATAATCGCCATTTTTTTCGCAAAAATTAAGATATCTCGATAACGGTTGGAGATAAATGGGTCGAGTTTGAGCTCATTTTATAAGATTTTTAATTTTCTATCCATTTATGTTAAAAAAAACACGTCTATAACTAAAAATTTAGACCTAGAACTAGAAAGTATCAGACTAGATACAAAAATATCAGACACTACTGATACAAGACTAGATATTGTTTCTAGAAAACTAGATATATCATTGGAAGTCTAAATATTGTTGACAGACAGCTAGCAACTACTTCTAAAATACTAGATAATGGAGGTAAAAGTCTAGATACTGTTGTAAAAAGAACATAAATGCTTCCAGGATACTAAATATACTACCGCTGGAAGATTAATAAGGTATTGTTTCCAAAAAAATACTGTATCTTGTTGTAAAACACTGATTAGATTATATACTGCTTTCCTAAGCCTAGATATTACTAACAGAAAACTAAATACTGTTGCAAAAGACCAGTTACTGCTGACAAAACTAGATGCTGCTTCTAGAATAGTTGATAGTACCGATGGAAGACTAGATACTACTTTCAGAAGACTAAATATTGTTGCGGGAAGACTTGTTATTGCTAACAGAAGACTAAATCTGTTACAGAACATCAGACACACTTGATATTGTTTCTAGAAAACTAGATATCATCACCAGAAGCCTAGACTTGGAGGCAAAAGAATAGAAACTGCTTCCAGAAGACTAGATACTATTGCTATATTACAACAGTCTGGCGCTGAACAATAAATAAAACTGGAACTAACACTAGTACTATCACTAGAACTAACACAAGACCTAGAATCATTCAGGTTGAACCACTAGAATCAGGTGTTTCTAGCTCTAGGTTTAATTCTAATTTATTCATCCCTAAATATACATTGTAATCTCACCTAGTTTAGTGAAAATAACTTTACTTTTAAGTTTATCTACACTTCTATTATGTTCTACACTTTTCCACACATTCTTTTCATTTTTAATGTGTTATTTGGGTCATTTCACATTGATTAAGAAAAAAATCGTCGATTTTTAAGCCACATGATGATTCTTGAACTGAAATTCCTTTAATTAAGTTAATAAATCAAAGTTTAGTACTAACCTGACGCTCGGTTTTGGTGAAGGTTGCGGGCTGGCACTTGGTTTCGGTAAAATATTTAAATGCGGCTTTAATTTGATGACGTTTTGTTGTTGCCCGGTGATCGGTCGGGCCAATAATTGATTATGATTATTCAAATTGTGAATAATTTGCATCACCGGAAAGCTCGCAGGTTGCGGAGTCGGTGGTTTCCCCCCTAGCGAAGGTGAGGGGGATTTTAACCCCGCCGGAGAGCTGTAAGGGGACGCCGGATAGCTCGGGTTCGAATAAGCCGGAGACATCGCCATCATTTGATTTTGGATTTGCTGCGGCTTCTTGACCAGGTGGAGGTTGTTCGAGCCGACGGTGGTACAATTGGTACTCAAAGACTCGTACTCGATCAATTTTTGCGGGGCTTTCGGCGACTTGCACATCTTCACCTTCGGAATACCACTCATCGTGTTTGTGGGCGCGAAAATCGTTTTTATTTAGTCCAAACGCGCACTACACATCCCTCGTTAAAGGAAAGGAGTTAACCGAACTCGAAAAGGGCCATTTTTGGGGCGCTTCGAAAGAACGAGCCAAAACTCATTGTAACCCAACCGTAAATGAAAAACTCATTTTCTCACATTATATTTTCGACGATTTCCATTTAAAATCCGCTAAAAAAACATAATAAACATTATTTAAAAACGAACATAACCTCAAATTGGGAGGAGAAGTTTCGGTTGAAATTCCGCGGTTATTTCACTTTTCCCGCGGCGAATTCACCGCCGAGTTCACCATCGAGCGATTTTTAACCGATTCGGCCCCAATTAAAACGTTTAATTGATTGTTTACATTTAAAATTTTCGCAAATTTGCCAATAAAACAATAAAGCACTAAATGCTCAATATTAGGCAGCCATCTTTTTTTCTCGCTAACCCTAAATGTCAAATAATGGACTCAACCGATAAATAAATTTATTAATTTTAATCCGAAAAATTAAAATTAATTCGTTAAAGTAAATTAAATCCGCGCAAAACTTCGTAATTAATCGTTAATAAATCAAAAAATAAATAAATCATAATAAATTAAAGCAATAAACATAAAATGGGTTATATCGAAAATCGGGAGGAACCCCCCACCACCAAAAATCTAACCTTAACTGATTTAATTCATTAAATAATTAAATTAGAATCGTTTTCATAAATTAATTTTTAATAAAGTTAAATAAAAACGAAAATATAAATAATAAATAGAATAAAATAATTTATCCCCCCCCAAACATCCAGCTTAAAATATAACCTAATGGAAGGAAAGGAGTAGGTGTCGGTGGTGGGGGAAATAACCAGAGAGAATTTAGCCAAAACCGTCAAGAAAACGCTCGTACAAAGTCGAAAACGTCCAAAAACACTCAAAAAAGCATCAAAATCGGCTAAAAAATACTTAAATTTTTCGTAACGATAAAAATCGAATCGATAAAAAAGTGTGGTTATGTTCAATTCGGAAAAAAGGTTTCCCTATGACGGCGGGTACGTTCGTTAAAAATCGTTTAAAATAATTTTTTTTGTTTTGGAAAAGGGGCCCCGTGGCGTGCGCTCGCCATGAAAGCAACCGGCATGTTTTTCATGTAAAATGGATAAAATTCTACGTACCTACGGTGTTTTTCACATCACGGCGGCCGTTTAGGGGTTCGCAAACGTCGTAACACGGTTTCCGGGCACGCGATTGGTGCGCGGTTTAGCGTCATCGTTTGTTACGAGTAAAAAAAAATGTTGTCGTTTTTGAGGTTACGTGCGGGGCGCGCGCGATTTTCGACCCTATTCGGGGGCGATTTAGGCCCAATTTCGCATAGGAAACGGAATAATGTTTGTTAATACGCGGACGGGATAGCGTTTTGTTATATTGAAATTTAAGACGGCGGCGATGGTGGTTTGTAGAAAGGGTTTTCTTTCTTTTTTTAATGTTTTTTTTCGGTTTGAATGAGTGCGTTTTAAGAGAAGGCGTTGAAGTCCCCGCCCCGTTTTCCGTGGCGAGCCTCGTTGTCCGCGTCCGTGGAGGCGTTCGTTCAGATTATGGAACTCCCAATCAGAAACGAGCGCTTCAAATAACTTCTTAAGTACTGCGTTAATTTTATTTCTCGATTATTGATTTCAATTAATTCATTTCAATTAAACGTATTTAATTACATCAATAATCATTCTTTTAATGAATTAATTTCCTTGGGGATTATAACCTAAAAAAATAAAATTTGACGTTTATATATCGGTAAAACAGATTACTAAAAAATTTAATTTCAAATCTCGCTCGTAGATGGCGCAATTTATTGTTTTATCTTCAAGGTTTAAAATAAAACATTTTAGGAACAGTACCATATAATTAATAATAATTAATTAACACATTTTTGGATGTAATACCTTTTTGTTATTAATCCTCCGGAAAATAAAACAAGTTTTAATAACCAACAATTAATAAAAGAAAGGGGTACCAACTTAATTTAATTTTTGTTGGATTAGGTGTTGGAGGAGGTAAACGAACGTTTCCCGCCAAAATAATTATACCTCCTGATACTTTAAGAAATAACTCCTCGATATTATGCGATCCTGATACAATTTGTAATTTTTACTCATCGAAAATGTAATTCACGATTTTTGTATTAGGAGCACATAAAATCCAGGAGGTAAATTAAAATATTAGAAGTAATTTGACAGAAAATACAAAAAATGAAATATGTATTATTTTCTTTTCAGCCAAATAGTTTTAATGAATAATAATTTGAGTAAATTTAAATGTAAAATTAACTGTTTATTAGGTGGGAAGAAATAAAAATCCCTTTTTTGTGTAACAATTTTATTAGCAATTGTACAGATTTCTATTTTACCAACATATTTTACAGTTTCCTGTAATTGATAGTAATAATAATAATTAGCGAATCGACTCTCAATATTCAGCTTTTAATGAATTTGCTGCTATAATATGAATAATTCGTAAATTTAAAGTTATTTCAGAAGAAAATCAAAAATTCNTATCAGACTAGATACAAAAATATCATTGTTTCTAGAAAACTAGATATCATTGGAAGTCTAAATATTTAGTATTAATTTTATTTATTACTAGATACTGTTGTAAAGAGAACATAAATGCTTCCAGGATACTAAATATTCTCGTTATATTATTATACATTACTAATGAAAGACAAAAAATGCTTATAAATAACTAGATACTTCTAAAGACTATTAATTGCTTGGAGAAAGCTAGATACTGCTGCCAAAGCACTACTAGTAATATCTTTCTCTGTCCCTTCCATTACAGATTTAAAAATTGTAAATGTTATTATTATATTCGTAATCTTTATAAAATAACCTTTAAAATGAGTCCAAACATGACGCACTTATCTCCAAAAACAAAAAAGTTAGAATACAAAGAACATTAAACCTGAAGTTAGCAACAATGAGATAATACCAACCTTAATTTTTGATTATTTTTATTATATTTTTGTTTTTGCGACAAATTCTAAGAATATGCCAAAATGAAGGATTTTTCACGACGATTACAAATATGTCAAAATTGACGTTGACATTTCTAACCGGAAANAATGTCATTTTGCTTTTTATACTTCGATTTAGATAAGAATTAAAAGAAAATAAATATTTTCTTAATTCTTGGACTTTACAACCGTCTTGGTTCATTAATCTCCAAGATATTTATGTTCAAACTCTTGAAATACGAATTAATTCGATGCATTTGAAGTGTTTTTTAAATAAGTATTTTTTTGAAAGGAAAAGGATATAGAATTGAATCGTTAGGTTTATAATGAAATGAGAATTTCTTTTACGAGCAATAGCAAGAACGATTACGTATATTGGTCTTTTTCTTTCAGTATTGTTTTTTTTTGAGTCATGTCTCAAAGACAAAGCAATAATAATACAAATATAATATTTAAGTAAAAAAATTAATCCTAACTAAGTACGAAAAAATAAATTAATTCAATCTTAACTAATTAAATAATACGTTTCGTAGTTATTAAAATAAATTAATTTGAGAAATTAATGAGTCTCGTTTACTTAACATTACTTCCTTTTTAACTTATTTAATTAATATTTAGATTTCGAATAGTTATACGACTAGACGTTTGGCGATTTGTGCCCACTTTTTTGGACGTAATACCTTTTTGTTTGTGTTTAATTTGGTGGAAATTATTTATCGGCCTACAAAAAGAAATTAATTAATTTTTTTTTAGGTTAAGATTAATCATTTTCGAGTACTCACCAACATTGGATATAAAAACGTCTGTATACTATCTTCCCCGTGATCATTTTTCGCCACGCAAGTGTAAGGCCCCATATCGTTCCAACGTAAACCGTTTATTCTTAATCCTCCGGAAGGTAAAATAGTGAATCGATGATCCGCACCTGGTTCGATGTATTGGTTGTTAGGACCTAACCAAATACTATCAGGAGATGGGTTTCCGACGGATTTGCATGGAAATTCGGCGGTGTTTCCTAAAAATTAATTCAAATAATTTAAAATTAAATTAATTCGTTTTGACGTTTTAATTTTTTGGGTTATGTCAAGTTGGGCTTTTCATTAAGAGATGGCGCTTCTTAATAAAATTAATTTTAATTTATTAATAAAAAAACTTACCGATATTGTTCATATAAATAGTGTCGTAAAAGACGATTCTAGCCCCATCTAATTCATCTTTTCGCGGTTCTGCTTTTAATTGTCTTATTTCGTTGGCGATGAACTCGCTGAGTCCCTTTCCAACAACAATAACTTTCGTGGAAGCTTTGGCCATTTTATTCCCGCTTTGGGCTCGGCAGAAGAAAATTTCGGTTTGCGCAGCGACGATTCTCAATTTCGCCTTGGCGTTAGCAAGCCCTTTCAATGGGTAACTACTAATTACGTTTGAGAAGCGCTCATTCTGTCGACGAAAAAGTTGTTTTAATCGAATTAATTTAATTGTTTTGATGAACTTACATCGGTGACTTTGATGGTGTCTTTGTACCATTGGATAATGGGTGCTGGGTACCCTCCGTGGGCTTCGCATTCCAATTCGACGATTTCCCCGAAATTTACAGTGACCTCTTTGGGGGGGAATTTAGTTATTCTGACCCAACTGTCAACTCGGGGTGCTTCAAACGATTCCGACGATGAAGACGACGCGTCCACTTCGTTGTCGTGCACACTTCGGATGTTTAATCGGCGTGTGAGGGCCGCCGAAAGGCAGCAGAGGACGATAAAGAGGGATCGGAACATCTATAGTTTATTGGGATGAGAAAAGATTGTTATAAAAATTCTATCTGTACACTTGAATGAATGAAAAACGTATGAATGAAAGGCATCAACACAAAGACGTTGATTTCTTGCCGTAGAATAACGCAATCTTATCTTAACTCGCGTGATACCCGATGATTTATTACCGTACGATAATGTAAATAAAAACGATTTGTTCTGTTCTCATCTCGTGGTTGAGAAAAAAATAACAATAACAATTATTGTGTGGTTAATTTTTTAATTTTTTGAATTAATTAAAAAAAAGGGGTTTCCCCTTGAATTGTAAAAACGATGAATCTAAATTTACTTTAAACTTAAAAACTTTTACGAGCACCGTAAACCCGAGAAACGTCCTTAAATTAAATTGTTTAAGGTTGTTGTAAATTTAGAAATTAATAACTCACCGCTTTGAAATAAAATTTCCTTTTGATTAAGAAATGAAGTGGTGATAAGTTAGTTTCTTGGTGGTTGTCTCAAACTCGACTGATGTATCCTGTGAGACACCCTCAGGCTTTTATATCCGTCCGGTTCTGTGCCCAGAATCACGTAGGATCATCGGAGGAGAAGGAGGAGTCGCCGCCGTTTTCCGCGACGTCTAAAAGGATGAAAAGAGAAGGAAAATGACGACGCCGTCGTCGCCGGTGGCGGTAATTCGAGGGTAGCCGCTGATGGCCACTTGTTGGAGCCGGACGTAAACACGTTGATCTTCCCGATATAATAGAAACTGATGATGATGAAAATGCCATCAATTTGGTGTCGAATTCGCCCTTTATTATTAATATTATTATTTCGTTAGGGGCGATTTTCCACTCAATTTTCTTTCCTTTTTTCCCGAATAAGAGTTACAAAAGAAATTTTATCTTCTATTTGAATTCATTCGAATTTATTTGAGTACACCTTGCGAGGCGACGTTGTTAACTCGCCACGTGGTCGAGGCTGATGTAACATTTCAGGTATGTGTGTGAGAAAAGCGTAACGCCTCTGGCTTGAAACTTGAAGTTTGGTTATGATAAATGCGATAGTTTTCCAAGAAATTTCGGCCGGAAATTTACCTGGAAAAAAGTTCTTATGTTGATTTATAATATAACGTAACAAATTTTGATTATTTATGTCAAAAAAATAAAAAAGAAAGTTTATTTTAAATAAAATTGATAAAAAAAGTCCAACTTCCGGTTACAAAACAAACGAAGAAATTTAATTAATTAAGAATCAAAATCTAAATTAAAAATGCTTTAAAATGAGCCCAAACTCGATGGGGTTATCTTAAAAAATAACCAACTTCCGGTTTAAACTCAACCTAAAAAATGACATTTAAATTTCATTCAATTGTTTTTAAAGATAACCAAGTCGATTTTAAAGGATTTTTAATTTTCTGTCCATTTTTTTTTAAAAAAGAACACTTTTTATTTATTTAATTTTGACATTTGACAGTTTATAACCTAACTTTAACCCAAATGTATCGTGTTTGATATCAAATTAAGCAATTTTGACGAGTTTTGCGGTGAATGTTGTTATAGATTATTTATGTAAAAAAAAAATAAAAAAAAAATTTTTTTTTGTTTAATAATTGATAAAAAAAGATCCAACTTCCGGTTTAGAAATTTAATTGATTAAGAATCAAAATCTAAATTAAAAATGCTTTAAAATGAGCCCAAACTCGATGGGGTTATCTTCAAAATTGAGCAACTTCCGGTTTGGATACATAACCTAAAAATGACATTTAAAACATCCGTAACGCGGTTGTTTTTTAAGATAATTAAGTCGTGTTTGGAGTCGTTTCAAATGATTTTTTATTTGCTATAAGATTCTGTATCCAAAAAAAAGAAAAAAAAAAATTCGAAAAAGTTGGGTTGGGAAAAAAATTAATCGAAATGATTTAATTCTTGATTTATTAGAATCTAGATTAAAAATGCTTTAAAATGAGTCCAAACTCGATGGGGTTATCTCCAAAAATCACCAACTTCCGCTTTTTGATACATAACCTAAAAATGAATTGTATCTCCGTTGTTTTTAAAGATAACCTAGTCGTGTTTGAACTCGTTTCTAACGATTCCTTTATTTCTTACAAGATTTTGTAACTAGAAGGAGAAAAAAATATTTTGTGTAAAAATTTTTGAATTTTCTGGAAATGATCCAAAATAATTTTAATACATTCTCTTTGTCTTGTCGAGTATTCTAAAGATGTTTTTAATCGATTTGAACCATTTCGACAAACAACAATCAACTTTTTCTATTTTTTGACATCTTTGAAACACGTACTGTTCAGAGCGAAATGAAAATTCAAGTCATTTTGAAAAATGTTATTAATAAAAGTTGTTTGTAATTCAATTTTAAACGAATTTTGTTTATAAAAAATTTCGATTCGGTCAATAATTATTAAGATAACCTCAAAAATATCGATTTTTATCTTTGTAGAGCGCCCCCTGGTGGTTTTATCGAAAATTTTAATTAAAATAATGGATTTTAAATCTTATTTTAAACAAATATTATTCGAAACATTTTTCGATAAAATCAATAATAACTATGAAATGTCTTAAATTGTATTTGACATTAAAAGTAGCGTACTGTTCAGTGGGAAATTAAAATTACGTCATTTTGAAAAATGTCATTAATAAAAGTTGTTTGTGATTTAATTCTAAACTAATTTTGTTTATAAAAAATTTCGATTCGATCAATAATTATTGAGATAACCTCAAATATGTCAATTTGTGTATCAGTGTAGAGCGCCACTTGGTTGATTTATAACTTTTTTTATTAAAATTAAAATCTAAATTAAAAATGCTTTAAAATGAGCCCAAACTCGATGGGGTTATCTTAAAAAATAAGCAACTTCCGGTTTAAACTTAACCTAAAAAATGACATTTAAATTGATTATATCTCAATTGTTTTTAAAGATAACTAAGTCGAGTTTGGACTCATTTTAAAGGATTTTTTATCACCTACAAGATTTTGCAAGCGAAAAAGTCAAAATAAACCAAAAATTTTTGACAACTCAAACAAAAATCATTTTTTAAGGTTATATTTCGAATTAAGTGGTTTTAAAGAAAATTTCTTATCTATAACCATATGAAAAATGGCCTTTGACATCTTAATTTAAATCCTTAATCATCGATATAACGATTTCACGGAAACGAAAAGCTAAATTATCTGTTTGATGGAAAAAAACGTTTTATTTTGAAATCAAAGAAAAAATTCCATCCATTTAAGCGTTTATAACCCGAAAAAAAAAAAAAAAATTTAAAATTTTAAATAGATTAGTAATAAATGCAAATAGTAATCAAAGAATAAAATCTATTTGAATAAAACAACAAAAAGTGTTGAGATATCATTGTTTCTTCTCGGATTTACGTCAATAATTAAACAATTTAAGCGCGTCTTGCGTCAGAGATGTGACACATTATGAAATTAACGAAAATAAAAATGTATACTTTCGTTGTGAAATCCCCAAAATGCAGTTGAAGCCATTCTAATTTCCCCATTAGTCGAGACATACAATTAGTTCTAAGAAAAAAATAATTTCTTAATTTACGTTGTTAAAAAGAAAATTTTAATTAAAGCAATTCCTTTTCCGATCCTTTCCGAATAATTAAGTTTATATAAATAAGATTAATGCGTTAAAATTTTTTTGAACTCGCCTCATTTCGCCGCAAAATCATTAATTTTATACACATCATAAACCCTCTCATATTCTAAGTACACTTTTCTTTCGACAAAACTTAAATCGGATCGTATATAATCGTAAATTGGGAAATAAATCGCAATTTACCGACCGGAAAGAAAGACAACCAACGGCTCGTTTCTCCCCCGGTTTTAATTGCTCCGTTTCATGATTATTTTAATCGTTCATTACGCCCTCTATTGGGGAACGTGACAAAGGACTTGTACTCGAAATCCTGAGTCGGTTACTATTTCACTTATGCAGAATTAGGTCAGTTACGTGACCAACATTAATTGTTGTTCTCGCTTTTATTTACTTCCGATTTAATATTCATAAGTTTTGGGTCAACCCAAATTGGGGTCACGAACACAGTCAAATCAATATAACCTTAAACAAAATCTTAATTAGTTAATTATCAAATTAATTTAAACTTACCAATTAAGATAAATTAAAGAAGACATAACCTCACTTTTTCAAAATTTGGGAAAAATTAATTTTAATTCATTAAATCCCGAGATATTTATAAAAACGTGTTTAGAACGAATTAATTAGTTAAGAAAATCCATAAAATCAATTAAAAAGGATTTTTTTTTATAACCTCACTTTTTTATGTAAACAATAACATAACCTCACTTTTGTTTTTAATCTAAAAATAAAATTTTAATCAATTATTTCACCGGTAATTAATAAATCCGCGTTTAGAACGATTTGATTAATTTGAAAGATCAATAAGATTCGTTTTAATTCGCGAATTAATCAATTAAAAACGAGTTTCTTTATAAACCATAAAACGTAAACAAAACGTTATTAACATAACCTCACTTTTTTATGTTTCGATTGACTCGATTTATATTGACAGAATCGATTAATTAATAATAAATTATTATTAGTAATTAATATCATTAATAATTAGTGCTTTAATTAAATTATTATTAATTAATCATATTAATTCAATTAAAGAAAAAAATAAAAATAAATTTCGATTGATCGATTTATTATAATTGATGGGAATGAAGTTAGGTTCAAATTAATAATTAAATACAATAATTTTATGAAAATTAAAGTTTATTCTTTACATTTAATCTTAAAAATTAGAAAAAACTTAACTTTAAAAAGCACTACTTTGCCTCTTTTTAGCTTTCGATTTATGAAGTTCTTTTGTCTCAATTTTCAAACTCATCCTTTTATTTCTCTTAAAATCATCATTAACTTTATCTCCATTAATCTTTTCATCGTCCCCATTAATTAATTTTAATCTTTTGTTATTATTATCCTCACCAACTAAATCTTCCAATTTCCTCTTCATACTTAACCTAATTTTGATGTCATCAACTCTCTTAAGTAAATTTTTCTTCGATTTCTTAACACTATCATTAACAATCTCCACGTTTACTTCATTTTCATCAATATCCTCACTTTTTTCTTCTAGATTAACTCTTTGAAGCTTCAAAATTAAATTTTTCGTTTTTGAGGTTAGTTTCACCCTCTCTTTGTATTTGTCGCCCAAATCGGTCAATTTTTTACAAGAAATCGTGGTGATTGAGCTCGTTTTAATACTAATTAATAAATCTAATAAGTTGCTTACGAATTTTTCTTGTAACGGTGAATTATTATTAACAGAGAATTCAAAAATTTCTTCTGTAGTCACAATAAAGTTATTCAAAGATTTTTTAAAGGTTCCCCCTGGGTTGTTCGAGGTTAACAATCGGTGATTCTTAAAGAATTCTTTCACTAAATTAACAGCTTGGATTTTTTTGTAGATTTTTAAGTCCTCCAAGTAAATAAATCCGAGTACTTTCTCCACTAAATCGTATAAATTAGGCAAATACATGCGAAAAATCGATTTGATTAAGTCACAACTCACGATTGATTCGCGATTCAAAAAATAGGAATCAATCAGGATTCCGAGCACCTCTGTAACCGTTTTTAGAACGAATTTTTTCATTTCTTCATCAACCCCCGGGGAATTAATCAAAAATTGGGACGATCTTACAAAGAATAAGCAGCAATTTGAGATTGATTCTCTCAAAGCGTGAATTACATAGACGTTTTTTCCCCCTTTTTCGATGATATCCAAAAACATCAAAAAGAATTCTTTTAATTTCTCCTCATCGATCCCCTCAATGTTCTCGAATTTCCTCAAAATCATCAATTTTTTAATCGCCTTTCTAACCCTATCCAATAATTGAGTTTGAAACGGATCTTTAATCGCTGATTCTTCCAATCGGAGCAAAATGGGGACTATCTCAAGACAAATCAACAACGAAGGCTCATTCTCCAAGTATAAATCGACCAAATCTAAGGCGCGAATACGAAAATTCATCTTTAATTTATCTTTATGTGATTGTTTGGAATTATTTTTCTTTTGTAGGTTATGTTTGAACGCTACTGATAAAGCCTCATCGAGTTTTTGACCTTCCGATTCGCTCATTTCGTCTAAATCGATTTCTTCATCACCGAAATTCCCCAAGACTACTTGCAAAGCATCTTTTAATTTATCGTTTTTATCCAAATCTTCATTTTCAGATTCCGATGATGAGTCATCATCTTCTGATGAATCTTCTAAATCATCATTTAAATCGTTTGATTCATCTTCTGAATCGTTTTCGGAATCATCATCATTTTTTCGTTTCAAAATGTTTTTATTATCAGGATTTAAAACGAAAAGAACTTGCAAAAAAGCGCCATCTGTTAGATATTTGGTGAAGTACGGGAAAACCATTTTAATCAAATTTCGGAATAATAACGAGTTATACGATAATAAACACAAAAATAAATCGATTAAAACCTCGGTGAAATGAAGCTCGTCTTTTTGTTGGTTATTTTTTCGGTTAAAACAATTTTCCAACTCGATTAAACTTTCCTCGGTTAATTTGTAATCTTGAAACGAATGGAATCCCAAAAATAAAAACATCGTTTGATAAATGTGGTTTAATCGGGTCGATGAGTCGTCTTTGTTGTTATTTTTGAGTTGCTTTTCGACCATTTCGAACATCTCAAAAGATTTTTTCCAACACCTGTCAATGTCATCTTGGCTCTTAACCTCACTTTTTTTGAAATGTTCGTTTAATTTCCTCGCTAATTTCCACAACATATTTTTAACGCCCTCAAAAGAGTTTTGTTTTAGCGTTAAACACTTAAAAAAGCTTTGTTTGATCGAGTTCATTAATTCAACTCCGATTTGGTTATTTCCGGTTCTTACAAAGGATAACTCCAACAAAAACGACATTTGATTCAGTTTCCAATCAAAATCGTCTTTGATTCGATCGTGATTTAAGAGTTTCACTAAAAGTTGTGATGCATAAACTTTATCGTTGTTTAAAAAACGACTTTTTGAATAATTCAAGTCATCATGTGATGATAAAATAATCTTTTTGTATAAATTCGCCACCATATCGACTTCCTTTTGGTTTAAATTGTTGATTATTTGTTGGATCGTTTTTGTTCTTGTTATTTTCTCGAATATAAAAGTCCCGGGGTCGAATAAAAGCTTTTTGATCACGTCGATTTTAATTTGTGAGGTTATGTTGTCGCTATTTAAAACCTCCACGATTTTATTGAGTAATTCATAAATTTTTTGTTGTAATTGCTCGGGTTTTTTGCTACTCCTAACGGTTTTAAAATATTGAAGAGTTTGTTGGATATAATTTTTCGTAATTAACCTTGGTAATAAACTTAAATCATCTAAATTCGATATAACTGAGGTTAGGATCAACGTAAAAACCATATGGCGATTGTAATTGTATTTAAACAACAATTTATCGGCCTCCAACACGAAATCGACGGCGAATTTTCTTTGCGAAAGTGTTTTCGATAAGAGATCATAAACCGGGTGATTCGCCGTCTCTAATCTCGGCATGTTCTAAAATAATTTCAATTAAAATAAGCTTAAATCGATAAAGAATCAACTTGCGATTAAAACGTTGGTTAACTCCTTCAAGTATTTAACCGAAACTATCTCCTCCGTCCCCAAAACTGATTTAATAAACTTTTTATTCACCACCTTGGGAAAACGATCGTTTAAAACGAATAATAAATATAAAGTGTCAACTGATTGCTCCAGCCAATTTTTAGCTAACTCAGGAGACAAAATCGGAAAGATTTTTGACCTAAAATAATCCTCATCAACCTAAAAACCAACTCTAAATCTAAATCGTCTCAAATCATTTTAAATACCCACATTATTACAAAGTTGATTAATAAACGTAGCGGCTAAAAGAAAAAGATAACTCCGTTTCTTTCCGGCTGAAACCAAATTTTGAAGGATAACTTTTTTCTCCTCATTACTACCTTTATCGAATAACCCAGTTCGGATTATGGCCCCATACAACAAAATTTGCCCCGCTGAAATATCCGCGTTTTCCTAATCAAATAATTATTTTTATTAAAAAAAAATTCAATTAACATAACCTTACACTTTTTGAATTCCCCGCGCTCGTTGACAGCTCTTTATTGCCAACCTCCAAAACATCGCAAATTTTAATTTCATCAAAACAATTAATTAATCCGACCAAAACGGTGTAATAACCCTGTTTAGTCGAGTTCGATGAAGCCCCAAGTCCACGAATTAACCTAGTTAAAGCGTATTTTAATTCATTCTTGCCCTAAAAATTATTAATCAAACAGTGACATAACCTCAAAATAAACTTACGGTTTCCGAGTTATTTTCCAATAAATGCCCTATTAATTTCGCACCGTTTTTAACAATAACCTTTTCGTTATCAATTCCGATCTTTCTAAACCACTCCAAGACATTATCCCGGATTTTTTCCGTTTTAATCTCGCTTGATTCTTCATCAGTCATTTTATAACGATTATTTATAACAAATTCACTTTCAATTCTTCAAAAATCAATTAATTAAGCGAGTTAAACACGGTGTTGCTAAGGTTAACACGTGCTTATTAAAAACACGCGGTTCACAAACCGCTTTTAGTTATGATTGTCAAATAGGGAATTAATTTTTTTTCAGGTTGGTATACAAACTTATAGGTTATACAAAAAAATATGTTGTAATTACTTTATATTTTACTTATAATTAATCAAAGAATCCTAATCCTAATTTTTTTGTTTAATTTGATTAAATTTTATAGTAATTAAAAATTAATAATTATTTGGGTAAAAATTAGAGTGCGGCATAGGCATGTAAAACCCTCCGGTGGGATAAGGCACGGAATTAGGGTTTAAATTTTGTGGGATTCCGGGGAAATAATTCGTGTTGATTGCCATTGGAGGGGTGTTAGCGTAATTGGACCCCCCCAACGGATCCCTCGAAATAATTTTAATCATCTTCTCCGCCTTTAATTGCCGAAGATGTAACAATTTCCGTTTTGTTAAAAACTGATCTAAAAACTGCTCCAAATCTATATCACCATTTAAAAACGATTGGGTCGTATTCTCGGAGTCCTCCTCCAATTCACTTGCAGCTGTTTGTAACAACGCTAATGCCGTTTCAAGGGAGACATCACCCGATTGTTGCCCTTAACATTTGATTCATTAATTTCATATCATTATATTTTTTTAATACATACTCATTTGATTATATTTCTCTTTAACGCGATTCGATAACTCTTCACCATCTGCGGATAATTTCTCGACATATTGCCTCCCTTCGACTAATTGGGGCTCTTTAGCTAAATTCCCTTCCGCTAAAACCCTATTTTGTTCGATAATCGTCTCCTTTTCCAAAGAGATATCTTTTAAATACGTCTAAAGTAAAAAATAAACGTTATTGTTGTTAAAGTGAGTCATAATCTAACCTGATCTAAGCTGTGCAATAACGCCTCCGTTTTCGAGTTATCGTTCAATATCTGATCCAATTCGTCATTATTTAAATATTTTAGGTTCGAAATAATCTTTTTACAGTCGGTTTGTAGCGCAACAAAGGCCATTTTTCCAAAAAAAAGTTATTAAAAATTTGTGTTTTTGACGTTTGTGACAGCACGATGAAAACAAGTAGGGGTACCAACCTCAAAAAATCAATTAAATTTGTTTAAAATCGATTAGTTTAACATTTAATTCTTAAATTGTTTAGGTTCGGCAACTAATTTTTAGATTAATTTGGGTTAAATTTAAGTTAATTCTGAAAAAATGCATTATAAATAAAAAGAAATGTAAATATATAATAAATATCTTACAATTAAGATCATTGAAGTGTTTTTATAATAAATAATTAGAGATAAAGACTATATAAACATAACCTCACTTTTTTGACAGCAACTTTTAAGTGAAGTAATAAAAATTAAGTTATGGATGTGAATGTGGATGAGAATGTAAAAAAATTTTAAATAAATAATAAAAATAGTACTTACTTTTACGTAATGATTTTTTCACCAAGATGATCCACGTTTTGATGACACCTACATTTAAAATAATAAATAATTATTAAATCATAATAAATCAAGGAAAACTTACGTTAATTGTACCGAAAATTTAAAAATATTCTTCTGCCAAACGAAAACTTCATTTAGCGCCCTCTACCATCATCTTAATAACTACAATCACAGGACAGCGCCATCTCTATACGAAACGATAAAATTAAAACAAATTATTTAAACAATTAGTAAATAAAATAAATTAAACGTAAAGGATATAACAAGGTTAAAAATGATCAAAAAGGAGGATTAAATTGTGAAAAAATGGAGGTTTCGATTTTATAAAAAACTGTTGGTATTAATTTTTCGTTTTATTTATACATTCAAGTTTGTTATACATAATAATATTTATTGTGGCTTGACATCTAATGAAAGAAACCGTTAAATTTCCCGTTCGACCTCCAAAATCGAACGATTAGTTAATAATTAGTATTTTTTTCATTTATTATAGGTTATGTTGTGGATTGTAATCATATTTTATCCATTTTTTTTTAGGGAGAAAGAGCGCAGATAAAAACGTTTTAAAGTCATATTAAAACAAACGAAATAAATGCATCGAAAGCTTTTTGAGAAAGCCCCTAAGAAAAATTAAGTGGGAAAATCTAAAGGGTCGTTAAAGCAGTCGTTATTTTTTTTTCACATCTTTTTAGGTTACAAAGGTTACAAATATATAGTATATAATACACGTTTATTGTTTAAAATTGTTATGTAATTAAGAGTTAGAGTTACGCGCGATTTTTTTTGTCATGTGGAATGTTTTTCTTTTTATTTTTTTTAATTTATAAATTAATTTTGCTACTTATAACTTTAATAGCAAATTTTAAATCAAATTAAATCCTCTTTTTATTTAATCGAATAATTATTTATAATTTAGTAATTTTTCGTAATTTAGTAATTTTGTTTTTAAAACGTTTTAGCTCTTGCGTGTCGAAAAATAGTGTTTTTTGTGTTTTAATTCGACGATAAGAGATGTCGCCACCAATTCATCTTGATGACAGATCTCCGCGTCAATTTGACGTTTTAATCTTAAAAGTGCGTTATCGTTATTTTTCTATCAACTAAAAAAACACTTAATTTTTTAGTATTAAAGATTTTTTTGTATCTTTTTCATGTTTTTCTCGATAATCACAGCAAACTAATTTCATTTTTCTCTAAGGTAGGCTGTAGTAAAAGTCTCCTATTTATTATTGTTTATACATTAAAAATTTCCCCCTTTTCTTATCGCTAGATGATAATACCCTACTTGGAGTATAAACAACAACAAATACTTCCCGAAATAGATAAATTTAAGTCATAATAATAATAATAATTAATATTGCGGTATTGATATTAACTTTTTTGTTCTTACGATTAAGTATTTTAACGGGTAAAGCCTTTTTCTTGTTTCATCTCACAACTTAAGTACCCCAATGGTTTAATTTAAGATCAATAACTTGCGTAATACTAATTGGGAAATTAATTAAAAAAAATTATATACAACATTATTTTAGGGTTATGGATTAATCGAGGAAAAACATTGCTCCGCTCTTAGTTTTCACCAAAAAAAGAACAAAAACATTAATTATTTTGGAATGTTCACAAAAGAAACTATCCTTTCTCGTTTTTCGTCTTATTTTTTCCTCCTCTCATAAAAAACAAACCAAAAAATAAAAATACTGCTTAAAATAAAGAGTAAGTACATAAAAAAACCTTGTCGATATCGTTACGTCTAAAAAATAACCCAACAATCAAAGATTTAACCGTTATTTAAATAGGCAAGCTGCTCATTTTGTTTAATTTCTTTTTAAAAACGTTTAAGTTGCGTTTTATTTACATAAAAAAAGATAATTTCATAAATTCAGTTTGATTCTTGTTAATTAGCTCGCGATTTCTTTGTAAAGATTGGTATTAAAGATTATTATGATTTATTAATCAAAGTAATCGTTAATACCAAGATGCTCATAAAGTGTAGGTGCCCGAAAAAGGTAAAAGCTGCCCCGGAACAAAAAAATATAAAAAACCAACTCCCTTAATTCCTAACTAACAAGTACACAGTCAATGTACACAGATTATTTCAATTACTTAATAATTATGCATCTAAAAAACGCGGTGGGCCTCCGTAATCAACACATATTTAATCGTAAATAATTTTTTGTAATCTTTAAGGTAAATATACTTTTTCACGTTTACAATTACCTTTATATAATATATATATTATTTATATGTTTATGTATATGGACGATTACGCTTAATCAATTAATTATTATTGATAAAGTTACTCTTTCTCTTCGCTACTAATTTTTTTTTAACTTTTTTCTTCCAAGTCACAACCCGACATTATTGTTGCCTTCACTACTACAATTTTTGTCTTAATTAAAACAAAATTAATTTTTCTCCATCATCGTAACCCCCCCAAAAAATTTTCATTAATTTATATTTACAGTGATTGTAAAAGAAATGTTTCAAATTAAATGGCACCTACTTTAATTTTTTTAATATTTAAACTTTTTTTAACTTTAAAATTGAATTAAAATTGTAAAAAAAACTTTTTACCCCACCCAAATTTCTTTCGGATACTTTTTAACCTTAAAGTGTCGCGAAAATGTTTGCGTTTACATGGTTGAGTGATCCCACTCGAGTTGCGACACGTTTTGATACTCATGATTGCGAACCCGACCGGCGCCAACCCCGCTGCCAACTCCGCCGCCCCTCGGAGTGTCATCATCATCGTCTGAGGAATCGTGTAATCTACACGGACCATCCACGATTTCATCTTCAGATGATGAATCCGAGTCGGATTCGCTTTCAGAAAAATCACCGGATTGATTACCTTCAAGTCGTCTTTCGGCATTCTAAAAAATAAAATTAAATGATTAAAAAGATTTGAATTAATTAATAAATTAGTAATTACCTCCATGGGATTTACAGTGATTGTTAAAGCCGAGTCATCCCAAGTCATCTCTGAATCCTGCGCCTCCTCCGCGTTATTCCTTTGGTGAGCAGCTCGAATTCTAATCACTCCTAACACGATCATAAACAGCAAAAATCCTACACAAACGACCACGATTATGGTTACAGCGTGAGATCCTCCGGTTGCCAACGCGTTGAGGTGTTCACTAGGAACATGATCGATTTGAACGGGTGCTGCGGGTTCGACTACGTGTTTATTAACTTGTGCGTGAGCGACAATTGGTTCCTTAGGTTGTGGATGGATTACAGTCAACTAAAAAACAAAAAAAATTTATTAATTTTGAAATTTTAATTCTATAGGTTGATAATTAATTCATTTTAGAATGTTTCTTAATCATTATATATCCAATATATATATCCAAATTGATGCGAAAACTCAAATTAACGATTTAAGTGATTTTAACGCTTTAGGTTGGTAATAAACAATGATGGAATGAAACTGTACATTTATTAAGTATTTTTAGTCAATTTAGAATGTTTTTTAATCATTAAATTTTACCCCATCGTTTATAATTAAAGAGATAAAAGCAATTTTGATGTCAAAAACATCAAATTTAAGGTTTTTGGTTTTATCACGTTGGTAATAATCAACGTGGAATCAAAATAACGAATAATTATGTTTTTTAGGTTAATTTAGAAACTTTTTCATCAACAACACTTTCCCCCATCACTCTTTATTTCGCAGATATAACCCAAATTGATGCGAAAACTCAAATTAACGATTTTAACGCTTTAGGTTGGTAATAAATAATGATGGGATGAAACTGTACATTTATTAAGTATTTTTAGTCAATTTAGAATGTTTTTTAATCATTAAATTTTACCCCATCGTTAATAATTAAAGCGATAAAAGCAATTTTGATGTCAAATTGAAGATTTTTGTTTTATCACGTTGGTAATAATGAACGTGGAATCAAAATAACGAATAATTATGTTTTTTAGGTTAATTTAGAAACTTTTTCATCAATAACACTTTCCCTTACCACTCTTTGTTTCAGAGATATAACCTAAATTGATGCAAAAACTCAAATTACCGATTTTAGTGATTTTAACGCTTTAGGTTGGTAATAAATAATGATGGGAGGAAACTGTTTATTTATTAAGTATTTTTACTCAATTTAGATTGTTTTTTAATCATAAAATTTTCCCCCATGGTTTATAATTAAAGAGATAACAGCAATTTTGATATCAAAAACATCAAATTTAAGACTTTATCTTTTATTAAGATGGTAATAATGAACGTGGAATCAAAATAACGAATAATTGTGTTTTTTAGGTTAATTTAGAAACTTTTTCATCAACAACACTTTCCCCCACCACTCTTTGTTTCAGAGATATAACCTAAATTGATGCAAAAACTCAAATTACCGATTTTAGTGATTTTAACGCTTTAGGTTGGTAATAAATAATGATGGGAGGAAACTGTTTATTTATTAAGTATTTTTACTCAATTTAGATTGTTTTTTAATCATAAAATTTCCCCCATGGTTTATAATTAAAGAGATAACAGCAATTTTGATGTCAAAAACAACAAATTTAAGATTTTCTCTTCTACTAAGATGGTAATAATGAACGTGGAATCAAAATGACGAATAATTATGTTTTTTAGGTTAATTTAGAAACTTTTTCATCAACAACACTTTTCTCCATCAGTCTTTGTTTCGGAGATATAAACTAAATTGATGCAAAAACTCAAATTAACGATATTAGTGATTTTAACGCTTTTGGTTGGTAATAAATAATGATGGGATGAAACTGTTTATTTATTAAGTATTTTTACTCAATTTAGATTGTTTTTTAATCATAAAATTTTCCCCCATGGTTTATAATTAAAGAGATAACAGCAATTTTGATATCAAAAACGTCAAATTTAAGACGTTTCATTTTATTAAGTTGGTAATAAAACCCGGTGGGTTAATACAACTCCTAATTATGTTTCTTAGGATAATTTAGAATCTTTTTTAACAACAACACTTTTCCCCATCACTCTTAATTTAGAAGAGATAACCCAATTTGATGTATAAAACGTCTAAATTTGAATTAAATTTTTTTAGGTTGGTAATAATTATTAATGAAATAAAATTATTACATCCCGTATTAAACATTTCATCCCATCACTTTTACGTTTCGAGTTATGATTAAATTACTTACCGTTTGAACATATTCATTCGAAGTAAACCTCCCGTTAAGTTCCGAACAAGACAATTTGAAAACCCTGTTCAAATAATAAGCGGGTTTGTGATTTGTATAAACGACTTGTCTCAAAACTTGTTGGTAATTATAAAACATATCGGACCCAGTTACGGTGACGCCATCTTTCGAGAATTTCGCCAACATTCCCAACCTCTTCAACATTTCATCGGGAATTGATAAAAATTCATGATCCGGATTCAAATTCGGATAAATCGAGAGTACACATTTATCCAATTTTTGTTCGCCGGAAATTCGAACGTCCGCCAAAACGCGAACTCCCATTCGGAAATCTTCGTATTTCCTGGCGAGGTTTCCGGTTCCGTTGAGCGTGATTGACGGCGTTTGAGGGCGAAGGACCATAATATACGCGGTGGCGTCGGGGATTTTAATCGATTGGCCGTTATCGCAGGAAACTGTAGTTGTTAAGCGTAAATTTCTTCTTCCGGGCGTTGGAAATTCGCGGGAATTAGCATAACCAATTTGGCGCACCAAAATCTCTAAATTTGTGCGGTTATCGCCTTCTACAGTTACTTCGGTTAGGTCTGAGTTGGTTAGGAGTTCCATTCCGGGTTGGAGAAGCTCCATCGAAGGTACCTTTAAGGTTATGTTTTTAATTAAATGATTTGAATTAAATTAAATAAAAGAAATTACCTGTAAACTCTCCTTGCATTGATGTAAACAGCTCAAAACCTGTGGTTTTTCATTTTCCCCCACCAAAACACTCAACCCGGCTAAATACCCTTTAAGATGATGTTTCATTTTGTTATCTGAACCTTGCCAACACGCCCCCACGGTTAATGTGGTGTTAATTCCTTTAGTTGGGTGTAACGGCCAATCATCAATCACCTCAGGATTTTTCTTTTCACTCCGGAAAACTTGCCCATCAACGAACAACTCAACTTGAGGGAATCTAACGTTTACCGCGTAATGATGCCAATTATCGTCGCAAACTTGAGGTAGCTTCCAGCGCCACTCAGCGGGACGGAAAATGTTTAAATCGCCCTCAGAGAAATCGCGTCTCAACAACAAAATTAGTCTGCAGTTTCGCACGAAGAGAGCGTAGTGATGGCGATTCATTTTGTGGTCATCAGCCGAACATAAAATGTGTTCCTTCACGTGCTTATCTTGATTCGGGTGGTATGAGTGGCGCATCCACGTCGCGATTGTGAAGGTCGAGGGAACGTTGTGGTCTAAGACTGTAGTTGGGATTGTTACGGCCGTGCTTGATCCGTCAAATTCAAACATTTGGTCCGATTCGTGCCCCTCATCGGATATCAACGGTTTGGTCCATTCTGCCCCTAAACCCGGGGATGGGAGTAAATCGATTGCGGATGGGGAGGCACCGCATAATTTACGTTGCGATTCAACGGTGTAGGTGTCTCTATCGCAACCTTTTCCAATGTGACGAGTTGCTAAATCAACTCGCGTTCTTAATTCGCGCACGTTGCAATGCGCCTCGCATAATTCTAAGCTCGCCGATGGGAAGAGTTCTTGTTTTCCGGTCATTGGGGCGTAATCCACTCTTTCTGGAAGCGAGCGCCAACCTACTCTACATACTCGGTTCACTTTGATTGTTACCATCACTGGTAAGCTTTGTCTCATTCCTAAAATTGAATTGAATTATAATAAATAAAATGTAATGAGACGTTTTTGTTACCGCAATCGTAGGCTACCACTGATAAAATGTGGTTGTGGGATCTCTCATAGTCTAAGGGTTCCGTGTTTCGGATTACTCCATCCATATCGATGACGAAGGGTTGATCGGAAGTTAAAATTTCGTATTTACAAACGTCTCCAAATTTCGGGGTGCAATCGCGGTCGGTGGCCTCGACGCGAACGATCTCCCTATAAATGCGGCCTTCATCCACTGAGCGCACATAGCTTGGTTCAGAGAATGTTGGAGCATACTCATTGACATCAGAAACTGTTATATGAACAGTAACACTAAAAAAATAAAAAAGAATTGTGTTAAAAAGATTGTTTTAAGTTTAATGAAACGAAAATAAACCTAAAAATAAAAAAAAATTTAAAGTTAAATTTAAATTTCCTCAAATCCGGCTTAACTTAACTTAACATAACATAACAGGAGCGGAAACTCGAGACTTTGGGGCGTTTTAAAAATAATCTATTAATAACGACGTCGTGTTAAAGAACTCGACTCAAAATTAACCCACTCAATTTCGGTTTAATTTAAATTTTCTTTTTTAAATTTTTTTTTAAACGTCAATTTAAAAAAACAGAAAGTGAGGTTAAATTTTGTTTAAACGTGAAATTAGATACAATAAAAAGTGAGGTTAAATTTTTTTCAAACGTCAATTTAAATAAAATAAAAAGTGAGGTTAAATTTTTTTTTTAAACGTCAAACTTGAAATCGAAGTATTACGAAAAATTTGTTTAATAAAAAAGTGTAAACTCAACGAGATTTTTAAACAAATAAATCATAAATTACGTCATCAATTTCAAAAGAAAAAGATCAATACGCGTCACAAAATTTCGTTCGAATCCCTCAACAAACAAATCGATTAGGATTATTCACATTAATCGATCTAAATTGATACAAATCGATAAAGAAACTGTATATAACCACTCTATACATATATATATATTCTTTTTTGTTGTATCTTTTTTAATTTTCTTTTCAGGTTCGAATGAAGACGTGACCTCGAAACCAAAGTGGGTCAACCAGCTTTAAAATTGGCCCGTTAGTCAGCCGTGGATCGTTTCGAAAGTTTTTCTCCCCAGAATCACATCGAAAAATAGGTTGTTTTTGCGATTTCGATAAAAAAAGAATTTCTTAACCAAAAAAAAAAGGATTCATTGTAAAGAGGCGGAAATTAACGCCGCTCTGGACATCGGAAGCTCGATCGAAAGCGGCGGAAATTAAAGTCTAATCGACGAAACGACGGAGATTAGGTCAAAATTTGAACGCGAAACTAAACCAATCTGAAAAATGAATTGATTATTTTTTAATTTGTTGTTACCTGGGACTTTGTTTTTCGTTGCAACCAACGGCGGCGATGTCGAACTTGTAATTCCGTCGCTTTTCGCAGTTTAAAACGCGCTTGGCGCGGAGTTCCGCGAAACCGTTCTCTTTGGAAACGATTTCGAAGGGGGCTTCGCCGTGGTGCTTATTAACGATTCGAAAACTGCAAACGGGGACCCCGATCACCTTTATTGCCGGCGTCACCTCGACCAACGTCTCGTTTTCCTTGACCAAACCGTGGTAACCATCTTCGGTGTTAATATCCAATTTTGGTACTAAAAAAAAATTAAAAAAAAATCATATTTCGATACATTTAAACCATATTGAGTGATTCAAAATCATTTAGACAACTTTAAATTATTTCTGACGGACTTAAAATTAACTTGGACGATTTAAAATTAAGTTTAGACAAATTTAAATCATTTTTGGCAGATTGAACGTTCTTGAAGCAACTATAAACACATTTTGGTCGATTTCTGCAACTCTAAATGGATTATAAATCATTTTAAATTAAACTCAACCCAACATTAATCTTTTAATCGATTAATTGGATCATTTTGAAAGTGTCAAAATCATTTGGACAACTTGAAATCAATTCCTACACACTTCAAATTAACTTGGAAGGTGTAAAATTAAATTTAGACAACTCCTAATCGATTTTGGCAGATTTAAAATGGTGTTTCAAATGATTTTGAAGCAATCTTTAATGGACCAGAAACGATTTTAATTAAATCAAGATTATTTTTGTATGTCTAAATTGATTTTGAGCCACTTTGCTTTAACCCCAACCCAACCTTAATCTATAATCGATTAATTGGTTCATTTTGGAAGGTTCAAAATCATTCTAATTACTTCTGACAAGGTTAAAATTATCTTGGGAGATGTAAAATTAAGTTTAGACACCTCCTAAATGATTTTGGCAGATATAAAATGGTGTTTCAAATGATCTTGAAGTAACTTTAGATGGTCCCAAAACGATTTTAATTAATTCATGACGATTTTTGTAGGTCTAAATTGATTTTGACCCATTTTGCTTTAACCCTAACACAACTTTAATCATTTATTCGATTAATCTGATCATTTTGAAGGTGTTAAAATCGTTTAGACAACTTTTAATCGTTTCTGACAGGTTCAAAATTAATTAAGGCGATGTAAAATTAAGTTTAGACAACTCCTAGTCGATTTTGGCAGATTTAACATGATGTTTCAACGATATAAAAGCAATTTTGAAACGTCCAAAACGATTTTAATTAATTCAAGACAATTTTTGCGGGTCTAAATTGATTTTGAAACATTTTACTTTAAAATTAACGCAATTTAAATTTTTTAATTGATTAATGGGATCATTTTGACAGTGTCAAAATCATTCAGACAACTTTTAATCGTTTCTGACAGGTTCAAAATTAATTTGGATGGCGTAAAATTAAATTTAGACAACACCTAACCGATTTTGGCACATTTGAAACGATCTTGAAGCAACTTTAAAAACGATTTCAACTAAATCTTTTTGTATTTATGATTATGATTACGCAACGCTTTAGTTTTCACCGTTTATGTTAAATCATTTTGCTCGTGATATCGATTAGACTCCAAAGAATCACCCTGTATATCACCCATTTTGACATTAAATTTGACGTTTGAAACGTCAAAACATAACGATTATTTCAATCGTTTTAAAACGATTTTTTGCATAATAATCGAATTCTTTTTAATGCTACAAATATAAATTACGTTTTCGTCTAAAAATTTCAACAACGTTGCCGATTTTATCCAAGTGAAAGACTAAACCTATTGCGAAGTCTTTCGGGTATTAACACGGGCAGCAAAAAAAAAATAACGTGGTGTTAAATAACGAGTTGGGCGTATTTCGATAAAAATCGATGAATTCGGTTTTAAAATGAGCCGCGCGGAAATTTCGAAAAATAACCAATAACCTCAAAAATCAATAACCACCTTTAAAATCAACCCAACAATGAACCGGTACCAAACAAAATACGATCGACCATTCCGCCATTTTCTTTACGCTTTTACACCTGTACCATTTATAGGTGTAAAAAATCGCATTAAAATAAAAAAACGCGAACCCCCGATTTCTTTATCTCGAAATATTAACGAAGAACCGTTTTTATATTCGTGTGGGCGTTTTATTATTACAAAATTTGACTCACCATCGAAATCGTCCACGGTCGACCCATTGCCGAGCGAAAGAACGCACAGAATCGCCAAAAGAAGCATGTTCGGTCGCGTTTGAGCGCGCCACGCACTAATTACAATGTCCTTTTAAACTTTTCTTCGGCGTTTTCACGTCATTAAACAACCCGAATTCACTTTTGTCGCAAAACTAAACCAGCAGCAGCAACTACTGAACACGATAAAACGATTTTACGCTATGGTTCGATAATCAACCGCGGTGGTGGCGCTGTACGCCCAAAAAAAATTTCGTGGTGGGGGTTAGACCGGGAAATTCAAATAAAGCGTATTAATAAAATCAATTTTATTTTAATATAAGCATAAAAATTAAATTAACTTATTCAATACTATTTAATAACCCATTTTTGTCTTTTTTGTATCGAAAAAGTTTCCCTTTATTAATTAAAGCCCAATTTTTTAGCTCAGTTTGATTCAAAACATCCTCCGAACTCACAACAATCGATTTTATCTCTTCTTTATTATGTTCATTATAACCAAGATTCTTATTTATTAAAAATCGAGGTTTATTTGATGCCGTTACATCATCGTGATTTAAATCGATGTAATCTTCTGAGTCATAGAATAATTTCACCCCTCTTTTTAATCGCTTCTTTTTCTTTGTTTTTCTTTCACCCTCAATTAATTTATCAATAAGTAATTCATTTAAGTGCTTATCGAGGATTTTTCCCAGAGATTTTGCCACATAACCTTGAAATTCGGGGGTTACATCGAAAAGTCCAACTTCTTCCACTTTCCCTGGTCTTAACGATGGAATTTTCTTAATTTCATCTGTTTTTACTCGTTTTTCTTCGCTTTTGTACAAAGAATCATTTAAAAAATTTTCATCACAAGCTTCTCGCAGTAAATTGAGGTTAGGTTCATCATCCGAACTATCAGAAGACATTCCTTTCGTTATTATTAATCGATATTTACCTTGTGTTCAATTCAACATCCTTTTTTTATTAATAAACATTATTTTTGTTATTATTTATTAAGGAATTATCCTAAAATAATTATTTCCAAACTTATTAATTAATGGATCATTTTGGTCAATAGATGGCGCTAAAACCGCCGATAAAGTAGGGAACAATTTTAATTGACACTCTAGTGTCACTCAAATAAATGATTATTAGTTGAACCGTGTCACATTAAAGTCGTTTTCTCAATTTCCGGTCGGATTTAAGCAAAATTTTCGTTAAAAATGTACTCGAGGGCTTTAAGACCGTGCTTAATTACGTTCCAAGTTCACGGGAGACACTTCTCGTCAACGAAACAGGTTCGTTTTATCAAAAAAATAACGCAAAAATGTAATTATTTATTACATTTTTAAATAAACATTCCGTTTTTTTCCTTCCATTGAGTTCCCCTCGTGATAACAATCCTTTTTTATCCTCGGTGACCGAGTCGGGGTCACCAGCGTTAGGTAATTAATATGTTATTTTCGGATATCGGACTAAAAATAGAGGACTGGCGCCTTCGGAAAATAACTTTAAATTTAGATGTTTTCTAAAAAGCGAGAGAGAAAATTTCGTTGAATAAATTGAGTTACTCAAGGTTGGTTATCTAAATTTTTTTAAATTAATTTGAAATCTAAGCTTATTTAATTATTTTATCTAAAGCGATTTTCTTATCTATTTCGAAACAATACCTTTTTAAATCACGATTTTTTTCCGATAATCTTATCAAACATAACCTCACTTTAATATGAAATTGACGTATTTGAAATGTCACTTTTGACACATAACCTAATTTTTTTTAAATTAAATTGTTTTAGAATAATCGTCGTGTCACCGTAATTGGGGCGGCTGGAGGAATCGGACAACCGCTTTCTTTGCTTTTAAAGCAAAGCGATGCAATTACCAATTTGAATCTTTATGACATTGTAAAGCACACCCCCGGAGTTGCTTGTGACATATCCCACATGAATTTTCCCGCAAAAGTTACTGGATTTACCGGCCCCGATCAACTAAAAGACGCGCTCCGCGATGCGGAAGTCGTTATAATCCCAGCCGGGGTCCCTCGTAAACCTGGAATGACGCGAGATGATCTTTTCAACACCAACGCTTCCGTTGTTCGGGACGTCGCTTTAGCAGCGGCTGAAGTTTGCCCGAAAGCTTTAGTTGGGATAATTACAAATCCGGTTAATTCCTGCGTTCCAATTTATTGTGAGGTTATGAAAAAGGCGGGAAAATTAGATCCGAATAGGATTTTCGGGATTTCGACGTTGGATTTGGTGAGAGCGAGCGCTTTTATTGGGCAAGCGAAAGGTTTGAACCCAAAAACTGTTAATTGCCCAGTCGTTGGGGGCCACTCCGGGGTTACGATCGTCCCATTAATTTCCCAGTGCCAACCAGCTGTGAGTTTTCCCCAGCCAGAATTAGAAAAATTAACGAAAAGAATTCAAGAAGCCGGAACGGAGGTGGTTCAAGCTAAAGCCGGGGCTGGTTCGGCGACTCTCTCCATGGCTTTCGCCGGCGCAAGATTTGCATTTGCTTTAATTAGGGCGTTAAACGGGGAGTCGAACGTAATCGAGTGTGCTTATGTAATGTCCGATGTCCAAGGAACGAAATATTTCGCCTCGCCCCTTTTAATTGGAAGGAACGGCATCGAAAAGAACTTGGGTTTGGGGAAATTATCCGATTACGAGCAACAACTGGTTAAAGCCGCTATCCCCGAATTAAAAGCAAACGTTGCAACTGGTGAAAAATTTGTTAAATAAATATATAAAATTAAAAAAATAAAATAAAATTGTATAAAAAAAAGGAAAAATTAAATACGCACACTTTTTTAGGTCTAATTTATTCATTTTTCTTTCTTCATCTACTTTTCTTCAAAAATACAAACCTAACTAATCAACTGTAAACGTTCGTTTTTAACACGGCCCTCTCCAAAATCATCGCGAAAGTCTTTTGGGTTAATTCGCACAATTTTTGGCTCTCCTCAGTGACGATTTCGTCACTTTTCCCCATATGATTATCAAATTGCGAACAAAGCGAAGCCTGCGACTTTGAAACTCGCCCCAATTGAAGCAAAAGTTGAGTTACGTCCTCAACTAACGGTGGGAAGGCTTCGCTTATGCGCACTAAAGCAGGAAGAATCGGGGTGAAGAGTTTAATCCTTTGATTACTTGAGATACCTAAAAAAATTATCATTTAAATTTATTTATATTTTAATAAAAAAAAATAAAATCTTACTTCCGAGTAATGCATAGAGTAAATTTAAAGCCGTAACGCATAAATTCATGCTTTTTGGGAGCGAATATTGAAGGGATAAGTACGAAAGGAGTTGAATCGCAAAAATTTGTTTGTTTAGGCTCGGTTGTTGCATCAATTCAAGGAGGAAATCTAAGCAAATATGCATCGAGGGGACCCCTTTCACCGTCACCTCTAATAATTGACTCGGATAACCCTAAAAAATATTTCATTAAAAAACGAAGTGTCAAAAATTTGAGGTTAACTAACCTGGAAATGAACCAATTTCGCCAAAGTCGGGTCCGCGATAAAAACTTGGTGTAAATAACTACAAACTAACGATCTCACTTCACGCAAAGCGAGTTGTTTTTCGGGTTTTAAACGATCCTTTTCCGTTTCTAAACATGTTTCGAGCAACATTTGTACCGAAGCGCTATCCTAAAAAAAAACATAACCTAAAAATTTGTTTACTAAATTAATTCATCTACCACTTAATAGATGGCGCTTAATTTTATTGACAATTAATATTTCAAATTAAAAATCTAACCTGCGCTGCAATTAAAGCCCTACACATTTCCTCACGTTCCGAATCATTAATAACTTGTCCCGCGATATCAATTTTTGGGTTAGCTTGTAAATGTTGACACAATTGGCTCCGAGACGAAGCCAAAGAAGCCCTTAAAACCCTCAAAACGATCGAATAAATCGGCGCGGAACGAAAAACGCGTTCATCGCACCTCATAATTTGTAGTGGATCCTCCGCGACGTCAATTCGCGTTAATCCGGTGAAATTCCCCACTAAATTTTTTACGGTTAACACCCATAATCGGCGTGGAAGGACCGAGTTTAATTTGAACCAAACGTCTTTGTATAAATCTTGTAGGAATCGGGGAATATTTTCTGGTAACATCGACGTGGCGTGTTGGGTGAAGACTTCGGCGAAAAACCAAATGTCGATTGATTCCATTTTTAGGAGGGTTTGTAAGATGGTTGAGAGTCGATTCGGGTTGGTTTGGATTAAATTGAATGCCTCAATTAAAGCGAACTCGGAGAGATGGGGTTGTTTTTTAATAAAACTTTTTTTTGAAATGTCGTCCAACCAATCTTCGACCAAAGTTAAATGCGGAAAATGAGTCGTTAATAACTTTAATAACGGCCCAAATAGCGTTGAGTACGACCACTGATCCTTTTGGGCGTGATACAATAAGAATTTAATCGGTAGTTCGCTTAAAAATTCTGGGGAATAAGTTTTAATTTTCCTCCCAGAAACTGCCAAATTTTGGGCGTTATTTAACCGGTAATCTTCGTACAACAATAAATAATAAAGTAATAATAATTGTGGGGTTAAGCTGATTTCGGTGACAACTAAATCGTGATTATTTTCGAGGTTATCATAATCCATAAAGATTTTTTTTTCCCTGCTGCGGAAATATTCCCCAAAAACGCTCGATTCAAATACTTTTCTTATTTCATTCTCCGTTAACGGCTTATTTGTGCTTCCCGATGATGATGTTAAGACACTTGAGACATAAACTTCCACCAACATGGGTAAAACCGGGTGCAAAGGGTTCGTTGATACACAAATTTGCTTGTAAATCCACCCTTTTATGTTTACGTTGTGCTTAGCGAAAGCCCGACTCTTTAATAATTGGTGAATGCAATGTATCGGCAAAAACCCAGACATATTCGCGTTCAAATTAAAAGTAACCGGCACTTTAACCGCGTGGGCCGTCACAACTTGCTCCGTAAAAATCTCCTGGGTAAAAACTTGCTTCATTTTATTCATGTTATTGTGCCGAATCGGGATTTTCATCCCCAAAGTTGAGCAAACCAGGTCGCAAATCGCGCTGAGTTGGTTACTGTGGAAGTGGATCGCCATCAAAAGGAGCATTTCCCCAAAAGAGGCCGATACCCCACTTGCAGATTCGAAATAAGCCTCCTCTTTCACTAACCATTGCACCTAAAACGAAATTAATTAATAAATCATCAATTTAAAAACAATTAAGTACCCATTCGATGCTTTTTCGTTCTAACTCCGGCAAAGAAATCAACGAGGGGCACGCAATTAACATACAAAGCCCGATTGAGACAAATCGCACCCCCGCCGGAGTCGGATTTGGGTGAGATATTAATAATTGGACGATTAAATTCACCTCTTCATCTTGAAATCTTAAAAAAAATGAATTAATTATTTAACCTCAAAATTTATGAAGTGTCAATTTAAAATTGACATTTTACACTAGCGCCATCTGTTAGACGACGTAAATAAAAATTAATTATTAAAAATAATTAATTACATTAAATGAATAAAACTTAATTAATAATATTAATTAGATTGAATTCACCTCTTCATATTGAAATCTTAAAAAAATAAAAAAAAATTAATTAATTAACCTCAAAATTTACAAAGTGTCAATTTAAAATTGACATTTCACATTAACGCCATCTTTTGGACGACGTAAATAAAAATTAATTATTGATAATAATTAATTAAATTAATTGAATAAAACTTAATTAATGATATTAATTAGATGGAAAAGAACTAACTTAATTCCCGCAATTCCTCTCAAAGCGCAATAAAGCCTCAATAAAGCGGAAGCTTGGACCACCAATGAATTGGGAAGTTGCCCATTATGCGATGAATTAATAATGCTTTGTAATCGCTTCAATAATTCATCCCTTAATTGTTGTAAAGCAGTGCTGGATAACTCCCCTTTGCGTTTTTGCCCGGTTCGTATAAACATCGCCAACCAATTCCGAATTCCTTGATCATTTCCAAGCAAAACCCCCGAAATAAACGCAACCATGTCACTATCACCATCATTACTATTACTATCCAAGGACAAAGAGATGGCCAACGCAGGTAATCGGTTAAACTCGACGCATTTACTCCTAACGGCTAAAGCTTGACTCGGATTCATTTTACATAACATTTGTAAAGCTGTCGTTCGTATGGTGCAAGCTTGGCAATCTTCTTGTTTATCGGCTTTTTGAATTAAATTCGTTGTAACTAAAAATTAAAAAATTAATAAATTAAGTAGTATATTAATTGAAATTAAAAAAATAACCCTCTCGAAAAGAATCAGGAAAATTCGCCACAATCCTACAAATAATCGATGGTCCATTATTAACATGCAACATTGTTTCGGTCATTTGAACCAAATTTAATAAAGTAGGGAGCTCCGCCAACGCCAAGCAAATAATATCAGCGACTTCCTCCACGTAAATCTCCGTATCGAAAAGCTCCGATGATTTCACATAAAATTCCTCGTTAACGTGACCCCCTTCACTGTGACTCTCCAATATTTGCGATTGCACAAACAAAACTTCGCTTAAAGCGAATCGTAATCTTCTTGTCATATCAGATCTTTCATACTCCAAGGCAAGCCCGTTTGGGAGACTCCCAATTAACACCGAATCCGCTAAATTCGACCCAATTTTTTGCCTCAATTGTTGTTCTTTACGTACATCCGCCTCTAATGTGTGAAAATCCAACGAAAGTAGCGCAACGAGCGAATTCACCACGTCAATTCCAGAGACGATCGTTAAAATATCCATTTTTTCGTCGGAACATTTCTTTGATATATCTAAAGGGCAAATCAAACTCATCCGGACTAAACAAGGCAAAATTGGGCGTAATTCCGCCTCGGAACATCTTGATAAAGCTTTGATGTTTAAGTTTTGGATGTAATTAAAAACTCGGGGTGAAACGTCCTTTTTAAACGGCATTATCACATCCTTTTTAATTAAAATTGATCGAAATTAATTTTTTAACCTAAAAATTAAAACAACATAACCTCAGTTTTTAAAAAATCATAAAATTAAGGGTTTTGATGTAATTGGGGGGTTATTTACTTACGTGATTGTGCAATGGGGGGCTATTTTTGCTTGGAAATGGGTAAAAGTTGAATTAAATTGGAATTATTTGTAAGAAGTATTTTTTGTGGTTAAAATTGAAAACAATAAAGCGCCATCTTGACGGTTAAGAATTAAAATTGATTGTTGATTTAAATTAGTTTATGTAAGATTGTTTAAAAATTTTAATTTTGATTAAATTAATCTATTTTATATTATTAATTATTAATAAAATGAATGTTAAATTAAATCATTAAAAAATTAATTGCAAAAAAGAATTAGAATTATCTCCATCTAGTGACTAATTTCTTAATTAATCTAAAAAAATGTTTATTATTTATTAAAATTAATTCGGTAATCATTTATTTGATTTGATAACACTAAATATTATTAATTTATTTATTTTGATTTAATTCAAATTAAAAATTGGAATCAGCATTCTATTTAATAAATAAAAAAAAATTAATTAGCACCATCTACCGATTAATTCCTTAATTTCATAAAATTACATTTAACATAACCTTGAATTATTTTAATAAAAATCTAAACATGAGGCTCAAATCTAAACAATAGTACAATTTGGTGTGATTTAGCTCGATAAGATATCAAAAATAGACTATGTGTTCCAGAAAATCGTTTTAAAAGTATCAAATTTAATAATTTTAGTTATAACCTCAAAATGTTGAAGTACTCATTAAGAATAATCCACAATAATTGCTTTTTATTGCTGGGAATCTGCGTGGGATTATTAATACCTCTAAATTTCGAATATTGCGCTTACGAAGAGGATAACGCCGAAGTTTTTGGCTCGGTCGAAGCTGTATTAAAAGTACAAAACATAACGAGAAGACAAGTTGAGACCAAATTGGTTCGCCCGAGGTATTACTCAACGGAATTAGGAATAAAAGATAAACTATTCGTTGGGGTTATATCATCGGAGGATCGAATACTAACCCAAGCGGTCCATGTCAACAAAACGATCGAACATATTGTGGATAAAACGAAATTTTTTATTACGGCGACTCAAAACTTCAAAAATAAATTTTATTTATCAGGGATCGTTGGGTTTACTGACACTCGAAGGGTTTTTCGCCCTTTTCAAATAATAAAATACATCGGGGATAGCTTCGATGATTACGATTATTACTTTTTAATGAACGATTATAATTATTTAGACGCGAGGCGCTTAAAAGAGATTGTGAATAAAATTTCAGTGAGTAATAATGTTTATTTGGGGGGAAAAACGGTCGGGAGTTTTTGTAGTTTAGAGTCGGGGATATTGTTTAGTAATTCGGTGGTGAAAGCGATGATTGAAAACTTGGATTGGTGCATTAAAAACGTGATTTCGGCGGATGATTCGGAGAATTTGGGGAGATGCGTTTATTACAGCACTAAATTAACGTGCCAAATTTCGATTCAAGATCAAAAAATTCAAAGTTTTAAGTTAAATCATTTCGATTTAAACGAAAAGTTGTTTGAGATTAAAAGTGAGGTTATGAATTCGGTTACGGTTTATCCGATTTTAAATAAAAACGATTTTTACACTTTACACGCGTTCTTTTCGAAGAATCACTTAAAAGGAGTTAAATCTGAGATGGATTTGTTAACGGTTAAAGTGGATTCGTGGCCTTCGGGGAGACGAAATGGAACGAAGCCGTTGACTCGGTTCGATTTGCCAAATACGATTTATTTTAATAGGACCCACAATTTTTTCCCGGATCATTTTAATAACATCCAAAAATTTACTACATCGGAATCGGAGGATATCGAAAAAATTTTGGAGGTTATCACAAAAAAGGCTCCTAGCCTAAAATTTCTTCGATTAATAAACGGATACAAAAAGTTCCAATTAAGCAGAGGGGTCGATTACAGCTTCGACTTAAAATTCCTCGACTTAAAAACGAATAAGGAAGTTATTAAACGGTACGAAGTTTGCAAACCGTTGGGGAACGTTGAGTTTTTAACCAAACCTTACACCACGGAAAACACGAAAATTTTTATTTTAGTTCCTGTGCATGAAAACGAATTAAACGAAGCTTATTTATTCCTAAATAATTTCGTTCCCAACGTTATGGATAAAAGGGATAAGATCGTATTGATGTTTGTGTTATTATACGGTTATGATTCATCGAATCGGGGCGAAACCGACGTTTTTAAGAAAGTTAAGGAGTTAGCTGTTGAGATTTCGAGGAGATATCACAGCGAGGACACCAAAGCCGCTTGGATTTCGATCCGTTTACCCAATAATGAGGTCAAAATTGGTTCGGCTCCATCGTTGAAGTTTGGAATTGTCGATTTATCTTTGCGAAAGATTGGGTTGGATGGGTTAATTTTGTATTTAGATGTTTATGCGCAAGTTAACGTTGAGTTTTTGAATAGGGTAAGGACAAAATTGCAGTTTTAATTCCGTAATTGTGAAATAATCAAAACATAACCTAAAAATTCAAAAGTTTATTTTATTTTTAGGTTAGGATAAAATTGTAGTCAAAGCATAACCTAAAAATTCTTTATTTATTAATTAATTAATAAATTTTGATTTAATCGAGTCAAATTTAATTTAATAATGTCCTTTTTGATAATTCAAAACTAATTTTAATTAAAATAGTATTAAAATTTTTTATTTTTAGGTTAGGATGAACACCATTGATAATTTCCAAACGTTTTCTGCGATTCCTTTTCGCCAATACAACCCGTTAATCACAAAAATCGATCGGGTTGAGGTTCATAAGAACGTGGGGCAGTTCGATAAAGAGGAGTTTGATTATGTTTCGTTTTACGGGAGGGATTACGTTAAAGGTTTGTTACACATAACCTAAATGATATAAAAATAATTTTTTTAAATTATAGCTCGTAAATTGCACGAATTAAAGTTACCGATCGTTCGAGTTGATGAGGATTTAATAAATATAATCGACGAGGATCATAAACGTGTTGGGAACATCTACGAGATGTTTTTGGAGTTCTCGGAAGATCAAATTCATAATATGCGGGCGACTGATGCTGCGTTATTCGTGAGATACCACGAAAAAAAGGATCGGAATAACTTGTTTTTGGGGAATAAAGCGCAATTAGCTAAAGTTATTTTAGATAAGTTATAATATTTATTTACAAATACGATTATACCAATTTCCGAGAAATAAACCTATTTAATTAAACCTTTTATAACGCTATTTATTAAAAAGTTGATGGAGAAGACCCAAATTATGTAAGAAATTAATAATTCTTTAAAAAGTTATTGACGTTTCAATTTAGAGGTTATGTTATTGTTGTGGTTGTCAAATTTAGGGTTATGTTGTAATCGATTTCGATTGATTAACGTTTTATTGCGTAAATTAATTTATACTTTAATTTTGGTGCCTTATAAAAGATAAGTGAAGTTGTTGGATTAAAAATTTTTAATTGTAAATTATTTTTTAAAATTAAAAATTTTCCCGCCAACGCGAATTTCAAATCTGCCAACTTTAAATAAATGAAATGTTAGCTTTCGTAAATTTGAGGTTATGTTGTTGTAATTCCAAAAAGTTTGGGTTGTGTTTAAGTGGGATATAATTATTTAAGTCTCCTACCTTTAATTAAATTATTATACGATTTTTAGGTTGATGTTATGTTGTTTTTCTACAATTTAAACGCAATTATTAAAATGTTTGAGCCAAAATGGCAGATTTAAGTTTTACCAACCTAAATTCTTTCTTTTTAACATTCATTGACAGCTTTTAATTTAACAACAAATTATAACACCTTTTATTCTAATTTTACAGGATTTGGAGAATAAAGATATCTCTAATAGTCCATAAGTCGCATAAAGAAGTACTTTTGTAGATAAAATAAGCAACATTTACTTACAGGAACAATTCGTTTTTGGGGAATAAAGCGCAATTAGCTAAAGTTATTTTAGATAAGTTATAATATTTATTTACAAATACGATTATACCAATAAATCTAATTAATTAAACCTTTTTTAACGCTATTTATTAAAAAGTTCGATAAAAAGTTGATGGAGAAGACCCAAAACGTCATTTTCATTAAAACATGCAACAATTTTAGGATAGTTTGGCGTTGTCGAGCTTGGGGGATCGTTTCAATGGGGTCTTTAAGCAAATATAACCGTATCCCCAAAATGTACGTTTTTAAATAATCGATCCAATTTAGATTTGCGATGTTGAACGAGAAAACTTTTTGATCCTCCTCGGATAATTTCCCCCAAAGCTTGTTAACGTTGTTGTTGGTAAATTTTAAATCGGAAATGGCAAAATAAGTCACGACATCGGAAAATTTGTGCACTTTGTTGTAAAGTTTGCAGAAACTAAAAAGAATCGTTTTAAAATAATTAATTAAATTGTTGTTAAGTAATCACCTCGGCTTTTTCCCTAAAAATAGTCCCAAAAAATCCAAAGAAACTCCCGGGATGTAATGATACAACACCTTCATTAGATTATAAACGCTCCGATTACTCGTCAACATAAATTTGATGCACCACAAAGCGTTCGAAAGGGGGTAAATCTCCCCGTACATCTTATTTATCGTATAATACTCCTCCCAAGTTATGGGGTTATCAACGACCGACACATAGTTGTAAATGGGGATGTTTAAATGTGTTTTAGCCGAGTTAATTTGGTTCGTATCCCAAGCGGAGGCGATTAAGGCGGAAACGCAAAGATCGGCTGGGACTATATTGGCCGAATTTTCTTGCACGCATTGCATAACGCGCAAAACACCACTCGCCGCACCAGTACAAGCCCCCGTTGGGCCGTATAAGTTATCGACCCAACCTTTAAGCGGCTCCTTATAAGTTGATGTAACTAAAATTAATTAATAATAAAACCAATTAACCATATTTTGATTACAAACCAATTGCAGGGCGAAAAATCCCCACGGAAATCCCATTTCCTTGATCGCGAATCAGCGATTCAGCCAAAGCTTTTGTAAATGTGTAAGTATTGGGCCACTTTCCCAAAATTCTAAACGAATTAAATTCAAATTAATTAATTCAACTTTTATTAATATTAAATTCATTACTTTTCCGTGCATAATTGTACTTGTTCGTCGTCGATTTTCTCCAAAAGTAACTCAACGTCTTTGTAGTTAATGACATCGTAAAAAGTTTCGTCGATTTTCGATAGATGACAGTTCGAATAAGCCGTTGATACATAAATGAAAGACTAAAACGTTTAAAAGATTAAAATTATTTTTTTAAACGATTTATTCAGTACCTTTAAATTTTCGGCTTGTTTTGATAAATTTAGGACCGATTCGGTTCCTTTTACGTTAATCGAATAGGCTAGGCGTAATTTTTCGTCGAAATTAACCGTAGCGGCTACGTGAAATACGATGTTGATGTTGTTAATTAGCATGTTTCGGTCATTCAAGGATAAACCAAGTCCGGCTAAGGTGCAATCGCCTTGTACGGGTATTATCTTATTTTTAAACTTTGATTTGACACTTTTTAATCGGTCAAAAACCTTGAATAAAATGTTTTTTGATTAAATAATTCTTTTTAATCCCTTTTAATCACTTACGACGTCATTGAAATATCTATCGAGTCTTTCCTGAGTGGTTTTTCCCCTTTTTTCGCGTATTAACATGTAGATCGTTGACACTTCCGTGCATCTTAATAGTTTTTCAATGAGTAATTTTCCCAAAAATCCAGTTCCTCCCGTTAAAAAAACATTTGTGTTATCGTAAAATCGCTGTAATTCGGATTTATTGTTATAAAAGTTATCGGTTCTCCAATTTTCGTTTAAATCCATAACTCCAAGTTTGTTTTGATCGGATTTTTACTGAAATCGCTTTTATTACAAATTGTAATAACATTTTTTTAATTAACAATAACGCCCACACTTTAAATACAGAGCGTTTTATTTAAGAAATTAATTCATTAAAAAGTTGTTGACGTTTAAATTTAATTTGAGGTTATGTTATTATTGTGGTTTTGAAATTTTAGGTTATGTTATAAACGATTTCGATTAATTAATGTTTTATTGCATTAATTGATTCACTCTTTAATTTTGGCGACTTATAAAAGATAAGTAAAGATTTTAAATTAAAAATTTTTAATTTATTTCGCACTTTAAGCGAATTTCAAATCTGCCAACCTTAAATAAATAAAATTAACATTCAAAATTTGAGGTTATGTTATTTTTCAATTTCACCAACCAAAATAAATTTGACATTTATTGACAGTTCTTAATTTAACAACAAATTGTAGCACATTTTATTCTAATTTTACAGGATTTAGAGAAGAAAAATGCCGAATATTCCATAAATCGCATAAAACGTACTTTTCAGTGGAAATTGATAATCTAAAATTGTTCGTTTTTGCAGGACGAAAGAAAAAGAAGATATAAAAAGAGACCTTGAACAAAATAGATAAACAAGCAACATTTACACAAATATTTTAATAAATTACGTTATGATGAAATAGCAAGGATGTTGAATGAATTATCATTGTTGATTCTTTAAGCTGCGAAAATAACAGAAAATTATAATAACGAATAAAATAAGGAAAAGAAGGAAATAATAAAGGGTTATTATACGATGTATTGTTGTTTTGAAGAATACAGGCTATTACTATTATTGTCTAATCTTTTCCAAGCATTATCTAGGGTTCCATTAGCTATATTTAGTCTTCTATAAGTTGTGAGTAGTTGCTGCAAGTTTATCTAATCTTCTATTAACAATATCTAGTCTTTTTTTTTGGAGATTTTGTCTTCTGCCAGTAGTATCTAGTCCTCTCCTTACAGTTTCTGTATTCTGCCAATAATAACTAGTCTTCTACAAGCTGTGCATACTTTTTGCAAGCAATATTTAGCTTTCTGTCTGTAGGATTAGTGTTTTGCCATTTTGCCTTCTTCCAGTATTATTGAGATGCCTTTTTGCAAAATTACTGTGTTTCCAGTTTTTTAATAACAATATCTAGTCCTCTCTTTTCACTATTTCTCTTCTGTCAGTATTATTTAGTCTTCTTTCTGCAGAAATAGTGTTTTGCTAGCAGAATCTAGTCTTCTATTAATAATATCTAGTCTTTACCTTGCAGTAATAGCCTTCTGTCAATAATTTCTAGTCTTCTGTCTGCAAGATTAATGTTCTACCAGTAGTATCTAGTCTTCTACTTACAGTTTCTGTCTTCTGACAATATAACTAGTCTTCTAGAAGCTGTAAATACCATCTACAGGCAATATTTAGCTTCCTGTCAACAGGATTAGTGTTTTGCCAGCAATATTTTGGCTTCTTCCAGTGCTATTTAGACGTCTATTCGCCGAATTATTGTTTTGCAACAGTATCTAGTCTTCTATTAACAATATCTAATATTCTCTTTACAATATTTGTCTTCTACCAGTATTATTTACTGTTCTTTTTGTAGAATTAGCGTTCTGCCAACAGTATCTAGTCTTCTCCTTGCAGTTTTTGTCTTCCCAAATACTTCTCACTCGACCGATTCATGACAACTCACATCATATTTGAAAATAAGATAAACAAGTTTGACCTTCTGAAGGTTATTGAGGTTATGAAACAACAAGATTTATAAATATAGCTCTAAGAAGCGTATTTGGAATCGAACGGTTCCCACTGAACAATACGATATGACCTAAATAAGTATTTTTCAGTTCGAAATAAATAAACAAATTGAAATTATTATTTTTCGTACAAGTTTTGTGATAGTTTTTTTAAACGCAACCCACTTGCGCCAGAAAGAGCGAACCGTTAAACAGTTGTTAAGCGTAAAAGTTACGTGACTATTTTATTAAAACGCACTTTTATAACTGTACTCGAATTAAATAAAAAAAAAACTTTAAAAATAGATAAATAAAAAAATTTTACTTTCTTAATTCTTCTTTTTTTTTTGTTAAATCCTAATTCATTTCACTTTCTTTTGAGAGAGGAGTGAAAACGAAACAAAAAAAAGAGAAAAGAACCAAATCAAACAAAAAGAAGAAATTCGAGGTTTGTTTGAAAACGTTTTGTAACAAAAAAAAATTACACAATTCTATTTTCTTTTCGAATCGATTTTTTGCTTACCCAATATCAATTTGATTTTGTTATCGAAATCGGCAAATTTCTTTATATACAACACCTAATAATCTCATTAATTAAATAAAAGTGTGTCATTTAAATCTTTTGAAATAATTTAGATTCAAATTTAAACGGCAACAACAAACGCAATAACAATAAATTAAATATTTACCCTTTTAACGTTTAATTTAATTGAATTAACTTTTTTTTTAACACTAAATTTGTTTCTTTGATTCTCCACGAACTGAACGAAAAGGAATGGTTAGGTTCTTTAAAATGTTCAGGTAGAAATCGTTTCAAAAAATGGGAGGGGAAAAGTAAACGAAATAAGAAAAAATGTGCTGCTTAGAATAGGTTAAGGCTAACAAATTTATTTCGTCGTTTTTAAATATCTAAGTCATCATCAGGATCTTCTTCATCCCAATCATCATTCTCATCTAAATGATAAACAATTTGCACGCCTCCTTCTTCTTTTTGGGGGTTATAACTAAATAAATTAATCTTATTTACACCTCATAATCATAATATAACAATTAATACTAACGTTGGATGAAAAGGTAAAACTAATTTATCCTTTTCCTTCCGTTCATGTTCCTCAAGGCTAATTTTAAAGGTAGTCAATTGATCAGGGATAACCTCCTCCCCGATCGATCCCTCCATTAACCTTTTAACATCAATTTTATCGATGGGTTTCGTTTTAACACCATCCCGATCGATCCAAAACTCCTCCAACGATTTAATCACCTTCCCCGACGACTTTTTATATTTATACAAAACGCGGAAATTATTTCCCCTCAAAAATTTCGGCTCAAGCGATATTACAAACGTCGATAAATGCTCTAAATAACGCACCACATTGCGTTCTTCGAGAATATCTCGATGTAGCACCGCAATTATTTGTATTTCAACTAAAAAATTAAAATTAATCAATTAAACGTCATTTAACTGTCAAATGAATGTCATTTTAATAAACGTCACTTTTGACGTTTTAAAAAATTTATCAATTCGCACCTAATAAATCAATATTGATTCTTTTTATTATCATAGGTGCCAATTCCTTTTTTATTAACGAAAAATTCCAAATGGCATAATAAAATTCGCTAGAATTATAATAAAAAAGTTTACATCCGCGAAAAGTAAATGTACATTTTAATATTTACACATAACCTTGACGTTTAACTCATAAATAAAATATAATACGTACTCCCTTTATTTTGTATCAACTCGTTAATCCACTTGTACGTTTGGTGGAACCCATATTCGTTTATAACGTGCACTAAGGAGTCAATAATAACGACCGAGACCCTCGATAACTCCGATATCACCTCGTCTAACCGATTTTTACCATCCTTTTTTAGCCAGCCTTTAATGTCGGAGCAAAAATCGTGGACTTTCACGTCCGGGCGCACTTTTTGCCCCAATCTGCCTTCGAAAACGAAATAATGAACGTGTTTGAAGTGCTTAACCCGATGGTTTATGATCGAGGTTAGGAAATCCGTCGACCTAACCTCAATCGTATCTACAAACGTAATTAATTTAAATAATTTTAATTATAACAATCAAATTAAGATTTACCTTCGATTAAAATGAATTTTGAGTAAGGTGGTTTAAATAATAAATCCGGGAGAAGCATTTTCTTGATGAATGATGTTTACGATTTTGGGGGAATTTCGTTTTATTTTATTTCTTTGAACATTCAATTTTAAAATGATTTATGAATGAATTTAATTTATTAATTTAACGTTACTTTATTATTAATAATTAATAAATTAAATAAAATTAATTAAAATCGATTAAGAAAAAAATAAAATAAAAAAATTAAGTTGGTAGCAATGATTGTCATTTAATACACCAAAAATAATTTTATCTTTTGTATTAATTTAACAACAAAATAATGTTTAAATAACCGTAATTATTGTTATAAAGGATGTCCGAGCCAAGTACAAACGTAATCGAATCAAATTTAATTCATTAATCCACTTCGAATAAAAAAAAATATATAAATGTAATTTATAGGTTATGTTTTGTTTTTAGGACTCCCAAAGTACTGATTTAGCGAGTCCCGATGAAGAAGACGACGAACCAAAACTAAAATATTTAAGATTATCGAACGATTTGCATAAAATTTTAGAAAGCGATGCTGTTAAATGTATTTCCGTTCACCCAAAGGTACAAAAATTTATCAATTAATTAATTAATTTATTTTTGGTTAGTTTATTTGTGTAGGAACCGATTGGGGGGCAATCCACGTGTTGGACCACCAAGGGAATGGGGTTAAAGATAAAAAGTTGCAACCCCACACCGTCGGAGTTAACCAAATCTCGATCGATTCTCGAGGTGAATTCATCGCTTCATGTTCCGATGATGGAAAAGTTTCAATTCACGGTTTATACACGAAAGAGGATGTCGTCATTAATTTAGGGAGATTAATTAAAACCGTCGGGTTGGATCCGTTTTATTATAAAGGGGGGGTGAATAAACGATTTATAACCGGTAAATTTAAAAAAATAATTAATTTGAGAATTAATTTTTTAATTTTAGGTGATGAGAAATTAACTTTACACGAAAAGACTTTATTTGGACGCTCAAAATCCACGGTATTATCGTTTAGTGAGGGATTAGTATCAAGTTTGGCGTGGAGTGATAATTTTATCGCTTGGAGTAGTGATATCGGAGTTCGAGTTTATGATATGAGCGCTCGGTGCTCTTTGGGGCTAATTAAATGGGAGGATCGCCCCGGAATTTCCCCCTCTAATTTTAAATGTAACTTAATTTGGTCGGACGGTCATACTTTGTTGATTGGATGGGTTGATATGGTTCGGATTTGCGTTATTCGGAGGAGGAGTGTTAACGAATTAGGGAATAAAGAGTTGTCTGAGTTTTTAGTTGACCCAAGTAAGTTGATATTGATTTAAAAATATAAAAATTAATTTAATTTTTTAGTTTCAGCTTTTCGAACTGATTTTTTTATAAGTGGAATCGCCCCGTTGAGTCACCAATTAGTTTTGTTGGGGTTTCCCAAAGAAACTGATAAAGAAGGGAGATCGTTACACCCCGAATTACATATAGCTCGTTATAAAGAGAATGATTACGCTGAGATTTACGCCGATAGCTTATCATTGAGGGGGTACCAACATTACAAAGTTAATAATTACCATTTAGATGTTTTAATTGAAGAAAATCGTTTTTTTATTGTTGCCCCAAAAGATGTTGTGGTTGCTAGTTTATTCGATGTTGATGATCGAATACAATGGTTAATCGAGCAAAGGTAATTCAAAATTATTTTTTGTACCTTGTTCTCCTGATCTTTATGCCTGATGACGTCGGATAAATCTTTTCCTTTTCCATGCACTTCCTCTGGTTCCTGACTAATTACTTTATGTCTGCTAGAGTCTTTCCTCTCTTCTTCCCAACTTCTGCTATTCTTTCCTTCCACTATTGTGTTATCTTCCATTCTAATTATGTGGGCCTGCCCAACCCACATAATTAGAACCAACCCATCCTAATTATGTGGTTGCATTCTCTCTATTTTGCTTGATCTACTCCCAGTGTTATTTCCTCATTCCTTATCCTATCCCACTTCGCCTTCCCCACTATTTTCTGTAATAATTTCATTTCCATTGCTGTGATCTTTTCTACTTGTTTATCTTGGAGTGCCTATGATTAGGTTTATATCGGTGTACATCTTAGTATAGAGATAAGTCACGTTAAATCATCTTAATTTATTGTCCTCTACATGTCCCTGCTCTGTGTCAGTTCTTATGTGAATCACCTGTATAAAGTATTTTTAATGTAGATTAGAAATATGTCAAAATTGAGGTTGTCATTTTAAACCTGAAGTTAGTTATCATATAATAGACAAATGGACACCTTCATGGTGTAATTCTTTATTAAAAAAAAACCTTTAAAATGAGTCCAAAAACATGATGCATTTATCTTAAAAAACAACAAAGTTATAATAAAAAATATTAAAATTTCAATTACCAACATAATTTTTAAATATTATTACCAACCTTAATTTTTTTCTATTGAATTTTTGTTTTTGTGATAAATTTTGAGACATTTTATAAGAATTAAGAATATGTCAAAATGACATTGACATTTTTAAGCTCATTTTAAAGATTTTTCACGACAACTACAAATATGTCAAAATTAATGATTTTTTTTTGGTAAATATTGAAATGTACTTAATAAGAATCAAAAATGCTTTTATTTGATACCAAACACGATATGTTTGGGTTAAAAAATAAAAAAGTTTGGTTAAAAACTGTCAAATGTCAAAATTAAATATAACGATTTTTTGATAAATATGGAATCAAACATGCTTTCATTTGATACGAAACTTGATATGTTTATGTGTAAAATAAAACAGTTAGGTATAATCTGTCAAATGTCAAATAATCGCAATTTTTTTAGGCAAAAAAATTAAGATATCTCGATAACGGTTGATGATAAAAGGGTCGAGTTTGAGTTCATTTTAAAGGATTTTTAATTTTCTATCCGTTTATTAAAAAAAAAACATGTTTATAGCTAAAAAAATTTTCTGAATTGATCCTTATTAAGACATCTTTCTATACTTAGTTTTTTGAATTTTTTTGAATATTAATTAATTAATTTATTTTTTAGTAAATACAAAGAAGCACTCGATGTGGTTTTGCAATCAAAAAAGGGTGAGATGAAAAAGTACACGAAAGAAAGCGTGGGAATCGCTTATTTAGACTTTTTGATACAAAAATATAAATTCGATGAAGCCGGAGAGTTGTGTTTTCGGATTTTTGGTGATAATAAAAAGTTGTGGGAGGAGGAGATTTTTAAATTCGCCCAATCGCATCATTTGAGATCGATTAGTAGGTTTATTCCGGTCTCGAAAGAGAACCGATTGAGCCCTCAAATCTACGAGATGGTTTTATACGAGTATCTAGTCTTAGATTCTAAAGTAAATCGATTAATTAATTATTAATTTTAATTAATAACTTGTTTGTAGGGATTTTTAAATTTAATTAAGTCTTGGGATCACACGCTTTATAATATACACGCGGTCATCAGTGCTTTATTAGGACATATTGTAATAACAGATCAAGATAAAGTCGTTTATTACGAAGCTTTGGCTATTTTGTATTCTTATGATAAACAATACGATAAATGTTTAGCTACGTATCTCAAGTAAGCATTAATAAAGGATAATTACGACGATTAAATTTAATTTTATAGGTTAAAGCACAAAGATGTATTCAGATTTATCCGGGAACGTAAACTTTACTATATCATTTCCGATTTAGTCGTCGATTTGATGAATTTAGACCATGAGGAGACAATAAATTTATTATTGGAGAAGGAGCAGGGGGTGGACCCTGAGATAATTGTTGAAAAATTAAAAGACCACGAGCTACATTTATACAGGGTACTTAATTAACCCAACAATTCATTTTTATTAATTCGAATCTTTTTAGTATTTAGATTCGTACACGAAAAAGAACCCAACGGGGCAATTCCACGGATTATTAGTACGATTGTACGCGATATACGACCGGGATAAATTATTACCGTTTTTACAACGCTCCGATAGCTACCCAATACAAAACGCGCTCAATATTTGTAGGAATGCTAAGTTTTACCCCGAAATGGTGCATTTATTAGGTTGGAGTTTGTTTTAATTAAATAAAAAATTAATTGATGTGGTTTTAGATCGGATCGGAGACACCAAAGAAGCTTTAGGATTAATTATGAACGAGTTAAAAGATATGCAAAAAGCAATTTTGTTCTGCCAAGAACATAATGATTCGGATTTATGGAACGATTTAATCGAATACACGATTAAAAAACCAGGTAATTTAAACATAACCTAAAAATTTAAATAAATGAAAGGCAATGCTACCAACTTAAATTTAAATTTGACAGTTTTAATCTAAAAATAATTTTTTAGAATGCATCACATTTTTGCTCAGAAATATTGGGAATTACGTCGATCCGACGATTTTAATCAATAAAATTGAGAAGGATGCGAAAATCCCCGATGTTAAAAATTCGTTGGTGAAAATGCTTTGTGATTATAGCTTGCAGGTAAATAAATCGTTTTAAATTAACCTTTAATTACGTTAATTTGATTAATAAAATAGCTAGCGATTAAAGAAGGATGTAAAAAGATTTTATCATCGGATTATTTTGAGTTGCACAATAAATTGGTGATTCGTCAACAAAAAGGGATTAATATTTGTGATGAGATGGTCTGCTCGGGATGTCGAAAACAAATTATTTCTAAAGGTACCTAATTTTTGGTTAATTACGTTTATATTAATCAATTTTGTTTTAGATTGTAACCGTTCCAACGATATAATTTTGTATTATTGTAGCCACTCCTTCCATAAAACGTGTTTACCTCAAGATCAAGATGTGACGAGTTGCGCCGTTTGCCACCCAATTAAAAGAAAATAACGTTTTTTTTAACTCTCCTAATTTTATAAAATTAATTTATATCACACAATTTATATTAATAAGTGTTAATAAAAATAATCTTTTTAGAAATTGAATATAACCTAAAAATTAAATTTTTTGTAAACATAAAAAATCAAAAAGTTCCTAAATTGAATTCCAATTATTTGCTTGTTTAATTTCGATTTTTTTGATTTAAAACGATTAATTATTTATTTATTAATTATTTAATGAAAACAATAAAAAATTAATAAATAAATAAAAAGTAATACTACCAACTTAAATTTTGTGATTATTTTTTGACAGTTCTAACTTAAAAATTTTGGATATTTAGCAAAAAGTTAATAAAAATAATCATTTTTAGGCATATGCGTCGGAGAGAAACTCATAAAATGATTCATAGTAAAATCGAGGATATCCTCGGGTTTTAATAGCAATATAGCGTTGATATAATCCATGATGATTCCCTTAAATTCGGGGTGATCCCCCATATACGATTTAATCCTCATTTCAGCGCGCACCTTTTCGTCTAAATAATTCGAAAATAATTGCATATCACCCTCCCAGTTATGCTTTAACAAGATTTGCTCATTCCCACAGGGTTTTTGGTTGGACACTTTCGCCATTGGATTCACCTGAAGGAAATACGGAGTTCCCTCCCATTCTTGCCGTATTAATTGGCCTTGCAATGTGAGGGTTGTGTAACATTTGTGTTCGATTCCACATTCTTCGATTATCGTACGTTCTATTTTGCAGATGTCAAGTTTTACATCGTTGATTAATTCGCTTTCGGGGCCGGTGCAGTCATAAATATTTCTGCACATGTCTCCGTTTATGTACATGGCGGATAATTCGAACACCCCGATGTAACGGATTATGGCTAAATAACGGTGTAGGAGGAAATTGGTGCCTTCGGCTATGTATTTTGAGGCTTTTCCAAAGCTGTAGAATTTCCTATCATCTAAATTTTCCAATGTTGATTTATGTTTCACGTAGTAATAATTTTTTACCATCCCAACGTATAAATCTTTCTCGTTTACTTTTAATTTTGGTTGTTTTGAGCTTGAATCACTTGAAACACTTTTCTTAGAATTAGTATCACTCTTTTTAGAACTGTCATTCTTTTTAGAATTAGATCCACTTCTCATTAAGCTAACTTCCCCCCCATCTTTATTAAGGACACAAAATTCCCTCCGTAACTCTTCGATTGTGTGCATCTCGCGGTCAACCCAACTCGTAATGCAACTTCCCGCGTTTGAGCCGTTATAATCAAACTGAGATTGAACGTGGATTAAAAACTTGGTTTTCCCCCGATCGTTTTGCACCCCCAAACCATCCTCCATCCCAATACAATTGTCATTTAAATCATCACATCCATCAATATCCCCAGAAATGGGCTCATTAATCCCCACGATTTCTTTGTGCTCTTTATTAAAAATTCTTTGTAAACGAATTTCGATGTTTTCGCAGGCTTTTCTGTCCGAAGGTTGTTTCCCCAGCGCTTTTTGTATGTCTAAGCACATCCCCCCAACAGGGATCTCCGCACCTTTCTCGTCCAAACAAGAAACCATCAAGTTTTCGCGAAACGTTAAAGCCTCGTACATCTCATCGTCGATTTCAAAATCATCAATAACCGCTTTAAAATCGAGTAATTCTCTTTGATTGTGACAAGCGGCTCTGGCTTCGTAATTTTCTTTGATGCATTCCCTCTCCTCGAATCGCCTCAAGATCTCTTCAAGAATCTCTTTGATTCGCTCCTCGGTGAAATTGGTTAAAGACACCGAAGAGCCCTCTTCGCCACCTCCATGGTCGCCTTGATATTGTAAGTATCTCAAAATGTCTTCGCTTATTGCCAAAGGGACTTTGTCGTCACCGAGAAGATTAAGATCCATTTTTTAAATGTTAAAAAGTAATTTCGAATTTTTGACGTTTCTCAATGTCAAAAAAAATAAATAAGTAAGCGACTTCGTGATAAAAATAAAATTAAATTGAATTAACGAGTTTTTAATGTGAAAGGTCATCTTCAGGGTCAATTAAAACATTGATATTGAATAAAATTGTTTTGGTACTGGCAAAGTTGTTTTCTTCTAAGTCTAATAAGATGAAGGCGATTCGATTTGATCCCGTTAAAAAAAGGGTTGAACTAGTCGAGTTGGAGATTCCGAAAATTAAGGGGGATGATCAGGTTTTGATTAAGGTCGCTTATGCGGGAATTTGTGGAACTGATTTGCATATAATTCAAGTAAGTAATGTTTTAAATTAATTCTAATCTGAAATTAATAAAGAAATTCATCAAAAAAATCTTAATTCAACGGGCGGCCGTCTTAATTTCTAAGATATTAAAGTAAAAATGTCAAATTTGAAAAATTCGTATTGAAATTGTTCGAAATGACACCCAACATGACTAATTTATAATAAAAACTAAATTTGTGTTTGACAGGCGGCCATTTTGATTTATAAAAATTAGGTTAACTAATTGAGATAAATAAAATCATTTTTCATTTTAAATCGAACAAAAACGATTTTATCGTTGTAATAAAAAATGATAACCTCATTTTATTTTTAATTTATAACAATTTAATATTATTAGGGTGAATTTCCATGTAAATCAGCACCAATCGTATTAGGCCATGAATTTTCTGGAATCGTAATCGAGGTTGGTACCAAAGTAACCAACGTAAAACCTGGCGATCAAGTTGTCATCGATCCAAATAGTGGCTGTCAAACTTGTCATAACTGTCACATTGGGGACCCCCATTTTTGCGAAGTAGGCGGGCTTCAAAATACGATTGGAATTTATCGAGATGGCGGTTGGGCCGAGTTTTGTTTGGTCCCCGATAAACAAGTTTTCGTAGTTCCGAGTAATACCAACTTAAAAATCGGTTAAAAATGAATTTTTCAAAAAAAAAATTGTTTTATTAAAAATATTTTTTTATCAGCTGCTTTAAGCGAACCGATTTCGTGCTTAGTGCACGGATTAGATAAGATTTCACCTTTACCGATTGGAAAAGAGATTTTAATAACCGGAGCTGGGATAATCGGGAATTTATGGTTGGTAGCGTTGCATTTAATGGGACACCGAAAAGTCACCGTTTCCGAACCCAACTTGCACCGATTAAAACAACTAAATAAATTAGAAACGGGATATTTAGCGATTACCCCGAGCGAGTTGGAGAAATCCCAAAAAAAATACGACATCATCATCGATTGTAGTGGTTATGGCCCAGCGATTGAAAAAAATTTGACCATTTTAAATAATGGCGGGAAGTTGTGTATTTTTGGAGTGGCGCCACCTAATATCAAAATCAAGTAATTAATTTTTAAATGATTCAAATTAAAAAAAAAAAAACTTAATTTATTTTCAGTGTATCACCATACGAAATTTTTTCGAAAGAATTAACGATAATCGGGGTCAAAATTAACCCGTTCACGTTCCCGAAAGCTTTAGGGATGCTAGAAGCTTTAAACGAAAGGTAATTATTGCGATTAAAATTATTTTCATAACGTCACTTTTTTTTAGATACTTAAATTACGAAAATTTGGGGATTGCAACGTTTAAATTGGAGGAATTCGAACGGGCTTTGGAAGCTTTGAAAAGCGGGGTTATTTCTAAAGCAACTTTTAAATTTGATTTGTAAAAAATTTAATAAAAACCAATAAATAACCTAAATGTAGTTTTAGTTTCACCCTTCAATGATAGATGGCGACATGAAACGTCAAAATTTAATAAATAAAGCGTGAAGTGTCAAAAAATTAATCTTAAAAATACTTAAAAGTTAAAATGGCTTTAAAGTATATAGGACTCGATAAAGTATTTAAAGTTTTTTCGATTATGAAGCAAAATGGGGGACTTAGAGCTTCGCTTTATAAATTGTACAGGTAAATTGAGATTATATAACACAACATAACCTCAATCTTTTTTTCTTTATTATTATTTTATTTAATTTGATTTAAGGATGGATGATTTGAAACAAGGAACTTTAGTGGGGGAGGATAAATACGGGAATAAATACTTCGAGAACAATTATTTTTTCTATGGGAGAAATCGTTGGATTGAATATGCTCCGAAATATGGTTTTACGATTAATTTGGTTATAATTTTTTGTGGTAATTAATTAATTTTAGGTACTGATTACGATGCAAGTCAAGTCCCTGCTGAATGGTATGGTTGGTTGCATTATAAAACGGATTTACCCCCGTGTCATGATAAATCGAGACCGAAATATCCATGGATGGCAGATCATCGAGAGAATTACACGGGAACTCCGCAACAATATTATCCCTATAGTACAACCCCCCCTAAAATTGAGCCTTGGATCCCCAAGAAAAAATGAGTTTAAAAAACATTATTGTAAATTTATTAAATAATTGCATCTTCGTCTAATAACCCCACTTGTTTGCCTTTATTTAAAATTTGCTCCCGAGAAGCTGGAAACCATTTTAAAAGGTGGCTCCATTTGCTTTTATTTAAAATTAAGACTTCAGTGTCGGCTTTGGATCGATAAGAAAATCTATGTGGGATGCATTGTAACCCTTGGGCTTCCCCAAAACTAGTCCCGGCGGTTAAAGTCCCAATGTAATATTCGACTTTCCCATAAATATCTAATTGAATAATCTCGCCCGAGTTAATAAAATACATGCAACAATCAGCGTCGCCCTTTTCAACAATGCAATCACCGGTTGAAAAGACAAATCGGTCCAAATAAACCACCAATTGGCGCAAAAAATCGACGTGAGTTCGGTTAAACAAGACGTGATTGTTTAAGTGGCGCCCATAAAGGATTTGGAGGACGTTTTCTTTTAAACAAGGGGGTGATTCTGTAATTAGAACCGGCAACCAACTCCCTCGCTCTCGATTCCATAACCTCAAACAATACCTCTTTACTTTCGCATAAAGAAATTGAGACAACTCCAATTTCTACAAAACAGTCAAATTGGTTCAATAAAAATTGAAACGAAAAAAAACTAACCTGCAAATAAGTCCCAAGGCTTTGGAACTTCACCTCATAATTAATAAAGTTGTGCTTATTAACCAAAAGGTGGCTAACGTAGTTTGAGACAAGGTTCATCACCAAAACTTGGGTCCCAATCATCATAAATACGGTCATCGTAACTTCCGGAATCTCCAAAGGCATGATCCCTTTCAAGCTTGTACTTGTATAAATGTTCACCACATACATATAAGCCATAATCGTAGATTCTAAAGTTTGGTTGGATGAGATGAACGTTATTTCGGATCCTACTTTGTATCGGTACCAACATCGAGTATTCGGACACGCAATAATTAACCTAAAAATTAATTCAAATTAAATTCAAAAAAATTAAATTAAATAATTCGTCACCAAAGACACAAAAAAAGATGGAGTTGAAACATAACACTATAAAATATATACGTCCATTTCAAATGATCCTTCATTAACAACCTCTCCTCACACTGATAATAATAAAGCACTAAATGCAAAAATCGGAACGTTCGATTCAAACAAGCTAAATTGTAAACTGCGTTATTCGAGGTATAACACCTCGTGAATAACTCAAACGGTAACAAGATAAAAAAGTCGAACCAAAATCCGCTTTTTAAATACCTCCGTCTTATAGCGTAGGGGTCACTAATAACCATCCCGCTTTCGGGGTCGACGTAAATCAAATGGAACTTAACGCTCATCTTAATGAAGTGAATAACATCCGTTAAATAAACAACATATGTGATGTATTGAGGTTGAATTTCGTTTAAATGCACGAAAGTTAACGTTAAAATCATAATCGAAGATAACGGATAAATATGGACGTTAATTAAGTAATTAAAAAATAAATAAACGTTGTTGTTCTCGAAGATTAAAATTTTTTTGTAAAAATCGTGCAATTTTGTACTAAATTCGTCGATCTGGTGGAATTGCGAGTCGGATAATTCTTGCATATACTCCATGTTAACCATGGTCGAGCGTTGAAATCGCTCTAAAATTTTATCAAAAGCCTCAATCGTTTTGTAAAATAATTTCCCATCAATCGTTAAAACCATAGAGTGAATGTTTGCAACTGCATCAATCGTTTGTCTCGTAACCCCCGTTTTCGATAAACAACCAAAAACTCCTCCCGTTCTTAAGCTGCACATTAACGTACCCGCCGTGTAAATATCAACTTTTCCATCTTGAACGAAAAATAATTTCGAGTTCACATCGTTGCAACGAATTATTTTGGAGTCTTTCGTAAAGAATTCTTGGCGAAGTCGGTAAGAAACGGCTTGAAATAAACTAAAATAAAAAAAATTAAATTGTTAGGTTATGAAAAAGTAACTTTCATTTGTTTTAATTTCTAACCTAAAATGTCCCCCAGAAAAAATTTGAACCCTTTTTAAGCAATTCTGATAAATCGCGCGCGCCAAATCTTGCTCTAATTGCGGGTGGAAATTCTTGATTACTTCGTGAATGTTCAATCCATGCGTTTTCTTCCAAATATTTTCGTAATGAAGCACAATTAATTGTTTATCTTCGTCGCTGATGAGAGCGTCTTTTAAAAATGTCATGTAGTTCTTCATACGGTCGCGGTAAATTGTTAATTCAACATTGCCGCCAACCTAAAAATTTTTTAAAATTATTTTAGTTATTAATCAAATTTGATTAAATTAATTTGTTTATTTAATGCAAATTTATATCAAATTGCATTAAATTTATATCAAATTAATTTTATTATAATTTTATAACTTAATAATTAAAATTTTTCGAAAAAGGGTACGTTCTGGTATTTTAACCTCAAAATTAAAGTTAAACTTACAACTTACCCCTCGGCTTGTTAACGACACAAAAAATAACCACCTCAAAGCAGTTAATGGTACCAACATAACCACGGTTAAAATAGCATGTCTTTCATTTTCCAAAATAGCCCCCGTACTGCTTCCTGTTACACTAATCGTAACTGTATACATATAATAAACATACTGATACAACCCCTTCGTAAAATCGTGGCCTTTCTCAACGTTACAAACTAACCGATAACCCTCATGTTCGCACATCACCAACATCGTTAAACTACACACTAACGATATACAAATAATAACTAATAAACCATATCGAAACATATTAATTGCGTTCCTTTTCTTTCCTTGGAGCCGATTATCCAAAAAGCTCAATCCTTTGAATGGCCGATAAAGTTGGCAACATCTTGTAGCTGTCAAAACTAAAATTTGTATCCATAAAATATATTGTTGTCCGAATAATCGGTCTAAACCGGTGGCGTGGACGTGAAAGCACCCCATTGAATCCATCATAAAGGCGGTTTTTAAATAATTCTTAGCCGTGTATAAAGGATGAGTCACTAAAATCCCTTTTTCATTGTAATATTGGCAATGTAACCGAATATAAAGGTCGATTAATGCGACTAAATCGAAAATTAAATAAACTGATGTCACCAAAGTTTCGTTGTAATAAACGTTTAAAACGCTGTATCTAATGTTTATCGAAAGGATATAGATTATTAAGAGAGTGCATCGGAATACTTCCCACGTTATGTACGGCCAATTCGTTGGGTTAATCGTTCGTTTTAAAACGAAAAATCTTATGAAGGACCACATCCCCAAATTGGCGAAAGCTTGTTTAAACACAAATTTAGTCAACTCAATATCGTCGCTATCGTGGATTTTGTATTCAAAAATGTTTCCCTTTCCTTTTGATTTTATCTTGGAAATCATCGGGGGTAACCTCGCCCCGGTTCGCTTCATAATCGTTCCATAAATTCGCCGATGCTCTTCTAGGGCGTGCTTGAAAAAAGAAAAATCAGTTTGAGACGTTTGCATAGCGCTGATAACTATGTGGGTCTTAATTAATAATAATTCCACCACCGTTAAACATTCAACCTTAACGAAAGAGAATGTATCGTGGAGAGTTTCTAAAAATGGGAATGTATCTCCGATTTGTAGGATGCTTGTAGCCCCACGTTCCGAATCTCCAGGGAGAAACGATCGTAATCGGCAAAATCCTCTCATTATGACATAAAAAATGTCTGATTTAACATCGACGTCCATTAAAGTGGCCCCCGGGGGGATTATTTTAATTTGGGCGTGCGCGCAAATATATCTTAACGTGTCCTTTTTGGTGTTGTGAAATAAAGGAACTTGTTTTAAGCAATCAGCAATGCGGTGTCGGACGATTTCGTTGCGCAACTCAACCGGGGCGTCTTTAAAAATGCTATTTTCCCCCACAATTTGGCACCCTCTCACTGAGTGATTAAAATATAAAAAGCGAACTAAGCGCTTTGTGATCCCAGGGTCTAATCGTTGCCGGGTTAATTCATTTTTCATCGCCCACCATTGAATCGTATCCATTTGTTTGCTTTTATACTTTAAAACCGAAGTCCCAGTTTGCTCGGATATCCCGACGCAATAAACTAAGTGTCCGGTTATTGTTAATAAAAGGCATAAAGTCGCCTCCATTACGGTTGAAGACTCCGTTGAGCTAGCTCCGTAACCCACGTAATAATTCACGATCAAAAGTAAGTAAGCCCAAAAATCCTCATCGCTCGCTAAGTCATTATTGACTTTTGCAACGAAATATATCAAAGCGGTGAACCAATAAATAGTCACCAAATAAAAAATGAACCATTTAACTCCTCGGATAACGATCGTGTTAAATTTAATGTTGTATTGAAGAGACCTAAAATAAAATTAAATTAAAAAAATTAAATCAAAAAAAATGTTCGTACTTCAACATCGTAAAAATTTTATAGATCTTTAATAATCGATTTAATTTGCATAACCCCAAATTGATTTTGATGTCCATCCCCCAAGCGATATAATCAATCGGGAAAATCGCCACGCAATCGATAATAAAGTAGATATTCTTTAATTGTTGTATAATTAACTCCTTATAATTCGCAATTAAACGGTTTTTGTATCGAACCGCCGTCGAAGCTTGCAAGTAAAGATCAAATAAATAAATCACGTCCATCAATAAACAAATCGAAAGCTCGTTGAATTTCATCGAATCCTCAAAACACGCCACTTTTGGAATTATAACCGCGTGAACCATAATGGCAAAAATTACGACGTAATCCAAACATTTTCGAAACTCCGTGTCCGGTTCCATGATAAACGGGCATTTCGACGATAAACAAATCGATTCCACTCTTAATTCGAGGTCGTGGCTCAACACCAATAAATTTAGATTCGCCGTAACGCATTTTGAGAATTCATCGATGTCGTCCGATGATTGAGAGGGGAGCGATTCCGGCTTTTTTGAGTACGCCCAAATTTCATACCAACGCCTCTTTACGTTTCGAATTGAGTTATCGGTGTAATCGATGTTTCGGTGCGTTTTTTTCGTTTGTATTCCTTTTATGGCAACTAAAAGTCGTTCTTTGAATGATTCTTGGATGCTTTTTGTTACTAATGGGTAATTTAGTAATACCTAAAAAAAATTATTAATATTTTCTCGAAATATTATTAAATAAATTCAAAAAATTAATTCAAAATTTCAAACAATCTATTAGGTTATGTTTATTCAGCACTGCCAACATAAATTTGTTTTAAGTTGGTAGTAAATTAAAAAATATTTAAATAAAAAAAGTACGTACTTTATAAAGATCAGTTAAATATAAAACTTGTATTTCGCAATAAGTAACAGCCCGTAAATTTGATACACTTTGACAAGGAACCAAACAAGCGATTTCCCCCAAAACCGTCCCCGAAGAAAACGAAATCAACGGCGAATCATCATCTTCTTTGGATAAAGCTTGAATAACACCGGAAACGACATAAATCAATTTCGCTTTTAATTCCCCGACGCGAAATAAAAACTCAGCCGGCAACAAAAATTCGCTTTTCATCACCAAACTAACCGATCGCTTAAACGACATATCCGTTTGATTAAATAGATGCGTGTGCCTTAACGCCTCCCAATAAATATCGACGGTTACCTCTTTTTGTAAAGACGGGGGCAACATTTTGAATAAACCGGGCATATCTCGCATACCATGTCGTTGTTTGTAAAAAGTCGTGTAATATTCGAAAGTTTTGTTTTTTAAATCGACATCGGCTTCCCATTCGTCCAAGAGAGACATTATTTTGGTTACGTGGAACGCGTATCCGAAATAATTGCGATCGATTCGCATAAAAATCACCACCAAACGGCCCATAAATAACACAAAACCGATTATGAACCCAAATAGCATCGCTGAAGTAAATGTTAATAGTTCGAAAACGTTTTCTAGTTTTAAAAATGCTTAAAAATAAAAAAATTAGTACAATTTATAATACAATAATGACATTAAAGTGAATTAAATGTCAAGGTTGACACTTAATTGTCAAAATTGACATTTAAACGTCAAAAAATGATTTTACCTGAAAAATTGTTAATAACAACTTCTGTCATCATAAAAAAGGATGTTCCCCACCAACGTAACGATGAGTTGGAATTAAATTCGGATTCATCTAAATGTTTTGTCCAATTCGTTTTATGCATTTGCCCAAGTTTGAATATGATGGCTGCGAAAATCTGACCTACGATGATGAGTTTCGCGAGCCGTTGCAAACAAAGTATGGTCATTTGGTTCAATCCCACTTCGTTCATCCGTTTGGTCTCGTACAGGAAGATGCGATATGTTCTCACGACACATTTCCACTTGTAAAAGTTTTTATCGAGAGAAGTTGACGTTTGATAATTTGTTAATAATAAAAAGTATTGGATTTCATACAAAGGATGTAAGGTGAGGAAATCGATTAGGATTATTCCTAAATTTCTTGGGGGGTAACTCCTTTTCCTTCGCGTTTTTACCATGTTTCTATGCATTATGGCTAAGGCGTTATCAACGAGATACATAATCTCGCAAAAATAATAAATTAAATTAATCGTAAAGTTGTCATGTACCCCAAAATACAAATCGTAAATTGATAGGAGTGAATTCACGATTATTGATATCATCAAACACAATTCCCATCCGCCTTGGAATGGCAAAAAGGCTATGTGTCTCCAATCGGAAGATTCTTGATTATAAGCCGCATCTTCTTCATGTATAGAAACAACAGTTATTCTTTTCATTCTCTCCGAACTCAGAAATTATCAATTTGATGGATTATTTTTGTTATTTTCATTTTCATGGCAACAACAAAGATATATTTATATTTCTTCAAATTTTTATTCATGAAAAGACCTTAAATAACACAAAAATTAAAATAAATCATTATTTTAATAGCTCAATCCATCCTCGTCTTCAATTCCTTCATGGTAACCTTATCCTTCTCGCTAAAACATAATTATAACCTCAAAATTACTTCATTAATATTAAAAAATCCCAACTTACATAATATAAACAGTTGCACCCCAACCAGAAATTGCATCTCTATCAAACGCGTTCATAATCGCTTGGGAAATAGTTTCAAATAACTCATCGGGTCCTAAATTAGGTTCGTAAAGAGTTTCACACATCCCATATAATTGAGCGGAAGCTGTTCCTCCAACAACGAAATCTTCCGGTTCATTCGGACACCCGATTAAATCCATATTACATACATAAGGTTCCATTGTTTTAACATCCAACCCAGCTATAATTGGTTCAACGAAAAATGGTCCAAAACGTTTCTCGTACAACATGTTCGAAACCATCGCACTAAAAACTTTCGGGCTAATTTGCCTATTTTCTTTTAGTTCGTATAAATTTTTGCGAAATCGAAGTTTTTCCATAACAGTTTGAGTATCGGTCGCTAATCCAGGTAATCCAACATATAGGTGAGTACCCATGGGAAATACTTTTTGGAAATCCAACGACACCGTTTGAGCTTGAATACCGAAGCGTTTATCGGTGGCGATTGCCACGCATTTATCCCCTTTCATCGCTACCATAGCACCCCCGTTATACGCGAGAATCGACTGCAAAAAGAAATTTAAGATTCAATTTTTAGCATTGTCATAAAACATAACCTCACTTTTTTTATGGTTTTTAATAAATTTTAATTAATTATTTAACTTACCATTTTATGGTATTTATATAACCCTTAATTAGTTTTCAAGCGAGTTTAAGGGAGGTTTTAATTGATATATTGAGATAAATCCGGGCTTTTTGTTGCAAAATTTGTTTGTAATCGCCGATGACAGATAAAGTTGTGTCGAATCAAGCCGGTAATATAAGAATCTTTAATGTTTATAACTGATTAATAAATATTAACTAAAAAATAATTTTTTCATAATAAATTTGATTTAGAACGCAAATAATAAATAATATTTATTTATTTTTAATTTATTTTAATTTTAAAAGCACCCTCTATCTTAGGTTGTGCTTAATACAAGGCGATTTTCAAATGTTTTTTGTTAGCCATTTTTACGTTTGGTTGAGTCTCCACAAATATCTCTAAAATTGGATAGAAAAATAGTTAAAAGTGCGGATTAATTCTTTTTATTGTGATTATTGCTTGTTTATCTTGGTGTTTCGTGTTGGATTTTGTGGTAAGTAGAAAAAATTAAAGGAGTAGTTCCTAAAAGTTTTGTCAAGGTACTTTTTGCGAATACAAGTTATTTTATATAAAAAATAATTAATATTTGTTTAAAAAGGGCTAAGAATAAGCAAATTTGAAAGGAATTAATTTTTATTTGGATAAGTAATAAGACTTTAATTACTTTATTAAGAGATGGCACTAATTTATGTTGTTCTTTATAGGCGATTTTCAAATGTTTTTTGTTAGCCATATTGGAGTTTGATGAACTGCGGATTTACTAATTCGGAAAATTACTTAGAAATGGTAAATAAACGCTTGAAAATGTGGGTGTAAGTATTAAAATTTGTTCTTATTTGGTTTTTAGTTGTTAAGATTGATGTTATGATCTTGTAGAGTTTGAATCCTTCAGTAAGCTTAATATTTTGGGGCCAATTTCATTATGGGGTACATTTAAAACGATTAAAACAACGAATATTATTTTTAATTCATATATAATATCCATTTCGTTATAATATATGTTGTACATATATCCATAGTGTTTCGTATATTAAATTACACATAAATTGCGGTTTATTACTTCTTTTTTAAGGGTTTCTTTTTCAAATTCTCTCCCTGTATTATTCCGTAATAATTAAAAAAAAAATGTCGTGGATATTGTTACTTTTTGTTGCTTCACTTTCTCATTTACAGTAATTAAATATTGTTACCCTGTTTTTCTTTTTAATCTTTCTACTACACATTTTCTTACTTCATTTTCACTCTTCCTCGATTTTTTTTAAAAAAGAATTTTTTTTATGATACATAATATACGTGTTACATTTAAGAACGATAAGTACATTTAAAAAATTTTAAAATAAATAAACTAGAAAAAGAATGTTAAAATAAAAATATTCATCATCAGTCTATATAAAATAATTAATAAAATTATTATGTTTTGGTTAATTATTCGTATTTACACCGAATTTCTTTTTTTTTAATTTAAAATTAATAGCTGAAAAATTATTGTATCAAAAAACGAGCTGTACATTTTGAGTTTTTACCAATTTTCTCGGGTATATGTATAAAAAGGAAAAGCTTACATATCAAAAATTATTATTAACTAGATCTAATTGATTTTTTTTTCGTTTTTCTTCCTAATTAATTTTTTTTTCGTTCAGTATACATTGTTGATTAAAAATAGAGATTAGTTCCAGTTTAGGTTTCGCTGTATGAGTATCCAACTATTCCTTGGTCTGCAATACAAAAAAGAATTAATTCCCCGCTTTATTTATAGTTAAAAACTAAGTTTTTAGGTCATAATTGTGCTTAAGCTATGCAAAAAAGTGCTTTTTACACAAAAAAATGTCAGATTAAGAATAAATAAAACGAAAATTACTTACCGTTCCATTTCAGAGTGTGTAAAGGTGAATGAAATGTATATTGCACGTAATATAGCGTTTTTATAGGTAACTTAATACTGAAACTAAAAAGAACGCAAATTGAAATTAGTTTTTTCCGCTTCCTTTTGGTAAAAACTTAAATAAAAAATTAAAATCAAAAAATACTCGTAAAAAATATTTATTTCATGCTTCATGCACTGCCTTTCTTTTTAAAAACGAAAAAATACAATAAGTAATCATTAATTAATTAAAAAATATACAATCTACAAAGTCATTAAACTAAAACTTACAAAAAAAAATGAAATATTTTTAATGGAAAAGTAATTATTTCTTGTAATACGATAAATACAGGGAATTATTATTTGTTTAATGCTAAAAATATCTACTATCTATTTTCGTTTTAAATATTTAGTATATTTACATTAAAAAAATGATTTATTATTATTTTTTAGAGAAATTGGATAATAATAAAAGCAGATTAGAAGAAGAAGAAAGAAGAGAAGTGCTAATATATAAGTTTTAGGAACTGGTCAACGTAAGAGTGAGGTCTCTTTTTTCTTGTGTGTTTGTTCGCTATAAAAAAGAAGAAAGAAAAATTTATCAATCAAGAAAACATAATTGATTCTTTAAAATGGTAAGATGAATTTTAAATGATTTTTGTTACGCACAGGGTGACTCTTAAAAAATCACAGATAACTCAAACACAACAAAAAATACAAAAAAAATCAACCCTGTTAATAAATTAATATAAAACAAATTATGGCACAAAACAAACGAAAAAAAAGATACCCAAATAAAAATAATAGTTAAGAAAATAAAGAAGGAAAATGAAAAGATTAATAAAGATCTAGATAGAAGCCAAACACGCAAACAACATCAAAAGACTATTTCAAATAAACTACATGACATCGACAAACATCTCGCAGGGATTCCCCATAGCTATTTTAAATGATTGTCTACTACCGGCTATGTCTTTCTGTTGATTCGCCACCTGGGTCCCGCTGCTTTGATCCGAACCATTCGACGAACCGTTTCCGTTTCCGGAAGCGACCGGAAGAGCCGATCTAGGTCCCAATGAGGTTATGTCGCTATCCGAGGCGCTGCTGTGAGCCGCGGCGGGATCTTTTAAATGATCGGAACCGTTCGAAGAACCACCTAATAATAATAATTAAAAAAAAAAAAACAAAGAAATAATAAAATTGTTATATACGGGTGTTTGATTTTAGTTATCACAATAAATATCGCGACTATTTTTTATACCAAACGTGAAGAAAAATAAAAGTTGGGTTAGCAACTGTCAATGTTAAAATTAAATATAACGATTCAAAAAGAATCAAAAATGCTTTAATTTAATACCAAACATAATATATTTGGCTTAAAAAACAAAAAAGGTTAGGTTATAAACTGTCAAATAATCGCCATTTTTTTTTTTTGCTAAAAATTAAGATATCTGGATAACGGTTGTAGACAAATAGGTCGAGTTTGCGTTCATTTTAAAGGATTTTTAATTTTCTATCTATTTATGTTAAAGAAATAACACCAAATGCTAAAACCCGACAGCTAAAATCAAACACACCGTATATTAATCAAAAAAAATCTCACCACTCCCACTTAAAACAGACTCCTCCCTATTATACCCATACACTGTATTTTCGCTAGCCGTATAAAACGGCATCGGCATATACTCCAAAGGATTATAAGTGCCACTATACGGCATATAATTGGGAACGTTCGGTAGAGGTCCAACGGAATCGGTGTCGCCTTGTATCTTAAGATTAGACATGGCTGAGCATAAATCGCCGAAAATGTAATAACATTGTTCGGAGAACGTGATCTTGTTGACTGTGTGTCGAATGAAGCCAGCTTTTAATAAATGCGATGCGTACTTCCGGGCTTCGCGCCTATCTTGGAAACCGTTTACGTGAGTCAAGATCCAATCGATCATATCGGTGCCGATGAAAGCGTTCGGGATCGTTATTTTTAACCACATTCGGTCGCGAATTTCTAATCCGCTGTCGGCTCGTTGCATTGCTTGGACGATCGTTGCCATTGGAGAGTTTATCGTTAGGGGTTCTTCTAAATCTGGAACATAATCGTACATCTTTACGTATCTGCCAATCTATTTTTAACTCCACCCTGTATTTGTTTATTTTATTAAAAACAAAAATGCGATGCAAAATAAGATAAAAAAACTCGAAGACGAACTAAATAATTATGTAACGATTAAATTTAAATAAAAATAGCAGTTTTAAGCACGTACCACAGTCTAACATGCACTCACGTTCGTTCGCGGGGATCGTGCTCGTTATTGAGGCGCTTGAAACGGTCGAACTGCTTGGGGGGCGCGCCACCGGGTCCCCTCTCACCGCCGCTGTATGAGCAACCCATGCACCTTAAAAAAAACTAATAGAAAAAAAAGTTTTATTACAAAATAGATTTACCTGGATCTATCGGACGAACTGGTTCAGTACGAGGAATAGTAAAGTAACCTTTTGGGTTTGGATCCCAACATTTAGCAACAACCAACTTAATCGGCCTAAGAAAAATGTTTTAACTAAAACAATTACTATTTTTTTTATTAAAATTAATACCCTGGTTTTTGGACGACCTCCCTAAGAACCCTTACGGCTTCATCATTAGACATATTCTCAAAATTGACATCATTAACCTGCAAAATCATATCACCCGGTTCGATCCGTCCGTCGATAGCCACAGCTCCTCTTTAAAAATTAATTTTTAATTTAATTACACATCAATTATTAATCGAAATATTTACCCTTTCATAATTGATCCGACGTAAATCCCCCCATCACCGCCCTTATTACTTTGCCCCACAATCGAAATTCCCAAAAAATTAACTGTATCCATATTCAAAGTTACCGTGATTATATTCAACGACATCGTACTGTCTGTTATGCTCGAATACGAACTTGTACGAGACATTGCTTGCATGCGTTGCTTCCGTCGCCTTTGGGGCCTCTTTCTATTCCCAACGTGTAATCGACTTACGCTCGAACATTCCGAGAGGGCCGTGTGTCTCCCGGTTGTTTCCGAAACAAAACTTGTTGTTTCTAAATCTGAGCTTACTATCGATTCGGTTTCGTATAATCTAAATTTGATTCAAATTAATTATTTTTTAAGAAAAATTCAAGAATCATCATGTGGCTTAAAAATCGATCATCAAATGACCCAAAAAACACGTTAAAAGTTTCGATGCGACGTCACAAGCAATGTTAACCATGCATTGTCCTATTAAACCGGTCAACACCTAACCTACAAATTATTTTTTATAGCCACGCACAAAATCAATCTAATAACCTTAAAAGTAAAGTTATTTTCACTAAACTAGGTGAGATTACAAAGTATATTTCTTTCTATGCACCACGACTGACCACCTGTCGTTAGATAGACTGTGTATCAATACACTCTGTGTTAAAACTAGAACTAACACTAGACCTAGAACTAAAAACATGGTTAACGTTTTTTATTCTATCTTTTTTGTTTTTCGAGATAAATGCATCATGTTTGGACACATTTTAAAGGTTTTTTAATAAAGAATACATGAAGTTGTCCATTTGTCTATTAGAAATATACTATAATTAACTTCAGGTTTAAACTGTCAACCTCAATTTTGACATATTTGTAATCTTCATTAAAAATCCTTTAAAATAAATACAAACACGACATATTTATCTTCAATATTAATGAAGTTATGGTCAACTTCCGGTTAGAAGTGACAACGTCAATTTTGAGAAATTCTCAAATGTCAAAATTTATCACAAAATCAAAAATACAATAAAAAAAATCAAAAATTAAGGTTGGTATTAATATTTACCAAACTTATAATAATAAGAAACTGGATATGTTTTGGTTAAGAAATAAAAAAAAGTTAGGTTATAAGCTGTCAAATAATCGCTATTTTTTTTAATAAAAATTAAGTTATCTTGATAACAATTAGAAATACATAAGTCGAGTTTGGGTTCATTTTAAAGCATTTTTAATTTTCTTCCCATTTATGTTAAAAAGGAACACCTTTATAATGAAAAAATTTGTTTTCTTTATAAAATCGCTATTTTTAATTTTGACATTTGGCAGTTATAACCTAACTTTTTTATGTTTTAACCCAAATATATCATGTTTGGTATCAAATGAAAGCAATTTTGACGGGTTTTACAATGATTGTTAGTAGAAATAAAATTAAAACTAGAAACTTGGATGTTATGCCTAACTAACGGCATAACATAACCCACAAGCTTCTAGTTTTAATTTTATTTCTAACATTCACAGAGTTGTATAATATGATACAGGAGAATACATGTAACGTTTAAATAATAATTATTTTGACAACCATATCTAGTCTTTTCCAAGTAAGTTGTGGTCTTCTTTTTCAGCATCTAGCATTTTAGAAGCACTAAGTAACTTTTTAAAATAATATTTCCTCTTTTCAAGCAGTTTTTAGTCTTTTACTAGCAGTATTTAATCTTCTGATAGCAATAATTAATCTTTTGCTAACAGTATCTAGCATTCAGGAACCAACAAGTTAAAGTTTTTAGGTTATCTTTAGTTTATAGATGGTAAACAACGACGTTTTACACTCTTCCACACTTTTTCTTTATTTGTAATGGCTTACTTGGGTGATTTCCCCTCGATTAAAAAAAATTGTCGATTTTTAAGCCACAAGATGATTCTTGAACTAGTTTAAAAAAATTTTACCTCGGGAGATGTCCGTTTATCCTCGACGAGTATTTATGATGCCTACGAGCTTGTCTTGAGCTTATAATGCTTTCTGTGTCGGTACAAACTGATTCAGGGGCTTGAGGAACATGCCGTTGTTCCGATTGTATGGTAACACTATCCGTGCATTGAGATCCACCGTCCGATTGGTTTGAACCGTCAGCGGAAACGAGCTTAAATCATTCATTTTAGCGATTTAAATAGAATTAATGTATTATTACTCACCCAACTAACAACTCTTCCGTTAAAACACGGCAAATGAGCCCCATCTTCAATAATCTCCTCTTTAACCACTCTAAATCAACAAAGTAAAGTTTTAATAAATCATTTTAATGATTGAAAATTAATATTTTAGATGATTCGTACCCAAAATCATCATCCATCGATTTAAAAAAGAACTTGTAGTTGGGTCTGTTGAGGACATTTTTAAAATCAGCAAGGGTGACCTTTTCCGGCGCAATCGGTATCTTCACGAGATAGGGCGTCTCCTCATCATCGATGTGATAAATCACTTTGGTTTCGTCCATCGTATTCGGTGAGCGGCGATGGTGGAGGGCCCCCTTTTACGATAAACTCCCCGAAACCAGGTTTTCTTTTTGACAGATACACACACTGACGGAACTTATAACAACATGGCTGTCGTTTACGCCAACTTCACGTCAGTTCCCTTGCACACCCACTTCAATTCACTTTGTAATACCAACTTAAATTCATTACAACAATAAATTTTAATTTTTTAGGTTAGATTAAAACAACAATTTAGTTAATTAATTTCTTTATTATCATTTTTTTTCAACACCATACCCAGTTATTTCATGCAAATTACTACTTTTAAACGCAACAATAATATCGCCTTTTATAAGATGTTTATAAGATTTCTTTGCCGTTGTTTCAGCTCGACTCATCCATGAAGGATTTTGGCCAAACGTAACATTACTAAAACTTAATCTAACCCCTTCGGAAACTGCGATATGTTCCTTAACCGAATCGTTACAACCAACAAAAACTTCTTGGTAATTACTTTTATACTCGTTTATATCATTATCTAATTTCGCCTCAAAATTTTCAACCCGTTGAGACAACTCGTTAACTTTATCATCTAATCCTTTAGGTTGAAAACATGGATTATCGATACCACCTTTTTCGTCGGTTTCAAAGAAACTTAATTTATCAATCGCTCTGATATCAAATCCATTATTTACAAAACCGTTATTAATTGAATCTTTGTTTTTTAATTCCTCTTTAATACTTTCCTCAACGACCAAAGTATTTATATCAAACAACTCGTTTCTTTCTCGCATATAATTATTCGGAATAATATGCTCCTCATTCGATTTACTAAATCGAACCGATTTGCGTAGCCGAGAAATCGATCGTTCCGATTTTAAAATCGGCGTTGTAACCACATTTAAAGTCAAATCTGAGTCCTCCAACACATTTAGCGTTGGATTATCAATCCCATTTTGTACACTTTTATTTTTTACGGTTGGTAATAAATCTTCGAAGGAAGGATTGACAATTCCTTTTTCAGATTTAGATTTTTTCGATGATTTTTCGTTCTTTAATGAATCATTCTTTGATAAATCGTCATTTTCATATTCAATAATGACTTTAGTTCGTTTCCTTAATTCCAAATCTATTTGTTGGGGATTAAAGTTTGGATCAAAACTCGGATTTATTATTCCCAATGTTGACACATCGGCTTGAGGATTATTTTTCGACTTTTTTGATTTTTTCTTTTTAACAGGCGGTTCTAAAACATCATCATTATCTTCGTTCGGTAATTTTCTTTTATTCGATGAATTTAAATCAGAATTAACTTTAATTTCGTTATCTTTCAATTTTTTCTTTTTCTTTTTTGAGGTTATATTTATGTCATTAACTATTTCTTCTTTTTCATTAACTATTTCATCTTTTTCATTAAAAACAGTTTCATTTTCTCTTTCAACTAAATCTTTAATATCTTTTTCTTTCCTCTTTTTCTTTTTTTTTGAGGTTAGGTTAGGTTCCTCTTTGATTTCAACAATCTCTGCAACATCTTCATTATTAAACTTTAAATTTTCATTTTCTTTTTTATTTTTTTTACATTTCTTTTTCTTTTTAACAAACATTTCATCCCCATCCAAATCTTTTTCACCAATTACCTCTTCACATTTAATATCTTGTTCCTTTACACAATCACTCATTCCGTTTTCATCCAATTTTAATTTTTTCTTCCTTTTTTTAACCTCACTTTCTTCATGGCAATTATTTTTTAATTCTTCATTCATCGTAGACGAAGAAAAATCATTTTCCGAGTATGAAATAAAAGTTTCAGATAATCTATTTTTCTTTTTCTTCTTTTTTTCCAACTTTATCTCATCTTTGGACAAAATAGTTTCATTATTTTCATCAATTTTAACTTTCTTCTCAACCGAAAATTCATCAATTTCCTCCAAACTCCTCTTTTTTCCTTCATTTAACCCTTGATCATTATTAAATCCAAATCCGAAGCATTTCTCACTCTCTGTATCAGAACCTTCCTTAGTTAACACTCCATTATTTCCGATTTTAACCCCAACATCACCAAATTTCCCAAATTGGGGCAATTTTCTTTTAAAATAATCCGTAATGGACCCTTTATTAATCAAATTTCCTTCTTTTTCATTTACATCGTCTTTAATTTCAATTTTTTCTTTATTTTTAACCTCCTTTTTTAAATTTTTTCTTCCAAAAATGTTTGCTAAATCTTTTTCCGAGTATCGACTCAAATCTTTCCCTTTCGTAAATTTGTGGTAATTAATCCGTGTTTTCACATTTTCGGCTTTTTCGTGTAACGAGCTCACTTTAACCTCATCATTTTTTGAATTATCGTTTGAATCCCCGTTTAATGTATTTAATAGTTGTGTAAAATGATCTTCGTGCTCCGTCCATTGCTCCGTCTCTTTATAACCCATTCCTTTTTGATCGTTCTTATAATTTAATTTCACGTTTTCTGTTAAACCATCCTCGTTCGCGCCTAATCCTTTTCCGTGCTTCCATCCCATTCTTTCCATCAATTTTTGCCCGAATTTTGATGAATCTAAAAGAAAAATTTAATTCTTTGAGTAGCAAAGTTAGGTTATGTCACCTTCGGACCACTGTTTTCCCCTCGGATTTAAACTCCATCGCTGTTTTTGCTTTCTTTCGGCTAACATAGACATTTTATTCTTTATTAAACAACAAATCTGCGTTGTTTTAATTATATTTTAATTAAATTCCCCTGAAAATAACGGTTTTTTAAATGACATACAACCCGCATGGTTTTGACGTTTGACTTTGACAGAACTAACTTCACCTCAATATATTAAAGCAAAATTGGTTGCATAATTTCAATACAAAAAAATTTAATTTAATTATTTATTGATATTTCTAATGGAAGACATTTCATTTAATTCTAAATCTACTTTAAATACAATTTTAATTAATAATACCATATGGGATATATTCCCTCGGATACAAATCCCCATTTTTGTGTTCGGGGGAATGCCCATGAAGCAACTCCGTCATAAAGCTAATATAAGTAATCGCCAATCTCAACGTTTCAATTCTACTCAATCTCTTTTCGTACGCAAAAGTGGGAACTTTCCTCCTCAACTTATCGAAAGCTTCATTTAAATTAAACATTCGGCGCCTCTCGCGGATGTTAGCAGCCCTTCTTTGGGCCATCGTGGCGACTCGGCGCCTCGTTTTCTTTTGAGATGACCCGGAATTCCCCGATTGACTTCTTAAACGATTCGAAGCGACTAATGGGCCACACTGTTGCCTTTGCCACACCAAATCCGAGTTGAAAGCGGCCGTTAAAATATCAGGATACGATCCTAAAGTGTGATTTTGACCGCTTAAGCAATGATGGGTGTCCCATAATGGACCATACGGGGTTATTTCATTAGAATAATTCGGATAATCCGTTCCCTAATAATTATAACAAAATAATTTAATTAAAATTTTCGATTTTTTTAAATTTTTTAAACTTACATTAGCTTCCCATGGACTCTCACCAGCAAATGACATTCTCATTTGTTAATAAAGCACTAAAAGTGTCTTTTTGTTTTAATTCTTTTGATTTTGAGATATTAACTCGGCGAATTTTCGTTGAAATCTAATCTGATTTTGCGATTTCGGATGTTAGAAATGATATTTGGGGTGGTTGTTGAGCTGGGGGTGGGTTTGGACGAATTTTTTGATTGGATCTTTGCTTTATGAGGGGGCTGGTTTGATACCGAGTGTATCCAATGAAACTTTAAAGGGCTGACACCACCCCCGCGGACGATTTTCAACTTTGGGGAAGGTTTGTTTAAGAAACAACCGAAATTATTGACTTTTCTGCTAAATTTAATGTTCATAACTAAAATAAAAAAATTTGTTTTTGAATATTTCGTTTATATCACTTAATTTTGATTTTCTTTCTTATTTATAGCATGGATATTCCTCATCTACATAGATTCAAACCCCAAATAAGGATATATTACCCTTTCTTTCGGTAATTATTGTTTTAATACTTTTTCTTATTAGTTAGGTACATTTAATGAATAAAAAGTTTAAGTTGCCGAATTGGCGTTGCTAGGCAACGTCAACGATCTCATTGATTACATTGAAAAAAAGTCTCAAATTTTGCGAGTTTTTTAATAATTTTTTATTTATTATTTAATTTAGTCCTAATTAAACGAATAATATTGATTTAGATTTAAAGTAAAACTTGTGTGTTTAACTACAAATTTGCGAGAACTAGTTATAACTTTAATTTCTGTTTATTTTAGGAAATCTAAGCTCATTCAGAAATCTAAAATCGATTTTAAGGTGAGTTCAATTTAATTTTTTGATATAATATTACCACAAAAGCATTGTTTTATTATAATCTTTGTTTTATTTAAATTTAACGTAAACATTTTATAAAAAAAGATATAAATCAACCCCTAATTTACTGAATCTAAATAACCATGACCCAGTGACATCTGCTTATTATTAAATTGCGCCCCAAAAGCACCGACAAGAAAAATATTAATACACAATACAAAGAGAATGGGGTGGATCACCCCCTCTTTAGATTAAGCCAGTTTTAAGGGTACAAGTGTACGAAAACATAACTCGAGGGTGACACCACGATTAAAAAGGGATTATGATTTTGATTTCTCCGATTTAATCAACCGCAATAAATCTCTTTGCGTTCTTATTCATTTAAATTAATTCTTAATCTGAATTTTTAATGATTAATACAAACAATGATTAAATAAAGCACCTAGGTAATTATTTAATATTAAATTTAACTTCTTAGTAGTTAGAATTTCAGATATTTGGAAACTAATATCATCGTCCCCTCGAGTAATTTCGAATGACGTATTAGCTGACAAGCGGAAATAATCTCTGCAACGTCAAAAAGGGCCCCCCAACGAATAATAATTGCGTAACCAAGTTATTTTTCGCTTCGATTATGCTTTATTGTCGATTTAATACGGTTAATTTTTGCGTAATTTACAATTTTATTTCAAAAATTTCTTTATAAATTGACGTTTTAAAAAGTGAGGTTAAACGTCAAAAATGACAGTTTCAATTTTTAGGTTGTAAATGATTTTTTTGTGATTATTAAAGAAAACCAGGTTATTCGCTTCGTATTGTGGTTTGTTGCTAATTTAATATGAATTTTTTGTAATTTGAAATTTTATTAAAAGAAGAATTTTATTTTAAAAAGTAGTTAGAATGTCAATTTTAAAACGTAAGGTTAAATGTCAAAAATGACGTTTGCAGGTTTTAGGTTATATTATTATTTTCTTCTACTGGCTTTTAGGTTATAAATTATTTATTTCTGATAAAGGAAATTAAAATTGTTGGGAGGTACAAATAATAATAGCGTAACCAAGTTATTATTCGCTTCGAATTGTGGATTGTTGTTAATTTAATACGAATAATTTTAGTGTAATTTGAAATTTTATTAAAAAAGATTGATATTTTAAAAAGTGGGGTTAAAATGTCAAAAATGACATTTGTAATTTTTAGGTTATAAATCATTTTTTCTTGATTAATTTCCATTTGGATGAATATTCCAATCTGGATGAATATGAAATATCAGAACTAGTACGAACAAATTGTGCTTAAGTGTGCTTAGGTGATTTAAGGCCGTTTTCGAAAATATCGGCCGACCTTTTCAACTTCCAAATCTTTATATTCGAGAAGCATCTCAAGCATTACCAACCCAAATAAAAATAAAACTCGGTTTTATTAAGTTACACGATGTGTTGGTGTTTGTGTTAATTGGGCGGCCGACGATATTTATTATATTTTCGAATCTCAAAACTGAGTTAAAAACGAGTTAGCACAAAAAATTGTGCTTAAGTGTTGCAAAAAAATATTTTTTATAAGTTGACGTTTTAAAAAGTGGGGTTAAACGTCAAAAATGACATTTTCAATTTTTAGGTTATAATTTTTTTTGATAAAAGGAATTAAAAGGATTAAAAATAAATAAAAAGCTTTTAATACAAAGTAAAAAATATATATTATTATTTTTTTATGGTCTTTTATGATAACAAATATAACAAGGTACATAACAAGGTGAGAATTCTTTCTTTAGATCCTATTTTTTTAATGTCTATTTACGTTTTTGTTCTATTTCATTAAATTTAACACCCTTTTTATTTAGAATATTAATTTATCTCCTAAGTTTTTAGTATATTTTTGGTCGATTTATTACGTAGAAGATCTTACGACAAAGAATCGTTAAAAATTGCAGTCTTATATAAAATTATGTAAGTATTTAAATGAGTATCATTGAAAAAGAGAGGTTTTTTTCTAAATCCAACACCTAAAAGTTAATTAAATATTTTGATCTAAAAAGCAGTTAAATTTAAATGAGTAAACGTCCACTCTTGATATCCCTTCTTTTTACAAAAATCTAATTTTAATCCTCCCGAATTTTTAACCCCCTCGCTGCTCAAACACTTTCGGAATGATGGATTATAAAGCGTTCGATTCTCAGGGAAATATTTCCAAAATTGTTCCCGTTTATGGCTGTGGCATTCGGTTAATTGGACGTTAAAATTCGAGAACGCCTCGGCACAATGATTCTCTTTTCTTAATTCACCTTTAAAGCTCAACGAAAAGTATTGGGTCATTGCTAAAAAATCATGACACATATACACCCCTAATGGGCCCACTTTATCATCTCCTAATTGTAAGTCGTCCAAACACATTTCATTTTTCGTTTTAACTTGTCCGTGGGCATAAACGTTCTCATCAGGGACGAATTTTTCTGGGTAAACATTTTCTAAATACCACTTAAACGATTTGCACCTCAATTTTTGGCGTAATTGTTTCCGATGGGCTAAATCTCCAATCATTGGGTTATCTTCTAAGGTTGGTTGATACATAAAAAATAATCTCTTGTAATCGTCCATCCAAACGTGGGCTAAACGCGCCGTGTTAATACCGTGAGTGTCTTTGTTATCAGGGAAACTATATGGGTGAAAATCTCGGAAGATATGACCCACTCGCGAACAAGGCACGGTTTCTAATCGGCCTCCACATTGCCAAATTCGAAACGACATCTCCAAATTTTCCCCACCCCAACCATCCATTTGTTCATCGTAAGAACCAATTTCCCAAAAGTATTTCCGATCAATTGCGAAGAGCCCTCCAGCCATTGTAGGAGATTTCACGGGGGTTAAAGTTAATTTATCCGAATCTTTTTGCATATCAATCCACGTAAAATGACCCGACCAAGTAAACCCACCAAGTTGATACGAATCACCTAAAAAATTAATTGAAAATGATTAAATTATAGTATATGTGGATAGTATATAAATTAAAGTATAGTATAGTATGGCTAAACCCGAATGATCTAGTGATAGTGCTAGTGTAAAACTAGAACTAACACTAGACCTAGAGCTAGAAAGTTTCGGGTTTAGCCGTGCGTCTTCAGACTCATATATTCTTTATTTTCACAAAAACAAAAATGTAATAAAAAAAAATCAAAAATTAAGGTTGGTATTAATATTTAAAAATTAAATTACTATCTTCATTGTTGCTAACTTCGGGTTTAACGTTTATTATTCTAAGTTTTTTGTTTTTTGAGATAAGTGCGTCAAGTTTGGAATCATTTTAAAGGTTATTTTATAAAGATTACGAATATAATAATAAAATTAAAGTTAACATTAACATTTGAAAGTTCTTTTAGGTGTTTTCTAAGTCTAGTGTTAGTTCTAGTTTTAGTGCAATAAAAATAGTGATATCCTATGCGTGACAGCGCTACCTACCACTGTCACTGGAACTAACATTAGACCTAGAACACAGAACATTGTTGTGTGCCTACAACATGAAACATTCAGACATTTGCAGTTTATGTGGGGCAAAGTAAGTAGGTACGCCCTGGTTTTTATTATGTTTAAACAAATAAGTAATTAAATCCGTAACTACAGTTTACTTAATATCCTTTCTGGTTTTAAAACTCCCGCCAAAAATGGCTTTGAAAAATTATACTGTGTAAACATGACTTTTCATTTTACTTCTCCGAATTAAAAAATAGAGTATAGTATTTTTTCTAAAGTATTTGAAAATATACTATTGTCCACGATTAAATAGCGGTGAATAATCTTTATTCACGGGTAATCACCTTGACAGACTAATAATAATTATTTGAAATACTTAATTTTCGTTAAAAAAAAACATGACGTTTCATAAAATTGACATTTAATTTTGACAAATTGTTGTGAAGTTGGTTACAGTTGGTAACATTGAATTTGTGTCACATTGACATTAAAACTTTATTCAAAAATTTTTTTAAATTTATATTAAATTTGTTAAAATAAATTTAGTAGCCGTCATTATAAGCTCGTATAATAATATCCCATATTATTATTATTATTAAAACTCACCGTTAGTTGAATAAGCCAAATTATTCGCTTCGATTACATCAATAATCGGAACTAAAACCGCAGTTCTCTCCTCCTCAATCCTCGCAATTAACGGCTCAATCCATTCTTTGGTAGCTTCACAATGAGCGTCTAAAAATATTAAAACATCCCCCGAAGCGGCTCTAGCCCCGTGGAGCCGAGCTCGTATCAACCCCATCCGATGTTTCAAATGAAACAATTTAATATCATGTCCTTTCAACCTCGTATCTAAATAATACTGCAACAACCCATTCAATTTATCATCCGTACTTGCATCATTAACCAAGATAATCTCCCTCAATAAATTCGCCGGAGATTGTAAAATAACACTCCAAATAGTCCTCAAAACCGCACTTAATAATTCGTTATAAAAAATTATAATAACCGAAGCTTTAAGAGTCGTTTTGTATTTAAATTCGCGACACTTCCGATGTCGGGGATCTTTTAAAGTCCGATTTAAAGGGACCCGATCGCTTAGAACGGTGTTTAAAGCAACTTTCTTTAGAGCCGCTTCCCCGTTTACTCGATCAACTCCGTTTAAATTGGCCGCTTCGCCGTTTTCACCCAGTAAAGGCATTATTCCTTTTTCGTATTCTTGTAATTCCAATTCGAATCGTTTCAGTTCTTCCGGAATGAGGTCAATTTCGTTTCCGATGTGACCCGATAAACGTTTCATATAAAAAATTAATAAAAACACACAAGCTGCGATAAAAAATGTTTTAAAATAAATACGTTTTAATCGAATACAACCAAAAGTATTCATTTTTTGTTGATTTTAATTCCAATAGGATACTTTGGTTTATCAAAACATATTTTTTAAGTTTTTGGATTGATTTGATGCTTATTTTTTAAGATGGTTTTGAGTTAAATTGAGCATTTATGGAGTTTTGACACGTATTCGAAGAAATTTCTTATTTTAAACCGTGATTTTACGGTAAAGTGAAACTTTACGGTGATTTTTTTAGGTTAGGTCACCATCTGTCAAAATGTAATAAATGTCAAAAATTATTTATTAAAAATTATTAATTAATTTTGATTCAGAATTAATTTTGATATAAATAAAAACGAGATTTCGTTTTACAATTTTAAATTATTAATGTTTTTTAATTAATACAACACTTAATATTAACTCGTTAACAGATGTCAGCACTTTATAAGTAGCTAACTTCATTCAGTTGACATTAAAAACTATCGAACTGTCACATTTGAATACGACGTCCTAGAGGTTAAGGTTAACCGCAGAACCCGGAAAAAACTATCCATATGTTGAGTAATTTGAATTTGTTTGGGCTATTTAATCGGATTTTAAACGCTTAGAAAATGTCGTAGTCGGGTCTCGACGCTTGAATCGATCGGATTTATGTTAAAATGATGAAGAAAATCGACGTTTTAATTCAAGTTTTGGTCATTATCTTAGTGGGGGGTGAAGTTATTTGTGAAAATGAATTGGTTTCGGTCGTGATTGTAAGTATTTTTATGTATTCCCATAAAAAGGCTTCATTCTTTTTATGAATTAAATCTTATTTGTTTAATTAACGAAATAAATAATTATTTTTAAAAGATTTTTAGACATGGTGCAAGAACGATTATACAACCATATCCAACCGATCCATATAAAAATGAATCTTTATGGCCCGTAGGTTTCGGGCAATTAACTAACGTGAGTTTGTTTTTATAAAAGAATTTATTTCTATAGAAAAACTTTTTACGCAATCACTTTTATGTTTCCGCAAAAAGTACTACGTTATCAGTTGGAAAAGTGAGCTTCGTTGCAAACAATCTTTATCTACGTAGTTAATTTTAGATAAAGTTATCAATAATATTTACAATCCGGGTGTCATTTTTGCTAATTAACCATGAAATTGAGTTTTTAATTACATTTTAATTAGTTGTTTGTTTTCTTTTTATCACTTTTATACACATATTTAAGCACTAATTAGTGTTTATTATTAAATGTTTATCATTGAGCTCCTTCCAGTGTATTTTAATCGTAAAATCAACAAGAGATTTCATCAATGTTAATCTTTGGATTATTTCTTCAAACAATAAAAAAACGTTGCCTTGTACTTTGAAATAATCGAAATTGCAAACTCAACAATAACAATTTAAACAATAACTTTAAATAAATTATTCGCATTCTATAATTAGTACTTTAGATGGCGCTATTTTAGTCGATAAAGTAGTTTACTTAGTGATTATCCGCCATTTTGTGTTTATGTTTTGATGTAAAGTGAGGTTAATTTTATTGATTTTTTTTAGGAAGGAAAAATGCAACATTTCAAACTCGGACAATATTTTCGCGAACGTTACGGCGATTTCCTCCCAAAGAAATACACCGAAAAGCAAGTTTACGTCCGATCCACCGATGTTGATCGTACTTTAATGTCAGCGGCCGCTAATTTGGCTGGTTTGTTCCCTCCGGAAGGGGCTCAAGTTTGGGACAAAGATATCCCGTGGCAACCAATTCCGATTCATACCGAACCTGAACTTGAAGACGCATTTTTAGCCTCGAAAAAACCTTGCGCTAAATACGACATTTTGTATAATAATATGATTAACTCTGAAGAAATGAAAAAATTAAATTTTGAGAATAAGGATTTATATGAGTATTTAAATAAACATTCGGGGGAAAATATTAAGGATTTTGATGCGATGGGATATTTATACAATAATTTATTTATTGAGAATTATATGAATTTTACATTACCCGAATGGACAAAAGAAGTTTTTCCTGATAAAATGAAACCATTATCCGATTTTAGTTTTGCTCTACCATGCTATAAAAGGGAATTAGCCCGATTTAAAACAGGACCATTTTTTTATGATTTATTAAAATATTTTAGCAAGGTTAAGCATAGAAAAAATGTTACCGATGATTACATCAAATTAAAAATATTTTCCGGGCACGATACAACCTTAGCTAATTTATTAGAATCATTAGGAATATTTGAATATCATTCGCCACCATTTAGGAGCACCCTCATTTTCGAATTGTACCAAAATAAATCTTCCGATTCAGATTTAAATCACTTTGTTAAAATTTTTTACAAAAATACGACTTCCGAACCTAACAAAATGGTTCTAAAAGGATGTGATTTCGATTGTGATTTTGAAATTTTCCAAAAATTATTGGAGCCTTTATCGATGTCTTTGTACGAATGGGACCGGGAATGCAAAGTTAGTTTATTTTCGACAGTTACCGAAAATAGAGAAAATTTAGTGATCGCTACCAGTTTATTAATAATCGTGATTTGTTTTGTCGCTGTTTTAATCAAATTTATTTATATTAAAAATAAGAAGGATCGGACGGTTTATTTGAGGTTACCGGATGATGAAGAACAAGTTTAAAATTAAACTTGGAAATTGATGAGAATGTTTGTTAGAAATGTAAAGTTAGAAAATGTTTTAATTAATTGATAAATGAGTTATTAAGTTACAAATAGAGAAAGGTTATGTGATATTTTTAATTTTTAAATATATCTTGTACTTATTTGTATTAGAATATATATAAATATATATAAAGAAACACTTCTTTAACTTTATTCTTTCTTCATATGGGTTAAAATAATAAAGTTTGAAAGAATAATTTTTGACACTTAATTTTTTTTTTTAGATTCAACACTGCGACATCTTTATAGAGGTTCCCGATGCCATTGCAGACTTGAAGGAGATTACATAAAGTGCCAAGTAAGTCTTTATTCAAATCAATTAAAAAAAGTTCAATTAATTAAATTATAACAAAAATTTGCATAACTCATTAATAGATGTCAGCACATTAATAGGCTAACTTCACTCCATTGACAACTAAAATTATGAACTGTCAGATTTAAAAATAACGTCATACAGATTGAGGTTAAGCAAAAAATCGCATCAAATTATCAAAAAGATTAGCTTCAATCACCTTTAAAGCGTATAAATAATATCAATTTTATAGTGATCGAACCTCGATAGTTGAATCAATCACATTTTTGTTAAAATAATGACGAAAATCGATTTTTTTTTACTTTTAATCATATCCTTTGTTAGTGGGCAAGTTGTTCATAAAAATGAATTGGTTTCAGTCGTGGTTGTAAGTATTAATTAATTCATATTAATATTTAAAACAAAATGAATTAATTATTTAAAAGATTTTTAGACATGGTGCAAGAACAATTTTAAAACCATATCCGACAGATCCGTATAAAAATGAATCGTTATGGCCTGTAGGATTTGGGCAATTAACTAACGTGAGTTTTTTATAATAAATAATAAAACAGCAACAATAACAACTTAAATAAATTTCTAAATAGATGGCGCTATCTTAGTCGATAAAGTAGTTTGCTTTTCCGCCATTTTATTTTTATGTTTTGATAAAGTGAGGTTAATTTTTTTTTTAGGAAGGTAAAATGCAACATTACAAACTCGGCCAATATTTTCGTAAACGTTACAGTGATTTTCTCCCAAAAAAATACTCCGAGAAACAAATTTACGTGCGATCCACCGATGTTGATCGTGCTTTAATGTCGGCGGCGTCTCATTTAGCGGGTCTGTTCCCTCCGGAAGGAGATCAAGTTTGGGATAAAGATATTCCGTGGCAACCAATTCCGATTCATACCGAGCCGCAACTTGAAGATGCTCTTTTAGCTTCGAAAAAGCCTTGTGTTAAATATGATGTTTTATTTAATGATTTGATGAACTCGGAGGAGATGCAAAAATTGAACAGGGATAATAAGGAGTTGTACGATTATTTAAGTAGATATACAGGTGAAAATATTGAGAATTTGCACCAAATGCATTCTTTGTATACTAATTTATTTATTGAGGATTTAATGAATTTTACGTTACCTGAATGGACGAAACAAGTTTTTCCCAACAAAATGAAACCGCTTTATGATTTTACTTTTGCACTACCTTGTTATAAGAGGGAATTAGCCCGATTTAAAACAGGACCTTTTTTTTATGATTTATTAAATCATTTTAGTGAGGTTATAAATGGGAGGAATATAATCAAGTTGAAAATTTTTTCAGCGCATGATACGACGCTAGCTAATTTATTAGAATCATTAGGAATCTTTGAGTATCATTCACCACCATTTGGGAGCTCCCTAATTTTTGAATTGTACCAAAACATATCTCCCGATTTAAATTTAAACCATCATGTAAAAATTTATTATAAAAACACAACTTCCGAACCTAACAAAATGGTGTTAAAAGGATGTGATTTTGAGTGCGATTTAGAAATTTTCCAAAAAATATTGCAACCTTTATCGGTGTCTTTGCAGCAATGGCAACGGGAGTGTGAAATAAAATTTTTGACAGTTACTGAAAGTGGTAAAAAAGTTGTAGTTATCGCGAGTTTATTAATTTTTGTGATTATTTTAGTTGCGGTTTTAACTAAATTAATTTGTGGTAGGTGTAGAAGAAATCGGGCGGATTATTTAAGGTTTATTTAAGTAAAAATAATGTTGACAGATTGCATAACCTCAAAAAAAAATTATCTAAAACTCTGATACTTTGGTTTTATAAGTTTTTGGGTTGATCTGATGTTTATTTTATAAGATGGTTTTCAGTTAGATTGAGCTTTTATGGAGTTTTGACACGTATTCGAAGAAATTTCTTGTTTTAAACCATGATAAGTAAAACTTAGGTTAGGTCACTAACTGTCAAAATGTAATAAATGTCAAATTAACATCGAAATTATTAAAAATAATTAATTTTGATGTACATATATAAAAACGAGATTTCGTTTTAGAATTATTTTAAATAATTCTATTTAATTAATATATTACTTAATATTAACTCATAAAGGGATGTTAGCACTTTATAAGTAGCTAACTTCACACAGTTGATGGTTTAACATGACTCAGTTTTGCATAACCTCAAAAAAAATTTATCTAAAACTCTTTATTATCGTTTTAAAATTGGTATCACAAAAGATATTTGATAATCTTAAAATTTATTGCTGTACAAATCCGTGGTTGATGTAAAATCGGTTGGAATTTCCATTCGTGCACTAAAAAAAAAGAAAAATTTGTTTATGATTTGAAACAAATTCTTTGTTAAAACTCACTTTGTTCAAAATAAATTAAAATAAATACCCAAATTACGTTAATAAAAGTGCTTCGATAACTACGTGATCTCTTCCAAGCTAAAATAATTATTTTTTACATATAAAAGTGAGGTTAGTCACATTTTTTTTTGTTATTATTCTTACTTTGAATATCCGTGTGGTGAGATAATACTTTGGGTATCCTCTTGCACCATAACGAATCGTTTCACGGAATTATATCGCAATAAACGCTCAGCCCCCATAGAAACAGCCATATGAATCATTAAATAAACACAAAACAACAAATAAAGGATTCCGAACGATATTATTAAAACCAACAAGGCCCAATTTAATGGCAAGTTCCCCACGGTGTTTATCACCGTGTATGTATTCACTCCAATTACAACAACACTCAATAATGTAGCCACCAGTTTATTTACCCTAAAAGAATTAATATTTTAATGTAATTAAAAAAAATTTGGTTTAATTTACCATCCATTAACAAATTCCCCCATAATTTCACTATTACTTGTAAAAGCGATCGTCGGAATCGTTGCGAACGGTAATTGGAGGCTCATAACAGCATTTAAAATATCGTTCATGTTCGTCAAATCTTCAATTCTTGTATAAAAAGCCAATAAAAAGGTTGGAACGATTGCGATGGTTCGCGTTAATAAAACGCGACGCCACCTCGCCCATTGCAAATTTAAAAATCCTTCCATCGCGAATTGCCCGGCGTAAGTCCCGGTCATCGTTGAACTTTGCCCGGCCGCTAAAATTCCAACTGCCCAAATGTACATAGCTGCTAACCCAAAAGTACAACCGAGAAATATTCCTCCTTTATATAAATCAGCGTCGACATAATCGTCGTTATTCTATAAAGAAATTATTAATAATAATAAAGAAAATAAAGTGAGGTTATGTTTACCGGAAAAACCGAACCATTTATTGAAGGGTAATGACTACATTTTTCAATCTAAAACATAAAAAATATTAATTAGATCAATTAGATACTTTATACTCAATTTTTTAATTCGGAGGAGTGTTTTCAAATTGAAGCGCCAAAAAGAAGGGTTGCTATTGGATGGTCAATTGATTGAAATTTAAATGTCACTATATAACAAACTTCACATTAATGTTGCCAACTGTCACCAAGGTTACAACACTGACACGAAAATAAAATAGATAAGGCAGATAAAATCGGATCATTAATAAAACCAACTACATTGATATTAAAAAGATTAACGAATTAAGATTCCTTACTTACTACAGATTAAAAGTATATTATGTTATTTTTAAATAAATAAGTATATTCGTAATTACAGTTTACTTAAAATCCTCTCTGGTTTTAAAATTCCCGCCAAAAAATAACTTGAAAAATTACACTGTGTAAACGTGACTTTCATTTTACTCCTCCGAATTAAAAAATAGAGTATAAAAACCGTTGAATTTGGTGGTAAATATAAAATAATAAAAAGTAAGAGATTAAAATGTTTTTTTTTGAGGTTATGTCACCTGTCAAATTTTTTTTGACACAAAGTTGTACTTACAATTTCATTATTTTTAACTTTAAATAATCCGTGGGCGAAAACAGCAACGACAAAAACGTTTATAACGAAACTAACGAAGAGAGCGATGCAGGCTTCGACGAAAAAATACATATTAGCTTCTTTCACTTTGTTGCGATCTTTCCGATCGATTTCGCGAGATTTCACTAAAGCTGAGTGTAAATATAGGTTGTGTGGCATGATTACAGCACCTAATTGTTTATAAATTAATTAATTATTAATTAAAAAGAAATGAAATTGTTGTACCGATAATCCCAACAGCTGGAACTAAAGCGTTAGCATCGCAATTAGTGCAAATTGGTAAAAACATCCCTTCTAATAATTCTAATTGGTCCGGTTTCGAAATGATGTATTCGTACCCGAAGGTGATTGCCATAACGCCGATTAATAACCCAAAAAATAATTCTAATTTCCTTAGTCCATATTTATCGAGGAAGAGGAATGTAAATGTATCGGCTATTGTTATTAAAACTCCTACCCATAACGGAACCCTAATTTAAAAAAAAATTATTTTTAATTTTACGATTTAATCCAACTTACGCCTTATTTGATAATAAATAAATAGCAATAGCGGTCCCTATAACTTCTTGCATATCCGATCCAATAATAGCCACCTCGACCATGATCCACAACAATAATCGAGGTAACTTCCGATACTGTCTATGACACATTTCAGCCAAATTCAATCCCGAAACGACCCCTAAACGCGCCGCTAATCTTTGCATAAGCAGCCCCAAAACGGTGGCGCTTAATAAGATCCATAATAAGCTGTATTTAGCTTTCGTTCCACTTTGAAGGTCACTTTCAATGTTTCCCGGGTCTAAATAAGCGATGCTCATTAAAAATCCAGGTCCGGTGAAAGCCCATAATTTTTTAAAACTAAAATATTGCTACAACAAAAAATAATTAATTAATTACAAACAATTTTGTTTATTATTAAGTTTATACTGATTCCGAGTGAGGTATTCGAATTCTTTCATCCGCAAAATAACTTTGGTTAGGTTGATTTCTTCGTAAAACCGCATCCTCACTAAGATTCTGTGTATTTTCATCGTTTTCTTGATCGAACGAGGGATTCGTAACTCCGGACATCTAAAATACGAAATAAAAACCATTTTTAATTTTTAGGTTATCTTTTCGACGTTAACGAAAAACGTCAAAGTCACAATTTTAGGTTAAAATCGTTTCGTAAAATAATTTTACCTCTTTCAGGTCGATTTGTTCACTGGAATTTTCGAAATTTTCTATGACTTTGTTTTTTAGATTCATTTTTGCAAGATAAAATTGTAACTTAATATCGCATAAAAACACCCAGCAAAACTTAATTAAAATTATAACAAAAAAAAATAACCTACCAACTCCATCTATGACAAGTCACACAAAAATTTATTTTTTTTTTGACACTTCTGACTAAAGAAATGTTTGAGGTTAGAATTTGTTAAAATGTTTAAACTTTTTTCGTTTTAAGATGTTTTTCTCGGCGTAAAAACGATCGAATCGTGACTTTAACGAGTTTTTAATAGGTTTATTTTTGTAAAAATTACGTAACAATAAGAACAATAGTAATAATAAAGGTGCAAAAAAGTCCCGTGATAAAATTACTTTTTTATTTACCTTTTCTTCGTAAAAATTTCTCACATTTTTAACTCACTATTAAATTAGACACAACACATTCGATTTTGCACCAAATATGATTCTAAAGTCCTGTTTTAGAATGAAAATATGTTTTTATTAATAATATTTAAAACGATTGCGTTAATCCGATTGCGATAATAAATTGCGGAAATTTAAACCACTTTTTTATTAAGATAAGATAAGAAATTAACAGATTCCATATGTAATATTAATAAAAACGGAACTATTTCAAGGAAAACAAGTTAACCTTTGCTTATTAATGATTTATATTTTTGTTATGAGGTAGACTGAAAATCCCCGTCGATTTTATTAAAATACATACATTTTTCCACGTAATTTGTTAACGCTTTAAAATAATTCTGCGAATTTCATTCTAAACGTGACTATGAGAAATTGGAGAAATTATTGGATTTCGTAACGGATATAACCTCAAAAATTGACGTAAAAATAAGACAGGTGCGATTAAAACGATTTCTAGATTAAAAATTGGGGATTTCATCGATAGATGGCGCCTATTAATTTATAATTAATTAGATAAAAGTTATTGCGAATTAAAAAGATCGAATCGAAATTAATTGGATTTAATAAATTAATTTTGTATTAATAATTTAGTTATTAAATAAAATAAGATTAAATTAAAAAAATATGAGGTTGGCAAGGTTGGTAGCCCTTCCTTTCATATTAATATTTTGACAGTGACAATTTCTGTTTTAAAGTTTTAAGTAATCTCTTATAATTTATAATGGTAGTGATTATTAAGTGTTTTATTGTGTTCATTAATCAACGAAGAGTTCCGTTTTGATTACTTCTTGGTGAGTAATTAGTTTTATTAATTTAAAATTCCTTTCTTGTAAATACTTGTTAAAAAAATAACCTTAACATTCTTTCCTGAGATGATTGACATTTGTAAATAAAACTAAACTTACCTAACATTCCTTTCACGGTATAGTTGACATTACAAAGAAATTTAACCTTACTCAACATTCTTTCCCGAAATGATTGACATTTCTAAAGAGAACTAGCCGTATATACGTAAGAAATTAAATTTAAAGTAATTAAGTTGGTAGCCTTGCCTTTCATATCGAAATTTTGACAAAGTCAAAATAAGAAAATCTTAATCCATCTTTTTAATAATTGTTTTTAAATTTTTTTAGGGTTTAACCGTTTGTGGTATGAGAAATAAAACTAAAACTAGAAATTTTTGGGAGATTGTGTCACGAGATTTGTTTCGATTGCTCATTAGATTTATTAATTTGAATATTTTTAGATCTAAGTAATGTTTTTAATAAACTTAATTAATTTCATTTAAATTATTAATTAATTAATTTAAAATTTATTTTCAAATTTAGTTGGGATTAAATAAAAAAAATTAAGTTGGTAGTCCTTCATGTCATGTCAAAATTTTGACATAATCGATTTCTTTTTGGCATTTTGAGGTTAGTTTATTTTAAATACTTCTTTTTACATAGATATTATTTATTTAATAATCCAATACAACAAATAACATATACAAATATATACGCATTTTAAACTATGCTTATTTTAGAATCTATATAATTTTTTTTGGTATTATTTAAATATTTTTTTAATAAAACATATTACGAGTAATCATAACAAAAAAATCACATCAAAACTCACTTAACATTATTTCTCTTTATTTAAATTACACATAAAATTGTTTGCAACTATTTATTTATTTCCTCTCTTTAATTCTTCATTACTTCATTAATTTTTGTTTCATTGAGCTAATCACGTTTTTTCGTGTGTTGTGAGTGTTGTTGGTGAATTTATTTTTTTTTGTTGGTGTATGCAACGTGGATTGTCGGATTTAATTAAAATTAATTTTTGTTTCAGATTAAAATTGAAACATCAACAGACAACATCTAAAAGTGGATTTTTAAGTAGTTTTTTGTTTATTTTAAGAATTTTACAGAGGGGGATTTAAGTTTTAAAACATTTATTTCAATTTTTAAGAGTTAAAAACATTTATTTATTTTTTTGTTAAGATTTTTTTTATTTATTGCTTCTTATTTCGACCTTTTTTCTTTAACGAATCGTTTTTAACATTTAATTTAATTAATTCAATGATAAGTAGGCGAAAATGTGTAAAAAGTCAATTCACTCAAATCAGTCTTGTTAATGTATTCATTATTTTTCATTTCTTTTTAAAAAATTACTAATTAGAAGGGTTTTTGTGTGTATAATAGCGTAGAAAGTTTTTTTCTTTTCAAATCGTTTTTTTAAATATGTTTCACCCTGTATTTCTTTTTAGATAATTGCGTTTTATTTAAATCGACCTTGTTTTACATTCCCAATCAATTTAAACCCCAAAATTAACGTTTTAACCTCAAAATTTTTTTAATTGTCAAATTTGACGTTTTAACCTCAAAGTTTTTTTGACGTTTAAATGTCAAACGTAAAAATGACGTTTAAATTGAAATCGAAGTTTTAAACTAAAAAAATATTGTCTTCTTCTTTGTATAATCAAAGAATTTACGTAAATTGTGTTTCTTTTTACTTTTTAGGTCCTTCTTCTGATCGGGTGTCGACCGTGACGTAAACTGGGCGATATAAAACGACCGATTCCCGTAAGTTATGATCATTTCCGTCGTAGACTTGGCCCAAAAGGAATTCGGGGCCTATGTATTGGCCCCCTTCGACATGCGAGGCTGCATGTTCTAAAAGCGAAAGGTTAGATTAATTTAATTTTTTGGTTTAATTTTGATTTACCGTATTTAATAATTGGTGGTGTTGTTGAGTTTGGTATTCGGAAAGGCACAGTCGCTATCGTAATCGGAAAACTTAATTGAACAATGTCCGCGTCTTTTTGAGTGTCTAAACTGACGGTTAACACGTAGTAGATTTGGGCTAGGCGGCAAATTCCCACTAAAGTGGTCGGCATTGGGGGAATTACGAGACTATTTGAGCTATCCCATTTCGTGCGGGAGTTAGGTTTCACTTGGCTCCCCCTAAAACTCATAAAAATTAGAACAAACTTAATTTACATCATTTGTAAGCTCACCTGTATTCGAAAACGAGATGTTTGATATCTTTACTAACTCCCAAAACTCCTCTATCAATAAAGAATTCGCAACATTGTTCTAATCGTACTCGTAGAGCCACCTCTTCGTCGCTTCGGTTATCTATTGTCGCCTTTAATTTTAAACTTTCCTTGCAAACGTAAGCTGAGCGTTCGAGGACGCATCGTAAACTCACCGTGCTCTTTTTGCAACACCAACAACACGTGCTTTTATCATCCTCAAAAACCACGGGTTTCTTTATCAAATTAAAAAGAAATTAAATCAAATTGGACCCAACCCTAACTTATTTACCAAATATTGCTCGTCCATGCAATCGATGTGGGGGCCAATTATCGTGAAGTACTTCATTCCTTGCGGGGGACTCGCATAAGGAATATCGACAGTTACTTTTATGTAATAACGAATACAACATGGTTTGCTCTCGAATGAGCACGGCAAATTCGATTCGGGAAGTTTAAACCTAATGGAAAATAATTATTTATTAAAACGATCATTGTTTAACACCTTTCTTACTGGAAATTAAATCTGTGATATCCTCGTGGAAGTATGGGGATTGTATTTTCCGAATTTTGCTCGCCCCAAATTACCTGGCGCTCATCCACGAAATATTGATCTTCCTTCACCGTTCTTCGATCGCCAGATAGTAAAATTCTCCATTCGACGTGAACTTTTCCTCTTAAAATTACTCTAATTGCTACAAAATTAAATATTTGATAATATGATTTGGTGGCGCCATCTCTGATTATATTTCAACATTAATTTTGATAATTGACAGTTGTGATAAAATTTTTTCATCATTCCTGACTATGTTTAATACTGTTTTGGCTCACTCCATGCAATTATTAGGTAAGTTTCTTTTAAAACACTTTGGCAAAAGTTTCTAGTCTCCCCGAATATTTTAACTTAATTATCTTTTTAATGAAATTCATTTTATAATAACTTAATTTATTAAAATTTCGTGCTATTAATTCAAATAAAGTGGCGCCCTCTCTGAATACATTCTGACGTTAATTTGCATTGTTGAAAGTTGACGTTTATTATTTAATACTTAATTAATTAAATAGCACTTTGTTGTAATTAAAACCAATTATAACTCGATTATTGGCCACCCCGAGGTAAGTTTTGAACCTTTTTTGCTCGCTCAAAGTGATCATTTCGATCAAATTTCGAGTCCTCCCAATCCAAATTTTTAAAGTTATCTTTTAATTTTAAATTAAAAATAATAAAATTTGTTCATTTTAATCAAAATTTATTTAAAAATAACTTATTTTATTACAAGAAATATGTTAAATTTAAAATTTAACTCTATTAATGGAAATAAGGTGGCGCCATCTCTTCATTAATTTCAGTATTAATTCTTATTTTTGACAGTGACGTTTATGAATTTACATTGTGATAAAATTATGTTTTTTTGAAGGAAAATGATGCTCTATTTTAATTAAAGCCGATTATTAACCATCCCGGATTATGTTTGTAACTCCATATGATATGTGAGTTACGATAACAACCAGAGAAATCAGGAGAAAGTGCAAGAAATCAACAACCAAAAGGAAATAACTCAATTTATGCGCAATTTATATGTTATTATAGATAATAATTAGGCATAATAACTGAATTAATTGAGTTATTTAAGTAAGTAATGCTCCAGCTTAATGCTTAAATCAAATTATTTCAAAATTTTTAAATTTTGACAGATGACAAGAATGACGTTTAAGTTGACATTTCGAACTTGAAAATTGGAAAATTTAATTATCTTTTAAGGTAAGTTCTTTTTATGATTAAATTAAAATAATATTAATTTAAACAATTAACTTACTTTTTAATTTGAAATTTTCAATCGTGTCCAAAATAACGGCTCCGCTTACTTGTTCCCCCGCGTAATAATACTCTTTATCCAAGCGGATATCAAATTCCCTTATATAGTCCATTTTATCGGCTTGTTATTGTTGTTGATCATCCAACTGTTCTCTGAACGCACAATCAATTCAAATCATTTTTTTTAAATCGAAAAAAAAATCTCTTTGTTATGGGTACAATTAAAGAGAAAATTGGTTTTATCTTTTCCCAATCAAAAAAAAAACTCACTTTATTCACATTTTCAATTTAATTTATTATTTTTCCACCTTTTTTTATTTAAACACAACTTCTGTTGAATTTTTTTTAAGCATTAGCACTTTGTTTTGGGTAAATTTAAGGTTGTGTAAGTTTCAAAAGTAGTTTTTGAATGAAACTAGATCTTTTTGCGTTTCTCGTTAAACACTGAGAGATATATCAGTCAGCTGATTCCCTCTCGAATAGAGAAATATCGAGAAGGGCGCGAGATCAATAGTTGGAGGCATGCTCCATTTGTGGATCGAAGTCCGAATAAGCACCGATTGGAGGATATCCAGCGGCTACGCCCCACAACGATTATATTCTATTTTCCTTTAGGGATTCATTAATGATTACAAGCTCTTATTGCGAAAAAAAGGTTGTTTTTAATTCCATTTTTTATCAATAAAAAGAAACTTTTTTTATAAAATCCATTGAAAATAACTGAAGCGTTATAAAATTAAAAATTAACCTTGATCTTATTGTATCATTTTAGTATAAAAATCATGATAAATTCAAATTTAAATCAGTTAGAACTTAATATACCCCAAAAAACATCACCAAAATGTTTAAAGTAGTTCTTTTAATATCGCTTTTGTTCTACATAAAATCATCACAGGTAAAAAATAATTAATTTAAGCTTTTCCGAGAGTACATCAATACATTCGTAGGCTATGATCCCATCTCTCATGCAATTCAAAACTATTTGTATGGAAGAAACCGGAATAACAGAAGATGAAATTCCACGTCCACCTTCCGGTTCACCACCTTCAGGTCCCCCACCTGACATGCCAGAACCATCTCAAAAATTAAAATGTTTCTTAGCATGTTTACTTGAAAAAGGTGGCCTAATAAATTCGTCTGGCGATCTCCAAGTAGATAAAATCCCCATTCCAGGGGTTGATTTCACCTCGTGCAAAAACATAGAGGAATCAGATAAATGCAACAAAGCTTTTTTGATGGAAAAGTGTGTACGGAAATTATTACCGAGGCCTTAACCACGTCCGAATCACTTCATTGCGTTTTTAACTTAATCGCTTTTTAATTTTAATTAACATTTATTAGTTAATTTCGGTGGATTTTATGAAATAAAAGGGAATTAATACATATTTTTGATCAAAATAACCTAACATTTTCCAACATCCTAAAAACAAAGAAAATGCGTTATTTACATTAAAAATTTAATAATCTTACTATATTTTATTGAAATAACATCATTTTAATGATTTTTTGGGTTTATTTTAATAATTTAAACAAATTTTCTTCGTATAACCTCAAAATTAACTCAACTTACTCCATCTATATGTCATCACACGAAATTAATCTGTCAACTAAATGTGTTATTTGCGATAAAAAGTTAATAATTTATCATATTTAATTGAAATAACCACTTTTTTATGAATTTTTGGATTTATTTTAATTTAAATAAATTTTTTTCGAAAAAATTAAAAATTAACTTAAACAACTCGCTCCATCTATATATCACCTCACGAATTAATCATATAAACAAATTGTCATAAACGTCAAAAAACCCGAAAAAAATTTCTTTTTCCTTAAAAAAATGGAAAATTACGAGGAAGATTTCCTCGAAGACGACGATTTCATCATAAATTTTCCACCTGAGGTTCAGAAAGCGATCGAGCAGGTACTAATTAGTTACAATCGAAGAAAATTTAATCCTAACCTCACTTTTTTTAATCAACCTAAATAATTTTAGGTTTTACCCAGTAAAGATCCTTTGGATCAACCCGATTTTAACACAATCGATTACATAAACTCCTTATTCCCTACGGAACAATCGTTGTCGAATATTGATGAGGTTGTTATTAAAATGGAAAATAAAATCCAAACCATCGATAATGAAATAAGTACAGTTGTGCGGGGTCAAACAACCGCAAGTTCGGATGGAAGGCAAGCATTGGATGAGGCTCAAAAAGTGATTAAACAATTATTTGTGCATATTAAAGACATCAAGGAGCATGCGGAGAAATCGGAGGAGATGGTGCGGGAGATAACCAGGGATATAAAGCAATTAGATTGCGCGAAAAGGAACTTAACTTTAGCGATAACCACTTTGAATCATTTACACATGTTAGTTGGGGGTGTTGATACCTTAAAAAGTCTGCAAGAAAAGCGATTATACGGCGAAATAGCTTTGCCGTTACAAGCAATAAGTGAGGTTATGACCCATTTTGAAGCTTACTCGGATATCCCTCAAATAAAAAATTTAAGCGATCAAGTCAAACAAATTCACGTTGAATTAGCGGAGCAGATAACGCACGATTTTAAAGAAGCCTTCGGGGGAAGCGTTAAAATTAATTTACCGAATAAACAATTATCGCAGGCTTGTTTAGTGGTTTCAATTTTAGAGCCTAGAGTTAAAAAGGATTTATTAAAATGGTTCGTTAATTTACAACTCCAAGAATACAATCATTTATTTCAAGAAACCGAAGATACTGCGTGGTTGGATAAAATCGACAAACGATACGCTTGGTTAAAACGGCATTTATTAGAGTTTGAGGAAAAATTGGGGAATATGTTTCCAACGAATTGGGAAGTTTCTGAAAGAATTGCGGTCCAATTTTGTTACGACACTCGAGATGAGTTATCTAAGTTGATGGTGAAACGAAAACATGAAATCGATGTTAAATTATTGTTGTATGCAATCCAAAAAACGACGAATTTTGAAAGTTTGTTATCGAAGAAATTTATGGGGATTACGATTAACGAGGAGAAAGAGAAAAATGTGAAATCTCCGTTTCATTTGTTGATAGGAAAGTGTTTTATTCCTCATTTAAAGATTTATATTGATTCGATTGATTCGAATTTGTCCGATTTGATTGAGCGATTCCAACAAGACGAGAAATTCCAATCAAATTCGGAGCATTTAACCTCAAACGCGATTGTTTTACCAAGTTGTGCCGATTTATTCGTGTTTTATAAGAAAAGCATGATTCAATGCACCCAATTAGATACGTCCCAATCGATGTTGGATTTAACTAGGACTTTCCAAAAATATCTTCGCGAGTATTCCACAAAGTTGTTACAAAATAACTTACCGAAACTCGAGCAAAGCTCTTCTTTGGGGACAAGCGTCCAATCGATGATTACGCGGGATTTGCAAAAAATCTCGACTTCCGGGTTAATTCAGAATTTTCAATCGCTATTAAAGGAAGGTGAAAGTGTTCGATTTACGAAAGATGAGCGGATGAGGATTTGTAGTGTTTTAACGACGGCCGAGTATTGCCAGGAGACAACTCAACAATTAAGCGATAAATTAAAGGAAAAAATTGATGCGAATTTGGTGGACCAAATCGATTTGAGTCAAGAACAAGATCATTTCCATGGGGTTATCTCGAATTGTATTCAATTATTAGTGCAGGATTTAGAGAATGCTTGCGAACCAGCTTTAATCGCAATGACTAAGGTGATTAAATCAATTCGATTAATACGAAAATAATTATTTCGGTTGACACTTGGGTTGATACGCGGACGTTCTGGGTTCGAGTACCGGTTTAAATATTTTCACCAAGCTGCTCACCCGTCCAATTAAGCATAAGGTTATCCAATTCGAACAAATTGACGTTAACAGGGTGAGGTAGGATACGTGACGTCATTGGAGGAAAATAGTATATTATTATACCAGCATATAATGAGAATTATATGTGAGTGGAATACTACACTTTGTCCATGACTACTGTTGAAATCGATTCCATAAATTTATTTCTTTAAATACATTTTTGAAGAAAGTTTAAACGTCAATTGTGACACAAATTCAATGTTGCCAACTGTATCCAACTTCACAACAATTTGTCAAAATTAAATGTCAATTTTATGAAATGTCATATTTTTTTACGAAATCAAATTCTTCAAATCAAACTGACATGGACAAAGTAAGTAGGTACGCTCTGGTTTCTATGGAAATATATTTTTGTGTATTGCTTCTACATAGAAATGTCAATTCTTCCAATGACGTCACAGCAGGGTCTTTTCCGGGGGATACGTTCATAACAACAGCGTTCATAGGGTGTTGGATAACCTTATACAGTATATTTACTCAACGGCTGAATGTGCGTTAGCGCTCTAGAGGGTGCCCTCGTGGGGTCGTACCGGGGGACCAAGGGTTGATGAGCTCTGCTCCACCTTGGTTCGAGGGGGGCCGCGAGGGTGTGGTATCCTTGAGCGGCACCTGACAGGGGCGAACCCGCACTGGAACCTATGCACAGCACGTCCGGTGAAAGGGCGTCGGTCAGGAAGCAAAATTAGCCAATAATCGAGATACGCTTGTATAACTTCTCAAACCTCTTAGAGGAGGATGTACAGTGTGTTAATTATTTATCGTACCCTACGTCATCATTGCAAATATGCAACCAATATCACAGTATTGATATTGCGATACGTGATTTGCGTATACCAATACTGTGATATTGGTTGCATATTTGCAAAGATGACGTCGTGTACGATAATTAATTAAAACACAGTACAAGGGGCCCATTGTGGCCTAACTGCCGAGTATAGAATAAGCACTCCCCGTACCATACATACATACATACATACAAATAATAATTTTTATTTTTTTTTAGATCCAATGGCAAAACATCGACTCGGTAGGTGACCAAAGTTCTTATATAACCGCTTTAACCACTCACTTCAAAAACACAATCCCCACGATCCGAGATAACCTCTCAAACTCCCGGAAATATTACACCCAATTTTGCGTAAAATTCGCCAACGCTTTTATCCCAAAATTTATCCGGTCGATTTATAAATGTAAGCCCATAAACACCGAGGGGGCCGAGCAATTATTGTTGGACACCCACATGTTGAAAACGATCCTCTTAAATTTGCCTACGATTTCGTCACAAATTGATCGGCAAGCTCCGGCGTCCTACACTAAAGTCGTTAATAAAGGGATGACGAAGGCCGAGATGATTTTAAAGGTTGTGATGACCCCGATCGATTCCGCGAAAGCCTTCGTGGAGCAATACATGAAATTGTTACCCGATTGCCAGCAAGGCGAATTTTATAAGATTTTAGATATGAAAAACGTTAAGCGGCAGGAACAAACGGTTTTAGTTGAAATGTTAAGAACGCATAAACCGAACGTTGAGAAAGAAAATGATTAATTAGAATAAGGTAAGGAATAATTTAATAAATTTATTTTAATTACTATTTATGATCGACATAACCTCAAAATTTTCCAAGATCCTAAAAAATACATTTTTATTTCATACTTTAGTGAAATAACTTCTTTTTGATTAATTTTCGGAGTTGTTTTAATAATTTAAATAAATTATTTTCGTATAACCTAAAAATTAACAACTACCTCCATCTATGCGTCACTACACAAACTTATTATCTACAGTTTTTGTTATAAACCCGAATAATCCCCTTTTCCTTTAAAATCAACTACATTTATTGAGACAACATAAATTTTCGTGATTATTTTAATGATTTAAATACATTTTCTTTAAGGAAAATTTAATTTATAAACGACAACTCACTCCATCTATACGCCACTACACAAACTAATTGTCAACAAATTTTTATTTATAAACGTTAATTACCTGGAAAAAATCTCTTTTTTCTTTCATATCAACATAATTTGTTGTAATAACATAAATTTTCGGGTTTCTTCGAATAATTAAATAAATTATATACGTATAAACCAACAATTAACTCAAACACACAAACGTCAGCGCCATCTATACGTCACCACACGAATTAATCGCGAACAAATTTGAACGTCAATTCAACCCGAAAAATCTCTTTTTTCCTTAAAATAATGGAAAATTACGAAGGAGATTTCCTCGAAGGCGACGATTGTATCATAAATTTCCCACCTGAAGTTAAAAAGACGTTCTAGTTAGTACTAATTAGTTAAAATCGAGAAAAACTTAATTCTAACCTCACTTTTTTTTAAATCAACCTAAATGATTTTTGAGTTTACCCAAAAAGATCCCAAATCGAATATCGATGAAGTTGTTAAAAAAGAAATAAGGTAAGAAATAATTTAATAAATTTATTTTAAATACAACATTAAAAATTATTTAATCACTATCAGTATCCGACAAAATCTTCCTACCTAAACCCTTATTATCATCAAATTCGCTTTCAAAACATCTCCCGAAAACCAATTTAATCAGTTTCGTTCGAGGCGATTCTGATTTATTTGACATAACCTCAACTTCCATTTCATTTTCCTCGAAATCCATCTCGAAATTTTCTAAGATTGTTGGACTATTTAAATTAATGTTTTGATTATTTAATTTTAATTCATCTGTTTCTTGCGATGACCCATTTCGACTTAGGTTTTCCGATGCGAACCCAGCCGAAGCGAAAATAAAGTTCCCTTCGAACGCTAAATCTTGAATCGAGAAAATCACCGGTCTACAATTAAATTTATTTTAAACAGGTTTAAATAAATAATGATCGATATTACTTTCCACCACAATCGAAATTTAAAATTCCGTTTAAGCTGAAATTTTCGCAGAAATTAGCCGCTGCTCGAAACGATCTAAAACCAATCGTAATTGTTGTCGTTTCATCCCCAATTTTGTATTCGTCGAAATCGGCGGGTTTTAAAAAGATTTGTGATCTCAAATCGTGAGTTATTTCGTTATCTTAAAATAATAATTAAACATAACCTTAATTATAATTAATTTTGTTTAGCTTACTTGATGAATCGTAGTTTCTTACAATACATTTATTGGGTTTAAATTCCATGCTCATATCTTCATCACGACTTTGAAAATTATTCAAAATTCTTTGTAAAACAACTTTTCCAAAACTAATTTTCTTTGATAGTTTTTCCGGGTTATAATCGACGTTGATTAATTCCTTTTCGACGAGATTAATTTCGTGCCGAACGCTTAAATCGTGACTATACATTATCGTTACTACCAAAATCGATTCTTCGTTTAATTCGAGCTTACAACATTCCACTTTTTTATCTTTAGGCCCTTTCGATTTAAACACGTTGGATTTCATGGGGATTTTGCACGAAATTGATTCATTGGATATCGATGTTAGGTTTAAATCAGTGAAAAAGGTTGCGTTAAAAATGAATTTGGCGAAAGCTGTTTTCCCGTTGTTAACCGTTGATATTTGTAGGGAATCAGCTCTTGTTTCAATATATAAATAATCTCCTATTTTTGATAGGGTTTGGCACACCTTGTTGAGTACTAAAAAAAAGGGGTTAACACAAATTAGGATTAATTTATTAATTACTCTTTAAGTTAGCTCCGGGTATAACACAATTCATTTTTATACAAATAAATTTGTTGTTATTGAGATAACCTCAAAATTAGGTTATGTTGAGATTTCGTAAAGCGCCATCTATATGAATGGGGTGAAACTAATTTTGTTTTACTTTTAATTAAATTTAAATTAATTTTTGATGAATTATTAGAACAAATTGATTTTTAAATGAAATTAATTATTAAAATTAAATAAAATAGTAATATTTGATTAAAAAATAATAATAATTCATTACTTTTCTTCTATTGGCGACATCTTTTATTTAGAAACAAAAGCAAAGCGTTTTCTATTTTTATAAAGTAAAGCGTAAACAAATTTAATTAACTTAAAATCAGTGTTAATTCCTTTATTTTTTCGTTAATAGAAGCGGAAATAACGTCAAAAGTCGCTAAACTACAGCAGCGCAGTGATTCTTGGAAGATGGACTTGCAATAACTAAATCTCTCAGAGCATGGAGGTTATAAAGGTAGGCGAAAAATTGTTTATAAATTTTTTATTTAATTTTTTAACGAGTCTAAACAAATTATTCGTTTTCTTGGCTACGCAAACGCGCGTTTCCGTTCGTCAATCTGATGGAAAGTTGTTTAGCTCTTTCGACGATGTCTTTACGTTTCTTAGCCGAGACTCCGTGAGCAATTTCCGCGCAATAAGTTCGATTTTGCATCATCAATACTTCTAATTCCTGCAAAAAATTATCAATTCAAATCAAAATAATACACAAATGATTAATAATTTACCTTAACGTTATGGACCAAAACTTTACGGAAACCAGTCGGAAGCATATGACGCGATTTCTCCCAAGTTCCATAACCGATATTGGGCATTAAATATTGTCCCTTAAACCTCCTACGTACTCGGTTATCGATACCCTTTGGTTTCCTCCAATTACGCTATAAAAAACATTATTTAAAACATAACCTCAAAAAAAATTTGAATTAATTTACCTTCAACTTCCCATAGCGATCAGATTGATGCCTGATGAATTTCTTTGTCCTCTTTTTGACCAATTTAGGCCTATAAACCGGGCGAATTGCCATTATTTATCTAAAAAAGATTGAAACGTCAAAGTGAGGTTATGTTGATTTTTATTAATAATTTAAAAAACACGAAATATGCGCGCGTAAAGGCTTATTAAAGCATTTAGGATTAAAAATTGATTATTTTTAAATAATTAACTTACCGATGGGGTAGATTTTAACTGAAAAATCTTTTCGGAAAGATCCGAAACGACCAGCGCGTACAATAGCGTGAAGTTAGAGGGTGTGCGTTTGTTACTAACAGGGTTACCAACCTAATGTTTGTTTTACGCGGTTATTTGGATTGCCTATATTAAACGATTATGTTTTAGATAAAATTTTACTTTATTAATTAAAAATTATTTAAATCGTAACAAAACGTGGATAAAAACGTTAACAATTCACTTAAAAATATATTTTTAGCATGTAAATTTTTAATTAATTGTTGGTATCCGGCGCAAATTTCTTTTAATGTCACCTAGAAAAATTAATTTTTACTAATTTTTTTATTATTAATTAAATACTTACATCGTCCCAATTTTGTTTAAAAACGCTTAAACATTGCGCCTCAAAATCTTCTTTTAAAATGAGTCGATTTTCAACGATCATCGTTAATAACTTAATGAAAACGTCCCAAGAATGCTTTTTATCCCCTGATTTGGACAACATATGGATGTTTCGTATTGATACGATTTGTTTGAAAGTTTCGTTTGGTGGTTTTGAGTCGCTCCAAAATTTTTTTAAAGTTTTTAGTGTTAATTCGGCAAGATGTGGGTTAAAAACAACTAAAAACAGCAATTAATTATTAAATTAACAAATTTTTAAATGTTAAAGTACCTAAAACCATGGATAACTCAACGATTAATTTATATATCGTGAAAACAACATTATCATTAACATCACATCGATGTTCAATCGTAACTTGAGCCTCATCTAAAACATGAATTATTTTTTTAAAATCATTTTGTTGATTTTCAATTAAATTAAGCATTAATTCTTTGATTTCGTTTAACATTTCGACTCCGCTTAAACTATCTTCATGATGATTATCCAATGTCCTTGTTAAATTCGAACTGATTTTATTATTCGGGGTTTTGATTCTCCTTTCTTCTTGATTAATCGCCTTTTCAACATCTTTGGAGCTCAAACTAACCTCAATCCACGTTTTTATTTTCTCCCGGCAAATTTTTTTTGATATCGTAACGCATTTTTCCACAACAACGGGTAACTCATCGATCGAACTTAACCCTTTTATTGATAAATCGATTTTTTCTTGGATTATTTTCTCGGATATCTCAAAACATTTCGATTTAATCTCATTGAGGAGATCATTTATTGATTTGTCGGGCTTAATTAGGTGGGATTTAACAATGTCTTTACGAATTTCGATTATTTTTGAGGTTAGGTGTTGAATGCAACTTGAGGTCACCTTTTCCGTAGCGAATTCGATTAGTTTTCGGACCGTTTCGGGTTGCGAGTTTAAAAAGGCCTCTTCGAGTTGTTTTTGGATCTCCTCGATTGATTTTTCGGGTTCTTTTTTTGTTAGCGGGGTTATGTGCTTAGAAACGTAACAATTTTTTGGGTTATTATTGGTTGATAAAACATTTTTAAACACCTCTAAAGCGGGGACGCACAAATACAAACAATTTTCACTTATTAAATTTAATTCGTCGATAGGAAACCCGTTTTGGGGATTTCCGTTTAAAATTTTTTTAAAATAATCCTCCGATTTATCATCTTCATCGAAAATTTTTTCTTTATGGCTCAATTTTTCATTCTTTGGGAAATGGGGTAACCCAAACAACCAATTTAATGAGACAATAACAAGTAAGCTCCCATAATTTTGGGGTTGCACCCCTTGATTAATCTCGAATAAAGTTTTAATCGGTTTTTGGTAACTCGGTAAACGCAGCGATACGTAATCGAACATCGATAAATAGATTACAATCCAAGGAATTGTAAAAGCAATTCTTTTCTTGTTTATAGCCCCAATTATTAAGTCATTTAAGTCCAAAATTGGGCGAAAAAAAGTTCGCGTTTTAATCTGGTTCAATAAAACTTTATTCGGAATGCTTTTCGAGCTTTCTTGGTAGGGTAAAGACTCAACATAACCTAAAAATTTCGCCAAAATTAATAATTCCGACAGTTTTTTGTACAAACTGTCAATGGCTTGCGTTTTTAGAACGTTTTCTAAAAATTTAAGTTGGTATTATTTGACGTTAACAAACATAACCTAATTTTGTGTTACCTCTATGTATTAAATCATATCCAGTAAATACATAATCATTTTCAATCAAGATATGGTTCAAAATCACATCTTTTAGGTGCTCCAAAAAGGAGGGATTCGCACAATTTAAAATAAACCCCTTAAAAAATTCTTCATAACCATAAAAATCGGGTTTTGACTCAAAATCGGAATGATTCCTCGACGACAATCTCATCCGTAACTTATTTAATTTTGATGAATCGACTCCGGGGAAGTGTTTAAAGATTTCTTCTTCGTTTTGCACCAAATCGACCTTAAAAAGTTATTATTTTCTTTATCAATTAATTAATTAATTTGTCCACAACTATCTTGTAATATATACCTTACAAATGAGTTTTCTAAATCAAAAATAACATACTTTTTTAAATAAATTATTGAAAAAATTCGAAAAAAACGTCAATGTGACACAAATTCAATGTTACCAACTGTAACCAACTTCACAACAATTTGTCAAAATTAAATGCCAATTTTATGAAACGTCATCTTTCTTTTTACGAAAATTGCGCATTATTTTTTTTTGAAATTTTAAGTATGAAGATTTCGTGTTCTCGGGGGCGGCCGATGTCTTCGAAAACGGCCTGTGCTAGGAAATGTGTTATTTTTGTTTATCTATTTGTTCGTCGTCCTGTTACCAACAATCACGTAATGTTACCAACTGTAACTAACTTCACAACAATTTGTCAAAATTAAACGTCAATTTTACAAAACGTTGTGTTTATTCAAATGATTATTCACCGCTATTATTCACTCTGTGAAAAATGACTACCCTTTCGTTTTAGAAAACTCATTTATAAGGTATATAATAAAGGTAGTCATGGACAAATTAATTTCTTCATCAAATAATTAATTAAATTATTACCTCAATTTCCTTATTACACATCAATAATAACTGTGATTTAAATAACTTTGCTAATTGCCTCAAATTAACGGGATCGGTACATAACCCCAATAAATTTTTAATTTTTTGTTGGAAAATATACTCGGTGTTTTTTGACTTCTTCAATTTATCCTCCCAAACGTTTAATAAGTCATAAAAGGAATCTCGTTGTTTCCTGAACGCGTGAAAAGATGTTAAATTGATGAAATTGTCTTTATTGTCGGTTTCGGTGGTGAAATTCACATTTCTAACCTCACTTTTTTGTGGGGTACTTAACGTTTCCTTATTTTTCTCGTTAATTAATGATTTGATGAATATTTCGAGATTAAAATACTTATCTTGATAAAAATCGGAGATTCTCGGGTTATTCAATATCAAATTTAGCGTGGTTTTATCGAAAATCTTCAAATAATCTTTTAGTTGACTCAAAGATTCCAAGGAGAAATAAATTTGGTTATGAATCGATTTAAAAAGCGATTTTATCGAGTTCTCATCGACGGATTTCGAATTTGATTCATCGTAGAGTTGAGATTTTGAGGTTAATAAAGATATCAAGAAATATAACTCCGATAGAACGTTTAGTGCGGAATTATTCTTGATTAAATAGACGTAAAGTTTCACAATCAAATCGATTTGTGAGGTGAATGTAGAATTTTTTAACTTCGGGATTAATTCCTCTTTTTTGATTATGTTGAAATTTAAGTTGTCTAATTTTAAATGATTTTTTTGGAGCTCGTTTAAATCTCCGATTATTTTGGTGCGACTCTCCTCGACGTTCTCGCAATCGATTCCTTTAAATAAATTTGGCTCTTCGAGGTTTTTAATGTTTACGTTTTCTTTTTCGTTGGAGTTAACCTCACTTTTATTAAGGAAAGTTGGTTTAATTCTCCTTTTGTTTTGTTTGTTAACGGTTTTTATGTTGGAGACGAAATCCCCCAAACACAAAGTATGGTCTTTTTGGTAAAAATTTAAACTCCTCTTCGATTTGAACTCGTTGCTTTTCCTCGGCCAAGTTGCGTTTAAATTGGGGGTTTTATTAATCGGTGTGCTTGTCGTGAAGCTTGTATTAAAATTCTTTTTGATTTTGTTATCGGGGGTTGTTAATAATAAATTTTCGGCGCTTATTAATGGAGAATCGTGGAGGAAATTTATGAAATAAGCTAAAAAATCGTGGGGGTTACACGAAACATTTTTGATAAATCTAACCTAAAAAAATTTTTTGTTGACACGTTAAAAGTGAGGTTATGTTTACTTACCGAGTTTTCTGCAGAATTTAACCAAGTTATTAACTCATCCTCGCTTATTTCGCGGTTAATGTAACCCAATAACACGTTTAGAGACATTTTTAACATTAACTTTTAATTAAAATTGGAAAATAAAACGAAATTGTGTTATTTGGTTATGTTGTTCATAGACATCTTAAAATGTATGCGTCATCACAACACACTTAATGAATTTAAAATTAGAAAATGGATTTTATTATTTATTTATTTTTATTAAAAAAAAACGCACTTAAATATTAAAACAAAGGAGTATAACGACAAAAAAATTTGTCACAGCCGATTTTTTTTGTGTTTTATTAACTACGTTTTATCGGAAGGAATTTCCGTGAAAATCACCTTCGTTTCATCATCCTCCTCAAATATTTCCGTTTTTATTTTAACCTCACTATCTTCTAAACAACTTTCTAAAGTAAATGTTTTTTCAGAGTCACTTTTATCATCATCATTTTCTTTTTTCTCTTTTTTAGTTTCAATTTCGTTGGGATTGAGATTCCGAGCTCGTAATGGTTTTAAATCGTCGTGGTCGTAATCTTCGTTGTGATAATATCTTGGTACTTTAACTTGCGGTCTCGATTTAGTCCCTTTCCGATACAAAATAGGGGGCGCCTAAAAATTTGGGGTTATGTTTTTTATTTTTTGACGTTTACGTCAATTAATTACCAACCTAATTTTTTTTTTAAATTAATTTTGACATTGACATAAATATCTTACCGATTCTTGATCACACGATTTTCTCTTTTTAACACTTTTCTTCCCCATCAAATCCTTTTTAATTTCATCTTCTGCATAATTCGGCTTTAAAAGGGGCATGGAATCATCTAATAGCGGCTTCATTAATTTCTTTTTAACATTTTGTTGTTTTTCTTGTACTTCTTTATTTATTATCGGTTTAACGTCCATTTTTGATTGTTGCGGAATCACCAACGATCTTCGTTGATCAATATTAATCGATTTGGTCGCATTTTCCTGTTTATTCTTAACATTATCGGATTGCTTTTTGTTGGATTTCCCTGCGAGTCCTTTAATCTAACCAAAACAATCAATATCATCCTTAAAATCGTTGTATTAACTTACTTGTAAGGTTTCAGCAACGGTTAATAATTCCTGTAATTTGCTTTGATCGATATGTACCTCGCCGGTGTACATGAAATCGACTAAAATTTGCAACAACCAAAACGGGATTGTATTCAGAAAGATGATGACGTGCTGGTTTGGGGGCACATCAGAAAGCATATTTTCAAAATATGCACTACACGATGATAAAATTAACTAACAAAAAAATTAAATCAGATTTAATCCTCATTAACCCCTTTTATTTTACCTTATGGCACTTTAAAGTTTTTTTCCCCGATGACAAAGTCACATCGACGAATTGCTCCTTTTTTAGCAACATCGGAAACATGTTTTTCATATTATCATGGTGGCTGTTCCATCGTAAGCAAACCTCCTCATCGTCGGAATCTTTTTCTTCCTTTTTGGGTTCGCTTATTTGATTGAAATGGTCGATATCGGGGGCTCCCAATGAATCCTCGAAGCTCGAAGTGACACTTTTCGGCCCCCTTTTTTTAAGTGAATTGCTCTCCGAGGTGTCTGAGGCGAATCCGTCCGAAAACAAAATCGATTTAAGTTTCTTCCAACGCCTTATATTCGATTCGGCGATTCCGAAGGTTCGTTCGGCTTCTCGGTTGCTAAATTTTTCGGCGTATAATACGACGGTTTTTTTGAATTCGGTTGGGTATCGTGGTAGACACGGCGTTCCCGGTGGTCTCCACTCCACGTCTTTATCCATTTCGATTAAAATTGAGTTTTTTTATTGAAGAAAAGTGAGGTTATGTCGTTGATTTAATTAGTTTCGAATTAAACTTTTCGAAATCACTTTTTATTGTTATAAAGATTGATTTTTTGATTAATACGATTCAAATTTGTGAATCTTCTCAAAATTTCTCGAGATTTTTAATTTTTATTCTATTTGAGCTATTTATTATGGCGCGCCATTTTTGTTTTGCTCAAAAATTTTTGGTTACCAATTTAATTAATTTATCTCAAGTTAATTATTAATCAATCTATATTGAGTTAATTTTATTAATTTCTTTGTTAATCGTTTTTAATTAAATAAAAATTAAATTTGAAAAAGATCGCTTCAATTTAGTAGTTTTTAATTTTTTGAGGTTGGTAATGAAAAGTTTTTCGCGACTAATGTCAAAACCTTAACCTAACCTATAAAAGTGTGTATGTAATAAAATCGCGCATTTGGGGCCCGTTTTTTTTCCTAACTAAATACGAAATGGCGGATATGGCGTCTCTTTTGGAGGATTTGATCGGAATACGCCAATTGTTGTGGGGGCCGGTTATAAAGCAGGATATTTTTAGGCGATGGTCCCAAGGTGATTTATTTGATGTTTTTGTGACTTTTTCGTTTGACAAATCCCCTTTTTAGGATTTTATTTTAGTCAACACGAACGTAGCGGTTTAGAACAATTAGAGGGAGGCCCATGCTCGATAATAGCCCCGACCCAAGCTTACATATTAAAGAAATTATTATTAGATTACGGAAACTTCTCGTTTCGAGATAATGTAACTCATGAAATCTTTGCAGTTAACTTTTTATAATTTTACTTGATTTAAGATGACAGAAGAGCTCCAAAATAACGTTTTAGTGCACGCGGTTTGCGATATGTTGCGTCAATGCACCCACGATCGATTTTGCGTGGTCTATTTAGACCAAAAAGTGAATTCGATGGAGATCGAATCGACCTCGGCTCACGCGGACCCGGAAAAGTTCCACGATCATCTACGCATTACAATTTTATCTGGGTTAACCGAATTGGAGAAATACTTTCACGAGAACGTTAATAGTTTAAAACGGCAATACGGGGCGTTATTGTTTTTGTATTCCGTAATATCAACTAAGGGATTAGATCAAGTGAAATTAGAGTGCGACTCGACCGATCCTTTAATCGACGCTATTTACGGCTACGGAAGTCAAAGTTTAATAAATCTAATGATAACGGGGAGAGCTGTTACTTACGTTTGGGATCATGAACAGGACGTGGGCGGATTAAAATTAAAAGGATTGGATAAGCAAAGTCAAATAGGATTCATAACCTCAATGGAGCATTTACGATATTGCACGGTGGGCTCGTTTTATAAAAGCCCGGTGCACCCCATTTGGGTTTTAGGCTCGGACACGCATTTAACCGTTCTTTTTAGTGAAGAGCGCAAATTGGTTAGCCCCGAAACGAAGAGCGAACAAGCGAGGCGCGTTTTTAAAAACTATGATAAAGACGGAAATAATTTCATTAACGTTGAAAGTCTCCAAGCCGTTTTACAAGAATTAGACCTCGTCAGTGACTCGGCTTAGTAAATACCAACTAAAATAAGCGAATAAATAAATTAATAAAACCATTTTTAGCGTGGATATAATGCGGAAGAAATTAGATTCGGAAAATTTAGGTATTATTCTTTTAAACGCTTTTATGGAGGAATTTTTTCCAACGGAGGAATCGTCCGTGCCCGATATGTTCCAATTAATACATTATAACGGGTTACCTATAAGTAATGTTGACGGTCAAGTAAGGGGGGCCCACCAAATCGGTTAAAACGATTAAATTTATTTCATTTTTAGGTTAAGTATCACGTGGGCTCCGCAATATTACTCGAATCGGACGTTAGATCAATATGCGAATCGAATCCGATGTTGACGTGCCTACAGACTAAATGGCCAAACATAGAGATAACGTGGTGGAATAATATCACACCCAGTTTGAACTAAAAGATCGAAAAAGTATTAAAGTGACAGTTATTAAGTTAAAGAATTGGGAGGAATTTTTTTAATTTTTAGGAGCCGCTTTAGAGATTTTTTTTTATTAAAATATTAAAGAAAAACGGAGCTTTAATAAAATAATATTATAATTAATGAATTATTACGATTATTATTAATTTTTATTTTTTAACTTTTCTACATATTAATTTAAACAATTAAAAAGTACTGTACCATTTTAGTATTGATTTTTTTGTAATAATTAAACTAAAATAAAGATTAATCGTTTTTGTTATTAATTAATTAATAATTATTTATAAATAATAAAATTAAGTTGGCACTAAAACGTCATTTAAAATCAATTTCTTAAAAAAAAAATTAAGTTGGTAACTCTTCATTAAAACGATTAAATGTCAAAAAACGAATTGGCAGAAAAAATAATTCGATTTTATCCAAAACATTGGAAGTGGAGAAATTCCCGGAATCTCCTCATCAAAATTAGACCAAAAAACATTCTACGATGAGCAAAATTTATAATCACTTTTTTTAACTCCAAAAATTAAAGTACTTTGAATTAATTAACAAATTTTACATTGGCACTGTTACTATGTAGAACTAACACTATACCTAGAAGTGTTAGTTCTAGTTTGACACTTGCACTGTCATTAGAATCTGTTTGTAAATTGTGATAATAACGATAAGTTTCTTATTTTTCTTTTAAATCCTTTTGGAATAACGTGTTATTTTAGCTTTAACCTTGCTTCTTATTAATTTCTTTAATATTATTAATAAAAGTATTTTTTAGGTTATGTTGATATAGTACAATGTTTCACCGAAAGATGTCACTAAAATCCTTCTAATTAAACATATTTTTCTAATTATATTAATTTAAACTAAATTGATTCATTTTATTGTTAAATCTTATTATTAATTTATCCTTAAATTTAAAAAAATCATTATTATTTAGTAATTTTTAATAATAGTAAAAATTAATTAAATAATAATTAATTTATTATTTTATTTTAATTATTTTAATTTTCCTAACCTGTCTCTAATAATGAACTGTCAAAATAAATTACATTTTGACAGTTCATTTTAATTTTAAATTATATTTTTTTAACTTTTCCACATTTAATGTAAACAATTAAAAAGTTTTGTATCATTTTAATATTGATTTTTTAAAATAATCAATAATTATTTATAAATAAAACAGCTTAGGTTGGTACTAAAACGTCATTTGGATTGAATTCGTTAAAAAAAAATAAGTTGGTATCCCTACACTAAAAACTAAAACGTCAAATATCAAAAAGAAAATTGGCGGAAAAATAAAAAATTAATCCGATTTTATCCAAAATAATGGAATCTATGGAAGTGGAAGAAATTCCCGGAATCTCCTCATCAAAATTAAGTGAAACCATCGAAGATAAACCAAAAAACACTAATATTCCATGGTAAGAAAATTTTTAACCTCACTTTTTTTTAACCCCAAAAAATAATTATAAATTAATTAGGGTTGAAAAGTATCGTCCTCAAACTTTCCAAGAAATCGTAGGAAACGAAGACACTGTATCCCGATTAAGTATTTTCTCCCGACAAGGAAATGTCCCAAACGTCATCATAGCGGTACAAAATTAAAATAAACTAAATCAATCAATTAATAAGTTATTTTAGGGCCCCCCGGGAGTTGGAAAAACAACAACGATACTATGCCTAGCTAGAATATTACTCGGAAACTCCTTCAAAGACGCCGTTTTAGAATTAAACGCATCCAACGACCGAGGAATCGACGTCGTAAGAAACAAAGTTAAGATGTTTGCGCAAAAAAAAGTGACTTTACCACCGGGGAGGCATAAAATCATCATTTTAGATGAAGTTGATAGGTACTATTTGAATTATTTTAAATAAAAAATAATAAAAATAATGTTTAGCATGACAGAAGGGGCCCAACAAGCTTTACGAAGAACGATGGAAATATACAGCAACACAACCCGTTTTGCTTTAGCCTGTAATTACAGCGAAAAAATAATCCAAGCGATTCAATCGAGATGTGCCGTTATTAGATATTCGAATTTATCCGATTCGCAAGTTTTAGCCCGAGTCATTCAAATCTGCCAAAAAGAGAATGTGAATTACACCGAGGATGGGTTAGAAGCGATCGTATTCACCGCGCAAGGCGATATGAGGCAAGCTTTAAATAATTTACAATCGACACATAACGGATTTGGCACGGTTAATTCCGAGAATGTGTTTAAAGTGTGTGATGAGCCCCACCCAATTTTAATTAAGGATATGTTGAAGCATTGCGTTGAAGGCGATGTTAGGAAAGCGTATAAAATTATCGATCATTTGTGGCATTTGGGGTATGCCGCCGAAGATATCATTAAAAATGTTTTTAAAGTTTGTAAAAATATGGATTTGGAGGAATCGATTAAATTGGCTTTTATTAAGGTGAATAAAATAAATAAATTTTTTTGGGTTAAGTTAATAATATTCTTATTTAGGAAATTGGGTTGACCCATCAATGCATTGTGGATGGCTTAACGACTTTGCTACAAATGTCTGGGATGTTATCGAGGTTGTGTAAAGCATCGGAAGAGTTTAAGAAAACTTAATTTTGCAACCAAGAGGTCCATCACTGCTATCATCGCAATCATAAACGCCGTTATTATATTGTTCAAAACATCAGATTTAAAAATATCCACATTAATAATGAAGCTTGCAACGCGCGACATAACCCCAAAAATTTCTAGTTTTAGTTTTACTAAATTGTGTTATGAGATTTGTTTCAATTGCCATTTAGATTTATTAATTTGGATGTTTTTAAATCTAAGTAATATTTGCAATACAGGTTATAATTAAATATCAGAAAAACTTGTTATTTTAAGGAAGATAACCTATTTACCATTTTAAGGTAAGTTAGCTCCATCTCTGATTTCATTTTGGTATTAGTTTTATTTTTTTTTTTGACGTTTATTAATTTAGATTTANGCGGAAAAATAAAAAATTAATCCGATTTTATCCAAAATAATGGAATCTATGGAAGTGGAAGAAATTCCCGGAATCTCCTCATCAAAATTAAGTGAAACCATCGAAGATAAACCAAAAAACACTAATATTCCATGGTAAGAAAATTTTTAACCTCACTTTTTTTTAACCCCAAAAAATAATTATAAATTAATTAGGGTTGAAAAGTATCGTCCTCAAACTTTCCAAGAAATCGTAGGAAACGAAGACACTGTATCCCGATTAAGTATTTTCTCCCGACAAGGAAATGTCCCAAACGTCATCATAGCGGTACAAAATTAAAATAAACTAAATCAATCAATTAATAAGTTATTTTAGGGCCCCCCGGGAGTTGGAAAAACAACAACGATACTATGCCTAGCTAGAATATTACTCGGAAACTCCTTCAAAGACGCCGTTTTAGAATTAAACGCATCCAACGACCGAGGAATCGACGTCGTAAGAAACAAAGTTAAGATGTTTGCGCAAAAAAAAGTGACTTTACCACCGGGGAGGCATAAAATCATCATTTTAGATGAAGTTGATAGGTACTATTTGAATTATTTTAAATAAAAAATAATAAAAATAATGTTTAGCATGACAGAAGGGGCCCAACAAGCTTTACGAAGAACGATGGAAATATACAGCAACACAACCCGTTTTGCTTTAGCCTGTAATTACAGCGAAAAAATAATCCAAGCGATTCAATCGAGATGTGCCGTTATTAGATATTCGAATTTATCCGATTCGCAAGTTTTAGCCCGAGTCATTCAAATCTGCCAAAAAGAGAATGTGAATTACACCGAGGATGGGTTAGAAGCGATCGTATTCACCGCGCAAGGCGATATGAGGCAAGCTTTAAATAATTTACAATCGACACATAACGGATTTGGCACGGTTAATTCCGAGAATGTGTTTAAAGTGTGTGATGAGCCCCACCCAATTTTAATTAAGGATATGTTGAAGCATTGCGTTGAAGGCGATGTTAGGAAAGCGTATAAAATTATCGATCATTTGTGGCATTTGGGGTATGCCGCCGAAGATATCATTAAAAATGTTTTTAAAGTTTGTAAAAATATGGATTTGGAGGAATCGATTAAATTGGCTTTTATTAAGGTGAATAAAATAAATAAATTTTTTTGGGTTAAGTTAATAATATTCTTATTTAGGAAATTGGGTTGACCCATCAATGCATTGTGGATGGCTTAACGACTTTGCTACAAATGTCTGGGATGTTATCGAGGTTGTGTAAAGCATCGGAAGAGTTTAAGAAAACTTAATTTTGCAACCAAGAGGTCCATCACTGCTATCATCGCAATCATAAACGCCGTTATTATATTGTTCAAAACATCAGATTTAAAAATATCCACATTAATAATGAAGCTTGCAACGCGCGACATAACCCCAAAAATTTCTAGTTTTAGTTTTACTAAATTGTGTTATGAGATTTGTTTCAATTGCCATTTAGATTTATTAATTTGGATGTTTTTAAATCTAAGTAATATTTGCAATACAGGTTATAATTAAATATCAGAAAAACTTGTTATTTTAAGGAAGATAACCTATTTACCATTTTAAGGTAAGTTAGCTCCATCTCTGATTTCATTTTGGTATTAGTTTTATTTTTTTTTTTGACGTTTATTAATTTAGATTTATTTTAATTGTTATAATTTTATTAATTAACACTTAATTAATAAAATTGATTCAAGGTTGAGTTAATTTTTGGTTACTTCTAGGTGAGTAATAATAAAGTTAGGTTGGTAGCCATTCCTTTCATATCAATATTTTGACAGAAGTAATTTCGTAATTTTTAGTAATTTCTAATTGTTATTAAGTGTTTTATTGTGTTTATTATGCAACAATGGACTCCTTTTTGGTGCATTTTAGGTGAGTAAATAAAAAATTTTAAGGTTTAACGGCTTGTAGTGTGAGAAATAAAACTAAAATTAGCGTAATTTAGCGTTGCAACGAGCGACATAACCCCAAAAATTTCTAGTTTTAGTTTTATTTCTGAAATTGTGTTAACAGATTTGTTTTAATTGCTCTTTAGATTTATTAATTTTGATGTTTCTAAATCGAAGTAATACTTTCAATTACGGGTTATAATTAAATATCAGAAAAACTTGTTATTTTTAATGAACGTAACCTATTTGCCGTTTTAAGGTACGCTAGCTCCATCTGTGATTTCATTTTGGTATTAATTTAAATTTTTGATTTGACGTTTATTTATTTATATTATCATTTTATTTGTTATAACTTTAGTAATTGCGTTTATTATTCAAGGTTGAGTTTATTTTTGGTTACTTCTAGGTGCGTATTTAGATTTATTGACTTAAAATTCTTTACTTAAATCATAAAAAAAATTAGGTTGGTAACCATTCCTTTCATATCAATATTTTGACAGAAGCGATTTCGATTTCAAGTTTTAAGTAATTTGTTGTAATTGTTATGAAGTGTTTTATTGTGTTTATTGTTCAACAATTGACTCATTTTTGGTTCATTTTAGGTGAGTAATTTAAAAAACTAATTAAGAAAACTTAATTTTGCAACCACGAGGTTCATCACTGCGATCATCGCAGTCATAGACCCCATCACAATATTGTTCCCTCGCTATACACATCTTTCCATTAACACATGGATATTTATTATTATCATCACCACAATTCCTCGAGGGGCAATTCAACTCATCGTAGCCATCCCAACAATCGAAAACCCCATCGCAATACTTTTCTAACTCGATACAAGAAGTCTCATTCCCGCAATGGAAGTAATAATCCAAGTTGCAAGCACAATCGTACTCATCTACCATGTTAGAACAATCGATTACTCCATCGCAACGCTTCGTTTTTGAGATACAGCTTAACCCGCAATTAAATTCGTTCTTTTCGCAATTAAAAGCGTACTCATTCTTAACACATTGAAAAATGTCGAGTTTTTTGTGGAGCTTTTTACATTTTTGTACGTTTAACTCGCACAAACCACCACATCCGGTCGGATCGCGCCCATCTGTCATTTTGACGCAAACGGGGAAATGAAATTCGAGTGTTTTTAAACAAATCTCGTCTTTTGAGCAATTTGCACAAATATTAATTAAGTTTAAAGTTTCGTTTATAATGTTTGATGGTGTTGTTAAAAGAATCGTTGGTTTTAAAGTTGATGTTGAGATGTTTTGGATTGGTTCAATTTGTTGTTTGAAGCTTTTATCTAAAATAATAAAAAAAATTAAATTATGATTTAGTAAAAAAATAAAGATTTACCGAAAGAAAAATAAATCGCGAATAAAATCGAGATAACCACACAAATTATCACCCATAAATAAACAATTTTCGAGGAAATCTCTTTCTTGGGATTCTCCTCGTTCACTTTTAGCACGAAAGTGTGTCCGAAAACGTTTCTTTTCACCACTATGTTACTGTTATAAGTGTTTTGATGAATTTCTCGCGAAATCGTTGGAATCTCAACATCTTTACCGTTAAAATAGTAATGGATTTTGGTCAATTCCACTTTTGGTTTATCTAAAAACATGTTGTGGGTTAAGTTGCGTCTCAAACTGCGAAAATAACGCGAATAGACTCAATTATGTGTGATAATAAGTTTCGCAAACAAACTTGTTAGTCGCGGATACAAACAAAAGTGCGCTTGAAATGAGGTGAATGAGGGAAAAAGGTAATAATAAACAAGGGGGAATAGGTGAAGCGTGAAAGGGGTAATTTAAACGGGCACCATCTGTTCGTTTCTTTATGGTTTATGAAATAAATTTAAATTGAAGCAACTAAATTAATTATTCACTTAGAAATAACTTAGAATTACTTTGATTGTAAATTCGAAAAAATTGTGTCAAAATTTTATTATGACACGAAGGGGTGCCAACTTTTTCTATTTTAAAATTCAATTTTTCTAAATTTGAATTAATGAAGTAATATTAATTATTAAGTTTTCTTTATAACAATAAATTGATTGCAACATTAATGAACGCAAAAATCTTCAAGTTAATATTTGCAAAGTTAAAAAAGTTACAAAGATGTAAAAATTTTCAATAACCTAACCTTCAAATTCAAAATTCAAAATTGCCTGTGTGTGAACCTTCCTCGCATTCAACCAATCACGTGCAAGGTCAATCTGGTGACAAATTTAAAATACTCCTCCTGGTTTAAAAACAGAGTATAATTGCCAAAGAAAACTTCAAGGTATAATTAATGTTTGTAAACAAAACTAACCTTACCGAACATTCGTTAGAACATGGTTAGAACCGTTCTTTGAAAATAACAATGGCCGATGTCTTAAGTTGTCATCAAACTCGTTAAAAAAAAATAGAATTAAATAAATGAACGTTATTCAAGAAAAACTAATAAATCTTTACACACAAGTAAGTATTGATCAAAATTATAGGAAACTCTTGTGAGTTGTTCTTTGAGTTTGATTCTTTGAATTTTCTTTTTGTAGGTTATGTTAAATAATAAAATAAAATTATCATCTGACTCACTGTATAAAAGAAAGGATTGGAGTTCAATGTGGTATCTGGATTATGGAATTGTCTCTTGTGTTCGGGGCACTACTAATTTTCTGGATTGTCTACAGGATTCTTCTTACGGGAAATTGCACTGTTTGTTCTTCGGATGATCTCGAAGAAGTATCGGTAGTTCTCGGAATAGGTTGTAGGATGATTCACTTTTTATTTTAATATTCTAAGTTGGTTTGACTTTTTTTTTTTTTAATTATCTTAAATTTTTGAGGTTATCTCTTCAAAAATTCTTTTATCTGACGACGTGGATTCGACGCTGGTCCGACGACGACTCTCTCACTCCCTGCTTGCGATCTCCTTATATACCCCGGCACTCCAACTGTTTTTTCCTCGTTTCTGATTGGCTCTTAGCTTCGCGCCCTTTTCAAAATTCAAAATTCTTCCTTCGAAACTAGCGTCATCTCTTGATTTTTCTCGGAATTAACCTTCAAAATTTAATTCTTTTTTCGTTGATTTCTCCCTTATTCCTTTATGAAACGTAATAAAACTTCGTGTTCAACGTTGTCTTTTCTTGTTTATAGACATACATTGGAGTACACGCCAAATTTCAACAATGAGTAAAGTTAGAAAAATTCAAATTTAAATCAAAGATTTCTTTCTCAAAATAACGTTAAAACCTCAAAAGATGGATGAAAAATGTGCTTTAGGAGCTGGACTATAATAATTGATACATTTGGAAGTAAACAAAACGGTTTAAGATAAGATTTTCACCAACAAAAAATCTCTCTGTCACAAATTCTAGGTTATGTTCTCTCGGTGAACTAAGAGAATGCTAAAATTATTACAGTATAATTAATGTTTGTAAACAAAACTAACCTTACCTCACATTCCTTCACGCTATAATTGACATTACAAAAGAAAACTTCACGCTATAATTGCCATTACTAATTGCCAAAGAATACTTCATGGTATAATTAATGTTTGTAAACAAAACTAACCTTACCTAACATTCAGCGTCTGAAGACACAGGGCTAAACCCGAAACTTAAAAATATACAACTTAGCGCTGAATAACAATTAAAAGTAGAACTAACACTTGCACTAGAACTATACTCTGTTTTTAAAACACATAATTACCAAAATTGTAACAAATAAACGTCAAATCAAAAATTAAGATTAATACCAAAATGAAATCAGAGATGGAGCTAACCCACCTTGTGTTTGGAACAATATCAAAAAAATATTTTTTTTGTAAAATAATTCTTTTTTTTACAGCGACATCTTTTGTTCGATAGTGGAACTGAGTATATACAACCGAGATGGAAGCCGTTCTTATAGTAGTGGTTAAAAATTCTGCTTAAAAATAATTTTAAAACCTTTGTTTACAGATTCCTACAATCTATACACAAGAATAAAAATAATAAAATTGTCGCAAAACGTTACAAACGCATTTTTTTTTGTTATTAGTGATATCTAAAAACGTGATAAACCCTAAAAAATCTTATTTATTCACATTTTCTGCTTCTCTAAACCCCGTATAAATGGCCCCATGAACCGTACCATAATGAACGGGAGAAGTGGCTTCTCCAGCGAAAAACACAACATCCCTTTTATTTCGATTCTTTAAAGGTTCCCCTAAATCGTTATGGCTGAGCCGTTTCCTTGACTCAACCGTTTGAAACGAATAAGTACCCAAGAAATTTGCGTTCGTGTACCATTTTGACCTTAAAAAAAAATAAAAAGACAAAATTAAGAAGCAATTAATTAACTAATTTTACCTTATCATTCTAATTGGACGCGGGACATCAAATTTATACCCCAAAAATTGGATCAAAGCAAATTGAATACCCTCAGTTAACTCGTAATCACTTAAATTTTCGATAAAAGGGACTTTCGGACCATCAAACCAAACACAAAGTACGTTTGGGTTATTTTCCACGGATAGGATAGCCGATAAAGATGTGATCCAAGAAGTATTTAATGATTTTCGCATGGTTTTTTCCCAAATAAATTCGAATCCTCCGATTTTTCCGTGTTTATTGAACCAATCTTCGGCGAATTCAAGGTAAACTTTAACCACAGCACCAATTCCTAACGTTTTGATCGCTTTTTTTTTATAATCCGGTAACTCGGGATCAAAAATCTCATTCATTTTCGATTTTAAAACGCCTATAGATGGCGTAAAAATCACCTTTTTCGATTTGTACTCGGTGGAATCTCCGCAAAAGATTGTTATTGTGTCATCGGAATTATCCCAAGAAATTTTCGTTACGGTTTTATTCAATAAAATTTTATTTTTTGTATCGATATCATCAGATCCGTAAGGGGATTTACCTAAAAATGATTTAATTAGTTTATGTGATTATTTTGGAATTAAATTTAACCTAATAAGATTTCTAAAATTGTTTTGTAGCCGTTTCCTTTCCAATTATAATCGAAATTAACACCGTCTATGGAATCAGATTGGGCTGAGGGTTGATTCCAATCCAAAGCACCTTCTGCAGATTGAATTTGGTGTTGGAGATGCTCCAACATATCCTCTAATAAATCAGGAAAATCCTCGGGAATGCTAATTTTCTCGGTCAATTCCGAATATACCCCCTTTGCGAGCTCAGCGATACTCCTCCCATCTCGAACATCATTGAATTGATACACTTCTTGTATAACTTCTTGGAACTTCTTAATAATATTTGGAAATTCCTTCCGATTCGAATACAATAACCTAATCGGAGATTGATTACTTCGTTCTAACAACCCCAAATCCTTCGCCAACTTATAAATCGGATCTTTCAAAGCGTTTTCGTGGGCCCATTGCCCCCCTAAATCCACATAATTATCCCCGAATTTCACGCTGTTTATTCGGCCTCCAATTCGACTCTCAGCTTCAAGAAGCAAAACGTCCGTTTTATTCCGAGATAATTGCGAAAACGATGCTATTCCGGATGCTCCTCCTCCAATTATGATTACTTCGTGAGGAGAACTTGAAAAAGTTGAGAAAATCAATGAGAAAAACGTTAAAAACTTAAAAAACATTGCCCCAACGAAATTTTTGGAAGTCAATTAATGAATGAACTTGATTTAAAAAGAATAGTAATCAAGAATGATATTAATAACTAACTTAAAACAAGATAAGCAAATTATCTTTTTAGAGAACTCTGAACTTAGATTAGAACTATTTTACTTACAAAAATCTATTTCGGGGTGCTTAATAACCAATTTGAGATTGATTTTAATTGATTTTGAACTATTTTACTTACAAAAATCTATTTCGGGGTGCTTAATAACCAATTTGAGATTGATTTTAATTAATTTTAATTGATTTTTGTGATTTAATTTTAATTAATTGAATTTAAACGAAATATGACGTTTATAAACGTAAACGTTGATTAACACTAACATCGAAACAAAGATGGAGCCACGCGGATTAAATTAAGATGATTTTTAAAATTTTTCGAAAATTAAAAATATATTAATTGATTTAATTAAAAACAAACAATAATTAATAATTATTTTTCTTTTTAAATCGATTTTAATAACAGATTAATTTTAATTGAAAAAAAATTGTTAATAAAATTGAATAAGAGATGGCACCACTTGTAAAAATGAAATTTAATAATTTCCAATAAGAAAATTAATAATTATTACTTACTTCACTTCTTAGATTCAATAAGATTCACGTCTTAAGAGGTGCATTTGATTTCTGAGATTTTATAAACCGGATTCGAAACATAACCTACAAAAAGAATATTCGATCATTTATTACGATTTCAAATAAAATCAACTTACTTAACATAATTCATCTCGACACAAATTTTATCACTAAATTTCACCATCGCCTTAATTATTCAATGATTTAACTGGTTCCAAAGATACAAATTCCGTAAAATTAATATAGTAACACTAAATAAACAATTTTCCGTCGTTGTATCATGATTAATATGATAATGAGCTCTTCATCATAAAATACAATCGTTTAAGGTACTCCATAATGATAAAGGATCCCTTCGGCTAAAAATTTCATAATCTCTGGAGCAGTGGTGATCATAACCTAAAAAAGATGGAAATTATTAAATAAATTTGAAATGATTTCACAAAACAAACTTGGGACTTTATAATCAGCTCTAAATTTCACCAACAACCAAAGAATTGAGCACAATAAGTTATTCAACCACATAATCTGTCTTGGTAATGTCAAAGTCAACAACATAACTTAATATTTCAAATTTTGGAACTTAAACATTGGGTTATTTGATTCATTAATAACTTAAAATTAATAATTAAATGTTTAAAATTATTTATATTCTTGATTTATTCAATTAAATGAAAGTGAGGTTAAGTTGTAAAAAAATATAACTAAACGAGGTCGGTAAAGTACAAAATTAATTAATTGTTAGTTACAAAAATGAACTTTTATAAAAACTTACCAAAAAAAATCAATTAGAATACATTCCGAGCTAATCAATAACCAAATTTGAATCGATATTAATTAAAACGCACCAATTTCTTCACTTAAAAAGTTATTTTGCCAAGAATCTTATTTCATAACCTAAAAGAAACGTCATTAGTAATAATTAACACAAAAATATAAGCATAGATGGAGCCACTTTGGTTATGCCAAACTATAAAATTTTAAATTGAATTCTCATTTTAATTAAAACTTATAATCTTTAATTATAAACTAATATATAAAATTTAAACAAAATCATCGATTAATATGATTTTTCATTAAAAAGCTTTCATTTTCCTCCAACGTCTCAACTTTAACATCATCTTTCGATATCTTCGTTTTAGCCCCGACGTTATTAATCCAAGATTTTCGAATTAATTTTAATCCCAAATAAAAAATGATGATAATGAAAACCCACTGGAGATATTTAACGGTTAAAGCGGAGTAAATTAATAAAATGATGTGATAGGGAAGGTTCAACATGCTCTAAAAATTAAATAATTAAACGATTAAATATTAATTTGTGTTAATCGTTTACAAATTCCAACCAAAACATTGGCACAATTGAGTCACTAAACTTGTTTAAAACGTTATTATTAAATCCGGATAGAGATTTGACGTGAATATTGAGTTGAATCATGGCTTTTTCCTCTAAAGGTAAACCGGTTATCTAAAATTAAAATAATAGAATTAAAATTTTGAATTATAAATTAATTTTACCGGTTCCACGATTACATAGGAACGATGGGCTGCTTCTTGAGGTGTTAAACCTAAAACTTGTCGTTGAAGTTGTTGGTTTCCGTAAAGGAAGTGAGGGAAACTTCCCGCCAAAGGAAACGCTACAAAAACAATCACTTTTATTGGATTAACTTTGAAATTAAACTTACAATAAAGGCAATTTGATAGATCAGATAACCCATCTAATAAAGTCGGGTTACTTTTATAGCAATCATCTTCTGGAGGGAACGTTCGATTAAACACATCACCCGGGACTACAAATTTATATCCAAGTAATCCATATCGTTTCACTTCTTTTTGATAGATTAATTTAGCTACCCTGCATAACAATTTCCGGTAATATAGTAAATCTTGATCTTTAGTTACGAATTGGTTAAAAGTTACAGCTTCCGAGGCGTTCGTAATCACATCTTTGCATTGCTCGTTATAACCGGGTATTCCTTTTTCTCCGTTGTAACGATCTATTAATGAAAATAAAGAATGCCCACTCTTTGTACCCATAAAAGCTGTTACATTATCTCCGAATCGGTCATAAAGCTGAAATAAATTGCGATAAATTTAAATTAAAGTGAGGTTAAGCACAATAAATATGGATCGATAAAGTAGGATACTTCTTTCATGAACTTATTAGGTAATGACGATAGGTGTCGCTGATTTTTATTAATTTTTAAATTAATTAATAAGAAACTTACATTATTTAATATCCCCATGTTATCAGTTGGGGCTAATGAGGGGATATATCGATGTACAAACTCTAAAAGTGGGTCAGTAAAATTATAAAGAAGATTTTGAATCGTTAAATTAATAAAAGGTTGCGTTTCGAGCATCGAAATCATGCTTTTAAACCCAAATTTAATAAGATATGGGCTATTTGTGAGAAAAGAAGCGGACCCCTGCAGCAAAAATAAATAAATTAATTTAATTTTTTAAAATTAATGCAATAAAACTCACCAAAAAAGCCATGTTTGGGACAACAACCACCGAATTCAAACTTAATTCATTTTCTTTTTCATCATATTTAGGCGTTTTTTTAACATTATAACTTATCGTTGAGTTTGGATTAAAAATAACGTTCGAATGAACCCAATCTTCCCTGAAAACGATAGGCCCAACTTGATTAATAACCATTTTTTCATCCAGACCCATCAAAAATCTCTCAGAATTAGTAACATTAAAGATGTAAATCTTCAACGTTGCGTCTGGGGGTTTTAACCACCACTCATAAGCGGGTAATCCTTTTCGCATTTGTAATCTTTCGTTCATTAACAACTCAAACGGGGTCCAAATTGATAAAAAAATCGATGTTGATGTTAAAAAGAATCCAAAGAAAAACGATGTCGCGCGAGATTTACTTAAAATTTGTTGTAACATTTAAAATATGTTTATTAAATAAACTGTTAACGTGTACTCGTTAGTTTTGCACGAGAAATTACGGAGTAATTCAGTTTTTAATAAGATATCGGAAATAATCAACAAGGTCGAGACACTGCACCTAATTAATAAACAGTAATTACGAAGAATAAAACGATTTTATTGTATTAAGAAATCAGTTTTTTTAGTATTTAAGTAAAACTGAGTTTAAACGAGTTTGAATCTAAACTGATTCTCGGTCTGGTTGGATTCGTGCGGTTGCGAAGGTTGAAAAAAAACCGTATACGGTCGCGGGATATTGAAATTGGTGCCAAATTTAAATTTGTTAACTTAAAAACGATTATTGCAAAGTAATGTGTGGCCGAGTTACACTTGGACCTTGATTGGTTTACAAGAACTAGGCGCAATTACCAATAATAATTTGTTAATTCCGAGGGGAAATTGAGAAATTATTTTCAACATACAAAATAAATACATATCTAGGAAACTTTAACGATCCTAATAATTGCGGGTGTAATTATATACGATTCTTCTTCTTTCTTTTTAAATTAAATTTTCTTTTTTTAATCATTGGTAATGTTTAATAAAAACTCGTCAAACTGGATTCAAACAGATGTTGGAGTTCCCAACGCAATCCAAATTTATTTCTTTGTTTGGTAAAAATAACAAAATTGTTTTGCAGACCATTTCAAGGTTAATCTTCAACTTTATGGGCAGAAAGACTCCGGTCGATAGCCCTATTTTTGGCTGAGTTTTAATTTATATACTCCTTTTTTTTTTAATTTATTTGTATTTTTTGCATCCAAAACTAAAATTAGTTTCCTCTCTCTCTCTAATCTAATTAACACGATTTTAAACATTTTCATCTTCTTAAAACGATATTTTTCGCTGAAAATAATAAATAATAAAGATAAACATTTTTAAATTAAAAATGATCTGTCAAACATCAGGTTAGGTAACCCACAAAAAATTAAAATTATTAAAAATATTTTTTTTAGGATTAAAACGATAAATAATGAATTATTAATAAGATTTAATTTAAATAAATTAAAAAGATGCTGGGGAACCCCAATTTAATCAAATCAGTTTTTTTTTAAATTTAATATTATAATTTTAATTATTTTTCCTAAAATAATCTAATTAATAATTAATTAGCGATGCACAGAAATCATTTCAAGGTTAATAACGCAAATACAATTATTAAATTAATTATTATAACAGGATATTAAATAAAATAATTTCCAAAAAAAATGGATGTTGTAGTGACATCTCTTAGAGAAATTTCCACAATTATAAATTACAGATTTCTGTAATCATTTCATTATTACTTTTTAACTTAAAATTTAAATAAATGTTAAGATAGATTTCGGCTTTAAATGTTATTAAAATCGTAGATAAAGTTACCTTAATAATAAATCCTTTATATATACACAGAAAAGGTCGTGTCGTTTTCCAATCCTTGATTTTATTGCATTAGGATAAATTTAACCACAACTTTTTGAAAAAAAATTTGTTTCTTTCAACTTCTTTTCCAATAATTAAAAATTGTGTTGTTTAAATTAATAATTTATAGTTGCTGTAAATATTAATTTAAATTTTGTTGATCCTAACCTAACTTTTTATCTTATCCCATTTAAGACATTTGTTTTGAGTTGTTTATTTCCCGACGAAATAATTTTGTGATTATGGGGTATTTGAGTTAACTAAAACACGTTTTTTAACACTTTCATCTTCTTAACAGCACAAATTTCGCAGAAAAATAATTAATGTTTCAAACGACGATTAATGTTGAAAATGAACTGTCAAAACAAATTAAGGTTAGGAAAATTTAATTATTAAAAATAAATAAAGATTTTTTTTAACTTAGGAATAAATTATTAATAAGATTTAACAATAAAATGAATGAATTTAGGTTTAATTAATATTAGAAAAACACGTTTAATTAAAAATATTTTAGTGATATCTTTTGGTGAAACATTGTACTATATCAATATAACCTAAAAATTACCTTCATTTTATTAAATAAATTAAAGTATTTATTGAAAATCATATATATATTTATTCATTTGAACACAAAGTACAAAATAATAAGAGAAGCTACGCTAAAGCTAAAATAATACGTTATTCCAAAAGGAAAAAAAGACTTAAAAAGAAAAATAAGAAACTTATCGATATTATTACAAATTACAAACAGGTATAAAATAAAATGCCTTGTACATAAACTTATTAATTTCTTTTTTTTCTCTTCTAGTACTGACTGTTAAAGAAGAAACAACACCGAATCTAAAGTAAATCCCTTGGAAATAACTTAGTCCTAATAATTCGTCATATACAGGTTGGTTCATAACAACCAATCAAAAAAAAATTAAAAATTATTTTAAACCAGCCTATATATCACTTTAAATATTAACTTTTTTACTTTGTTTTCATTAAATTCTCTTTTTACACTAAGAAATCATCAAAATACTTATTTTAATCGACGTCACCTTTTTAATTTCAAGTTGGAATAAAAGAACTGACAAACATTGTTATTAAAAATTCATTTTAAGGCAATCTTTTTCAACTTTCCAAATACACAAGGTGATTGCGAGTTCTCAAATTCAAACTTGACGCCGAGAAAACATTTTTTTTAAATATTTCTTTCATTATAAAAAAAAATAATTAAAAAAAATTTTTTGTTTCTTACAATTACGTGATTATAGTTAGTATTAATATAAACTCTATGGGATTAGATCGTTATTTTTTACTCTCAAAGGTTTTTGTGTTTATTTTACTCGGATTTTCACATGATCCGACATTTTTCTTCACCTTGCGGATCACCTTGTTGATGATGGAGATCTTCACCCGTTAAAAAACCTCCGGACATTTCACGGTGTCTTGATGACAAACTAGAAAGTTGTCTTTTTACTCTAAAAAATAAAAAAAATTAAATTAATATTAATTAATTAAAGAAAAATCGATAATTATAATAAAAAGTGGTTATTGAATGAGTGAAAGGATAAAGAAGAGGATAATTATTAGAAAAGGATTAATGCTTTTTTAATTTTAATTAATAAATTAAGTTGGTTATTTTTTTTAAATTTATTTAAAAAATAAAATCAATATTTAAAAAAAAAAATCAGGTTAGATTTAATCTTGTTGTCATGGTAACCCCCCACTAAGTCAAGGTAAAGGATTTATAACATGGCGGTGATGTCATCGCCCACAAGATCTATTTTTAGTAGTCATGTCAACATCATAAAAAAAGTAACCAACTTAAAATAAAAATTTAATTTCACTATAAACTAATAATATTAATAATTTTATCCACATGATACCTTAAATGGTCTCTTATTAATCAGGTTAATCGCAAAATCAATTTTTTTTAATGGTACGATGCTTACCATTACCTTGTAAATACTTGTTGAGGTCCCTTCACTCAAACAGCACCTTAAAGGAGAATAATTTTGAAATACTTACACTGAAAGGTGACGATTTTTGTTTCTAATCAATCATTTAAAAAACAAATCTTTTGGGATTCTGTTAGTTTGGTTAATCTTCGATTTAGTATTTAAAGGAAAACTTTAAAGGAAACACTCACTCAAAATAAACTTAAACAAAATAAATCCGACCTCAGTTACAAAACACAACCGAGATAACTCAAATTAAATCGATAAACACAAAAAAAATTAATCAAAAATAGGATTAATTAGATATAACCTAAAAATGTCAAATTTGACACATCAATCTAACCTCACTCTTTGATTAATTTTTAATTTAAATACTCAAAATAATAAAAAAAAAGTGTTAAATGATTAAAACACAAAATAAGCAACCAAAACAATTTTAATATTAATCATACCTTTCCGAGACGGCAATTTCCTCTCCGTTCGTATTCAAAACGGTCGTTGTCATGTTATCCCCCACAAACCATTTTTGTCCCTTCATAACCAAATTGGTTGGAGGTTCATGATCCTTTCCAGAATCACTTGACCACACTGTAATTGTACCCTTCGGCTCCGCCTTAATATTTCTATGGAACTTATAGGTCGTTTCCAAGTCCCCAGCTTTTCTTGTGATGATGAAACCCCCCAAAGCCACCTCTTTATTCCCTTTATTATGTAACTTAACAAACGCTCCGTCCGGGCACACTTCGGAGACTTCAATATCACCCTTCGAAGAACTGTTTATGCTGTAATCGGACATTGACGACTCTTGGGATTCCTCCAACAATGTGCGCTTGCGTTTTCCGCCCATTCGAACGGGAGTTCTACGTTGGGATGATCCTCGAACCCCTCGCGATGTGGTTGTTGTAATTAATTGTTCGGATCCGGTGGGGGTTATGTTTAATCTGGCCTCTTCAGATTCCAACAGTTTCCGATAAGCGGCTATTTCCAAATCTAAAGAAACTTTGATGTCCATTAAATCTTGGTATTCTTGTAATTGAAGCGCCATCTCATCGCGAAGTCGAGACAATTCGTTTTCTAACAACGCCAAATCTTCGGCGTGGCGCAAACGCTCGGTTTCCAAGAGTTTCTCTAATTCGCGAGCTCGAGTTGTTAAGGTAGCGTTTTGCCCCTCCAATTCAGCGATGCGGTTTGATAAGGAATCAATTCGAGTACGAACTTGGCGTAATTCCTCAATGGCTGCGGTCGCAGCTCCGGAATTTCGACTGGCGGCTGATTGTAATCCTTTGATTTTGTTTTCATAGAGGTACTCGATTTCTTGGCGGTTACTAGCCATTTGGCTTTCATATTGTTCGCGGAGATCGTTAAGAGCTTGTTGGAGTTTAGCTTCATATTGTTCAGCAAGGCGACCATCGATTTCACTGATTTCAACTTGACGCCGAGAACGGGTTTCAGTTAATTGTTGTTGGAACACCTAAAAAAATATTTTTTTAGTTATTTTTAGTTTGTAATAAATAATTAGAGACGAAAATACGAAATATTAGGTTATGATGTTGTTTGTATAATTAAAATTTTCGATTTATTTGGGGAGAAACACTTTAAAGAAATAATTTGAGGCTTCAAAAACGTATTTTGATAGGATTTTTTGGTTCCATTAAACGTTTTTTCGTAAAATTTAATGATTTTAGGAAGGAATTAAACAGTAGGGTTAATCTGTCAAAAATACGAATTAATAGGCCTTATTACCGCTAGATGGGGTGAGTTTAAAACAAATTAATTTTATAAATAATTAATGTTTAAACGATTTAAAATTTATAAAATTAACCGACTTACTTTGCTTTGTTTTAAGCAATAACCCCGATTCTTTAAAATATAAAAAAAAAATTAAATTAACGAGACAAGAAAAGTGAGGTTATGTTGACTTTTTGATGAAAACAATTAATTTTGAAGCAAAAATCTTTTCGTAGAACTTTAAATCACTTCAAATCAAAAGTACGGAACTTCATAAACGTATTTTGATGGGATTCTTGATCCAAATAACTTTTTTTTCGTAAAATTTAATGATTAATTTAATCATTGGGTTTAATCTGTCAAAAATATGACTTAATACTTACGGCGTTTTTGCCGCTAGATGGGGTAAATTTAGAACAAATTAATTATAATTTTATAAATAATTAATATTTAAACGATTTAAAATTTATAATTAACCGATTGACTTTGCTTTGTTTTAATTAATAACTGCGATTTTCAAAAATATGCAATTTAGAATTATAAATTATTTAATATTAATTTTTTTAATAAAAGTTAATAAAACAGGGGATTTTTTTCAAGATATAATAAATATTTCGGGAGATTATGATAACTACGAATACTAGAAACAATTTTATGACCCCTAAAAAAATATTACACTTGTGGAATTTATCTAAATAAAAATATACTTACTGTATATTTACTTTTTGATAACATTTAATAAAATATTAACTATTTAACTACAACAAACATATTGACTCATAATTTATTTTTAGCTATTTATGTCAGCAAAAAAAATTAATTTATTTTTAAAGTTGGTATCAAAGAAACAAATGACCTTGAAATTAATATGACAATTCGTGACATTTCATTGATCACACAAATTCAACAGGAATTAAATGAAAAAAATATTTCTTGCTAAGAAAAAAATCGATAAAAACGCTGCCCACTCAAGAGAATAGTAAACACAAATGAGGTAATCGACCAAACGTTTCAAGGTCTTGACCTAAATTTTCCAGCTATTACCCAAATTTATAAAAATAAACTTGGTCTATTCATATTCAAATCGATCTAACCTCAAAAAATGTTATGAATTTCGCAATTTTAAGCGCCACGTGTGGTTATTTTTAATTAATTGATTTAAGACTTTAAAAATTAAAATAATTTTTACCTGATCCTTAAACGATAACTCCTCCCGAAGACTTTGATTATTATTTTCGACATCAACCCGTGCCAAGCTCTCCTCTTCGAGTTGTTTCCTTAAATCGTCAACTTGTTTTTTTAATTTATCCCGTTCGGCTTCGGTATCTCTCAAATCTCCCATAGCTTTTTTAGCATCGCTTTGAGCTTGATTACATTTCAATGTTAAATCATTAGCCCTCGTTTCCAAATTCCTCAAAGAGTTCTCGGCTATCAACAAATCTTTGCTTTTCTTTGCCAACGAAGCCTTTAAATCCTCGTTTTCATCCCAAAGGCGTTTCGTATCAATTTCTAACTTGGCTTTTTCACGGTGAGTCTCATCCAAGAGTCTTCTCGCATCGGATAGTTCTAAATCATACATCGACTTGATGTTTGAAACTTCTCGAGTGACTGTTTCTTGGGATGTTTGTATTTCGCGGGTTAACCGACTATTTTCGGCTTCTAAATATCGTACTTTATCGATGTAAGCGGCTAAACGATCGTTTAGATTTTGTAAATCGGCTTTCTCTTGGAGGCGAGAGTGCCTTGTCGGGCTCAAAGGGCTTCCGGGACGTTGATTTGATTGTTGTTGTTGTTGGGACGACAACGGGGTCGTCGATTTTTTGCTGCGAGTTGCCATTTTATGATTATTGGGAGTTCTTCGGCGAGCGTCGTTGTTGATGACGCGATTCTAACCTCACTTTTTTAATGACGGTAACCACAGGGGGTTGATTAATTTTTTTACACTCAAACCGGTTCGGGCACGATTAGATTTGGTACTGTTTCTGGCGGTGATGCACACTGAACGGTATCTAACGGTTTTCCTTGGCTCGCGGAGTCATAGGTGGGGCATTTTTCGAAATAAGGACGCTTCCAACGGTTCACAAGGATTATGACGTAATTGATTATTGTGATTGTCGGGTATAGATGGCGCTAAATCGTATTTACTTTTTAGGCGGGAAATTTAAATTTTTTTAAGGTTGGAATTAAAAAATTGTTAATTTAATGTTTATTAAACATTTTATTTACGTTTTTTCATTTTAATTATATACATAGGGAACCGAATAACATAAAAAAATAGGAAAAAAGTGTAAATCCCTTGTAAGACGTTTACAATAGTAAACTTAAATCATTTTAACATTTTTAATCAAAAGGAATCTAATAAATTAGGACAAATAGTAATCAAACTAATAAAAACCCATCGAGGTTTTTAAGGGAATGCTTTTTTTAATATTCCTAAACATCACTCAATCAAATTTAAATCCGAAATCTCTCACACACATACAATTCTAATAAAGAAAAAGATATCTAACGGTCTAAATGATTTACTAGTTTATTTTTTTAGCCTTCGAAATCCTCTTGTGGTAACTTTGAGCCAACGAATTAACTATCGAAACTACGAAATATATCACCATCGCAATAACAAACTTCTCAAAAATCGAGGACAAAATATTTCCGCTCTTTTCCGCGTCCCCACCGACCCCTTTTCGATGCAGCTTGGTTTTCTGGTCGTCCAAAAACGTTTTAAACGGGATCTGAAGCGCCTCCCCCACAATCGGAACAACTTTTAACCACTCCAAAGCCGTCAAAATCAACGCCTCGTTGAACGCGATGATCACAAACAGCTTTTGAATGTGCATCTTAATCAAAGCCTTCCCAATAAGCGTCGCACCGAAAAACGTCCAAAATGGAACCAAAAAATGCCCGCAAGTTATCCCGGCGAGATCAAAAAGTGGATTTGGGATACTAGCGCAAGCCAAGATTCCTAAAAATCCCACTTTTTGTACTATATCTTCCACGAACAGTTTCCCCTTTTCAATTAGGGTCAAATCCTCCTTTTTTTTGCGCTGTAATTCTTCAAATTCTGCTAAATCGTTATCTTCGTCATCGGGGTCGATACTAAATTTAAAAAAATTAATTAATTTTGAGCGTATTTAATATAAATTGATTAAATACCCCGATAATCGCGCTGCTCTCGCCATAAAATACGGGGGAAGCTCGCCTAAAGCAGTTCCGGCCCCCCAACACATCGATTCTAACCTCACTTTTGATATAATCGACCAAATCGAAATATCAGATGTGCTTCCATCTGCTGGACATACAACTCTAAAAATTAAATTAATTAATTAAGTTGATAACAATAAAAAATTACGTACTCATCAGGATATGGTGGTTCAGGAAAATTTAAAGACCCACATTCATACGCGGCGATCGTAACTTGAGCTATATGGGGTCCTAAATATAATAAGAAAGTGTGTAAACCAGTTCCGAGCCCCACCGAAGATAAAATTCCTAAAAAATAATTAAAAAATTTATTTTAACCTCAAAAAAATTTTGACGTTTCAAAATTTATTTTAACCTCAAAAAATTTTTTGACGTTTTATAATTAATTTTAACCTCAAAAAGTTATTTGACATTTCTCACCTAAACCTAACCAATAAAGACACCACAATAATTGTTTGTACAAATTGTTGGCTAAAGTCTGTTGGGGGCCGCTAAATTTTAAGCTGCACGTCATCGAAATCGTTAAGATCGCGATAAAAACGACGGTTTTTCGAAACTCCAAAAATTTTCTTCCGTAAATTCCGGTTAATACAAAAACTTCCCTCGCGAAATATTCTAAGGTGAGTAAAGGTTTTTTGTGGAGAACTATTCCGCTTCGTTCGTCCTTTTCGGATTGTTTGTTTGAGGCATCTTTACGTGATTGGGGACGGGCGCTTTTCTCGGACGGAGGCGCTGATCCGTTGGTGGTTACGTTTAAATGTTTTTTTGATGTCATCTTGTGCACCAAACGTTGTAACTAAAAATAACAAACACTTGTTTAACGTTTTGATGATAAATTTGAAATAAATTCCGATGTCATTGTGGTGAAGGTTTAAAATCTAGGCCAACAGCGTTGTAGAAAGCTACATTTTTTGTTCTCGATTTAAAATCGCGCGTGTATCAAGTACCAATGCCAATGTCGCTTGGAACAATTCCCATTTTATCAAGATTTTTTTTTAAGCACTTAAAGATAAGAATTTTATTTCTAAATCTAAGTCTAAAATAAATTTAAAAAAATTCGTGCTTTATTAACTACAAAAAAAACTCAAACGGCAAAATTAAACCAATTCGTACCAATTCGGTTTTAGTTCCGGTGGTTTTTTGACCACGTTTTCTACACTCCGCTTTCAATTGATCTTTCGTCAAAACACTTAAATCATCGAATGTTGGTTGCTTTGGGGCTGCACTCGTTGTTTGGCGACCCCCAACAACAACAACAGGGGCTGATGCTGTGTTAGCCGCTTTCGAACGGCCCCTCTTCCCGGCCATACAGTATTTATTCTAAATACATTAATTTTAAAGGTTACACTTTTTCTTCGACTTCTAACATAAAAATGATTCTAACTTTGTGATGATTTTATCTTTATTTTGATTAATGCACACAATTAAGCGAAATTAAATGAAAACTACGCTGAAAACTCAAAAAAATGGGGCAACACAAAGGTGACATAACCTCAAAAAGCATTACGTGACGTTTGTGCGGGTTTTAACGCAAATTAATTCTTTCTACTTACTTGTTAAAGAGTTATATAAGTCGTTTAGATATGCACATCGTTTTTACTTATACTTTAATAAAGGAATTGCAAATAATCGGATTAATTCTGAACAATGAAGTGTTAAAAGTGACGTTTACAAAGGGTGCCAACCTAATTTATTATCAAAATATCTTTATTAAGATTTAAAAAAAATTTAATAATCCTTAAATAATTAAACAAAATTAATTAAATTTCATAATTATCAAAGCAAAATTTAGCTAAATTAAAATTAACAAGAAAATTCTCGCAAAATTGGTTGCCTAGCTCAAAAATTTAATTTAAACAAATATTTAATTAAACAATAAATTATTTCGATGATACTAATAAAGCTTGACCCTAAAAATAAAGCAATTGCACCTCCGAATGAAACTGAAGCAAAAAAATTCTCTCAGAATGTTATTAGATAATAATATTTTATTTTACCAATTAAATCTTCGAAACTAAACAACACTTTCCTCCTGTATTTAGTCGTAGGGGGTAATAACCCCCATCTAAACGTTAATCTTTGATCGAAATATCCAAATTCCCTAAAAAATGACTTCACATTAAAATCCAGTTTAAATAATAATTTAATCGTATTCACCAATAAGTAATTTTTGGAATTTGGGGTAAATACCGAATAATATTACACGGTTGAGGACACTCACACCCAAATTTCGATGGGGGCTCAACGATTAACTTAGCAAACTTAGCCGCACACAATAACCCACTTACATTGCATATTTTAGCCTCTTCATTAAAAGTTTTATAAAAATACGGTGCACAACCGCACAAATTAATCATTTTTTTATAACGACACGATACATAACAAAAAGTCGTACTAAAAATTCCCAAATTTTCTTCTAAAGGTTCATCTTCGAACCGACATTTCCTTTGGTACGGAGATAAAGATTTTAAGTTGTAATCAGAAGCGGTTTCTTGCATTCTATAATTAATTTCAACCTCTTGACTTGACCCAACAAGCCAAGGTAACTCCGACGATGAATGTACGATATCCAGAGGGGAATGTATATAAAACTAAAACCAAAAAATTAAATTAATTTGAAACATAACCTCAATTATTTACATTTATTGATGAATCCGACTCTGTATCATATCTAGCATAACACAAACCATTTAAATAATGACAACTTTGTAAATGAGATTCTTCTTTTGATGTGTTTAAATCAACTCGGATTAAATTCGAGTATTTAGAGTTCATCGTAAAACATACTCCTAGCTCGGTTAAAATCATTTCCCAAGTTGATTGTACCTTTAAATCGGATGTAACTAAAATCCCATCGATGTCTGGATGAACGGCTAAAGCTAAATTCAACATATCAATATTTTCTAAATTAGAATCATTTTTAAATCGATTAAAATCGTTTAAATTTAAATACGAAATATTTGACACGACTTCAACAAAACTCAAATAATAATCATAATTATTATCATTTTTATTCAATCCCCACGTTTTTAAGATATAAATTTCCGCTTTATTTTCATCGACTTTGTTTAAAAGGCATCCAGTGGCAGCCGGAAACAAATTATTCCAATTCCTAAAATCTTTTTCGATTGAAACAACGGTCGGATTTGCTAGATAACGGTTCCAATTTGATAAAGAAGCTAAAATTCCTCCGGTTAAAGCTGATATTATGATTAATAACCAAAATATTCTAAAAAAAAAGATACATAAAATAATACATTTATAATTAATTTCTTTTAAAACACCTCTCCATGGGATGTAATTTAAAATTAACTAAATACAAAACACCATGAATCGTCGATTCGGTACAAAACGATTTTATTGCTACAAAGACATCTTTTAAGTGGGGAGGCATCGCTAAGAATCATTTTTGTTCCCCCGATCAGTTGGTTTTATTCATCGAGTTGATGTAAATTCGATTTAGATCCATTTAGATAAAATAAATAATATGGAATTTGTATTTAAAACGATTTTATTGATTTTAAGACGTCTTTTAAGATCGTTTGGAGTAATTTTTGTGCCCCCAATCAAGATGATTTTTTTCATTGTGTTGATGTGAATCCAATTTAGATCCATTTAGATTAAGTAAATTGTTTGGGGGTTAGTTCTTAAAAGGATTTTATTGATTTTATTAAATCGTATTTATTTTTGATAGATTTTTACCATTTTTATTTATTTAAAAAGTTAGGTTATGTTTATTTTGAATAAAATTTAAAATTCTTTAAGTGAACATAGAGGGCACTATTTTATTCTATTATTTTAAAGATTATTCTTGATAAGTTGAATATTTCGATTTAGATACATTTAAAGTAAATTTTAAAGGAAGTTGTTTTTAAAAGTATTATGAATCATATTTATTTTTGTTTCACTTATTTGTTTTAAAAATTAGTTTATAAATATCAAATATTTTAAACAATTAGAAGTGGGAAAAAAAAGGAAATTAATTCGTATTAAATCACAATTTTTTACTCTAACAATCGAATTAAACACAATAATTTAATTTTCAATTTAATTTAATTCATATTCGAACGTACCCAATATTTTGACAAACGACAATTAGCATCCGTCCATCTGTCAAATTAAAGACAAAAAATTCGCTAACGAATCCCTTTTAACTCATCTTTATGAGTTAATTCGAATCGATTTGGGCTAATGTAGAGTCCAGGCTAAAGAAACAAGGTAAATTTCGCGGTCGGGCACAAATTTTTAGCGAAATAACCGAAATTTTTTTTAGTTGGTGTTTGATGTGAATTTAACCTAAAAATAAAAACATTTTTGCGAAGTAATCGGCGTGTTATGGCCTCCGGAAGACAATTCGGGACGACGAACGGTCCCAATTCGGCTCGACAAAAACGCTTTTCAATCGATGACGCGTTCGAGGAAGAAACCGATGAAGCGATTAAAGTGTACGGAGCAACAACGACGATGTCCCCGGTTGGGTCTGTTGTGGGAGTTGCGAATATCGATGGGAATAATACTAATTCACGGTGAATTAAATCGATTTTATTAATTAATTTGGTTAATTTTTGTGTTTTTTTAGGAATTATCGGTTAGTTAACGATGGTTCTCGCGATTCCGACTCGTTAATCCAAGATTTTTACGATGGCTCACACCAAGATCCTTCGATATCGCGATCTTGTTTTCGACACCCGAAGGTGCGTGAAAATTGGAGGATGGTGCTTGCGGCGACGACGCTTTTAGTGATCGGATTGGGGTTATTAGGGACTGGGATTTTAGCGTTGGCGGAGCCGCAAGCTGGGCTGCAGGGTGCCGTCTTTTTAATAGCCGGGTTTATTTGTTTCGTCCCAGGGGCTTATCACGTTGTTTATATTTATTTGGCCGCTAAAGGACGTAGGGGTTATCATTTTCATAATTTACCATTATTTACTTAGATAAAGGAAGTAATTGTATGAGGAATAATAATAAGATGGAAGAAGTTATTAAGGTTAGGTTCTTTTGTGATATTTGCAATAATGGTGAAGAAGAGCTCTCTTTGGTTTTAATTTTTAACTTTATTTTTATAAAGCGGAGGTTAAGTTAAGTTGAATCTCAAAGAAAAGACTTAAAACGATGATAATAAAAGTAATTAAGTAACGTAATAAGTGAAGAAGATTAATTAATTTCTTTTCTGTTGTGGTTGTGTGTTTCTAACCTCAAAAAAAATTAAATTTAAAAGGATTAAATTTAAAATTTGTATATTACTAGAACGTATTGATTTAATTAATTTATGAGAGGACTACGTAAGTAATTGTAACAATAAAATATTTTAAAATATGAAAAAAAACTTTTTTTCGAGAACAATGCTTTTAATAATTCTATTTATTCAACTTATTAAATAATCTTATTTGCACAAGTCGATTCCTTTTGTTCTGAATTAAAAAACATTCCTTTAAAAAGTTCCTATTCGCATTATTTCAATTTATTTCATCATTGTCACTTTAAATCACCTCCTTTGAAGCATATTGAATAATCACATAATGATTGGGGAAAATAACGTTACTTTGGAAGCTTTAGAACCATTGAGAAGCGAAGAAAAACCAACACAACAAAATTCAGAAGTGAAATTATACAAAATCCGATGGGTTGTGCTAACTTTATTCTTCTTATACGGTTGTTCAAGTGCTGTACAATGGGTTCAATACAGCATCATCACCAACATCATAATGCGATATTATAGCGTTACTTCAGTTGCTGTGGATTGGACTTCAATGATTGCAATGATAACTTATCCTCCATTAATGATCCCAGGGTTTTATTTCGTCGATAAAATGGTGAGTTCTTACTCCTAATTTAATCTCAATTAATTTACATTAAATTCATTTTTTTAGGGGTTAAGGTTTTCTGCTTTATCGGGAGTAATCGGAACAGCAATTGGAACTTGGATTAAAGTATTTTCGGTATCTCCGGACCGTTTTTGGGTAACCTTTTTGGGACAAACCGTCGTTTTCGTCTCGCAAATCTTCATTTTGAGTATGCCCCCTAAAATTGCTGCGGTTTGGTTCGGGCCTAACGAAGTTTCAACCGCCACATCAATCGGAGTGATCGGACAACAACTCGGGAATGCAATCGGATTTATTTTACCGCCAATGATTGTTAAAAATCACGATAATTTGGATGATATCGGACGGGAATTGTCGTATATGTTTTATGGGGTTGCCGCTTATACTACGCCAATCGTTATTTTGGTTTATTTTTGTAAGATTTTGTTTTGATAGTTATTCTTTTAATTGATTTTTTATTTTAAGTTTGTAAGTCGCAACCGGATCATCCACCGAGTCAAGCTCAAGCTTATCAGAGATTAAATGCGACGGAGTTTACTCAAAAGCAATATTGGCGGAGCTACAAACAGTTATTGTCGAATAAAGCGTTTTGGTTGTTGATGGTTTCATACGGAATGAATATTGGAGTGTATGCTGGGATTTGCACTTTACTAAATCAATTTATTTTATCATATTTTAAAGTAGGCATTAATTTATAATATTTTTTTTAATCTTAAACGTCTCAATTCATTTTCGTTTTCGAATTACTTATTAATTTAAAAAATTATTTATAGGTTATGGTTTTTTAGGTTAATGTCACAACGTCACTTTTAATTTTCTCTTTCATCTTGATAATACTTCATTACGTGATCAAATCATTTACAAATAATCAATTTAATTTACAACGTTTTTTTTATCTCTTCATTTTCGTTTTTAATTTATTTCCGAAATTCAAGCAAATATTGACCAATTTGGGAATTTTCACTTTTAATTTTATTTGGGTTGGTAATTAAATCAATTTAATTTTAGGTTAATGTCAAAAACATAATTTTCCACTTTTTCTTTCATTTTGTTAATAATTATTAACATTCTCCGCATTTCTTAACAAAATCCTCCTTATTCTTCATTATTTCACAAAATTTCTCTTTCCAAATTAGAATTAGGTCTCTCTGAAACCCATTCCATTTCAAATATTTAATTTAATTAATTTTTAAACTAAAAAAGTTTTAACCTCAATTTATTTGTGTCAAACTGTCAAATTTTTTTTATGTCAATACATCTAATATACAAAATCACCAATATCGAAATAATAATTTTTTTAAATCATTTTTTAGAACGCCGAAGAAGACGCAGGAAGAATGGGCCTCCTTTTAGTAGTTTTCGGAATTTTCGGCTCCCTCATTTTCGGAATAATTCTCGATCGTACCAAAAAATTCAAAGAAACCACCCTCGGGTTGTACACAATGACCGTTTTGGGGGTTTTATCGTTCAGCTTCGCTTTGGAGACACGCTCAAAAGCTGTGGTTTACGCGAGCGTCGCATTTCTTGGGTGATTATCAATCAAATTGTTTAATTTAACGAATTAAATTGATTAAAATTAAATTTTAGATTCTTCCAAAACGCTTATTACCCTGCCGGATTCGAATTTGCCGCCGAATTAACGTACCCTCAACCGGAAAGTACCAGCTCAGGTTTAATCATTTCAATGTCGCAGGTTTTCGGGGTTATTTTCACTTTGGCTTTGGGGGTTTTATTAAAAGAATTTGGAACGTTTTGGGCGTTGTGTCTAATGGTTTTTTTCTTGTTTATTGGGTGTTGTGTCACGGTGATTATCCCAAACGATCTAAGGAGGCAAAAAGTTGACCAAAAACATTAATTTTAATTTTAACCTAATCTTTATTGCTTTTTTGGTATAAAATACAATTAATATATTAAATTTTTGTTTTATTTATTAAGTTTATTTAAGTTATAGAGTTTCGTTTCCTTGCGTCGAATTATTAACCGTTTCGTTGCTAATCCGGCGAATTTTGACTTGGCCGCTTTGAAATCGCTCAATAAACTCGGTGATTGAGTCAATGGTGAGCTCTACTCCATACTCCATCGGGGCGTATTTCCTCGCGGGGAGATCGAGCGCTATCAAAAGGGGGACCACCTCGTCTAAATCGATCAAATCGCGCAACAAATCGGTCGCGTCGCAATCTGGCGCGATTAAGAATTGCAAAAAGTTGTCGTCTTGGAAAAATTCGTCGTAAACGGTGTTCAAGTTGATGTTGTTCCGCTTGAAATAAGACTCCGCGATTGGGTTTAAAACGGTTTCGGCGAATTGCACCTCGGTTTCTTCCGAGTCAACGAATAAAATAATTGCGGGGTAATCGTGTAATCTACTTATATAGCGCTCCGATAGGATATTAACGGATCGCGCTTTCCATGGGAAGTTTAACCCAAGTGGATCTTCCGCGATTTCGGCTCTCCCTTCCATCGTAATAACGTGCCCGTTATTGTCTAAAAGGAGCAATGTGGGGATTCCCCTTATCCCGTATAATTCAGCGAGCTCCCCGCGGACTTTAACTTGCTGAAAGGGGATGCACAACCAAGGCATTGATTCTATGTAGGTCTCGTAAGAATCTTGACTCCTAAAATGGGGAACATGTTGAATTAGAAACATAAAAAGAAAAAAAGGAAAAAAAGGGGTTGAATGAATACAAGTTGATGTGGGATTTAAAAGCTTCGCGTTGAAAGCGATTTCCCCTTTTTCTCGCCGAATGGGAAACAAAGAAAAAAAGTTTTCACCCCTTTCGAGTTAATGACTTTTTTTTAACTCACCTATCGCTACTCACGAAAATTATTTCAAAATCGACCTCTTTTTTTCGAATCGCGTTGTATACGGACGCTAATTGCGGGGTGAACGCTTTACAGGGTGGACACTAAAAACGAATTTTTCTTTTTAAATAAAAAAATGTTTTTAATCAAAAAATACCCAATGCGCTGAAAAATAAAATCCTTTCACACTCATTTGAAAATCGGAGTAATTCTTTTCGTCCCATTTCATATTATGTTCCTTTTTGTACATCCCCCCCGGTTTTAAAACGACGTCTTTTAGTACTTCCTCAACCGGTCGCGGTCTCCATGGGAACAAAGCCCCCGTAGGGTCTTCACCGAGTCTTTCTTGGGCGGCAGCACTGATAACACAGCCGTCTTTGTCGAGTAAAACCAAGGTTGGCACCCCCGATTTAATACGGTATCTCCGCGATAATTTCGTTTTTAAGTGGATTTCGGTGAAGGGGACCGCGAACCACGGCAAATTCAACAAACTCTCGCGATGGCTGTTCTCGATGTCCTCGTAAAAATCGTTGTGCGCCCAAAGAACCACTTGGACGACTTGAAAATTAAACGATTTTCCGATATTGATACGTTCGTAAAGATCTCGCAAACGCTTCACGACTTCATCACCGTGCACGTTCGCGAACGAGAAGTAAACCCCCAAAATCTCGCTTTTTTTTAACGTCTCGAACGTGGGGACCAATTCTTGTTCTTTCGTTTCGCTCAAACTCGCACATTTTATTATCGTTTTACCAAAAAGACGTTCTTGCCACTTTAATTTTACTTCCATTATTTTTAATTAATTCGTTATCATTTTTTAAAATATTTAATTAAAATTTTTTGTTGTGGTTAAAAAATGCGTTGCGTCGCGACGCCCGTAGTTAACTGCGCGAAGTTGGCGTCTTCACCCCCTACAACGAAATGCGCATGCGCACCCGATAATTCAAATTTATTTAGAGCCATCTTTTATTGAATAGCCCAATCTATTTTTTTTATTATTTATTTTGAGAAAATTTAAACATTTACATTAAAAAAAATTCTAAGTGTTAATTTAATTCAATTTTTACATCATTAATTATTAATTAAAGTGCGCTTCTTTTCTTATATTTGACTAGGACATAGATTTTTTTGTTTTTACTTTTACATTAATTAAAAATTATTTTTTTCCAATATTTTTTTAAAATATATGGCATAACACCTACATACTTAATTAATTAAACTAATTCTTGGAATAAATACAAATAATCACTTTCAATAATAAAAAACATAACAAATTAACTTCTTTTTTTTGGCAGTAGAGGTCCTCGCTTTCAATTAATTCCACATTCAATTCCTCAGAATGACATAACCTCAATTCTTCAATAACATTTTAATCACTTTGTATCTTTTGATGCATCATCGTCAACAAAATATCAGAATATTGCTGCATTACTTTCACGAAAGCATCTTGATCGTTCATAACACCCTTCGAAAACAATTCTTTCAACGCAATAATCTTCTCAGTTTGATTCACCGTCTCACCGCAACCATTCGTTGTCACATTTAATTGGATCCGCTTTAACGCTACATCTTGAAGCACATTTTGCATCCTCGCAATCGATAGTTCCAAATTTTTTACCATATCGGATTTTTTTACATTCCGTTGAGGCTCCTCTGATGATGAATCAACCCATAATCTTCGATAAAGCTCTTCAACATTATTCGCAGCTATCGTTAATGATTCTGCTACTTTATCACAAAGTTGTTTTGATACTAAAAAATAAATAATTAAAAAAGTGAGGTTATAAAATAAAAAAGGAAACAGAGTGAAGTTAGATTCAAAAAAAAAGGGGTTGGCAATTAAAATAAATAAGAAAGTGAGGTTATAAAATAAAAAATTTAAACAAAGTGAAGTTAGGTCCAAAAAAAAGGTGAGGTTATAAAATTACTTACATTGAGCTGTAGAGACATCCAATTTTTCAGGAGATTCAACATCAATCCCAATTAAAGTAGTTTCTAAATCGTCTTGAATCTCGACCGATTTTTTTCGTAGATTTTTCCCCGAATCTTTTCCCGAAGAATTTTTTCGCAACTCCGATAAATTCCTAGTTCGTGGCGGAACGACGGGTTTTTGCACGATTTTGGCCGCCTCATCCTCCGAACTGGTGTCCCCATTCCCCACAGTGCTTAAATTCACTAAAAATCACGCAAAAACGAAACGTAAAAACAATAAACATAACCTAAAGATTATTTTAATGTAATAAATTTGGGTGGCGGCGCCATCTCTTTTTTGAGAAATGAACTAAATTGAATACAAAAAATTCTTTTGAGGTTATGTAATGATTTTTTTAAAAATTTTTGATTTAAATCAATATTAGTCACTTACTAACGGAATGAGCGTGCCTCTTGCGATGAAGTGTGTTATTAGTCGATTTATTAGCTAATTTATTTAATGAACTAATAGTGGGACGCATAAGCCTACTTGAAATTTTCTTTTCGGCGATTATCTCCGGCTCGGAATCCGATTGGGGCTGATTCAAAGCACTTGTACTGCTACTTTTCATCATCGAAACCATATTTAACGTTTTATTATAACCCCTCCCGTTACTAATGCTTTGCGTACCCCCACCGGCTCCATGAACGGTCATTCTCGATGATGAAACGGAAGTACTTTTTTGGTGTTTCCCTGAAACTATTAAATAATAAAGAAATAATTTATTTCTTAACGAAATTTTGCGTAAATTAAATGAATGAATACCTTTATCGATTTTTCTTTTTGGTTGAATAGGAGCGGGTGGCGTCTGCATGCTCAGGTCGCTTAAACTACACGATCTACGCAAACTATTGTCTACGACTATGATCGTGGCAAACAAAAAAAATCATGCAATATAAATCACAATGTTCAATAAAAATCATGCAAAAATATGTATAAAAATGATGGAACGAATCGAACGAAAGCTGCAAAACCATGCGGAATTCTTAAATAATTAAGTAAATCAGGAAAGGAATTCGATAATAATAAATTGAACTTAATCGTTAACATCAAAACATCGAATAAAGAAATTGTTGATAAATCACCTTGATTTTTATCACTCGGCGTTGGATTTAATCTTCGCTCAACGAAATTAGGTAAGCTTAAATTTCGCCTTCTCACTTTCGGAGGACCTCCTAAATTATTATGCAAACTCCTCGAATTACTCATCATCGTTTCGTACATATTCGATAAAGCCCGAACTTTTCCCTTCGAAACGTTTTGCTTAAAACATTCAACTAAATCGTTTATCGTTTGAATTTTCTTTTGGATTTCGTTTAAAATCTTAATGTTTTCGAGTGCCGATTGGATCCGATCGATCGAAGACGAATTCATTTGGACCACGTTTTTATTTACCTTTAATTTGTCTTTTTCCGAGTGATCCCACAAATTTTTCGTCTCCAAACTGTCGTAAAATTTCTCGTCGACATTTAAATTATTCTCTAAAGAATCAAAATCGAAGTTATTTGATTTTAATAAAAAATTATTTCCATTTTCGCAATCTTTGTCTACGTTTTTTTCTTTATAATTAATCTCGATAGTTCGTTCCGACGATGAATTCGAAGGGGCTAAATTCTCCAAGTTATTATTTTTGTTGTTTTTATAAAAATCTTCTTTTTTGATGTATTCGTAGGTTTTTTTTCGAGTTTTCGAGCTGTGTCTCCGAATCGCTTTTGGAGGCTTATGAAAAACCTTTTTATCATCAAACAAACCTTTCGATAATAAATGGCGATCCAATGAGGAAGTTTCTTGTATTTGATTCCGATTTCGCTCAAAATTTAAATTCGTTAATGTAAATTTTTGATTACCAAGACTCGACTCGAAAATTTCCAAATTCATCTCCGGCTTATTATTCAACACATTACGATATTTACTTTTATATTGTTTATTTTTCGACTCCAACGATGGAATATGCATTATATCCCTCGATTTAGACGGCCCCGATTTAGTTTCAACCACAAAAGAAATCCCTTTTTGCGAATTTCTTTTTGAGGTTATGTTCTCATTAATGTAACCTTGTTTATAACCAACTTCGCATTGATTGAGACCAACTTGACATTGTTTTGAGCTAATTTCACGTTCGTAAACATAACCTCCCTTATTAACTTCTTCGTTTTTATTAAAATTTTTCGTAATTTTCTCAAATTTCTCCAATTTTTTTTGGAAATCGACGCTCATCATCGGCGATTTAACAGACTTTTTAATAAAAACAACCTCGTTTAGCAAATCGGTTTGTGTTTCGACGTGTTTTTGATTGAATTCATTTTTGAGGTTAAATTCGCTCGATGTAAAAGTGTGAGATCGTTTTAAATTAATTTCGCTCTGAGAGCTTTTATTTTTGCGATAAGATGAAAATAAAACCTCTAAAGGGGCCGATTTGCAATCGGAATCGTTCGATAAAACGCTTTCGAGGCTATTACAATAACTTTTATTACTTATAACCTCAAAATTTTCTTCGGATAAAATCGAATCTTGCGAGTTTTTATTACTCGGGTTCAAATAGAAGCTATTACTTTTTGGTAAATTGCATTCGTGGTGGTGATAAAACTCGGTGTAATCCAATTCTTTTTGGTATTTGTAAATTTCGTTATTCGAGACGCACCGCCTCGGAGGGATTAAGCTCTTCGATTTTTTGCTTGTGTTGTTAAAGCTGCACTCTTCTAATGAATCGGAGCTAAAATTATCATCATCCTCAACGTTTAAGTTTAAATCTTTACTAAATCGTTCGATATCGTCGCAAATCTCTCGGAAACCTTTATCGGTGTCATTTTCGTCTTTAAAGTCGACGAAGTAGCTGAATGATTTTCTTGGGCCCTTATCTTTATCGATAAAATCGGAAAAACTCACCTCTTCGTTTACCGGGGAAACGGGTAAGCTTTTATGCATTTTGTATTTAACCAAAGTTTTATCGAGTTGTAACTTTCTCGGTTTTATCATCGCGGCTAAATTTTTAACATTCCTTTCGGGACTTTTATTTAATATATCACTTAAAACCAAACTATTATTAACTAAATTATCTGTGTTATTGTTATTTGCGTTATTAGATGGCGTTGTTATGTTAGTAATGGATAATAATGGGTTTTGGTTAAGGTGGTGACAGCCGCACGGTTGCAGCTCCGTCGAATCCGTGTCTGTGATCGTGTAAGGAAAATCCTTACAGTTTATGATTTCGGGTGGACGAAGAAATTGGCAACTCTGTTGTTCCGTACCTGATTTAGGACTTTGGATGTCACCCCGCGATAATGATCCATTAGGACTACCCCATTTATCACGTTCCGGAATGTGGGAAAGATCGTGAATCGATTTACTATATTTCAACGGGCTGTTATGACCCACCTAAAATTTAAAAAAAATTAATAGTATATTAAAAAACTAGTTTCGTAAGACACAGAATTCAAATTTAAAGACGAGTGGCGAAGCGACGAGTTTTTTAATAAATGAGTTAAAATATTTGACATGATGAGAAGATAGTTGCAAACGTGCATTTTTAGACTTTTCCCGACAGATGGCTCTATCGTTTTTTTTTCAAGTGACATTTTTTGATGGTTCATGAAAAAAAATTTATTTAAAAAAAAATTATGAGCTCAAATAGCTTTCATTGACGCGAATTACAAAAAAAATAATTTAAATTAAACAACGTACGTTAGCTAATTTCTTTTTGGTGTCGGCAATCATTTTCGATAACTCCTCCCTTTTTTTTAAAGTGTCCGGGTCGTTTTTCGCTTGCCTCGTCGCATTAATAACGTTTATATTCCGCAATTGCGTCGTGGTCGCCCCCAATCTCGTGTGATACTGAGAGGAAATTGAGGATTTATTCAATCCAGGGGTTGAAGCCTCCATCGTCTCAACACCACTTAAACTCTCGAACGTTGATTGCAAATATTTTTCACGATTACTTAATTGATCCAACGATTCCGAACTAACCGATAAGAAAGACATCGGATTTCTATCGGTGTTTTCACCGCTCGGAGTTGAAGCCTAAAAAATAAGTTATTTAAACAAAAAAATTTTAATTTACAATATTTTACCTCGTCGTCATCATCATCGGATTCTTGACTTCCGGAAATCGAAGTTGGTTGTTGAACCGCTAACGGAATCAATGGGAAATTCCTTTTCGATTTTCTCACTGATTTCCGCAACTCATCCGCGTCAATATTCGTAACGGTGAATTCACTCCCACTCGCAGAATCAATTTGGGACGGATAATAAAGCGGTTGATGATGATGGTGCCGCTGATGCCGATTATATTCATGATCCGAGTCAATATCAGCATCATGCGCTGTCGATTCAGTATCGGGATCGCGCCCTAACGACCCCAAAGCGCTATCATCGGTGAGAATCCGCGTCCTTTCCGACGAAGGAAGACGAGATGATGGAGAATTTGAGGTTATGTTCGTTTGTGGGGTTTGTTTGAAATCGTCGCGGTATTGTCTCGATTCTGTGCCGCTATCTAACGAGCTATCTTTTGAACCGTCCGAATCGACTCTTCGATCTGTTTTTTTTTTTATTAAATTTCTTTTGAATTAAAGTATAATGAAAAGGTATTTTTATTTACCTCCAATTGAGCTGAAAGAAATAACGCTATTAGCGGAATAAAACGTCAAAATGTTTTCTTCGGCTCGTTGCGCCCAACGCCCTTTAGGTGGCGCCACTTTGTAGGGAGAAGCAGGGGTGCTCGTCACTTCCGGGATGCGTTTTCGAGCCCATTGAGGTAATTGTCCTACGCTAAATCTGAAAATAAGTAATAAAAAAAATAGTTAAAAATTAATTTTGAAGTTATTTAATAAATTACAATAAGATTTTTATTTTCTATTATCGTGGATGTGTTGTGAAGTTAGTGCAAGTAATAGGGAATTTTTGTTACGTCAAGTTTTTTAATCAAAATTGACGTTTAAACTTTTAAAATTCAAAATCATAATATAATTATCGATTTTGCAATTATAATTAAATGTTTTTACGTAATTTTATTTAAAAAATTTAAAAATCCAATTATTTTAGTTCCAGTAAATGTTATTAAAAGATGACGAAATTTTATAGGGTCCGTAGGTAATACCAACAGATACCCAAAAAATTTGACATTTATAGACTTTTTAAACTTTAATTATTAATTAAGAAATGTATGAAGGAATTTGCACTACAATTATGTCTTAGAAATGGCTCCGAAGGGTCTTTGTTATAAATTGGGTGGATAAAACGTTATCTCTAAAATTAAGCGATATAAAAAAGTTTAACCTAAAAATTAAATCAAAATGGCAGGTTTTTCTTGATTTAATCCAACTATTTTTGTTGTTGTTTATAAAACATAGGATTGTTTGGTATCAAATTAAAGCACTTTTAATTTTCTTTAAGAATTTTCCGTTTTTTTTTTGTGATTAATTGAGTAATAATTAATAAAAGTACCTGTAATTATCTATTCCACTTTCGTATAATTCGGAACTTTGCCCCCCATCACTAAAAATATCGGAATCTAATGCTTTCCCTTGCCTCATCGCTTGTTGGCTGAGCCTAGCATGCATCGTAACAACCATATCATGAGGAACTTTCCATACGAATATACAACTAAAATTAAAAAATATAAAAACAAGTTTTTTTAAAAAATAAGTAAAACGAACCCATCCCCACTCGCAGAAATCAGTCTTTTACAATCATTGGTAAACCTTAACCCAGTGGCTAACTCAGAATGACCACACATCGTAGCCATACATTCACCGGTGTAATAATCATAAACGCTCAGCGATTTATCAGTACAAGATGTTGCTAAATAAATTCCCGATCGATCTAAAGCCACCTTAATTAACGTGCCTTCATCACCGGTACTCCCTTTAAAACTTTTCGTGTGTTTTCCCGTTGCAACGCTGTAAACGCGCACGTTTCGATCTTGACACGCCGTTATGACGTGTTTTTGCCCCGAATCGACTTCCATATCGTACAAGGTCGCTTTTCCGGTTGCGTTATTACCACGGGTGAATTGAGCACTCCCATTCGGGGTCCCACCAAGCGAGCGAAAAATTAAACATTTATCGGCACCACACGAAACCATCTGTAACGATCCATCCGGGCTGTTTAATAATCGCACCGCTGTTATTGATGATGAGTGATCATCGAGGGTTTGTAAAAAAGCGTAGTTGTTTGATACATCGAATACGTGAATTAAACGGTCTCGACTTGCGCTCACTAACAATTTGTGGTCGGAATACTCTGAGGATGAATACTCTAAACAAAGTACTTCAGCGTCGTGGGCTTCGATTTTTAAGATTTCTTTCATATTTCCAGTTTCGTGGATGTGGATGTTTCCGGCGCGATCCCCACTCGCTAAGTGTTTCCCATCTGGGCTTAATTTAACGCAACGAACGCCATTTCTGCTATCGTATGATGTATTGGTCTCCGTTTTATCAGCCGGGGTTGATACGTTCGTTTGGGATAAATCGGTGTCTTTCAAAAAGGTTAATTCATCATCAATGTAGACGGATTTTAACAATTCATCGCTATAAATATTTCCTTGGTAAATCCCCCGGGACGTGTTTTGCGTGAGTTTATCTAACGTCCAAAGACGAATCGTGTCATCTGAACTACAACTTAAAAAACTGCCCGGTGGTAAAGCCCCCCCACTCGGTGGGGCCATCTCCACGCCCCAAATGCACGCGGAATGAAACAAGAAAGAATGCGATTTCCCCACACGTCTAATATTGTGGACATCCCAAATATAAATCGAGTGATCGTTGTAAATGCAAGTTAATTTATTGTTGGTTTCATCGTAAGTCGCTGCTATTGTATCGGGGTATTTCGCCTCAGAAGGTGGGGAAGACATGTGTCTAAAAAAATTCAAATTAATACCTTTAATTATATTAAAGAATTAATTAACTCACTGGATTGCCAAACCAGAACTAACATCGACTCCTAAATAATGAGTCCTTGGAAGAGTAGTAACAAAATGAAGCGTAATCGGGTCAAAACATCTCACGATTCCTTCAGCACAACCAACAAAAATGTATTTTTCACCTATCACAATACAATTGGCACTAGTTGTCTAAAAAAAATAAATTAATCAAATAAATCACCAAATTAATTATAGAACATACCCTTAACTCTACCCATTTATCAAGCAGTCTTCTATTATTAAACTCGCAAAGTAATCCGGACCTGGTAACCGCATATGTACTATCACCACATTGTCCCCTCCCGCACGCGACATCACAAAAATAATTATTCCTTTGGACCCCCAAAATCGCGGAGCGTCCCATTAACGGCACCGCCTCCGTGTATTTAGCCTTTCCATACTCGAGGAACCAAAACTTGACGTGCCGATTACCCACTGTGACGAAATAACTCCCGTTTTCGGCGAAAGCGAGCGCCTTTACCTTCATGCTGACTTTGTTGCTGGCCACTTTGACGTTGTTCCGCCAGTCCCACACGTTTACGATCATATCGTGTTGCGTGCCGATTGAAACGACGAATTTGTTCGACGGCGAGAACGCCACGCAGCATATTCCGTATTTGTGCGATTGAAATTCGGCGATTTGTTGAGGTTGCGGGAAAAGTCCCGGTTGGGTCGATTGAGGGTCGCTTTGTAAATCCCATACTCGGACGGCTGGTTGGTGACCAAATTCACCTAATAAAGAGAAAAAAATATTAATTTGTTATTGAAACACGTAAATTTGTTCATATCTAATTGACAGTAAAATCTGTCAAATATTAAAAAGAAAGGTGGTGCCATCTAGTGATTCATTTAATTCGAATCAAAATAAAATTATTTTTATTTTATTATAAAGATGTGTGTTATATAGATTGTTCTAATTAAATTTAACTTTTTTAAAATTTTAAATTCATTAAATAATGTTTGTAAAAATTTTAGGTTGGTACCAACTTGATGAAGCTTACTTCAGACAATTAATGGCAGTCTTTTAGGTTATGTGACTCAAATTAAATTATTTATTTCAATATTACAAAAATAAAAAGTAACGAAACACGTAATTTTAATCCATCGATAACAATAAGAAACCTTTTTACTGTATAAACCTAGATTTTCTCGCCTTCAGCAAATTAATTATTTGATTTCGATGAAATAACGCTTTTTTCTGCTTTTCTAGGTCGCTATTTTCCACAGATAATTGCTACAATTTGCCAACATCTGCTACTCTTGTGGATTACATAGCAGGTGGTTATAATCGATGGAATAAAACGCCTTTTTTAACTCTAACCTGTTACTAAATATCGTCCGCAAGATGAAAACGCTAAAGATGTGATGCTTTTCCGATTGGTGTTGACGATATGGTTTTGTTCGCCGGTTTGGGTGTTAAATAAAACCACAGTGCACCTAAAAATTTAAAAAAAAAATTAATTAAAATCGTTGATTTTGTTTTATTTGAAAAGTAGATCGAGAGATTTCTTATTTCCGATTCATTGTGGGACTTTTACAACAAGTACAATGGGTCGTTGTCGTGGAAGTCGATTTAAAGTAACGGGATTTTCGTTTTAATGGAACGGATAATATCGCGAGGCTTTAATTGTCGAGACAAGTCTCAGTAAAACCACTTTGCCAAGAAAACGATTGGGTATTTTTAAAAATGACCTATACTATTTGTGATTTGTTGCGTAACATTTTGCACCGACAAACAAACCGAGAGGTGATCAAGATTCAATGTGACCTAAAACAAATCGGCGTTAAACGAATAAAAAAACTTACCCGGCCGGATATGCAATAAGATCTCCGTTTGGACTCGAATGAAGCGCTGAATTACTCGAAACCGTCACTCCCAATACTTTTTCTAATTTAATCTGGAAGGAATAATTAATAATTTTAGATTAAATCGGAAAAACTATGCGATATTTTTTTAGGGTTATGTTGATATTGAAATTGACATTAAGTTTAAGTGCCAACTTAAAATTTTTAAGAAAATAAAATCCCCAAATTATTTTTAATTATTTTAAATTATTTAAATTTTTGCGATGGATAATTTACAAAGTAATAAAGCGTTATTTTTAACGATGATTTTAAATAATACGCAAAAGTGGGCGGAAAAATGCAATTTACACGTGCACAAACAATAATAATAATCGTATTGTGTAAATTTGTTATTAAAACCAACTTAAATTTTCATGTCAAAATGAAAAGTTAATTTAATTAATTTTAAGTTAATTAATTTGTTTATTAATTTTTCTTCATTACCTTATAAGTACAAACGATTTCACGTTCGATTAACGGCATAGAATTTCTGGGCATCATTTTCGTATACTTTTATTAAGTTTTAAACCCAATTTCCTATGAGAAACATTTTTGTTATTATTGTTTAAATAAAAACAAATAAATAAAAGAAAAACGATGGCGTGAATAAAAATGAAAATGAAATTATCTATTTGGTCGATGACGAATCCCAAGGACGTTTACTAAACAGTTTAAACACGCGGATTCCACCGGATCAGCAGAGCAGGTAGAAGCGTGGGTTGAAGGCGTTTTCCTCTACTTCTTGAACACACTCAACTCTCAACGATTCGACACGCATCTGGGTGTTCATTGGCGTTCGATGGTTTAGGCGGATAAGAATTGGGTCAGTTACAAGTTCTCGGCGAAGATTAAAATGAAAATTTTTCCTCAATACAGTAATTTTCGTTTTCGAATCGAACACGCAAAAAATGCAGGCTTAATTCCCCTATAAAGCACAAAATGTTAAACAACTTAAAGAGCGAATAAATCGTGAGGTGAAGAAAGTAGTCAAGAAACGAGAGATTGGCTTTCTAATTCCGAGGCAAGATGATGAAGAAGAACCGAATGTGGATTTTTTTTTTATTTTAATCGAATGTGAAAGTGATTTCGCAGATTTTATTTGATCTCGTATCATTAAAATGATGCTTTATATAAAATGGGAGGTTAAAGACCCTACATTTAATTAATTATGGACTAGGTAAATGAAACGATTCTAATCTGGTAATGATAACGAAATCATAACTCATCGCTTCCGGGGTAATTTGGGTCAATTTGCTTGATGAAATGAGGGGTTGAAACCAATTAGACCACGCCCGAGGCAAATAAAAAATTTCTTTTTTTGTAGTAGGTCTTAAAATGATTTAGAATTGGAAAGGAAACTGAAAATGCTTTAAAATGAATCCAAACTCGATGGGGTTATCTCTAAAATTAAGTGAGATACAATAAAATTTAACCAAAAAATTAATTCAAAATGGCGGATTTTTCTTGATTTAACCTAACCTTTTTTTGCTTTTTATTGAATATGGGGTTATTTGGTAACAAATTAAAGGAAATTTGATAGAGATGGCGAATTTGATGAAAATTTTAATCAAACATTTTTTTTAAATTTATAAAATAACTTTAAACATTCTAACCGCAAAGGAAATTAAAAATGCTTTAAAATGAGTCTAAACTCGATGGGGATATCTTTAACATCAATAAAGATACTAATAAATAATTAAAAAAATAAAATGGCGGTTATTAACCTAACTTTTTTATTAAACATAGGGTTGTTTGGTATCAAATTAAAGAATTTTTCATCTTGTTTAAGAATTTCTCATTTTCTTTGAGTTTAAAATAAAAAAAAGCGAATCGATTTTTTTGACATTTGACGTTTAACCTAACTTTTTTACTTTTTAATGAAAATATGTCGTGTTTGGTATCAAATTAAAGGGATTTTATTGTCTTTAAGAATTTCGCGTTATTTTCGAGTTTAAAATAAAAATTAAGATAGAAAATTTTAAAATTTGAAAGATAAATGTTAAAATTTACTTAAATAACGTTATATTTAAGTTGAAGGTAACGGAATTTAAAACGGAACCTAACAAAAATAATTGTTACAAGTTTAAACCTAAAAACCAGTTAAATATAAAGAACATAAAGAGAATAAAAGAATTCCAGGAAGAAATTCAAGTCGAGCATTAAAGGTCGCGAAATATAGAAAATAAGAGAAAGAAATGCACAGGAAAATTAACGGAGCATTAATTTTTCCTTTCCATATCCATTCGTAACCTGAAACGTTAAACCAAAAGGTTTCAATTACGTTCAAATGGGAATACGCTTTTTAAAACGGTGAAAAATTACATTGAAAAAACACAGGAAGAGGATGTTAAGCGAAGAAAAAAAACTCTGAGACGTGATTGTCGACAAAAACGGATTTCGAATACCAAAGAAGAAAGACAATGAAGAAAATAAAGAAATTTGTATGCAAGAAACGCAAGGAATTTACTGAAAAGAAACGTTTTCATAAAAGTTACATAATAAAAAAGCAATAAAAAAGAAGTAATAAAGAAAATAAATTAAAAATTAACTAACCTGTTGAATAATCATCGCTTAAAATCCAAAATCTTAAAATTTTCATTAAATCAACTTAATCAAGGTTATGTTTTGAAACATTTTTGGAATCACAACAAAAACTTAAACCACCAAAATCGAATTAAAAACGAATTGGAAAAAAGAGTTGCTCACGGCACGGAATCTAACGATAGACTGGCGACGTTTTAAAGACAATCTCATTTTGTGTGAAGTGTGTGACGTTTTGAATCTATATGGTATGAAGGTAGAAGAAGGAGGAAGGAGAAAAGAACGTGGGTTGCTTTCTAAATCGTTTATAACTTATAAATAATAAGAAAACACGATTTAAAAAAGAATTAACTTGTTAATTCGTTTTAAATCGATTCATCGCAGTTAAATTAATAATAATAATTCTCAAAAATCATTAAACTTCATTTAAAAAAAAATTGAGGTTAGAATTTTTAAACCTGTCAATTTGACATTTGTCAAATTTTTTTGAGGTTAACTAATTATTTAAATTTAATTAATTTACTTACCCTATCGGTAATTCTGTCCTCGGTTTTCCCTCGCTTTAAATTAGGGGCTCGAACCACTTTACACTCCATTTTTAAGACTAAATTATTAAACAGATAATTTTAAAATCTCATTTTTGATTTTCTTTTTGGGTTATTTCACTTAATCCTTTAAAAAACACTCCATCTGAAACAAAATCGGGACGTTGAATGAATAAATATTCTCTTCTCTCATCGTTCGGTTTACATCTATTGTGTTCAATTCATTGTTTAGCGAGGTTAATCGTCTATGAAATTGTTTTAAATTCAAAAATTAAATTATGACGCAATTAAATCAAATATTTTTAGATTTTTACATAACCTCAAACACGATAAATAAGTTAAACAAGAAATAATCGATGCTTTTGTGTAAATATTTGAGCGTTAAATTAAGTTATTTGTTTTAAACAATTACCACGGGAGGAGAGTAAAAGTAACAATTAACTCACCGAAACCTTGAAACATTAATACCCCTTCACGCGTTAATTCAACGAAAACATTTTAAAACGACCAAATCAAACGCGAAAATCGATTTTATTTCTTAGATTCTTTTTAGGTAGTGTTATTTATTTATTTTAGGTATATTGTTGGCACGTACTCGACGGAAACGATATTTACGCGGATAATACGAATGGAATTGTTGAGTTTAACGAAACGATATTAAAACACTTAAAATAAACTTAAAAATCGATTGATTACAGGTACTTTTCGCGCTGGAAAAATGTTGTCTTTACGCGGTGTTGCATGTTTAGATGTGTGGCGGCCATTTTTGATTGCGGACAAGTTGTCGGTCGGTAAATTAGGAACGCGTGGCGACATCTCTGATCAAAATTTTAAACATCGAATATGTCACAGCGATTTCTTTTTTAGTTTAATTAATTTATTTATTAATATTATATAAACGCATATGTATAAATGTTAAATCGTTTCATTTTATACTAAAAAAATTAAATTACAAACTTTTTGTTGGAATTTGTGATTTTTTAATCACAATTTTTTTTCCATTTTAACTGAAAGATGGCACTGATTGATTGAGAATTTTAAAATTATTAATTAAAGATTAATTACTTATTTATTTACAATAAATAATATTAAAAATAAAATCGACTAACCTAATCTTACGAGTCGCAGCGTTTCAGTTGGGTTAAAAAGGATTTTGAATAAATCACCTTTGGAGGCATCCTAAACCTTCAATTCTTTACTGCAACTTGACTTTGTATTATTCAACACAGCCTAACTCATCTATAATTTATTATTTAGTTCAATTAGTTCATTTATTAACTTACCAACAAATAAAAACAACATAACCAAAAAATTGAGGTTATGTTTAACGTTTATGTGAATTAAATAATTTTTGTAATATAATTAACTTACTTATCCCGATTTATGTTCATTATTTAAACATAAATTGGTCCTTTTCCTTAAAAAAAAGTAATAGTTGCTTTTCCGTTATTAATTAGACACTGCAGAATCACTTCCTTCACCTTTTTTATGGTACATAAACGATTCTTATGGGTGTTATATCTCAAATAACCAAATGAAAAGGAATCTAGCATCATAGAAGTGCTTGATTCGAAGAGATTTACATCATTTTTTCCCATTTCGTAAAACATAACCTAAAAAAAATGTTTAAAGAGTCTATTTAAAATAAAATGATTGTTTACTTTATTAATATGCAGCAAAATCTTAATTTTGGTGAGGATTAACATTAAATAAAAGGGGAATTAATTAGAAAAAAATTAAAGATACGTTGTTTGAATGATAGCTGATTTTTAGCAAGGTCAACTTGTCACCAAAAGAGGGCGCGCAAAATTGTTATTTTAATTTTAATAAAAATTAATGTCTGTAATTATTGAATTATTAATAAATTCGTTATTATTAATAATCTTATTAATTAAATCCTAAAATCATATTTTAAAACGAATTTATTCAGAATGTTCGTTTGAAATTTATGTGACTTTTGAGGTTATGTTTATGTTTCCCCACTAATGTGTTATTAATATTAATGTATTCATAGAAAGAAATAATAATATTAAATAAATATTAATAGAAAACTCATATTCATTAAATTAAAATCGATTAAACAATGGAAGTATTATTTGTAGTGAATTTGAACAAGAAACTCTTTCCTTTTCATCGGAAACTTTATTTAATCTACTTTATCATTTAGATTTAACCAAGTGAATGGGGACACTACATGAATTGCAACCCAAACAGAAATATTTAAATGATTTAAGATAGTGGAAGGGAAAGTTGAAAAATTCTTAGTGTGTCTGACCTAGATGTCTTTTAGTAAGGCCCCAACCGGGCGACAGTGTAAACGTTAACTTTCGCTTTTACTCAGTAAAGAAAACGAAACTCCGACGAATCGATGACACAGAAAAATGTTATTTTTTAAATTTTTGGTGTTAATCGGTGCGTTTTTTCCGGGTGAGTTTCTTACTAAAAAATTTAAAAAGAACTGACTTAATTGATTTTATTATTTAAAATTTAGGTTCAAACTCTTTAATAGTACCGGGGGAAATCCCAACTTTGCTTAGTTTGATTTATTCTAACATTCCAACAATTAAAAAAGGTGAGTTTTTAATTAACATAACCTAAAAAAATTTTTTTTTTGATAATTTCCGATTGAGAAATTATAAACGAAGAAACCTTGAAGTATCTATTAGCTTCGTCATAAATTGTTACGCGAATGCAAGTGAAAGTAAACTTAACAAGATAAACTTACCGTTCCCCGTTTTCCAAGTTGACTTTTAACCTCACTTTCAAGGTTATTAATAAATTTTTGCTTTTTAGGTACCGATTCAAGATTAGGTTGGGGATTTCGCCTCGGAAACCGCGCAGATTTCCAAGTTTTAGTCGAATTGGGCCCACAAACAAACACTCAACCTTTAGCGAATCAACAACAACCATCAGGATCATCAAAAAGGGAATCATCCGATAGTTTAAGAGATATCCTTTGGGCGCAGAGGCAACAAGAAAAATTAGATCGAAAGAAAACCACAGAAAAACCACAAGTATAATATAATAAATTGTTTTTTGTACAGATTAAAACGTAATTCTTTTAGTTCTCAAATACAAACGGAGGGGGTTGGTTAAAAGAATGGAGCGAGTCCATGCAACCCAAAGAAACTCCACAAAAACCCGTTAAAATAATTGATGTCCCACTTGGAATTGGTGAAGTTGATGCGAAATTAGTTATTCCCGAGGATGATCTTAATCATGATGAAAAGGATGAAAATAATGAGGTTAAATCGGAAAAAGATAATTAAATATTTGTGTTGTAAAGTTAGTTTGTTAGGTTATGTAGGTATTTATTAATAAATGAGGTTATTTTTTTAAATGGATGAGGAGCGCCATCTATTATTGAATAGCGAAACTATTAAAGAATGAAATGAAAATGACGTAATTATTAATTAAATAAAGACGATTGGGAAAAATGTAGGGACTAAAGAGGTTCGTAATAATAATAATAATTAATTTTTATTATATTATGACGTAATGTCCCACTTTTTATTCAACTTTTTTTAACTTATGTTAGACAGAGAGAAAAGGAAACTGATAATTTTTACTTACTTAAATATATTACATAATATTTCCACTAAAAATCGTCATCTCAGTTATTTTCGGGTAACTTCTTCTTATTAATTTTCTTTTTTTGTTAATTTTCTCGTTTAACTTTACTTCCTTATTAATCCTTATCTTAATCTCATTAAATATACATCACATTATTCGAAATAGAGGATAGCAATATCCGCTGTGTGAGTCCCTTATTAAAATTAATCTATATACATAGCGCAATTTACACCATCGACAGATCATGTGACGTTTATCTCTTCTTCGCTGTCATTCGAACTGTCATAATCCATCGAATCGAAAAGTTGATAATTTTGCGTCCCCTCCAACGAAGAAACAACCCCCCCTCCTCCTCCTCTTTGTTGTTGTTGATCCGCAGGAGAACTCGCAGGAGAAATATCAGGAACGTCGCTTAAATCTAATTTAGGTTTATCACCGTCCGCGTCGCTTAAATCCGGGTGCGGATTGTTTTTATTCGGTAAAGTTTGCTCTCTAGAACCGCCAGCGGCTAAAAGTTCGCGTTCTTTTGAGTTTCTCCATTTCATTCGACGATTTTGAAACCAAATTTTAACCTAAAAAATTAAATTTGAATTAAATTAAAGAACGTAGCCTAAATTGCATATAATGAAAGAACGTATCCTAAATGATTTAGTTATAAAGGAACGTAGCCTAACGATTTGTTGCCAACTTAATTCTATTAAATCAATTCAAAGTGTATTATATAAAGCGCGGTTCTAAATAAATGAATAATTTAAAGTGTAGGGAATGTTCACGACAGGCCCGGGTTTCAGTGAATTTCCATTAGCGCGTCACAACGGTAGACGTCTACCCCTTTTTTTCTTTATTATAATTATTTTTTTTTGTTAATTTAACAATGGGGCGCCGCTTTGAAAGCGGAGCGTAGGTGGAGCTTTCCCCCATCATTCTCTTAACCGTCTACATCACTATTTTTCGAGTTCCTTTTAATTCTATTTTTAAGCGGGCAGGTCCGGCCCTGCCCCGCCCCATTATTCACCGCCGACTACGAACTCTTCGGAGAGGGGCATGATCCGTTACCATTGGGTGTTCAAATTTTCTTTCGTCCTTCTTTCCACGCCTATTCCGAAAAATTAAAATTAAAAAAAAAATTTAAAAACAGATTTTAAATAATTTTGTTTTTGATTAGAATTAAAAATAATTTACGTTGAGAACAATTAATGAGGGGGCGCGTCTCATTGTAATTAAGCGTCGTCGTCGTCGTTCATCCCCACCTACAACTAACTCCCCCGGTATTCTTCGGCGTTCATCCCCTATTCTAGGGTTCTATTACTGCGGAGGCGGCGACCACCACGCCCCCGCGCGGAAATTGTCTTAAACAGGCGCGAGCGAGCGAGGTGGCGCTCCGTTGTGTTTAAAACGATTACCGACCGACCGAGTGGATTAATTGGATTTTCTCAAAACCCACCCCACCCCCACCGCCATCATCCTCTTTATCCCTAAAACGACTATTTCTCGACGATTTTGTATCTCTTTTTGTTTGACATTTTTGTTCTTTTTCGTAGTATTAAAGTTATTATTGAGATTGTAATTTAAAATTAATATTGCATAAAAATGTTAGAAGACATGCAAATTAATTAATAATGAAACAGGTAATTCGAGGGAGGCCTCAATGGTAGCTTTGCGCTGGAAACAACTCCAAGACACAGAGTGTGTGATAACTTCGTCGCAAAAGAAAACCAAGGGGATTGTATGTTTCAGCAATGGGGACCTAAGGTTGCTCTTAGGTTTCCTAAAATACCACTTCTTCAATATTGGACAAATTGAAAATCAAACTTGTCGATTTTCAATCAGAGACTGCTGAACATATTCTGTCGTCTGAATACGACGTTAGAAGCTGGTTAAGGCAGAAAATTTTCGCAAAGGTCCGCCTGATACCTACTGACATAAAGAAACAGTATACATACAAGGTTTCCCAAAAGTACCGGATAAATTTGTTACAACAATTAAAAACAATTTATGGAAAAATCGCTGAAGGTCAATATTAATGAATAACCATGCGTAACCATGGCAACCAACTGTTTGAGATATTTTATTAAGGCCCACTTTTACCACCTCTTGATAAATTTATCCGATTGATAAATTGGCGCTCTTAGCCAATGACAGCGCTTAAAACCGTTGTAACCATGGTAATTATCTATCGGTTAAATTTATCAAGAGGTGGTAAAAGTGGGCCTAAATGATTAGTTTTTAATATCTAAAACAGTTGATTACCATGGTTACTGCTAGTTACTGCCAGCATCTATCCATGAAGAGAATATAGAAAAGTTGGTTTTCCACTTAGCAGAAAAATAGTTTAAGAGATGCTCTTACATGTAAAAATAAATTTTGTTTTGAAAAAATGTTTTTGTAATTCGCTACGTTAATGGAAGCTATAACAGTACTCAAACGGGTGCTGTAATGAGACTCCTTACAGCATCCGATGCTGTAATGAGATTTTAGTAACATTTTATGGAACCAGTTCAAGTTGGTGACATTGGGTCATTAATTTTTCTAGTTGTCAACGTGACAATTTTTGTCTATGGATGTTTAAATACGTTCTTAGCATCGAATACAAAGTCCACAATGATGAGGACATTGACTCTGAGCAATTTCTCTTATTTTGGGAAGTGTACATCAAACATTTTTTTCAGGTGAATATATTTTGTGTGTTGACAGTTTCTAATTGTCAATTCACAGTTTCTATTTTCAAGTGTTCCGGTGTTACCAACTGCTATATATCTATTTCCTTACATTGCCAAAATTTACTATATTTTTGTTAAGAAAAAGTATAAAAACGCGAATTACAAAAAATAGCATAAAAAACACGTTTCATAAGACTTAAAGCACACATTCAACTTGAATTCGTGCATTTCAAGTGCGTCTTACGAAACTTGTTTTTTAATATACTATTTTGTTTTTTTTTTCAAAACGAGACCCCTCGTATTCATCAAACCATTTCAATTGATAATAGGCTCATGAAAATCGGAATGTAAATGACAGTGTTACAGCTCGGGGCGTTTTTGTGTGACATCTGTATAAAGAAACAAGATCTTGGAGCAATGCTAAGGTTTATCAAGGACCGAGATATGCCCTAAACCTTTGGCCTTAAGTTGGAGCCAACGGTGGAGCCGCTCACCTCAGCCCGGCTGCAGTAATAATAGCAATCAGCTGCAAACGAGCATGGCTCTTGGTCTATACCAATTTACATGAAGAGTCTTTAACAGCTTTGATTCTGGAGTTCGGCTACTCTTTAATCATTTATATTGAAGAGTCTCGCCGGCAAGCGACCTCGGCTCTGAGTCTAACAGCTTTGATTATAGAGTAAGATTACTAACTCTTTAACAGCTTACATTGAAGGACCTCGACCGCAAGCGACCTCGGCTTTAAGTCTTTAACAGCTTAGATTCTGGAGATCGGCTACTCTTTAATCACTTATTCTTTAACAACTTAAATTTTAGAGTTTCGTTTATTTGTAATAAACACAAACCTCTGTTTGTGTATTTAATGAACCGTTAAAAGATGGAAATTGAGATACTGCACAATGAGAATATTATTACACGGCGGTCGTTTTGATCCGAAATGATGCAGTGATTTCGATTCGGTGGGAATTTATAGGAGTGGAGAGGGGCGTCACGATTGGTTGGTTTGACACTGGTAAAGGAAACCGCAATGTGCAGTCAATGTTGTGTGTATAGAGCGCATTTCAATTGCTATAACCGCTACCAGGGGCGTAATTCAACTCACTCTTTGTGTTAATAACACTTTGTATTAGATTGAAGTAAAAATTTGATGCTACTTGTACATATTGGTTTGTGTCACCGCCAAAAACAAATCATCCAACCTAAAGAGATCCTTTTAAACCGTATAATTTATCCTGTTTCCTCATCGTTTGATTCAGATCGGTTCGTTCGGTTGGATAATTATCCACGTTCACCAACCATGCAACGAGAGAGAAAAAAAAAGAAGGGGCTCACAGCATCAGTTCACGTCAAGTGCAGAAGTAACGTCGTCGTCGTTGTCGTTTCCGCCACGCCATCCTTATTTATTTATCCTCTCGTAAAATGTGTATCGTCCCTTTCCCCCGCACATCCTCGCATTCGATTTCAAGCAAAAGACAATACGGTGCGGTGATTTGTAGAGCGTAATAGGACACCCTCCGATTAGTTTAAAAGGCCCCCTTCCTTCTCCATTCACTTCCATCTCTCCGTTATGTTCTGATAGATGACAGATCTTACTAATAGATTCTTCCCCCTATAAGCACTGTGTTAGGTTGGTAACATATGTTTTTGATGGGCCCCACACGATTTCGACTCGGAAAGTATACGATAGGGGATGAAACGGGGATGTTTTTTTTTTGAACCCCTTTTATTTATCCGTCTAATTCTAGATAATTCGTTTGTGTTTCTATACTGTGATTGAATTGAAAAGAAATCGGGGTTAATTGATGAATTTTGATTTTCTATTTATGACAAAAATAATACTATATCAATTCAAATTTTGCATCATTTAAAAGTAGATCACAACAAATAATAACTAGCTTTCTACTAACACTACCAAGGGTTCTGCTATCAATATTTAGTCATTTTTCAGGAATATTAAGTTTCTTTTCAGCAATATCTATGCTTCTACCAATACTATAACAATATCTAATCTTCTGCCTGCAGCTTCTAGTCGTTTTCCGACAATATCTATTCTACTCTAAGTAGTATTTCTTCTTGAAGTTATTTGCTGCAACATTTAATTTTCTGCTAACAGTATCTATACTTCAATCTGAAGTATATAGCTTACTGTCAGCAATACTAAACGTTTTTCCAGCAATATTTAGCCTTTTTCCAGCACTGATCTACAAACAGTGCTTAACTATCTAGTATTCTCTCTGAATTAAGAGCAAATCTTTTACAAACGTAATATCCAAAATTGATCACCTTGTACCAAACCACACCACATAAATTACAACCAACACAAAGGTTTGTGTATGCATAATGAGTATCAAGCAACAATTAAAAAGTAAGTTCTTTTATGGATACGTTCTTAAAACATAGTTAAATGAAAATTAATCAAAATATTTATTTACCTGACTATCCTTCAACCCTAATTTCTCCGCTAATTTCTTCCTATCCGGTTTACTGATATACTTCTGTATCTGAAACCGCCTCTCCAAACCTTTCCTTTGCAAATCGCTAAAAACCGCCCTCCTCATCATCCCCCTTCTTGGCTTTCCCCGGCCGCTATGCGCCCAAGGGAACGTTCCCGGTAACGGAAACACCGCCGATTGAGTCCCGGAAACCGGAGTTGACACTAAATAAAATAATAATTTAATTATTACTTTGTATTTAAAAAAAAAGTTATTTTGTGTTGTTTATAAACGTTCGGGGGATAAATTTAACACCCCCAACTCCTCTTTAGCGCCCCCCGGGTTCCGTTTCACCCCCTTTTCGTAACGGTGGCCGTTTAACGGGTTTACTTGTTGGCGCCGGTTCTGTTTTGTGCCAATTACGAAGGCGTCGCCCCTCTACCTACTCTCTCTCCGTTGGTGTACACACAGATTGTGTATTCGCGAGCGTTCCCGCGGGGGAGACACTTGACCCGGACCCGAACCGTGTTAATTTACCCCCCGGGATGGGACTAAAACGGTCACCCTAATTCACCCTTATAAACAAAACAACCGTGTAACTAATCCAAACGCTTATTTAGATCACTATTATTTATTTATTTTTTTCAATTTAATTACCTGTAAGGTAAGGCTGAGGGCGACAATGAGCCAATAAAATGTGAGGATTGAAATGCGGTGGTCTGCTTGGCACCGGTTTGGCAATTCCTCCACCTCCTGGCGGTGCATGACTACTCAAATATGAGCCCAAACCCAGTAAACTTGGCGGAGTTACGTGTATTAAAGATTCTGAAAGTAAAAGAGAAATTATTTAAGATGTAAACATAACCTCAAATTCGTTTTACAATAAAAAAATCGTGAAATAAGGTCGGTTAACTTACGTTTATGTATTATTTAAATAAAATCACTTTGTTTTTACAAAAAAAAATAACAATTAATTAAAATAACGTTTAAATTATCTTTGACGTTTATGCGTTGGTGTTGACTTTTTTTACTGCCAACCACGAAAAAATTTAAATTACTAGGTGATAAATGTCACAAAATCTTAAAATAATATTTTAATCTTAAATAAGGAATTTAATTACTGTTTAAATATGATTTTAAACTAAGCAAACTTAGTAGAATTAGGTGTATTAAAGAATTTGAAATTTAAGAAAAAATTTAAGATATAAACATAACCTAAAAATTGATTTTTGGCCCTATAACTACTAATATTATTTTTAACATAAAAAATTGGTTAAATAACTTACGTTTATGCATTATTTAAGTAAAACCACTATGTTTTTATTAAAAAAATAAAATTTCTAAATAAAAAACGTATTTATAACGTTTAAATAATCGTTGACAGTTACGTGATGAAGTTGGCTTTTTTTGATAGCCAACCTCAAAAAAATTAATATCACTAGATGATAAAATTTAAGTAATTAATTGAATTATTACTGTTTTTAATTAATTAATTTGGATTTGATATAAATATTTAAAAGGGAAAATCGAATTTGATATACCTATTTATTTAAAAAATTGATTTTAAATTATGTATTTTAATTTGTGAAATGTCACTAAACCTAACTACATACCAAACTACCCTCAAAATATAATTTTTGACATTTACTAAATACAAAAAAATTAAGGTTAAGTTTGTTTTTAATTTTAGCAAAACTTTGATAAAAAAAATTCTAAATTGATTTTGAAGGCGCCGTTTGTTGGTTATTAAAAAGGGATTCAATGGGGCGCACAATGTCGGGGGTGGTACCACCGCCGGGGGACAAGGGCGCGACTTGGTCCCCCGTTTTCCCGGCAACTCTCTGTGTTCTATGTTCGGAGCCCCTCTTTCTAGCGCGGCTAAATCAATATATAAGGCGCGGGTGCAACTGACGGGCCGTTACTTCACTTTGATGGGGTGTTGGGGCGTAAGAAGACTGACCCCCCCGAAAAAAAGGGGATGTTCTTTCAACCTAACCGAAGTTACATCAAGGGGAAATAAAAATAAATAAAAAATAGTAGTTTTCTTCTTCAATTTAAGAGATTTTATCAAAAGTTATTATCATCGCTTTCACTCCTTGCCACCTTTCGAGGAGAAAGAGAGAAAATTGGTAAACGACCTCTCCCCTCAAAACCGAAATTCTCGAAATAGATATATTCAAATGCGATTCCGAAAGCGAACAATATCCCCCGAAGTGCAAAAGGGGTTGATTTCGGGAGCGCGGCGTCAGCTGCTCCGGTGCTTAGTCGCCATTCGGGACTAAATCTTTCCTGCCTCGGTTCCCCCCGCTCCCAAATACCACCCCAAATGTGGGGTTTGGCAAAAATCTCGCTAAATCCCCCACAGCGGACTCGAAGAGAGAGAGAAAGGGTGCAAGAAAAAGATGGAAAAGTAGGAAATAAAGATGGAAATTGAGGTGGGGGAAATGGTGAAAGATAAAGAGGAAACCTGTCGAAAAAAGCTGCCGCCGGCATTTACACGTATTAATTCAAACTGTGCCGTCAGAATGCCGAAAACTCACCCCCCGAAAAGACCCATTTCCGATCCCTGATTCTTTTTCAAACCCTCACCATCAAGAAAAAACAGATTTCAATATTTCTTAAAAATGTACAAACAAAATAACGTTCAAAACGTCAAATTATTTTTTATGTCAACTTCTAAGATAATTCCATTTAGGAGGTGTTGTTTTAAACGGAATTGTTCCCGAAACTTGGACAGGTTCGTTTCCTAAACGCGTTAAATCCGACTCGTCGCACGCGTCGACACCTCGCCAAAGTGTTTCTCTCTCGAAGCTCGTTGCCACGGTAACCGAGCACAAGGCACTCGAAACACGAGAACTTTGCACCCACCGAGAGGTGCTTCAAGAAGTCTTAGCGCGTTAACCCTATTTCGTTTTGTTTTACAAAAAAACAAATTAACGAAAATAATTTCCAATGTTTAATTTTTTCGTATAATTAATCAAAAATTATTAATCCTTTAAAATAAGTCCAAACTCGATGGGGTTATCTTTAAAAATGGGTGAGATATAGAGATTTAAAAATAAATTTGACAGTTGAGTTTCAATTGTTTTCGAAAATGTATCTCGGGCGTTTTTAAAGATAACCCAGCCGAGTTTGGGTTCATTTTATAGGATTTTTTATTCTAAATGAGATGGTGATTATTAATTTTACGAAAAAACAAAACAAAAGTGACAAATTAACACTATTTAATTAATTAAAAAAATTTAATTTAATTAATCAAATATTTTTCCATTAAAATCTCGTATTTAATTAAATTTTTATTATTTCAGTTTCGAAAAATAAACTAAAAAAAACTAAAAACTAAAAAAATAAAATAAATAAATATTTTAAACTTCCGGTTTTTAATTTTTTGAGTAATTAATTAAAAATTTACACGCCAGGGTTCGTTAAAAATAACCAAGATACGGCGATTTAATAATAAATTTGACAATTGAGTTTCAATTGTTTTTGCAAATGGATCTCGGTAATCTTTAAAGATAAACCCATCGAGTTTGGTCTCAGTTTAAAAGATTCTTTATTTCCAACAAGATAGTGAGCATTATTTTTACGAAAAAACAAAGTAAAGTTTACGAGATACGAGATAGGGCGATTTTAAAATAAAATTGGCAGCTAATGTTCAATTGTTTTCGAAAACTGTTTTGGTTATATCTCGAGAATTTTTAAAGATAACCCTATCGTGTTTGGGCTCATTTTAAAGGATTTTCGATTTCCAACAAGATGCTGATCATAAAATTGATGTAACATGAAATAAATATTTAAATTTTTTCTTTTTTTGTAAAAAAAATAAGAAATTTAGACCACACATGGTATATAAAAAAAAGATACAAAGGATATAAAAGTTTACACGCACAATCGAGTCCCAATTGGGTTGTGTACACAACACGACCTTAATCCCAAATGCAAACAAGAAGGCAGGCGACCGAGCCCTTCAAAAAAGGGGCTCCCCTTAAAAAAAAAGAAACAATAAAAAAGTTGTGGTCTTTTGTCGACGGGATAAAAGACAACCCTGTATATGGATCTTTTTAAATTGTTGGTGCGCACAAAAGGATGTGTTTTTACAGGGCGTTTACAGCCAACGGATTTGCCAATGATAAACCTTCTAGTACACGCCTAAAATAATAACCCCAGCGGGGTAATAATAGCTAAGGTAACATATTTTTTGTATTTTTTCCCCTAACTAAGCTTAAAATACAATGGGAAATACAATTTTTATCGAAAAAATCTTTTTTTATGATTGTGGTAATATTATTCTAATGGGGATTTTTATTGTTACATTTTTTTTTGGGGTGGTAACACCCCCTTTTTTGTAATTCCAATTTTATCGCCTTTTATATTAACAGTTAATAATAAGATGATTAATCACTCACCGTTTTGAACGTGTTTATTCTGTTGATCAGTACCCAAAATCGCACTGACACTAAACTTGAGCACCGGTTTCGTATCTTTTTCCACCATCCGACAACATTGAAAACTACCGCAATCGAAACGACCACAACCAGAACAAATCCGGAATCGAGCCAACATCTGATCGCGATCGGATTTGTCGTTAATTTGTTGTTGGGGCGACGGCGAAAGTCTTTCGTTTTCATCTTCAACGTTTAATTTCATCGAGGCGTCCGAGTCGATTCCGATTCCGGTCGAGCCCGAATATTTTAAGAACGTATTCGAATTTGGGGAAATTTCGGCGTCTTCCGAGGATAACTCTGAAGTTTGCGGCGATAATTTCTCGCGGGATGATAATAAGCTTTCCATCGAGAACGGCGACGCGTTATTATTTAAACTTTTCAACATTTTCTCGGATGTGTTTAAGAAATGAAGGGCGTTGTGAAACATTTTTTTTTGAATAATCTATAAAAAAAATTTAATAAATCACTTTTAATAAATAAATCACTCAATTTAATTTCATTTATTAATCACTTAAAATTTAAAAATATTTTTTTTTATTTTAAGTTGAAAAAAAAATAATTTTTTTACCTTTTTAATAATTTTAAGGGAATAGTACTATTCACAAAGTTGTTAGGTGGTGGACTGAGAGCAGGGCTTTTGAATTTCCAACCCCTTTGAGGGGGGGGAGAAATCGGAAGGACGTTGAAGGGGATGGGAATTCGGTGTGTTTCGGGGTGGGGCTTCGTCCTTCCTGGGGGAGGTGCTTCTTATAAATCCGGGACTATTTCATTGTGTTTGGCGCGAAACGGCGGACTTTGTTTTGCTTTTTATTTTCACTGTTCCGCTTTTTTCCTTTTCTCTGTGGGGCAAACGGAGAGCTAAAAAATCATATCCGGATTATTTTCTCGACGAATAAATGCGATTTAAAACAACCCGCTACAAAAACTATTTTACAATTATTATTAAATTTCAGTTTTGATAAATTGTAGCTAATTTACATGGTTAGGTTTAATAGATATTAAAATACAAAGTGGTTTATACATTTAAGAGTGGTGTTGGGACGATCATTAAGTGTCTTAATGTACAATAATTATCTGAATTTGTGTAATAAAATTGCAATGTTGTATCTTTAAGCCGAGGTCGCTTGCGGCCGAGGCAGGGGCTCGGTTACGTTTTAACTTTATGGAACTTCATTACTACGCCTCGCCCGCAAAGCGGTCTCAGCGTCAACCTATTACGAACAGCAAAAATATGTTTTCTATGCCTTAGTATATAGTAGCTATTTGTATATCAAGTTTTCGATGTTTTATCATTAAGCCGAGGTCGCTTGCGGCCGAGGCAGTATATCTAAACCGTTTTATCTTTATAGAGCTTCATTATAAAGCCTCGATTGCAAGCAACCTTAGATAAAACTTTTATAACTCGAAAAAAATTATCTTCCTTGTTTTAATATACAATAATTATTTGTGCAACAAGGTAGCGAGTTGTATCTTTAAGCCGAGGTCGCTTGCGGCCGAGGCAGTATATTTAAAACGTTTTATCTTTATAGTGCTTCATTACAAAGCCTCGATTGCAAGCAACCTTAGATAAAACTTTTATAACTAGAAAAAAATTATCTTCCTTGTTTTAATATACAATAAATATTTGTGTAACAAGGTAGCGAGTTGTATCTTTAAGCCGAGGTCGCTTTCGGCCGAGGCAGAACCTCGTATACGTTTTATCTGTATGGGAGTTCAATACTGTGCCTCGCCCGCAAATATATTTAAAACGTTTTATCATAATGAGGCTTCATTATAGTGCCTATATTATCTTTCCTGTTATAATATACAATAATTATTTATGTAACTAGGTTGCGATGTTGTATTTTCCAGCCGAGGTTACTTGCGGCCGAGGCAGAACCTCGTATAAGTTTTATCTGAATGGGAGTTCATTACTGTGCCTCGCCCGCAAATATATTTAAAACGTTTTATCATAATGGGGCTTCATTATAGTGTCTATATTATCTTTCCTGTTTTAATATATAATAATTATTTATGTAACAAGGTTGCGATGTTGTATTTTCAAGCCGAGGTCACTTGCGGCCGAGTCAGGAGCTTGACTATACTTTATCATTATGGGGCTTCATTATCGTGCTTCGTCCGCAAACAACCTCAATTACAAACCTTTATAATTAGCCAAAATATATATTTTCTTGCTTTGGTATACAGTACCAAATTGCATGAGAAGGCTATGATGCTGTGTCTTCAAGCCGAGGTCGCTTGCGGCCGCGGCAAAAGCTCAGTTGTGTTTTAACTTTATAAAACTTCATTGTTGAGCTTCGTCAGCAGGACACCTCAGCTAAAAACCTTTATAATCAGAAAAATACATATTTCCTTGCTTCGATATACTTACAGTAATTACTTGCATAAGTATGTTCCGATGTTGTATCTTCAAGCCGAGGTCGCTTGTGGTCGAGGCAAGAACTCAGTTGTTTTAACTTTATAAAACTTCATTGTTGAGCTTCGTCAGCAGGACACCTCAGCTAAAAACCTTTATAATCAGCAAAAATACATATTTCCTTGCTTCGATATACTTACAGTAATTACTTGCATAAGAATGTTCCGATGCTGTATCTTCAAGCCGAGGTCGCTTGTGGTCGAGGCAAGAGCTCAGTTGTGTTTTAACTTTATAAAACTTCATTGTTGAGCTTCGCCCGCTAATTATAAAGGTGCAAACCTTTATAATTAGCAAAAATATATATTTATACCACCACCTAAAGTAAAATGGCTAACAAGTAATGTTAAGATACAACAGTTCTAGTATCTTTAAAAATCTATTACAATAAATACAAATTAAGTATACAGGGTAAATCAAAAAGTTATGACGAAACAAAGTTAAGTTTATTTTAATGGAAAATCCTGTATATTATTCCATATTCCAATTCATATCGAAAATCTAAACAAAATTCATATAGCACATCATGAATCTAAACTTAACCGTTTTCAAGATATCAAATTATAATAGCAAATTATTCAAACTGAATGTATTTTTGATATGTGTTATGTCACTGCGATGTTATGGAGATGAGAAACTTTCAATGGTAAGTTGATGAATTAAGAACATAATCGATTAAAATTGACTGACCCTGTATTCTTAATTTGTATTTATTGTAATAGATTTTAAAAGCACTAATACTTTTGTATCTTAACATTTTTCAGTAGCTATCTTACTTTAGAAGCATATCAGCGACCCTGTATATTTTCTTGCTTTAGTATAAAGTAGCAATTTGTATAACAATATTGTGTTATATAGTATATTGTCTAATATTGTATCAAACTGTATTGCATCAGCCGTAAACTTTTGTTTAATGCATAATCATTGACTCCACTAATTTGTTTTCAAAATCTTTTGACAAGCAATTTCTATTGCTTTTGTAAAGCAACTTTTAAATCATCCTTATTTGATATTCTCCGTAATCTAACTGTATTATTTAAATATTCCCATAAATTCTGTATGGGATATACGTCGGAAACGTTTTGAACCGTTGTTATATCATTAATAATGATGAATTTCTTCATCATTCATAGAGCCACATTGATTCGAAGCCAACAGAATAATAAAACGAATTTTTGCTTTAAAACGCTTATTACATCGCCTTAAACCCTGGTCGTAAGGGTTGGTTTGAACGTTGCCCAATGGCATTTCGCGGTTCAATTGTCGATAAAACAAAAGCTCGTCCGTCGGAATACTTCTCTCTCGCTTCCTCCCTCTTCGGAGGCGGCAAAAACGACGTCGAGAAGGAGAAACGAGCGGGGGAGGCTACACACCGGGGGTAACATTGATTTAATATAGACTTGAGTGTTTCGCCGCGCACCGGAACAGGAAATGGGGGGCGCGCGCGAGAGACGTGGAGGGGCTTCGTAACCAATCGGCGAGACTTTTAAAATTAGGCACGCCTTTAAAAAAAAATTATGTCAAAATTTAACAAAAAAAATCGAAAAAATACCAAAATAATAATTTTTAGAATAAATAAACCGGGGGGTTATTAAAATATTTTTAATATCGATATAAAAGGGAAAAGAAGGAAAAGAAGGGGGGTACATGTATTAAATTTGCATAAATTTTGCGGCATCTGTCGCAGAAAAATGAATCAAAAATCGCGAAATTAAATAAAAAATTAAAGTGATAAGTCAATATTTATCGTCTTTTGGTTAAACAACCCCCAAAATTCTATACTAAACAAACAGGACGATCACGAATAAAAAAATAACTAGAAATATGCAAATTGACTGCACACGAACCCTTCTGTCATAATATTTACACTCATCAGCGAGGCCGACGGTCGACGTATATCATTTCAATTCATTATTTCCCGCGCCCCAACACCAATTGACTTTAGAATATTTCGAACATTCATTTAGAAACGATTCAAATTAATAAATAAGGTTTAAAAGTAGTAGGGTTATTTTTTTATATCAAGTGTTCACCGAACCAAAACTAAAAGCGACTCTTTCTTTCACCATTGTGTCCTCCTCACCTTCTCGTTCACCTTTTAAACCCCCCCAGAGAAAAGGGGCAAAGTTAATGGTTTGGAAAATCATCATCGTCGGATGTATTTCGTTCAATTGGGGCGTGAAATAAAAGAAATTTCCAAACACACACCTTTAAGTCGGCAAAAAATCTTCGTTTCTTCATTTTTAACCTAAAACAAACAAAGATATCTCTTAAAATTCAAGTTTTAGCCGAAATTTTGGGTTATTTTAAGTTACAATTTTTTTTTTGCATCATCAATCACTAAAATCGGAGAAATAAAACGTGATTTGTCATCGGTTCCTTTCAATTGCACAATACCCCCGTGTGCGGCTACGACAAAGGGCCCCCAAATCCATAAGCGGGGCGAGAAGACAAAAAATAACAGTCAGTCATCGTTTCGTAAATGTATCATCGATCATTACGCTAGCCGATGATACGCTTGTTAAGAATCGATCTGCTTTTACTTTTAACAAAGTGAATTCAATAAAAATCGTTAAAATTCGTTATTTACCTCAATTTTGCGAAGAAACTTAAAATTTATGTCAAATTATAACTGTCACATGGTCACCACACGCGAAAAATTAAAATTCCCTACAATTAATTAATTTAATTATCGATTTATTATCGAATTCGTTTTTGAATTATTAACAAAAAGTAATTAATCAACTAATGGTCGTTATATTAAATAATCAACATTTTTTTTTATATTAATAAATGATTTTAACAAAATTATTTGTGCCCATGTATACAATGCGACATAACCTCAAACAATAAAAATAATCCAACACAATAAGTGAATCCTTTTTAATTTATTTCGCGATTTATTAACGCAAATATGTAAAGTGTCGGCGCGTTGAGTAGAAAATGTTTCAATCCCCGACGTTTGAATAGAACCACCACAACAGGTCCATTGTTTCGGAAAACCATGGGGCCCCCTCGGTCGATTATTCGTCAATTGACGTGCGTGCATTATTCGAGGTTGAAATTAATAAAACGTCCCCCCCAAAACATCCCGAGTTAATCAACAATCCCTAAACGATATGTGGATTAAACGAAGAATTTAGGATTTAATCTCAATTAATTGTCGATAAATAGATTACGGTTCGAAAAAATGTTACTTTTTTAGTGCGTTTTGAAACGTGGAGGTTGAGGGAAAACTCTGTGGGGGAGAGGAGTGGCCCGGAAAAATCCATCCGACGGGGGCGGCCCACGTGTAAAACGCGTTCAATTTGAAAGGCACCCGTCAACGGCAGAGGGGTACGATTTAAAATGTATACTTTTTAATCGAGAGAATGCGAAAACGAAAATAATTCCTTTTTTAAATCGAGATGACATCAATTTTTTGAGGTTAAGTTACTTTTAAATTTAATTTTCTTGAAAAATGATTTAAAAATTTAATTATTCTCGACGTGGACGACGTCGGAAGCTCGTAAGACCGGAAGTGCACCCCTTCAAATCCAATTAACTCAAAAAACGCCCCCCATTTTTCCTCCTCCTTCGTTTCCTCTTTCTCATCCTAGAGTTTTAACGCGAAATAGGGGCGGCTTCATCCCAGATTTCGTTTACGCCCGCGCTGAATTGACGCTGAAAAATTAAACGTTAAAGCGACTCTTTTTTTGGTTTCGTTTCTTACCCGGATCCTTTATTTTCTCCCCGTCGAATCGTTACGGATCAAACGACGCACCGCAACCCTCTTATCGTTATATCCTTTACGAATTAATTATCGTACAATGCTGCGGTTTAACCCACCGCAATCTCCCACTTAATCTCTATTGTGTCCCCCCTTTATCCGATAAGATATCCCCACAGAAATACACCGACACACGAAATCATTAACAGCTATAAAATAAAATTAATTAATTTAGTTGATTTAAATTGTTTTAATAAATTACTTACCTTAAATAAATTAACTAAGAAATTTGTTAAGAACTTTGAGGTTATGTTTCTTTTTTGACGTTTAAGTTATGATGAAATTTTTTTAAATAAATTTAATTAATTAGTAATAAAAACGCTTAAATGAATTAAAATTAATTCGTTTTAGTGATTTTAATTAATTTTTATTTAGTATTTATAAGAAATGATTTAGATAATTTTTTATTTTTATATGTGTGGTACTCTGCGATAAGATTAATTTGACGTTTTAAGATGGTTTTAAGTTTAAGCCTATAAAAATCGAATTTAATCAATAATAACGCTAAAATATGTTTACAAGGTAATAAAGTATCAATAATAATAGGTAATTAAGATGTCTTTATCATTAGGTTTAAGTTTTCATCGAATTTTTATTTCTAAGGAGAAATGAATTGACGGGAAAAGTGAGGTTAAGTCTTACAATTTTATTTTCGAATTTAAAGCATTTATTAAAACTAAATTGAGGATGCGAATTTAAACACGTTTACTCCATCATATATCCTTTTTTATTATCAATACGTTTTTCTTCTATTTTTTTTTAAATTTCGAGATAATTGATTGACAAGACAAAGTGAGGTTATGTCTTAAATTTTATTTTTTGATTTAAAGGATGTATAAAAACTAAATTGAAGATACGCATTTAAAAACGTTTACCGGAACACATTGGCCTTTTTTTTTGTACGACCAAAACCGAAAAGGGATAATTTGTCATCTCAACAATGTGTTTACGTCAGAGGATTTGAGGGTTTTTAGGGCCCTCATTTGAAATCAAAATCGGAAAGAATAAAAAGTAGCGCCCCGGCTGGTTTAAAGTCGCTTCTTTCTGTCCCATTTAACGCCCCAAACGATTATTAAGGGGTTCGGGCCGGTTTCAACGTTGATATTAACGATTCATATAAAAATCGGTTAATGTTAATTTTTTTAGATCTATTAAAATAGTATTAATTTGTCGTTGGAAACATAAATTCCGAAGGCGTCAGGTTAAAAATGATATACGGCCGCCCGTTTGTATCCACAGTCGTCGCCCTATAACTCATCGAACCGTTTATTTATATTTACGTCCACACGTGTGGCCCACCTCCAGAGCCCCGGAGTACCCCTGAGTTCCCCGGCATACCCCGGAATGCCCCAGACTTCTAACTATACCGGTAGGGTCGGGTTGTCGTTGTTGTTCTCTTTTGCACAGCAGCGGCGCCGCCCGGTGTCGATAGGATCGTAAATTTTAAAATCGAAGCCCCACCGAAAGTCGACGTTTTGCGAATTCGATTGAAGGCCCCCTTGATTTACGAAGTCTCTAAACCGAGGAGTGTTTCAATTGGCAGTAATGCGGAAATCGTAAATTGCGCCCTTAAAAGTGTCATTAAAGATTTACATTTTTTTTTTGATTTTCTTATATACAGAATGATCATTTTAAATTATTTAAAGGCGAAAATAAAATAATATATAAACGCGCTAATCGCATTAGGCGATGAAGAGAGAAATTGCGGAGTTCCCTGAAAGGCGGGGGATGAAGGGGGGCGCGCGCCTGTCCCTGACAGGTTTTATAAGGGTGTCGACCGCCCGTTGGTAGCCCCGTGCCGACCGGAAGGAAGGCCACGAGGCGTTAGGATATCCACCCTCGACTTTAACCCTCACCCCCCACCCCCACCGAAAGATATTTAAGCGATTTTAATCTCCTTATTTCTTCTTACCCGGAAAGAACCAGGTCGATATCATTATTTTCTTTTTCCCAAAAAAAAAAAATAAAATAAAATAAAAAAACGATTATAACATGTGTTCAGAAAAATCCTTATTTGATATTAGCAAATATTGACCATGACATAAAGCGAAGAGCTTTATCGAGAATGGAAACGTAGAGTTTAGGGTTACAAATGGATTTCACTTCGAGGGGTGACCAAAAAGCCAAAACGATGTGTATCGGTTTACTTGCAACTTTAGCAAATTTGCGATATCGAGTTTTAAAATAAACGAAACTTAAAATCTCGTTAATTTATCGTTGGTTTTAACGTTAAATTCGTAATCTTCATGAAAAATGCTTTAATTTGATACCCCACAACCCCACATTTTAATTAGTAATATTTTAAAATTAATTATACGTCAAAATTTGACATTTTAGAACTGCCAATGTTATTAAATTTTAATGTTTATTTCAAATTACATTAAAAATCGATCGTTTAGCATAAAACTTTATCAAAAACTCCTTTATTTCGATCATTATTAGCATCCTCAACACTTTAAGTTAGACATCTATCAAATTTGACAGATTAAAATTATATGTTTGATTTAGCAACAAAGTTAAGAAAGTACTTGTTCATAAAAGCCAATGTTTTAAGTAGTAATATTTTATTGAGTGTCTTAAAATTAATTATACGTCAAAATTTGACATGTTAGAACTGTCAATGTCATTAAATTTTAATATTTATTTCGAATTGCTTTAAAATCGTTTATTTCAAGATCAATCTTTATCAAAAAGTCTTTTGTTTCGATAATTATATTAATATTCATCACTTTAAGTTAGACACCTGCCAAATTTGACAGATTAAAATTATAAATTTGACTTAGTAATAATGTCGATTCATAAAAATTGATGTTTTATATAGTAATATTTTATTGAGTGTCTTAAAATTAATTATACGTCATATATCCAAATCAATTTGATTTTAGACGTTGAAATTCGGTGACATTGACATTTTCAATATGTCAAATTTGACGTTTCTTAATCTCAAACGATTTTAATGAATTTTAAACTTTAAATATCGTTTTTTTGCAAATATTTCTACCTTAATTTTATAATTAAATCAAATTGACATTTTTAACCGTCAAAATTGACATATGCCAAATATACAACGAATTTTTTCAAAAAAAAATTGCCGGAAATAAAAAACCTCTTTTCGTATTAACTCACGTGTGAAATTTGGCTCGCAGGCCTCGGAATACGTTTCAAAGTTATGTTGGGGGTGGCGGGGGGGGATCGGGGATCGAGGGCAACCCCCCGCGAAAACTATCCCCCGTTTCGCAGGCGATCAAAAGAGCGTAGGGCCTCGGGGTCTCGCCGCCCCCACCTCCTCTTTTCCGAAACGGCCACTTTTTTTCGCGATATAACATTATATATGCATTATAATGCGGGCCGAATCGTTTTGTCGCGTCGAAATCGAGCGTCGCGTCGAAAAACGCGCCGGTCCGCTGGGTTCCGGGGCGGCGTCGGCGCCGCAGCCCGCCCGAGGCCAAGTTAAAGCATTCATATTATATAGAGAGTTAACGTTCAAATCTGCCAGCAACAGAAATTGAAACGATCCGAATGTGTGTTGTAGTTTTTTTTTCGCGGCCCCTCTTCTCTCTCTCTTCGCGCGCGAGTCGAACGGGTCCGCGGGAACTCCGCCCCCACGGGACCTGCGCCCGCGACTCCAAAGAATCACTTGATACTGTTGTTCGAGACTTCAACTCGAAACAAAGATTTAAAAAAATTTCATTTTTATTATTTTCTTTATTCCTGTCATTATTACCTGTTAAATTTGACAGCTTCAAATTATAAATTTTAGTTGGTAACAATGAAAAGACAGAAATTCAACACTTATATTCGTTTCTACTTTGTTATTTTGTTTTTTAGACACTTAATAAGGATGTAACAACTAAGAAAATTGATTTTGACATTTCTTGAAAATATTTCAAAGTTACCAAACAGTGAAAGGAGGTTGTTGGTTGGTGTCAAAATAGCTCTAATTGATTAAAAACATCATTAGAATACTTAACGAAGTAAAAGAATGGATTTTTGTGTTTTTGGAAAGTGTTTTGAAGTTTCCAAAAAATAGAAAAACGTTGTTGGTGCATGTCAGAATGGTTCTAATTGATTAAAAACATCCTTAGGACACTTAATAAGGATGACAGAACTAAAAAAATTGATTTTGACATGTTTTAAAAATGTTTCAAAGTTACCAAAAAGTAAAAATGGTTGCTGGTGAGTGTCAAAATAGTTTTAATTGATAATAATGATCAAAATAACGATAAAAAAAGATTATAATTTTTATTACATTAAAAAATCAACTTAATCTAAGTGTGATTTAACCCCGATCTAAACCCCCTCAACCTCTTTTTAATCCCATTTTGTTGTATCCAATCGTAATAGACATCTAACCTCGCAGCCACCTCCATTCGCTTTGTACAAACCTCTTCGTTGGGCCCCCAAGAAATCAGGCCAACCTGAGTGTTTCCGTAGATAATCGGAGATCCGCTATCGCCTTCGCAACTTCCTTTCGTGCGATTATTCTCGGGGTTGTAATGGCAAAACATCGTTTTCACGCTGTATTTCGAGCGCTCGGTGGAGTCGTTAATTTCTTCGAGGCATTTTTTTTGCGTCCTCAAATAGCTGTTGGTGCATTGAAACCCAAGGGAGTCATCAACTAAATATTCCCCGCCATCGTCTTGTTTATTCACCCCGTACCCCATCAATTGTAGTTCATAAAGTTTCGATTCGTTTTCGTTCTCCATCATTTCGTGCAACATTTTTTTCGGGGATAAAGTAACTAATTTCGTGCGTTTCGTTAACTTAAACGGTTTTTCCAACTAAATCAAAAAATTTAAATTAATTAATTTTGATTTTGTTTGATTTTCTTACTTGGATGATGCAAAGATCGCTTTCTAAAGTGTACGATGTGAAGTTAGGGTGTAATTTTGGTGGGATGATCGCGTTCGAGGTTTGGTCGTAATTTCGGTTGTTTCTTATAAAACCGGAATAAGCGGTGATCGAGATTGCATCCGCGCAACAATGTCCAGCTGTCAAAACGGTTTCAACGGATAAAAGTGACCCCCCGCACATAAATTTGGCGCTGTTCACGTAATACTCGAGGTAAATCTACAAAGAGAGTCTTAAAAAGTTATTAATCGATTAAATTAACTCACGTAAAAAGGGTATCTTGTGACATCGCAATTTTTGCCTCCAAAGATTTTCGCATCTTTGTACCCATGGGCGAATTTCAATAATAAAATTAGATAGACATCTAAAAATATTAACATTTTTCCCCTCAATCGCAAAGTAATTAATCGGGTAACAATTGGTTGTAAAAAATTAATTTTGTTTGTTCAGACTTAACGAGTCGTCGCGATTTAATGAATTTATTTATTTTTTTTTTTAAGATTTGGGACAATCGTGGATTGGAGGACGTCGGCGACACGCAAAGGGACGTCCGTTGCAAACGCCATTAGCCGGGGAATTACCCTAAGGCGGCTTCTAAATACTCCATTAAGGGTCGCAGCCGTTGCTGCTGCTTCTGACGTTTATGTATGACGCTCGGCTGCTGCTCTGCGGCCAAGGAGGGTGCTAACACGCATACACGGACAATCATACATCCAAAATATCGTCACTAACAAAAATTTAAAAAAAAAAATTTTTTAATTTTTTTGGACACCCGTATATTAATTCAAAATTATATTTACCCCCCTGTATATACCCACGCTTTCCGTTCGACCAATCAAAATTGAGAATTCGTTTTCGTTGGTTTTCGGCGATTTTCGTGATTTGGTTACCATGGAGATTAATAAGTCAAACGCAAAACCGGTGCTATGTTTGAAAAAATTCACCAGAAAGATTTTTAGGTTATAAAAATGTGTTTTTGTTGAAAATTTAAATAATTAATCGCAAAAATTGAAGAAATTTCGTTGAGGTAAAGCTTTTTAATTGATTTATTAAGTAATTTATTTAATTTTGTAATTTTTTGTAATATTAAGATAAAAAGTGACGCTTTCATTCGGTGTTGCGGAACCCGTTGTATTAGTAACGTACCAGGTAAGCTAAATATGTAACTTAATTACTGTTCATTATTGTTGCTTAAGCACAATTAATGCTGTTTATTGTAACTGGAATGCTTTAAACTCGACTCAAACTAACCTAACATTGTCAAAATTTGACATTTTGGAAACGTCAACGTCATTAAACTTTAATATTTATTTCGAGTTGCTTTAAAAATCGATCGTTTCAGCATCAAAACTCCTTTATTTCGATAATTATATTCATCTTCACCACTTTAAGTTAGACACCTGTCAAATTTGATGAATTAAGATTAGAAATTTGCTTTGGTAACAATGAAAGGAAAGAAATTCTCTTAAAAATTAATGTTTTAAGTAGTAATATTGTATTGAATGTCTCAAAATTAATTATACGTCAAAATTTGACATTTTGGAAATGTCAATTTCATTAAATTTTGATATTTATTTCGAATTGCTTTAAATATTGCGTCATCGGCGTCAAACTTTATCAAAAACGCCTTTATTTGGGTAATTATATACTTAATGAACTAAAAAAATTATTTTGATGTTTTTGGAAAATGTGTCATGGTTTCAAAAAAATAGAAAAATGTTGTTGGTGTGTGACAAAATGTTTCTAATTGATTAAAAACATCATTAGAATACTTATAGAAGATGTTGGAATTAAAGAAAATGATTTTGATACTTTTTGAAAGTGTTTCAAAGATCCTAAGAAGTAGAAAAAGCTTATTAGTGTTTGTCAAAAAGGTTCTAATCCATTAAAGACATCATTAGAACACTTATAGAAGATATGAGAATTGAAGAATATAATTTTGATAGTTTTTGAAAGTGTTCCAAAGATCTTAGGAAGTTGAAAAGGCTTATTGGTGTTTGTCAAAAAGGTTCTAATCGATTAAAAACATCTTTAGGACACTCAATGAGGATGACAGAACTAAAAAGATTGATTTTGGTATTTTTTGAAAATGTTTCAACGATCTCAGAAAGTTAAAAAAGTTTACTGATGTTTGTCAGAAAGATTCTAATCGATTAAAGCTTACTTAATAAGACCAAAAGAATCAAATAAAATAATTTTTTGATCCAACTGTACGAGATTATTTAAAATCGAATGAATAGGATGTTACACCGGAACTAACCGGATTTATACATTTATTATATCCGTGACCGGAAGGGGTTAGAATTAAAACCGAAATGAAAAAAAAAATAAAGGAGATAAAAGAAGGGGGCGCGTGTCGATTACAATAAAATGTAATAAATCGGGTTTCGCCAAATTATTTCGTGAAATTGCGCATCAAAAACACCTCCATATCACATTGTGGATTTATATATATATATATATATTGAATGGAAGGATGATCGTGATGGCTTTAGGTGGGGGGTTAATATAATAAAGTAAAGGGGGTTTGGATGTCCGAAACGGCAGCCGCGACCTCCGTAATCTTATATTAATAATTCAATGTTCCCTCTATTATAGTAATAAAGTAATATGTCATAAAAGAACCTCGGCGCCGGCTGACGCCATCTGCCGGCGATTTAATATCTCTCGTTTCGTGCACCGACATCAACCCCCTATTTCTCCTCTCTCTATCAAGCTTTTTTTTAACTTTTTCGCAATTATGTTTTATATAAAACAGATAACAAAGGTTTGCTGATACATTTTATTCCTTAATATATTTTTTTTAAATACATTTTCAAATCTCCACCCAACTTTACAACCTTACAACGGCGACTGAAGAGTCATTCCATATCCGTAACCAGTTAATCCGAAGTATTTTGAGTAACAATCTAAGAAAAATGAAGAAATGATTAAAAATTAATAACAATGAATGAGAAGACTTACGTTTACAATAAATTTCTCCTTGATTCTCATAGACACTAGTCACCTCAAGCGGCTTGTGACAGCAATAACACGAGAAGCAACACGTATGAAACGCTCCACCGGAAGCCATAATCTTTTCCGCGGCGTAAACTTTCCTTCCACATCTTCGGCAACACGGTGCTCTATCAACCTCGACTTGTCGCCGTTTAATGTTTAAATCGCAATCGCAGGGATTTGGGGTACCACACGTGCAATATTTAGGGGCGCACGGCGGTTGGCACGGGTAATAACAAATCCTTTCGCACGGATTCGGCTCACAACATTTCACCGGTGGATAACAAATCGGTCTTCGTGTCGGGGGACAATAAGGGGTGGAGCAAGGTGAACACGGCGGCGGACAACATTTCGCCGGGGGACAACACCTCGGTGGCGATGGACAGCAACCCCGCCGCGGGCCGCCGCAACACTTTCCCGGACAACAATCCACTTTGGCGCAGGGATCGCACGATGTCGGGCAAGCGAATCTACCTCGGATTCCTTTATGGGGACAACAACAGTTTTCTGGACAATAACAAGATCCTTTACAGCCGCTGAAAAAGTTTTTGGAAGATTTAATTTAGTTACTGCAAATTTTTTTTTGATTTTTTGTGATTAGAATTTTGACAATGACAATTAATTGATGAGAATCAAGTGGGTTATTTGTGGTGTCGATTATAATCATTTGTAGTCTCCCTAGGAGATGGCGCCGCGCATGAAAATGTTTCAAAAATCTCAAGAAGTTGAATAGGTGTTTGTCAAAAAGGTTCTAATCGATTAAAAACATCTTTAGAACACTCTACGAGAATGACAGAATTGAAAAAATTAATTTTTATGTTTCTTGAAAGTGTTCCAAATATCCAATAAAATTGAAAAAAGTTATTGGTGTTTGTCAAATTAATTAATTAACGAGAAACAAGTGGGTTATTAAAAACAACTTACTCTTCAATAATTTTATCATGATGTCGATTATAATAATTCGTAGTTTCTCTTGGAGATGGCGCCGCGCAAGTTGACCCAGGTTGTTGAGGACAACATCCAGGGGGAACCACCGGAGGTGGCCCACAATGTATTTTCGGGCTGCAAGATCTGCACCTAGGCATCGTAACCTGACTAATCGTAACCAACAATCTCGAAGACTTGGTCGACGATAAAGACGCCGAAGATAACGAGCTCGAATACGAAGATAATGATCGTTTCAACGCCTACAAAACAATCCATTTTGTGCGGTTTTTTTAAATCAATTTTAATCTCTCTATCTCTTTCCCCTTTCCACCTCAATTTTTTTGTATCACTTTCTTCAACAAATTTTTCCGATTTTTTTCATAAAATTTTTTATTTTTTAACTCATTTTCCACAAGATCCTCGGTCTTCGCCGAACGGTGAGCATGGTCTGCATGGCGGGCACGGATTCACGCAAGGAGGACACGGCGTCATTAACGTTGGTATTTCGCAATCATCCTGTGAATTCATTCCAACAAGAATTTAAGAATTTAGGGGAGTGGTGGGGGAAGAGATAGAAAAATTATTTTTGTTACTCAACTTACCAGGCAAAGCGTTTTCGGGGCACACTTCGGTGGCGGGCAGGATCTTCTTAAGCAGTAATTATCGGTCGGACAGAGATATTCGCAAATTTTTTTCCCGCAACAGCTGCAACAAGGATTTCTGCAAGGCACGCAAGGAACCGGACTCGTACAAGGGTTACAAGGATCGCACGGATTGCAAGGGCGGCAAGGTCCGCAAGATGTTCCGCAACGTTTTCGATAAGGTGCTTTTGGACTGCAAGGAACGATTCTAATGCAAGTTGGAGCGCAACAAGGATTACACGGATTACACGGTTTACAAGGGTTACAAGGATTGCAAGGATTACAAGGATTACAAGGATTACAAGGATTGCAAGGATTACAAGGGTCACAAGGATTACAAGGATTACAAGGATCACAGGGATTACAAGGATTACAGGGATTACAAGGATTGCAAGGATTGCAAGGTTTACAAGGCTTGCAAGGTTTGCAGGGATTACAAGGATCGCAAGGGTTACAAGGTTTGCAGGGATCACAAGGGTTACAAGGTTTGCAGGGATCACAAGGGTTACAAGGTTTGCAGGGATCACAAGGATTGCAAGGTCTGCAAGGTTCGCAAGGATTGCAAGGTTTGCAAGGGGGCGTCCAAGGTACGCAACAAGGCAAGCAGGGTTTGCAAGGGCCACAACACGTTTGTCTGCACTGCAACTCTTGAATGAAGCACGGATTGCAGATGCACGCTTGGTAGCAAGCGCAACAGAATAGCTCTCCTTGTAACGTGTACACACTACACTTATCCAATAATTTTCTGCACTTATCTGAAACAAAACAAGAAAGATTAACACATTGAGTTCCATTGAATGTTATTAACTTACAGCAACTGAAACAGAATGTGTGCCAGGCTTTTCCCAGGGCGATTTTTTGGTCGGAACAATGAACCTCTCTGCCACAACGGCCACAACAACTCATTTTACATGTCCATCTAAAAAGAAACTCGCCGCTCTGCTTCTACTCCTTTACGGCCGTATTAATTCTTATTTTCTTTGTGTCGGTAAATTAATAATAAATGTAATATGACAGGAAAATGAAAAGAAATAAATGGAACTCGGCCGAAATTTGAGATTATCGTCGATATTAATAACGATTAGGATCTTCTTTGAGAAAAAGAATTTATACACATTAAATTTTGACGCTTTTGAATTACTTTGACACTTTTAAAATCGTGATTTAAGATAATTTGATCGAAAAAAACTTTTAAATTAATTTCTTTAAAATCTTACTAACGCCATCTATGATTGAAAAGTTCACCCTAACTACTCAATTGACGTTTCTTTTATAGGCTATGTTAGAAGTTCCAGTAAAACAAAGAAGAAAAAATAAAAAACTTTCTTATTTTAACTAAACAGTATTAAACTACAACACGAAATATGTTCGAAAACGTTGTTTTAACTAAACTTATTAATGGCAGCATGTATACGATCCGAACATAGCCACACGCGTTGTTCATTCAAAACCACTAGATGGCGTTACATATAGGGTTTCTTAAAAATATATAATTACTTCAACTGGTTATGCAAACTTTTTAATCAAAACTCTTTATTTTAATTACATTTAAATATAATAAATCGACAAAATTACACATTATCAGCAAATTAAAGCGTAAGTATCTCAGAAGCTTTCTCTTCCAATAAATTCTCCATCGTACCAACATGTTTACACCACTCGTTAAGCCGTTCGACCATACTCGCAATTTGAACGCGATCTAAAACCCTTGGTTGCACCCAAGTCATATTCACGGTGCTAGAAACTTGATCAATCGCCCCTTTAACCAAACCCTGCGACAACGCCTTCATCACCAACAACTCAATTTCTTGAATTGGTAGTTTTGTTTCCATCGAAATCTCTTGAAACGTTAATTGGCGATCATGCGAGGGTCTTTTAAAAGTCATCTCCATCAAACACAACAACGATATTTTTTGGCGCAAAAATAATTCTTGCGCGGACAAATCGGCTATTTTTGACCATTGGGGGCGCATAGCTTCGAATTTGTTTATGTTTCCGGAATTAAAGGCGTATAATAAATCGACAAGCCAAGCGTTTTCGGTACGTTTTAAAGTTTCGAGTACCGCATGGGCTAATAACTCGCCTAGATTGTAAACTCCTTCGCCTAAAAGGGCTGCTAACCCTAAATAAAAAGCGTGTTGTTGTTGAATTTCAACAGTTAATGTATCCAATTCGATGCAACCTAAGTATCGGAGGGCTGTTCGATAATATTGGGCGTGATCCCCTAAAATTCGATAATATTGCGATGCTAATAAATAGTATCTTCCGTGAACGGCTGTAACTCCATCGGCGTTATCTAAGGTAATTTCAACTTCCTCGATTATTTTTTTTGTTGCATCTAAATCATTTAATTTTTCCAAATAGATTTGACCGGCGAGAACTTTACACAAACTTTCAGCATCGGAATTTGCCTTAACTTTGATTTGGAGCTTTTCTAAGAACGCTACGGCCTCTTTTTTGTCTTTGAATTGTTCTACTATGAAGGCGGAGATTTCGACCAATGATAACGGATTGATTCTAATACAAAAAAAATTAATTTATTTAAATTTTCTTTTCATTGTATATCTTACTTATTCTCAAAGGTTGAAATGAAATTGTTGTAAAGTTGAATTAGATTATCCCCCGTTTGAAGAGAGGGACTTTTCACAAACTCCAAAAGTTTCAAAGTGAGTTGATGCCATAACCTAAAAATTTTTCATGATTTGACACTTATTATTGTTTTAAAGGAAGGTTAAATTACTTTTTGTTATGTAATTCCTCCATTTGGCTCCATTCTGACGCTAAATCTTTGGCACTTTCTTTCTGCTTTTTCGATAAATAATCGCTTACATTTGGTTGAACAACAACGGCCGCCATTTTATAGAAATAATGACAAATAAAATTTTGTTTGGTGATTATTTGGTGATTTTCAGTGTTGGTAACTTTATAAAAAAAATAACTAAATCTTTTTATTTAATTTTATTTATTTATAAACAGGATTTTAATTAATTAATTTGTAAAGTCATGTGAAGTATAAATAAGTGGTTTAATTTTAAATAAACAAATTAGGAATTGGGGAAAATAATAATGCACGAAAATAAATAAATTATAAACAAATTTAACCTAAGTTTTACCCTAAGAAATTCATCGAATCGATTAATGTTGTTATTTCTAATTAATTTAGTTTAATTAACATTAATTACATAATTTTTCCAGTAAAATAATGATGTAATTCCCTTATTACAAATGGATATTGGTGTAAGATCTATATCCACTCAACCCTAAAACATTGAAAAAGGAAATGCAACCCAATGGGAATATGGGTAGGAGATAGCATAGGGAAGACCAAATAGAATCACTATGTTGCATAGTTTAATTGAACTAAAACTAGAACTAACACTAAACCTAGAACTAGAAATATTCGGGTTTAGCTTATTATTTTTGCATCCAAATAAACTTATTTTGTTATATATCTTATTCTTAATCGTTGCTTAAGATTAATAAAGATTATTCGTTTAAAAAGGATTTAATTCCAAAAGTTAACTTAACAATTTTTTAGGTTAGATAATCTAAAAAAAGTTATGTGTCATGCTGGTTGCCTATTTATGTTTTAAATTGTTGTAAAATTTAAAAAAGTTAATTTCTTATTTATTTTTACGGGTTAAATACAATAAATAATGTAAATATTAAGTTAATGTAATAATTTTGATTAAAAAAAAGTTAAATTTTACCTGTATTTTCCGTTAGATGTCGCCGTATGAAAATTATTGATTCAACCCCCGCCGGAAAACGGGGTTGGAAATTATTTATAAAACGTAGCACGGTTGGTAACGTAACGAGTAGGAGTTTTGATGGTGTGTCCGTCACAAACAGCGGGGCCGAACTTGGTTTTTTTTTGCGAAGACTTGGTCGGAGAGAGGTCGAATTGAGGGGCCCAACATCAGGTAAAAAATGGGTGGTTCGTCGCCCCATCAAAAAGTACCCCCACAATAATTCACGCTGCCAACAAATTCAAAAACGCACGCATTTTCTGTTCGATGTCCGCGAGCGTGGATGCGACGTTCACGGACAGCTTTAGGTTAAAAATACGTTGGTAATTTTCACAATTTTTTTTTGTGTAAACTAAAAACTATTACCAAATTAAAAAAAAAAATTATTTTAATTTTTGCACGAAATTATTTCTGCATGAATTTTAATTTTAATATAAACATTATTATTATTATAAACAATTCTTAGATTAAATTTGAATCAAATTAAAATTAAAATTCAAAACAGTTAAATTCATATGTAGACGTACGGTTATTTTGCCAGAAACCTCCTGCCAGAAACCCCCTAGAAATCGACCAATAGCGTTCGAGTATTTTCGTCGTCGTCGCATTCGCGATATCTCCGTATTTCGAGACGGTGTTGTTTCAAGTCGGCGTTGGGGAAAATCTTGACAATTTTCACGGTTTCCGGATAATAACCGCGTTTTCTTCGACAAATCGCTCGTTTTTAAAATAATCAACAGAGCCCCGGAAAATAAAACAGCAACAAGGACAAAAACCAACCCCTCAGTTGTTTTTTTTTTCGGCGACACGTTTTTTTTGAACAACACCTTCAACCAATTTCAACCACAAAAAAAGAAAACCTTTCCGCTTTTTCTCATCCGGAAGATCTTCAAACCGATTTGAACCCATTTAAATTTCTCGTAAGTAGACAAAAAAAAAATTCAATTTCATTTCGCCCCCTTTCTAATTTGACGTTTGACAAGGTATTGATAAAACAAACCCTCATTTTTCAAATATAACCTCAAAAAAAAAATTATCGATATGGGGGTTTATATTAATGCGATTTCATGTTATGGGGGAAGTGGTCGCCCACGCGAAAATTCGGGTTAAAAATTTGAGAAAAACGTAACATAACCTATATTTTTTCTAAATTAATTTTGATTTTTTTATAATGATTTAGGTCTTCGAGGACAAACGAACACAAAATGACGGACCGCAAAGCAGTTATTAAGAATGCCGATATGAGCGAAGATATGCAACAAGATGCTGTTGATTGTGCTACTCAAGCGATTGAGAAATATAACATAGAAAAAGTAAGTACTTGTTTAATTTATGGCTTTATTATCACGTTACCTTAATTGTTTAACACATTCAACCACACAATTAGCGTAATGATTTATTAGGGAAAACTTTTTGTGAGTTATATCAGGGCGACATGCAATCGTAAACTAAATATTGATTAAACGCTTTAAAAATATCTCATATTGATCCTTAAAAATGTTTTAATACTTGTTTTGTTTGTAGGATATTGCGGCGTACATAAAGAAAGAATTTGATAAGAAGTACAATCCGACATGGCATTGCATTGTGGGGCGTAATTTTGGGTCGTACGTAACCCACGAGACACGCCACTTTATCTATTTCTACCTGGGACAGGTGGCCATTTTGCTCTTTAAGAGCGGCTAAGAGCCCCCTCTCCACTCATTTTCTATATAGTGTCGCGATAATAAAAGAAGAGCCACCGCAACCGTCACCCCATGTTCCCCCACACCGATTCCTCCGTGGTATTTCCGGACGCGAGATTCCGATGAACCATTTTCGGCCCTCACTCTATTAAAAAAAATAATTTAATTTAAAAAAACTAACTTGCTCAGTACCAACCTCAACATTAAAAAAATATTCTCACTCAAATCCATTGATTTGATGATCGGACGATGCGGAATAAACATGAAAGATATAAAAGACGGTTCTTTTTTCTTAGGATAAATTTTTAGTTTCGCTAAAATAAAATAAAGTTGAGTTTTTGATTACGAGTTTCTTTTTTTGGTATTAAAGTAGTCGGAAATAAATAAATTGGGCGTCTACTCGTTATTAGAAGTGATGCTGTAAACTGCCATCGTTGGGCCCCCTTCTTTTGTGGTCCGTAATACACTTAATACATGGTAATACACCTTCACGCACCTTTCTCAGCTTTAATCGGTCTTCGCTGTTCTTTACAACACCGACGATTTTGATGGTGATCGTCTTCTTATTCTGTTTTAATTAAAAAAATGATTATATTGATAAATAATTAAGATGAATTTATTTTTTAATCGCGATTATGATGGATGATGTTTCCGTTTGTTGATCTTTTATTCTTTCCTATATTAATGTATTAATAATAAATATATGGTTATATATTAATGCTTTTTTATCCCAATTTATTATTAAGAAACCATAACCTCAAAAATTAAAAAAAGAAGATATGTTGAATTGGTTGCATACAAACAAACGTCAAATTATTTATGTAGGTTATGTGGTGTTGCTTAATTTCGTTTAGATTTGTGCCGAAATTGCTGGATTATTATGGGATTTGCAATGAAAGGTAAGAATTAAACGATAATAAGATTAAATTAGTAATAATTTGTTTAAATCAACTTAAAACACAAAAAAAAAAATGTGACAACCTCAAAATTAAATTTTTTTTATTAACCTCCAATTTCACCAAATAAATTAAATGACTGTTTTAATTTAATAATTAATTTATTGTTAGATTTAATTTAACATTAATATTAATTAATAAATTTTTCATTTGACATTGTAAAATAAGTTGCCTACCCACTTTTTATTTTTTAATCGCTATCCAAAACGCCGTTTTATAAGTATCGTTATCAGCGTGACGTTTACTTTTCTTAGTTCGTGGGGCCGCTTATAACAAGTAAACGTCTCGGTAAAAAAATAACTCTCTTTTAATCAAAATCGCCGATTTTGTGCCTTACATGTAATCGATTAAGTGTCCTCCGCGAACGTTTTCGCTGTGTTGTGTCGAAACGTGTAAACATCATGGAGTTTTAAAATAAAACCCTCCTTTTAAAGTGGTTTAAAAGTGATTTAAAATTGATTTGTGGTTATTTAGTGGTAGTTGAGATAACATAACCTCAACTGCGACGCAACAACAACAAATTGACCAAAAAGGTTGAGTTTTTTAATTTATTTGTCTTTTTATCGGTTTGCTTATCGATTTGTGACGTGTTACGTCATGTTTAAGGTCTTCTTCTTGTCTTATTTATCGTCGTAAATTATATAGAATATTCTGAGATTAAAAAAATATTTATTAACTATTTTTTCCCCTCTAAAGCGGGATTTACCTTGAAAATGTGACAACGTCGCCAGGTAATGTTTAAAAATCGGTTTTGCTTCGATTCTAGACACGCAACAGGTTGTTTTTGTTAAATTCGTTTCGAAATCATTTTTATGGGGAAATAATTTTGTAAAAGTGAGGTTAGATATATCTGTCAAAATTTGATTAACTTTTTATGTATATTTAGCGGTTTCTTTGTGAAAATACAAAGTTTTGTGACATAGATGAGCACAGGAAACGGTGCTAAGTCAACAATTTTTTATTTTTGGTGCACAATCATGATTTCCGGTCGGTGTTAAACATACCGTAAAAAAAGCAAGTTTATAAAAAAATCCACATTCTACTTTTTAACTTATAAAAAACTCCAATATTGTTTAATATTAATTAACAAATAAAAATTAGATTTACTTATAATATTAATTTATTTTATTTTCACCCCATCTAGCGGTGGTCACCCTTATTACGTTTTTGACACTTAAACGTCAACCTTTCATTTCAAATTTTTTGAAATATTAAAAAAAAAAAAGTGTTATTGAACCTAAAAATCCATCAAAATAATTTGTTTATAAACGTATTCTCGTTTATCTTTTTATTTAAAATGATTCATACCCCACGAAAAGATTTTTCCTCAAATGATTTAGTGAAGTTTTCATCAACATAACCTCACTTTTTATCGCGTCGATTTAAAAGGTTTGGTTAAATATTGAAAAATCGGAGGATTTATTAAAACAAGGACGCAGTAAGTTTGATTTTTATTCATAAATTTAAATAAAAATACTCGATTTATTCGGAAATACTTTAAAATCAAGCTTGTGGTATCATTAGATTCCGATTTTTTTTCTCGATTAATTTTTAATTTATTTTATTAAACTAATTTATTTAGTTTAAATAATTATATATTTTTTTATAATTTAAATAGACAGTTCTTCGCCCCATCTAGCGGCAATCACCTAAATTAAATTATATTTTTGACGTTTCAAAAACGTCACTTGATTGTCCTTAAATTTGTGAAATTTAACAAAAAAGAGAATGTAATTGAACCAAAAGATCTTCAAAATACGTTTATAAACGCCCAATCTTTTTATTTTGATTTTGGATTCTACAAAAACATTTTTCTTCAAATTAATCAGAGAAGTTTTGATCAACATAACCTCACCTTTTAAATGTAATTGGTTTTAATTTTATTATTTATCGTTTTGGTTGAAAATAAAATTATTTTACAGTTACACAAAGCGAGTGTGATGTTTGATGAACAATTTCGTTGCAGGTACGGCTAAAAATTAGCGTCTCGTTAAGGTAAAGCCGTGTTTACATAGTGGGACTTAAGACGGTTTATTGCGGGTGCTTTGAACTTTTAAACTTATTTTGTACAAGATCCGTTTAAATTTTACCTTCGTTAAAAGTCGTTAGTGAATATTTTCGTTATAATTACTCGTAGTTATAGTAATTATTGTGTTTTTTGTATTTTTCTTTTTTTGTATTGATAAAGTAACATTTTTATTTTAAATTGATGGTCCTTTCTTATGATCTAATTCGAAAACTCACCATTAATTAATTAAAAAAATGTTTTTAATTAATTTGTAATTAAAAAAAGAGTTGGTATCACCTAAAAGTTCAAATCACGATTTTTATGCCGCTTAAATAAAATGAAGTTAGTTACCGAATTTAAATTTTAAAATTAATTTAATAAAAATTAAAATCTTAATTAATTTGTTGATTAAAATCGAATTCTTTATTAATTTATTAAGTTAATTTAAAATAAAAGGTTCGTTCCAACCGCACTTTTGACTGCCAATTGACAGTCACCAGCCTGCGCAGTTGAAAAGTGCTGTTCCATCCGACCCGTGGACGTGCCGCGGACTGGTCGGCGACAAGTTGTCATGAGTTCCAACGACCGTCGGACGCGTTCATGTACGCGTCCGCGACAAGTCAAATGCGTACCTGGTTTCGACGATGTACGGTTTGTCACGTTCTTTAGCGCTTGCGCATAACAGCACATAACTCATTTCCGATTGTGCAGCCGGTCTGTTTGTATCTCTTACGGGTATCTTTACGATCAAGCGGGTCTGTCACGACGAGCTGAGTCTATATCTATGTGGCAAACTACTGGCACTATTTCTCTGAAAATTTGCATATAGCGTTTATCCGAGGTGCTCGTTTCAGATAAAATATTTTCAGTGTTCTCCAACTTCCGGTTATACCGGAAATGGACCCCAACTTCGTTATTTTAAATGGAATGTACCAATTTTTATTGAATTTTCGAGATCCCCACTAAATTTTAATATAATTCGATATAAGTCATCATATGTCTAGAGTGCACCATTTATGGATTATTTCAGTTTTTTCGAAGATTATGGCAGATGCAACCCTTCACAATAAAAGTAATTTTTCGAAATTACACTCGAGTCCGGCCAAATATTCTCAGGGTTTGCACAGAGAAGACCTATAGTTTACATAACCCTTGAAAAGTTTTTTAAAAAATTATACAGATTGGTCAGAAATTTTCCCCGAATTTCCCTATCTCGAAAAGTCGAAAACTTCATTTTTTTAAATGGCAACCCTAATTTGGGGGTTGCTTTTCAAGTATTATGTAAGCTATGGGTCGTCTCTGTGCAAACTTTGGGAATATTTGGCCGGACTCAAGTGTAATTTCGAAAAATTATTTTTATTGTGAAGGGTAGTATCTGCCCAAATTTTCGAAATGACTGAAATAATTGAAAAATGGTGCACTCTAGACGTATGATGACTTTATCAAATTGTATTAAAATTCAATAAAAATTGTTAAAATAACGAAGTTGGGGTCCATTTCCGGTATAACCGCAAGTTGGAGAAATCTCAAAATATTTTAGCTGAAACGACCACTTCGGGTAAACCCGTATGCAAATTTTCACAAAAATTGTGCCAGTAGTTTGCCATATACATATAAAGACTCAGGTCGTCGTGACAGACCCTGTACATCTGGATTTGGATTATTCTCTACTCTTTTACATGTTTCTGCTGTTTTGTTTAACAAATTTTTAAGAACTTTTATTTTATATGTATGTTTTATGATAAGTTTCATAGACAAATTAATCAAAAAAGTGTAAAAACATGCATATTTTTATTTCATTTTGCTAGTAAGTGTTATTACGTTCTTTTACATTTCTAATTAATGCTACTTTAGTTCATTATTGTTAAAAAAATGAGTAAATGAATTTCGTTTGAAATGGTAAATTGTGGTTGCAGCGCTAACTATCGGCAGGGTTGGATATAAAACGTACATAGACATTTTAAACCGTTCCAACAGCGTTGACGAAATGTAACGCGTACACGAACGTGTCCACGGACGAACATGCGCAGAAAAAAGTCCTGTACTAGTCGTGTACGCGTACACGACGAGTCAAATTTGTGCGGTTGGAACGAACCTATTATGTTGAAAGAAAACTTTTTGGTGGCGCCACCAAACGTTAAAATCATCGCGTTTTATGTCATTCGAAAATTAGTTGTCAGTGCGTCTCGAACCGTCCTTCCGCGATAACGTAACTGCGATAACGTGTACAACAACAATAACAACAAAAATACCAAGCGTTAACCTTAATCTGTTTTAACCGCGTCGGTCGCGCGTTTCATTTATCGATACGTCTCGAAATATCATTGAAAACGAATGTTTTTACGAAACACTTTTTATTTTGTGTACCAATTTATTTCGCTGAATGGGCCAATTTTAAATGACTTAAAAACCGTGTAGAGGGAGTTAAAGTCGCACGTAAGAAATTTTTTTTGACAGTTTGTATTTCTTTTTAGGTTAGGTGTTGTTAAATCGCTTTTTTCGTTATCTTAACATGTTTTTTTCTTTGAATTATATATTGTTGCAAATTTCTTATCTATTTTATGTTCGGTACGTTGCACGCCGTTTTTATAAATAAAGAAAACTGGTTCGAATTCGTAACCTTGCGTTGTTACTTCATTATCATTAAAAAAAAAGCTTTTTTGTACTTAATTAAATCTTTTCGAGTTGAACGTATCCGAATTTATGTGAATACTCGAACGCAAACCGGTAAAACGCATTTTATTTTAATGTATTCGCGGCAAGGAAAACACCGAAAAAGGTAGTTTTGAAAATAAAACGAATGAAAACGTACTTTTTTTCTCTTAATTTATTTATAATGATGTTTTGACCTCGTTTTGTTGGATTTTTTTTGGTTCAAAATTCAAGGTCAATGATTTTTAAACGAGATAAATACTTTTTTTTAAATATTTAAATACGTTCATTATGAACTGTCAAATTTGACATTTAAGTGTCAAAATTTGAAATAACCTCTAATTTATTTTTTTAGTGCCTAATGCAGTATGCCGGGTTGCAAAATGTACAAGGAACTTCCGGAACGACTCATTCCAATACTTTACAATACGGACAACAACAGCACAGTGGCGGAGATGGGGTTATTTCAACTAATCAACAACAACAGGTATATTTTTAATTAATTTAATTTTACATGATCGTTGTTAAATGTTGATGCATTAATTATCTAATACTGTTTTAGTTGAGTGTGTGTGTGTGCGCTAAGTGAGTGTCTATGTGTGCGTGTGTTATCGACAAAACTGTCGTCGTCGTTGGAAGTTCACCGAGGAAACCGTAGAAAGTAAAATCGATCCTGGACGTTCCACATTCTAACTGACAAAATGCGCGATCGATTCTTATTTATAATTCATAATACGGTTTTGAAGACTAAAAAAGGTTTATTGAGAGTGCGCAAACCGCATGTTTGTTGTCATACTCAGAAATAACTGGAAAATAATAATTAACGAACCAATTTTTGAATTTTGATTTAAATCGTGACGTTGTTGTCATGGTTACAGCTGTTTTTGGTAGCCATTTTTTATACTTAATATAACCTAACCTCAAAATGTCAAATGAAAAAAATTAAACATAAATCAATGGAAAAAATTAATTTATGGACGATAATTATTAAGAGAAGAATGGTTATGGAAAGCGATGAAAGTACAAGAAAGAAGTGAATGATTTTAATATAGCTTAGGAACTTTTTTTTGACGTGAACGTGTTATTTAAGCCGCGACAGTGAGTCTACTAAATCAAGCATCATTAAATGTTTCTTTTCATTATTTCATACTACTTCATGTAAATAGCAATACGCAAAAGTTTTTCTCCAATATTAATATGTCATTACAAACTGAGGCAGTAGCTTTAGAACTAATACTAAAAAAGAACCTTCTCTTATTGTTTTGCAATAAAAAAGCCACTGCCTCGGTTTGTAATGACATATTAATACTGAATAAAAACTGCTATTTTACTTACTCTACTTTTACTTTATTACTATTTATTCTTTTGTTTTATAATAAAAAAAAATACTGCCGCGACAGCATAGCTGCCTCGGTCTGTAATGATAAATTTATGCTCAAGAGAAGTCTATTCTTTGGTTTGATAATAAAAAAAAACAGTGCATCGGCTTGTAACAATATATAAAGACGGATAAGAAACATCTAGATATTATTTTATTTATTAGAGTCACTGCCTCGGCAGCACAGATGCCTCGGATTCTAATAATGTTAATACTAAAGAGAAATGTTTTTTTGTAGCTTTGTAATACTTGAGCTACTGCCACAGCTCTTTATACTACCGTTAATAATACGCTAAATTAATAAGAAGACAGCAATGATTGATTAATGTGAGTTTGAGTAATGAGTGTGACATTGTGTCAAATAGTAACTGTCAATGTCAAAATTTTAAGAAGCTGTCAAAAATTGCCTAAATAATGATTTAGATGAATTTGAGAAAGTCGATTCGAGTGAATATAATTTTTAAAATAAAGAAAAATCAAGTAGGTGGATTTTAATAATAAAAAAATGAATTAAAAGATTATTACTTTACCTTAAACCTCGCCTACAATCAATCTCTTTCGCTTTATACAAACTTTGTAATCCTCGAAAACAAAGCTAACGTAACAAAAAGATCGTTAAAAAGTTATTTTTTTGTTACGATTTTTTTAAAATTTTATTGACTCTTTACAATGGGGCCGTTTCGATTGTGTTCAATGGCTTATTTTTTTTTTAATAGCCTCTTTTCATCCGAACGACAACGAAAACACCAATTTTAAACTCTTTTTATTATTAAATAAGAGAAAGTTTTCTCATTGACCGATAAAAATGGACGCTGAAAGAAATTGGATTAAAATCTTTTTTGCATTAAAACCGATTTTGTTTATAAATAAAAAAATAAAGATTTATAATAAAGAAAAAATCTTTTATTGTTTGTTTACCTTTTATTTTAGACAGCGCAATCACCACCGAATAATAACACGTCAACGACGAGTATCCTCAGGAATTACAGGAAGGAATCCAACGGGTTGGAAAATAAATTGCAGGGAAATGAACCGGGATCAACTTCTTCTGGTGGAGAGATTCAAGGACCAGTAGCTCGCGTCGCTCCGCATACTTATTATCCAAAACAGAATGGGGATGGGTTTAGGTATCAACATTTTCCAGATTTTGGGTAAATAACACTTAAAAATTGAGTTAATCTAAAAATTATGAAATTATGACAGATTAAATTTGGAGCCAACCTAAATTTTATCAAATTTTTTTTGTCACCAACTTAAGAAAAAATAATTTGAAAAATATCGTAAAAATGAGTTAAAAAAGGTGTAAATGTTAAATAATTAGCTATTTATTTATTAAAAGACCGTAAACAAAATCATAACCTCAAAAAAATTTTTTAGGATGCAACCTCAACAAATCGCCCCACCTCCCGTTAAATATTCCGAAATAATTGAGCCCCCAATGGTTCAAGGATTAGATTTAAACCACCACCATCTCTCCTCGCATATGATGTCAGCGAAATCGTCGAAAGAAAAAGCAGCTCCGGGAGTAATCGGAAACGTTCCGGGGAATCTCGCAACAAATGGAAGCGCCGCGGGCAGCGGCGCATCTTACTTAGATATGTCGTGTGCAAAATCAAGTTACGATTATAATTTCGGAATGCGCCCGATGAATAATGGTGGTGTTTATAAGCAGCAGTTTCCATTGAACGCTCCTCCGTATCATCATCCGCATCATCATCCCGCTTCGAACCATCATACTTTGCAAATGCCGCCTCAAGTAGGTTAAAAATTAAATGTTTAAAGATATTATTGATTTATTTAAATACTTTTAGGTGCAACATCATCAACAATATCAGAATTACACAAATAAAATGGCTCAATATCCACGTGGAAGTTATCAAGGTAACGATTTCCTCTCGAATTTAAACAAGATCGCTCCGGATATCGCTCAAGATATTATAAACGACCAACATTTAAGGGAACAATTTCCGGTTTATTTATCCGGCGAGAATCATTACCACCATCACCGATTGTACCCGAATCACCAAGCAGGGCAATCGAACAGGATTTACCAAAGGAACCATCATCACCAACAAAGGAATTTAAATTATAATTTGAACAATTTAAGTTCCGTGCAGTATCAAAGAAACTTCCAAGAAAATTATCGATTATACCAAAACCATCACGTTCCAAATTTACGATTCCCGGCGGCATTCGAGCAAATCCCGCAACGAGGCAATTACGAGAGACCCCCATTCCCCCCCGGATTCCCAAACTGCTCCCAAATTGATTACCAAAACTTCCATCAATCAAAAATCCATTTTCCGCCGAAAAATTACCTAGAAAGCAACCCAGAAATCCCCGAAATAATTCCTGAAGTCGACGACGACGACGAAGAGAACTCCCAAAAAGATTCCAACTCCGGAAAAAGTTTAAAAGCATACTTAGAAAATTGGAACGAAGAGAGCTTCTTGGACGATCAAGAAAATAACGCGGGAGATAAAGAAAATAACACACTTTATGTTTTAGAAACGATGGAGATCCCATCGGAAAGCGTCAATCAATATATTCATTTACAACCCATCGAGAAGTTACCCCCGAACGTTGTTATTTCCGATGCGAAACAAACCGGGAATGCCCCCGCTTGCAAATTACTTCAAGATATCGCGATTAATTCGAGACTAAAACAACGCAATTTCGATCAACATCCAGTTTTACATATTCCGGAAGAGGTGAAAACATCTAAATCGTTACCGATATTAATTCAAGATGATGAGGGGGATCTTGAAACTAATAATACTGAAATTGGAGATGAAAAGGCTAAAATTAATGAATTGGAAGATGATAGAAATGAAGACAATGATAAAAATGAAGTTGAAAATAAGTTTTCTGTAATAAAGAAGAATGAAGCATTTGTGCAAAACTTAAAAAATGTTGAAATGGATCAAGAGATGTTGAGTTCAAAGGAAATCGGAGAAAATAAAGTTGATTACGATAAAAGTAAAGGTAAGTGATGTAATAAAGTTTCCAAGACAAGTTTTACCTGAGAGAGAACCATAACCTCAATTCAATTGACAGTTAATTTTTAGTTGCTCATAATTTTCTTAAAACTATTAATTTCCTTTCTAAACCATCCAAAACGGGAAAATCAGTGTTGGCTACATCTAATTTATTTGATTCTGGATGATTTTGAACGATTTTGACCTTGAAAATTAGATTTAAATTTGTAAAATTCAAACTTCATTCGTGGTTGGAGAATCTTGAAACCTCCAATGGACAATTGAAACAGAAAGGTGTATGCATCAAATACATAGTTTCATCCAGATTTGTGAAGAATTAAATAAGATTTTAAATGGTTTTGGAATTTTGAGTAGTTCGAAAGGCATCCGCTAGATGGTGCTATGCTCTCTCTCAGTTTAAAGTCCCTAGATTATCAAAGCAAGGTCCGTTGAGTATTGGTTATACTGGTTACAGTATGTTTACTTAATGGACCTTGTATCAAAGCAAGGTTTATATATTAATATTATTATATATAAACCTTGGTATCAAAGTACCGCGGTTTGCCTCCATTTTGGCTCGAAAGTGAAGCGGGAAATTTAAAACTATGTTGTTCTGTTGATAAAATTACGCCAAATATCCTTTCCTTTTTTTTGTCGTGGTACTCTGAAGAGTCGAAAGCCCTTCTTACTGCTATTTTTGCAACTCCAAAGGCAACAAGACGGCATTATTTTTGTAAATAAGTGGTAACATGCACTGACAAGCTGTTAAACCGCCATTTTTTCTCGAATATTTCCAATCTTGGGACTTTAGCTCAGTTAATGAATTTAAAGTAGAAATCTGTAATATTAACTTTCCTTTTGAGCCTGAACTCGCTAAATTATTGTTTTGTATAAAGAATTTAACAAATTTAAACAGTTTTAAACAAACAAAATTAAAAATAATATATTTAAACGAATAACTTTTTCAATACGGTAATAAAACTTAAATTAACCTAAAAATTATTAAATTATGACATTAAATTTAATACATAAATGTTTTTAGATGATAAATTGGAACAAAATGATGATGGGAAAAACGATAATGATCAGGATTTCGATGAACCCAACGAGGACTGTCTCGAAAATAAAGATTTTGAATCGGAAATAGAAACAAATTTAATTGAAAAAACTAATTTTGAGGTTGTGGAAGAGAAAATTGTTGATGAGGATGAACAGAAAACTCCAAAAAATGATTTAGAGTTAATTGATAACGTTGAAACAGAAAATAATATTACGGAAATTAATGAGATTGTAGAGGAAGAAAAAGTTCTTGAAGTGGACAGTACAGAAAAAGTTGTGGAATTAATTAAAGATGTTGAAATTAATCAAAAAGAGGAAGAAAAAAGTGATAAAGAAGATTTACTAAAAAATGGGGAAGAAAATGATCAAATGGAAGAGAAATTGTGTATTCAACGGAGACACATTCGAATAACCGATCCAATTAGGAAACATAACCTCCAAAATAATCAAAACTCAACGTTAAGCAACGATAACCACCAACATTCTTTATTAAAATTAAACGATGTGGATTCGGATTCATTAAAACTGGAGGATCATAAAGAAATCGAGAAACACGTTCGCTTTAACCTAAACGATAAAGAAATTATTGAAAAAGGCGAAGAAAAAAAATCATTTTCTTCATCGAATGAGTCAAGTGATGACTCGAGCGATGATGAAAGCTCTTCGAGTGATGAAGAGAACAAAAATATTGAAGAAATTAAAATAAATGTTAACGAGGATGTTAAAAATGATAATGTGGATGAGGAAAGTTTATTATCGAGTGAAAATGAAGATGAAATTGATGATAAATTGATCGAGAAACGTAAATTAAAGGAGAATAATAAAAAGAATAACAAGAAAAGGAAGAATTTTTGTGTCAAGTACCCTCAAAACGATGATTTATACGAATCGAGATTACACTCGACGGAAAATAAAATTGTAATAAGGAAAATGATGACGTTGAAGAGGGAAAATGAGGATTTTAAATGTTACCAAACGAATAATGTTCCGAAGATTATAATTAAGAACGTTGAGGAGAAGTTCGACGGTGAAATAGATGAATCGCAAGATTTCGATTTAAATTCTCGAAATATTCTCGAAATTAATAACAATAATCAAAATAATTATTCTGTTTCAGTAGGAGAAACCGAATTAATCAACGATTTTGACAAAAATAAAACCGAAAATGAAGGAATTAATGCAGATAATGATAAAAGTGATGATAATAATGTTGAGGAGAATGTGTCAGAAACAATTAACGAGAAAATCGATGATTTACAATCTCAATTCAATGACGATGTTGATGAAAATGAAGAATATAAAGAGAAAACTAAAGGAATTGAGGAGAATAATGAAGAAAACTTGTTTAAAAATAATGATATTGATGAGAAGCCGTCGGAAAATGATCAAATTGATAAAGAATTAACTAAAAATGATGACGAATATAAAGAAATCCAAGGTAATCCCATTGAAAATGAGGATATCCAAAGTAATCCAATTGAAAATGAGAAAATCCAAAGTAATCCAATTGAATATGAGGAAATCCAAAGTAATCCAATTGAAAATGAGGAAATCCAAAGTAATCCAATTGAAAATGAGGAAATCCAAAGTAATCCAATTGAAAATGAGGAAATCCAAAGTAATCCAATTCAAAATGAGGAAATCGAAAGTAATCCAATTGAATATGAGGAAATCCAAAGCAGTCCAATTGAAAATAAAGAAATCCAAAGTAATCCAATTGAAAATGAGGAAAACTTGCTTAAAAATGATCATTTAAACGAAGAATTACCTAAAAGTGATGAATTAGAAGAAAACCTTAATGAAATTGAGTCTAAATCTCTTCCAGTTAATGAATTGGAAGAAAAATTTTGCGAAAATATGGAAGAGGAAAGTATAATTTTAGAAATATTTAAAGAATTAATCGAAATTAACGTCACAAAAAATGGATTTGGTGAAAAAATCATTTTTGTTAAACCTTTAAGTGATGTTCGAGTGATAACAAATAATCATGATGACTTAAATGGGCCTCTTAGTCATGATGAAACATTAATCGACAGGGATAACCAAGAAAATAATGAAATTGAAGAAGAAATTTTAAATATTGGAGATGAAAATCAAGAAATTGAAGATGAATATCAAGAAATTAAAGACAAAGAAGAAGAAATTGAAGAAAAACAAGATGAAGGGGGAATACAACAAGATATCAAAGTGAAATATCAAGAAATTGGGGAGGAATTAAGTATGATTGAAGGAAATTGTGATGAAATTATAGAAAATGTTGATTTTATTGATTATAATAACGAAGTTTTGATTGAAAATAACCAAGAAATTGATGAAGAAAGTGTTGATGAAAATTCTAGGTTAGTTTCTGATGAAGTTATTGTTGAATCATTTGAAATTGGAAACCAATTAATTGAAAGTGTCGAAGAAACGATTGAAAATGAAATTGAAGGTAATAAATTAATTGATACTGAGGTTATTGATAATAATTTAATTATAATTGATCAAAACGTAAATAAAAATTATGTTAATGATGAAAATATTCCTCCACCGGAACTGTTACCTGAAAATGAGAAAGGTGAAGGAAATGTGATTGTGGAGGAAAGCTTTATTAATAAAAATAAAGAGAATTTAGTGGCGGAGAGTGTTGAAGATGATGAAGAGAAAATGCCGATTTTGGAGCCAATGGTGGTGAATGTGAATCGAGAAATAGATAAAAATGTACAAGATTCAATAAAAGATGTTGTTGATACTAAAATGTTGGAAAAGAAGCGCAAATTTAAAGTAAAATTAATGTTGGATGGTAAAAATAATAATAAGAGGAAGGAAAATGTCAAACGAAAACTTTCCGAGTGTAAAATTAAAAAGAAAAACTTCATCAAAGCGAAACGAAAAAGGAATAATTTACGAAATGAACGGTAATAGTTATTTATTTATTAATTTGTTTATTGTAATTTGACAGTTTGTAACTAACTTCATGCGTAAACAAAAAAAATTTGTTTAGGTTAAGTTTTATTTTAATTCTTTTTCTATTTTATAGTGAATTTGTATCAAATTCGACGCAAAAATTCGCAAAAAAAGAAGATTTAAAACAAAAAATGCATAAATACAAAATCCCAAAAAAACCGGTAAATATTGAACATGAAAAATTTGTGGAGGAAGGAAAACAGAAAAAATTTAAGCGAATAAAACAATTAGAAGAAATTAATGAAACTAAGAATGAAAATGAGGAAGAAAAATCGGTAATAAAACTAAATTCGGCTATAAATGTGTTAAAAAAGAAAGTTCAATTTGATTTATCAGTAGAAAAAATAAATCCTAACTTAAAAAATGATTTAATCGAACCTAACCTCAAAAATAATTTTACCCCAAATATAAAAACAAAATCGATTAAATCGTGTTTAAAAGGATCGGAAGGGATGAAAAAGCGATTTTTGGACCCGTTAAAACGTTCTTATTCGCTTAATATGACCACGAATTGCGAGAAAAAGCGTCGATTAAGTCTTGAGGAGTACAACAAGATACGGAAGAAAAACATTATTAACGAAAATTTCGATACATACACAAACGATTTTTATAGAACGAAAACGATCGATTTAGACTTTGAAAGTGCTAAGATGCAAGAGGAGATTGAAAAGGCGGTTTTAAAGAATTTGTCTTCTCCGAATTTGCATCGGAAAAACGATGACTTTTTTAATGATGTTGTTAATGATGATGTTATTAATTGTGGGGATGATAAAGAAGATAAAAATGATCAAACTTATCAAAATGATTCAAGTTTAAATCAATCAATTATAATAAACGGGAATAATTTTGATTCCGATGATGATGAAATTAAAAGTGAAGTTAAAACGTGTTCGACTAAAATTAATTTCGTTGATAAATCTATTGTGGAGGAAAAAATTAATTCTTTGGAAGAGTTTTTGCCGAAAATTTCGCGCAGTTCGAATCGGTCAACGACGAGCGAGGAGATTTCACAAAAAATCGACGATTTATTTTCAAATCGCCCGATTTACGAGCAAAGGAATTACAGAATTAACCGATTTTTGCAACCGAAATTGACTCATAACCTCACAAAACGTTATGAGGCGATTACAGTTAACATAGATTTCGACGATTTTAATTATAACCTTAACAATCAAGTTAATATAGTTAATAATTTGATAGAAAGCGACGAGGAAAAAATGTTTAATGAAGAAAGTTTGTTTAGGAACCCTGAAAGACCTACTTTATATGATGAGGATGATGAGAAAGTGATTAAAATGAGTCCGAAAGTTGATAAAAACGAACCTTTTTTTAATGAGAGGATGAAAATACACCAGATTATTGATATTTCTGGGTTGGGGGTGAGAAATGAAACAAGTTATGATTTAAACGATCAGAAAAGTATAATGGAAAATGTTTCTGATTTCGAAAATACGATTGAAATAAGTAACGGGGAGGTTGATTCAATTAAAGTTGATGAAAATGATGAAGATGGTGAAGAGCATTCGCCTAAAATTATAGAAATCAAAGAAAATTGTGACGATCATCATCGGTTTAATGAAGAAATTGCAACAGAGGGAGATTTGATTACAGAAAAGGATAAAAATCATGATTTTCAAGATAGTTTTGATGAAATTAAGCCGAAAATTAATGAAGAAGATGAATCAAAGAAAAAAAATGTGATAAATTTATCAAAATTAAACGCTTTGATGCAAATTTATAAAAAAATTTTGATAAATAACGAAAATTCGGCAACTCCAGATTCTTATAAGAACCAAAATAGCTTAGAAAAAATTAAATTATTAATTAATCGAATAACCAGAGGTAATTTTGATCAAATTTTAAAAGCTTTCGATAAGAATATCAATAATAATATCAATGAAAGTCAAATTGAACAAAAATCTTGTTATGACATCGATAACAACCTAGAAAAATTAAACATCAACACAAAAAAGGTTATAAAATCGCGTAAACGTAAACGATTTCGAAATTTAAACGATCCGGAAGAAGAAATTAATACGAATTTTTTATCCGATTCATCTCATCTGACGTTACTTGAGAAACGTTGTAAGTACGACGATTACTCGATCGTAAATGGTGCCGGAAGTGACGGTGACGTTTCGAAATTGGTGATAAAACTAAAGAAAAACGGTGTGGAAAATGGTGATTTCGGAAAGGTGAAAAATCGCGGCCCATTTGTTCGATTGACGCGAATGGACGTTTTAGAACGGATGGTTAAACGGAATCAAAGGACAATTATATTGAAAGTAAGGTAAAAATTAAAAACAAACTAAATTTATTTAATAATTCAAAGAAATTAATTTGAAACAGTAGGCTACCCAAATTACAGCCGTGCTAATTTGGTTGCATAACCTAATTTTTTTTTAAATTTATCCATAGATCTCTTATTTGATTTTTTGTATATAAAGCAAGTATGGTAGAATCTAACAGAATTATATCCCTCCCTTAAACGAAATTTATTTTATTCTATTCAATTAATATTAAAATAATTTTATTTTTAGTTAAATTTTGGAAAGGTCAATTTTGTTTTAATAATGTCAACTTTGACATTGGTAAATACGATTTTGGTGATTTTGTAAATTAGATGATTTGACATAAAAAAGAATAGGCTGTCCTATCAGGTAAAGTTAAAACGTTCTTAAAACGTAAATGTTTCTGGTTCTAGTGTAAGTTTTAGAATAATTAAAATGTACAAGAATTTAGCGTGGAAATAGCAATTAATACTAGAACTAACACTAGACCTAGAACTAGAAAGTTTTAGGTCTAGTGGTAGTTCTAGTATTATTTTAATTAACTAGAACTAAAAGTTGTACTAAAACCAACACTAAACGTAGAACGTAGAATTGTCTCATAAAAGGGCTAAACTTGAATGATTCTAGGTCTAAGTTTAGTTTAGTTCTACGTTTTACATTTACTTCAATTAAAATATACAACAATCCTGTGTTAAATAACAATTAAATCTAGTAGGACTAGAATCATTAATAATCTTTTGTAATACTTATTAAAATTTTATTATCTAATAGTACACAAAAATCACACTGACAGCTGACTGAATATGACACATGGGTTGACGTTTAATTTTTTTAGATTCTACCTTTCTTGATACTGAACTATTTTTTTTATTGTGTGATATAGATGATATATTTTTTGTTATTATTATTATTAAGTTTATTGCTATATAATTTTATGAATAAGATTTAAATTTTCACGAATTAATTTTTTTGGGACCACTTATTCAAGTAAAAACGTTCCTGAAGAAAGAAAAAGTTTAATTAAGAATAATTAGGTTAAAAAATTACGAATCTTTATTCATTCCTTGTATAGAAGAAGAATTATTAATTTGTAGGTTTGTTGACTTATTTAAATTTTTTGAGGTTATCTTCCTTCATTTTTTAAGATTTTAATTATTTTTTTTAAATTTTAATTAGTATTTAAGTGAACAGGCAGCTTGTTAATGTTTTTTAAAATGTTTTATTTACTAAGAAAGCGGTGTGTCGATGTAGTTTTTTCCAGTGTGTTAAAAAATTAATCAATCATCGTAATGAAATAGGCATTCAAATCCATTCCATAAATCTCTTTCCATTAAAACAAGGTACAAAAATATACAACAAAATTATATTAAATGTTATTGAAAGAATTTTTAAAGATTGTTGACACATTTTCCAGTATTAAAATAATATCAAACAAAATAGTGCCATGCAACGTTTCGAAGTTGGCAGTATTGAAATTTTAAATGTCATTCAACAAATTTTGCGCTTTTAGGTTATGTCTCAAATGGTATTTTAGAGAAACTAAAAATATATATTTACACAATTTATACACAAAGGTAGGATTTTTTTCTTGATTATTATTATTTTTTAACAAACACGTTTGCGAGTACTGTGAGAGTGCCTTCTTTTTCTAATAAAAGAAAAATATAAATCGTTACAAGTGTGATGACACGCGTTTTTATTTTATTTTTTTTCAATGTTGTGATGACGTTTTTTATAAATAGCTAGAAGAAAAACCAAAATTGCGAAAACCGTTATTATATTTTTAATTTTTTAAATATTTTAATTAGATTTTAACGAAAAAAAAATAGGAATTAAGAAAAACCGATAAAATGTTACAAAAAAAATAGGATTTAAATTGAGAATGGAGGTTGTATTATTTTATTTTTCGGCACGAGTTTTAATAAATAAAAATTGTATTTTAAAATCATTTCATAATTATTTAATTTTATAAAACTAAAGCTCCATCTAGTGACGAATAACATAATTAAAAGTAGCGTTTAAAAATAAACAAAGAGAAGGGTCAAGTTTTAATCCATGAATTAAGGTAATAATTATATTTTATTAATTGAGTTTGTTAAATTAATTTATTGTTCAAATTAGGATCAAAACTTCATAATTATATGAATATTGACCAACTTCATGGCGGTTACCATGGTGATTAAGATCCAAATATTGCAGGTGCTTGTCAAAATTAATGTTGAATTTATTTAAGTTTTTTTTAAGGAAAAAGTCTTAATTGGTTTCAAAGGCTATATTTAAGGTATTTAAGGTAAGTGGATTAACAAATTCTTTATGAATGCGATTAATACAAATTTGGTTAGAATTCATAACAAAAATGGATTTAACATTTTATTATTTTTAGGTTATCCAACTTGACTTGGTTACCATGGTGATTAAGATCCAAATATTGCAGGTGCTTGTCAAAATTAACGTTGATTTTAAGTTTTTTTTAAGGAAAAAGTCTTATTTAATTGGTATAAAAGGCTATATTTAACTGAGAATTGGTATATTGAGGAAATTATGAACAAGGTAAGTGGATTAACTCAAAAAAGATATTTTGTTAAAAAAATATTTTTAAATCAAGAATTTAGCGTTAAATAACAATTAAAACTAGAACTAACACTAGACCTAGAAAGTTTTAGGTTGAAAAAAAGTCTTTTAAGAAAGTGCAGTTTAGTTAATAAATGTGATTATGGTAAGTTATCGTAGTAGCTTTAATAGCACTTAGAACCTTTAAACTCTTCGTATTGGCATTTTACTTTAGATTCTTTGATCATAGTATTCTCAGATTTTATTATGATCTTCCCCTTGTTGACAAAAATAGTAATAAAATCCAATTTGTAATCAATTTTTGGTGAGTGGGTGCATCTCTTGATTCAACTTCATCAATATATATGGAATTAATCGCTTTCGTTGGTTTTAATCGCCCCCAAAACTAAATCCTCTTCCTTTGAGGCTCATTTTTTCAACATATCATTTGATCCCCATCATTTTTTCGTTAATATCTAAGTTCTTTATCGAAAAGTAATCGTTTTAAACTAAGTTGTAATCGTAATTCGGGTTATAACGCGTTTATTAAAGCGTAGATAATGAAAAGTATTTTTTAACATTTACACGTTAGATTTTTTCAAACATTCGATTTGATAATAATTCATTAATTTGTTGATTTATACATCAAAAATAAGTCATTAATAATTAATTTAGCTTAATTTTGATATAAAAGTGATTAATTATTATTAAAATTGAGTATTTTTTAATTTGATGTATCAACATAAGCTAACTTTTTATTTTCGCAATTATTTATTTCAATTTTATGTAATTAAATAATATTTTTAAGCGAATTAATCCCAATTAAATAATAAATAAACTTAGGCAACACAACTTACACCTAACCAAACTTAATTTTTGACAGCGAACGTTAAAATTAATTTTGAGGTTAAATAAGACTCAAATTATTTTATTATTTCTTATAATTTTAGTGAAAAATATACAAAAACACCCTTAAAAATAGAACAAAACTAAAGAATACAGAGATTATAAAACTTTTAGATTAGATTAAAAATGAAAACGAGGGTAATTTTAATGATTAACTTTTTTTCTTATAAATAATATACAAATACATATTATAATATAAAAAATTGATTAGAAATACAAAGTGCCAAAATAAAATGGAAAAACTAACATCGAAAGTACACCTAGATAATAATTAACTGATAAAAGCTAATTTAAAACCTAAAAAATTAAAACAAATTCATTTTTAAAGAAGTACAACGATTAATTTATAACCCTCATTAAAATAAAAATATTCTTTTATCACAACTTATTATAATTATTTATTATTTATCTTAACAGTTAAATTAAAAAATTATTAAAATTATAAATCACATTTAAAAATTAGTTGTACTCGCACTCCGATTAAATTTTTTCCCGGCTAAACGAGCAGCTTCGGGGGCTAACGATTTAATACATTTAGCGGCTTCAACCAATTTTTTCGATAAAATTTCGTATTTCAATTTTTCAGCGTTTAACTCCTTATACAATTGCAATTTTGATTTGTTCGGCGCCGGCGATAACACTCGGTGTTGCAAAACTTGAACCGCCGATGGCCTTAAATTCGGATCGGGATGGATCATTGATTTTAATAAGCCGGCAAATTCCCTCGATAACGTTTGTTTCATTTCGGGAAGTTCCCCCGAACGGATTTTGTGCCACTCGTGTCCATTTTTGGGTAAAGGCCCACTTCCAGCTGCTTCAATAACCGTTAAACCAAACGAAAAAATATCAGCTTTCGTTAAGTGGTTATAATCTTCTTGAAGTATCTCGTTGGGTAGGTATCTACAGTCGCCTTCTTCGACGTGGGGGCTATCGATGCTTGTAACATGTCCTAAATCACCTATTTTATAAATTAAATCACCTTCGTCTTTATCATCGTCTTCGAAACTATCATCGGGGTTCTCACAGTTCGTACATTGAATTCGAATTTCGCGATTAATAAAAATATTCGCCGGCTTTATATCCATATGAACTAATCCTTGTAGATGAATGTACCTTAATCCTTCTGCTAATTGCATTAAAAGGCGTCGTAATTCTTGCTGTGAAAGCGGTCCTTGTGCGATCATCTCGGCCAGCGATCCCGTGTTACAAAATTCGTTTTGGATGATCATGTGGTTATCCTCAGACCACGCTGAGAAATAACGAACCACATTTTGGTGCTTTCCGAGTACGGCGTGGGCGTAAACTTCGTTTAGGGCCATTTTTTCTAAAAAACTCCCGGCTACAGGTTTCGATGATTTTTTAATGGCATATTCGCATCCGTCCATGCGATTTATACATTTATAAACTGAGCCGAATTCGCCTTCTCCTATTAAATCGACTTCGATGAATTCTAAATGATAACGGGAGATGTTTGTTTCTTGTAGTGCTAATTTTTTTGTTGGTTGTTCGATTTCTTCTTCCGTTGATTCGTCATCCATGGTTATTGATGATGAGTTAGATGAATTTAATGTTGTTGACCAAGGGGTTCGTCTCCGCTTTTTCTTCAATAAAACTGAAAATACAAAAATTAACCTCAAAATTTGAATCAAATGGAGGACGCCATTTTTTTTTTTAATTCTAACCTAATTTTTTTATTCTAACCTAACTGTTTTATTTTTCTATTCATTTATTTATAATTAAATTAATAATAACTCACTATTAGGTGTAAACGGATTAACATTAGCACTTGGTTTGTCATCTCGATCGTACGCCGTAGGAATTGGGATCGTTTTGTTTTCGTCGTCACTTTTCGCTTCGCACTCATTTTTGGTCCTCCCAAACAAATTAACTCTCGTAAAGTTCCGAATTATCGTGTTTGGCGATTTCGGGGTACTACTAAACAATCTTAAAGCGGTGATTCGTTTGCACGGCGGGCTAAATCGGCACTTTTTGGTGACGCCGCTGCTGTTATGACTCGAAACGGGGCTCGTAACCATGATTTCTGGCAGATTATCGCCGGATTCGTCGCAACTGTTCGTCGATAATGATGTCTCGTCGAATTCGGAATCCATTTTATTTGATTAACTCGTTCACTTTTTAAATGCGGGGGCACAATTTCCAAGAAAACTTAAAACACGAGACACAACGCTAACGAACAACAGGTTGAGACGGTTATGGCTGACATAAACCAGTTGTCGGATCGAACGGGCCAATCAGATCGCGTCGTTTGAAATTTAACGGCGGAAAATTTGAATACCCCGTTTTGATTGGACGAGATGTCCGTTTGATATAATTCACGTGGTTAATTTTTATGGTTATTTCGTTAATTAATTATTAAATTTTAATTAAATAAAACGCTTTTTTAATCAATTTCAAAAATTAATTAATTTATTATTAAAAAAATTAATTTTAAAACATTTTATATACAAGTAACCTATTAGCGCCATCTATGAATCATTAGAACAAGCTTCAATTGTTTATATTTTAGTTTATTTTAATTTATTTATTGTATTTATTATAACTTAGCTCAATATTAATCGAATCAAACCCTATTATTAACTAATTAATTATTTTTTTGGTTCAAAACTGCAATTTAATCAATTTTTAATTAGCTATCAACGTCAAATAAACCAAATTAATTTTTTTAAAACGCTTTAATTCGATTCACAACAATTTTTAACTTCAACAGATATCTCGTTTTGTTTAAAATCTAATTTAAAAGTTTGCCCCCTATCCCCGAACCCAATTTCTTTCAATTCCAACACTTCTGTACTTTCTGTTTCCGAGGAATCATCTCTTTCACTCTTAGCATCTAAATAATCATTTAGTTTATTATTTGAGTTATTTGAGTCAAATTTGTTTTCTTTTAAAGCTTTTTTGATGTTATTATTTTCCGCAAAACTCCTCCACGAAGTTTCACTTTTAATGTCACCGAACATATGGTTCTTTCTTTTAATTTTTCTCTGCGACTCAACTTTTAAATGCAAATAATTATGTTCTAATTCGCGATATTGAACGTTCTTCAACGTTAATTTTTCCCTCAATCGTAGATTAGAAATGTTTAAAGCTCTGATAACCTCATCTCTGTCACTTAATCTTTTCATAACCTCACTTTCCTTAACTAAATCATTTTTATTGTTATTAATGTTATAATTTTCCGTTTTTAATTTCGTTACAATTTTAGATTCCAACGTGATCAAACTACTTTTAGTTTCATTTCGAATCTTATCCAAATTCTCCTTATATTCCCTCTCTTTTTCGCACAAAACCCTTTGTAACTCGACCACTTTTTGAAGGGGGTCATTTTTTAAATTATGCAATAAAATCTTGACTTCTTCCAGTTCGTTCAAATAAAACCGATTTTCGTTTTGGGCCGATTCCAATTTGCCTTTTAACCGCTTCACTTTTCCGAGTAATCTTCTATTATGTATTTGAATCCTCTCAAGAGACCTTAATTTATCGCCTAAGAGTTTCGTAAAACGCTTTAATTCCTCAATCTCTTCTTTCGCCTCATCTAACTCTTTCACTTTCAACGAATACTTGGTTTTTAAATCGTTGTAAATGCGCAAATCGAAACTCGATTTTCTTTTCGTTTCAACAACCTCCTCGTTGACTTTTTTTAATTGATCTATTAATTTATTTAGATTCATTAAATCCATTTTAACTTTAAATTTTGAAAAAAATTTTGACAGTTATTTAGACAGATAATTTTTTATAGTAATCTACTTTACCGGCGTTAATAAATATAACCTCAAATTAATTCTTAATTATTTATTTATAAAAAAGAAAATCTTAATACATTTAATTATTATTATTTTTTAATGTCGCTTACTACGGCGTTTACTCTTTTTGGGGCCTTTAACGAAACACCAATCAACCCCGATAGTTTGTCCCAAAATATCCGTTCCATCCAAACTTTGCCTCGCAGCATCGGCTTCATCGTAACTCTCATACTCAACTAAAGCGTAGCCTTTCAAAAACCCAGTACGTCGATCCAAATTTAAACTAATATTCTTGATTTGTCCGTATTCGGAGAACTTCTCCGTTAAATCCTCCTCGGACGCTTCCTCATGGACCGATGTTATAAACAAAATCCAACCCTCGACCGATTTTTGGGGACCGGGTGCATCTCCCGATTCCCCCCCATCAATGCTATCGAACGTATCGTTTTTTTCGCTAGTTTTAGTCGCCCCAGATCCAAATCCTCTTCCTTTGCGCTTCGTCACTTTATCTTTTAAGCGCATCACCGATTGATCCCCATCGTCCTCCACGTCGAAATCGACCGCATCGTTAATATCCAACACATCCGCCATCGAAAAATATTAGATTTAAACTAAATTCGGGTTAAAAACGCGTTTTTTGGAGCGTAAACAGTGAAAGGTTAACGGTGTATTTTTGACATTTATAGGTTAGGACATAACATAACCTATCTTTTTTTATTAATTTATTTATTTACACATAATCTTAATTTTTTAAACATCTTGCGTAATTAAATAAGTATCTTCCTCAGTAACCAAAGCATCAATGTTGTAAAAAGCCGCATGTAACGTAACAAAAAAGAACGAAGCCCCTAAAACCCAAAACATCGCCGCGTGGGCCCCTACTAAATAATAAACGGGCATCGAGCACGCACAAACGATTCCATATTGTTGTGCGAGGGTTAATTCTTTCCCAAATAGGACGAATTTTTTTTCTTTGTGCCGTTGTGATAATTTGTACCCGGCGTAAAAAGTTCCCAAAATTGCGAAAAGCACCAAAGGGGACGTTATCAAGCAGTAAGCCACCAATCCAAGGAAAACGAATAAATAATTGCTTTGAAAATATTCGATGTTTCTCATAATCCTTCGGCTTAAACGGGGAATCGATGGGGGTGCTTTAAAATTCGAGGTTTGCACGAAAATTAACCACGGTCGTACGTTTTGTTGTTGCTGTTTAATCCAATCTTTTGGGTCGGGAATTTGAGTGGGAAATTGCATAAAACTAAAATCAAAAATTTGAGGTTATGTCTACTTTGTTATTATTTTTTACCTAAATTTCGATTTAGTTTGAGTGATTTGGGGGGCCTCCATATCACCCGAAACTTCCACGGCGACTTCTCCCATTTTGAAAAATGAATTATTTAAAAAATAATTGAGATTATTACTTTTTCTGATGAATTTAGTTTTTGGTGACGTTTACGATTTTGAGGTTAAATTTTGACGTATAATAAAAAATAAAAATTTTAAAATCATTTTATTTACAAAACTACCTTTAATAGGTCCTTATTGACTTACTTTAATCAAATATTACTTCTTTTTTTAGTTATTATTACATAGTAACACACATAAATCGCTACAATTTAACGGAAAACTTTTTAACCACAAAAAACTTAGTTTTTGGTGTCAATTCCTGGTTTAAATTAAAAATTTCATTTATCTTTGATAACTTCCAAATCCCAATCCGACTCCGCGCATTGTGTGGGTAGCCGTTCTCGCCACTTCGTATTGTTGCTCCATGGAACTAAACATTTCTTCTTGTCGTTTCATAACGTTTTCACCGGGATTCTTTCCTTGATCCGCTTGTTGCTCTTTAATCCCCATTAATCGTTTAAATTTGCTTGCAACTTTTCCATCGGTATCTTGCGCGAACGTAGTCGTTTGCCAAACTTTCGTGCTCGTCGATGAAGATGATGACGAAGATGATGCTGCAGGGATGGGTTTTTCTTGATTTTGATCTTTTTTTTGCCACAATAATTTCCTCCTTTCGATTTGATCGCGGAAACGCCCCGTAATCCCCGGCATGAAAAACCTGTCCTTCTCAGTTTCCACCTTTTTCTCAACAACCTCATTTTTAACATAACCTAAAAAATAAAAAAAATGTATTATTTTATTATTTAAATTTGTTTTAACTCACCTTGAGGGCTTTTTATTTGATTTTTTTCTATTGCAACATTAACTTTGGGTGCCCCCTCGTACTTTTTGTCATATTTCCGATCATTCTTTTTGTTTCGATAATCGTTTCTTCGCGAAGGGGATCTGCTCCTTCTTTCGTGGCTCGGGGATCTCCTTCTCGAACGGTTTTCATCGCGGTTTTTATCTCTTGAGTACCTCGACGATGAGTACCGATCATCTCTATGTCGGTTATATTTCGTTTCTTTTTCCCTCCGATGATCATCTCGGCGGCCTCTATCCCGATTATCGCGATCGTGGCGGTTCCGAGGGCTTGGGGAGCGGTGGCGGGATCGTTTTTTGTTGTTCATACCGTTTGATGAGTCGCTGTCCTGTTGGAAAAAGTGCCCCGTTACGGCAGCCCCCAAAACATTTCTTTAATCAAATAATTCTCTTCCGATGTCTCAATTTAATGCTTTATTACTTAATCTTAATTAAATCCTAATCCATTTTAGAATAACCCCTTTTCATTTTTTTGAAAATACTCACCGGGCAGTTGTCAGGATCTTAACCCGTTTTTTCGTAGTCGTCGCTTGAACGTCGAAATCGAGTCTCGTGACCACAAATTCTTTATAATATATTAAAAATGTTAATATCATAGATCTTAAACGAAATTGTAAACGAAATCGCGTATTTTTTGCTTTAAATTTATTAATTTAACCTAACATAACCTCACTTTTCTTTTTTTTTAATTTAATATTTTTAAATCCAAACCCTTTCATTATTTTATTTACTCATTAATCTTTTTAATCGATTTTCTTAAACATTACCTCACTCATATCCATTTGGACCTCCTCGTAGTTGACATCGGCTTCTTGTTGGCGAGATTTTGGGGCCCCCATAGTTGACGGCAGCTCCTAATAACGTACGTCTTAGCTATAATAGCACTTAATGTTAATAAATTGCGCTTAATTTTATTCCCGATTAAGTTGATTAATAGCATTAAACGTAAAAATTAATTTTAACCCAGCCCGAAAATATAACCTCAATTCGCAAAAATGAAATCACCCCTTTTTGATTCCTTACCGATTTCCGATGTTTAGGGGAGTCCTCGTAATCATCATCGCTCCCGTAATTCGCTAATTTATCCATCGTGGGGCTTAAAGCGCTTTTTAAGTCGAGCTTTTTCCCAGAGTAATTTGACAATATGGCGGGGTGTAGGGGTTATTACCAACTTAAAATTAATTTTTTCGTGCATAATTGGTTGCCTATTAATCAATGACAATTTAAAAAAATATTTATTCAACTAAAAATAAAAATATATCACTTTTTTATTATAAACAACTTAAATTTTGTAAATGGGGCGCTTCAGCGCCAAAATATCCTTAATTTCCGCCGGAACACATACGGCGCTAATCTCGTTATCGGATATAATCTTCCGGATGTAATCCCGAGTCAATTGCACCAAACTCGGAACGCAATTTTCATTCGCAAAATACAAATGGAGATCGTTATTATACAAATTCGGTTGATAATCCGTCAAGTCATAACGAATTAGGAACTTCATATACTCTTCGTTAAGAACCTCCTTCACTTTCTCGATATAATCGGAATCATATCTATTCTCGTAAAGTGACATCTGAAAAGAGATTTTTAATATTAGTTTGGGGCTATTAACTCACTCACCATGAAACAGCGAGCGTAATCATCGCGCTTATTATTTTTTTCGCTCATGATTTATTTAAATAAATAAAAAAATTAAGGTGAGGTTATGTCACTTGGATTCCAAGGATATTATTTTTTGATTAATTGAACGCACCCCAATTATTTTCAGCTTAACCTAAAAATTAATTTTTTTTTAAATAATTTAATTAAATTAAACAATTTCTTTTAAAGAAATATAAAAAAATCTTTATTTGAGTTTAAATATCTTTAATTTAACTCAAAATATTGGTTAATAAGATATAAAATTAATAAAATCATTCTAATAAATGCCACGTTTTAAAACTAAAATATCTTTAAGATCTTGTGTAAGACTTAATTTATGTATCCCATCGCTGCTTTTAAAACCATCCTCTTTAATTTGTTTATGAAACATAATCCTCCGAACGGCATCTCGAGATAATTGCAATAAACTCGGAATCGTTTCTTTCTTTGCAAAGAACTTATCGAGGCTGGGACGATGCGAGAAATTCGAGCAATCGTTTAAAATGCAAACGAAATCTTTAAACGGGAATTTATCCAGCTCCTTTTTGTAATGAAAGATAAATCCGGTGCATTCCGGGGATTTCTTTGCTCGGACTATCTTCGATAAACATTTATCATACTCGTTATAGCTTGGATACTGAAAATAAACAATTATAATTAATTAGTAACGATATAAATTCAAACTTCAAATTTATTTTTGAGGTTATGACACTTACAACTAAATCAAAAGGATTATTGTTGATAACATCACGATTACATTCACCCATTCTTTTTGCGATCTATAAACTCAATTTAAATCGAGGATAAAGTAAATAATTAAAAAATATTTGGTGAAATCGTAGAAATGACTACAAAATGAAACCCAAAGAGATATAATTTAAGTGATCGCCAATTTTTGTGGTTAATATGTCAATGATCGAAACTTTTTTACTTAAATTTTTAAGTAATTTAATTAATTTAAGCAATTAAAATCGTCTTTTTGATCGATTATAATCAATTAATTTTAATAATTGGATAATTATATAAATAAAAAATTAAAATAAATTTTAATTTAAATTCAACATAACCTCAAACAATCTAACCTCAAAAATGGCTTCGGCTAATATTTGCGAAATGTAACTAAAACCGTTTTAATCCCCCAAATAATTATTAATAATCTTTTTTTAGATGTAATTTAAAATCGGGGCGATACACTTGCCCCCGCTGCAACATTCTTTATTGCTCAACAACTTGTTATCAATCCATAACCCACAATAATTGTTCAGAAAGTTTTTTTAAAGATTGCGTTGATGAAATGCTCCAATCCGTTAACAAAGATCCAAAGAATAAACGTGACGTTGAAGAGCTTTTAAAGCGAGTTAACGGCGATTTCAATGAAATTGATGCGCAATTATTAGATTCCGATGATGATGAGAACTGCCCGGACGACATTAACACCCTCCAAGAGCGATTAGAAGGAGTCGATTTAGATGATTCGGAGTTAGTTTGGTCGAAATTAAGTGAAAACGAGCGAAGGGAGTATTTCGAATTTTTACAAAATGGAGAAATGAACGAGATTGTTGAAGCCGTGTGGAAACCGTTTTGGGGAAATAAGTTTGAAACTAAAATTATCGAAGTAGAAAAATTGGAGGAGTTAAAAACGAAGTGCCCGAAAATTTTAAAAATTAAAGATTTTAATTCAATTTCCGTAAAAAAAATGTATAAATTCTTAATTTTATTTTAATTTATGAATAATTTTAGAATAAAAGCCCATCGGATTGCGTCCAATTCAATCTTATCAACATCTTAGCATCTTACGCTTTTACGACTCGTTACTTCGACGGAGATCATTTTAAAGAAGCTGCTGAAGCTGTGTCTTGTATTACCCAAATTAGTTCTGTTTTTAAATCAAACGGGAGGTTTCAAAATTACGAGGAGGCTGTTAAATCGGTTATTTATGAATACAAAAATGTAAATTCATTAATTTGGTGTTAAATAATTTAATTAATTAATCTTGTTTACAGTTGAGTTGGGTTGAGACATCGGGCGAAAACGAGAAATTATTATGGGGGGATTTAAAAGATATATTAGAGGGGCCTCATGACACAGAAAAGAATTTTTACGCTCTTTGTTGTTTATCCGATTTATCCCGACTGTTTAAAAGCGCCCTAAATGGAATAATTGATACAAATAAATCGAAAGGATTTCAGAACGACGAAATTAAATTTGAAACGAGGGATAGGATTAAAATGCACATTAAAAAAGTCGATTATTATTTATCCTACGTTAAAGATTTATTTTAAATTAAGTTTTTTGAGGTTAATTTGATTTAGGTATTAAATAATAGATGTCGTTGTTTCGTTGACACATTTAAGACGTAATAAAATGACAGATGTCAATTTAATATTTTTATTTTAATAATTTTAAAAACTTTCTCCTTAAATAATTCAAACAATGAAGAAAAATCTTCTTTAATAAATAATGTCTAGTAGTGACTCGGATTTGTATCGTTACACAGCCTCCAATGAGAGAGTTGGTGAGTTTTATTTTATTTTTTCGATTAATTCAGAATTTTTAATATCTGTGTTTTTAGATGAATTAATACGAAAAAATCGCCAGATTAGGCTTAAAAGTAAGTTGGACAACGAGCGGAAAAGGGAGAGATACTTTAAGGAATATTATGAGTTAGAAAAAGGTGTTGAGGAGTCAATTTTTAATTATCCGGGGTTGTACTTTCTGGAGTTTAATCACAAAAAAATCAAATTTCGATTTACCCCATCGCAAGTCGTCGAAAACATCGGAAAAAACGACAAATTTTATTGCTCGTTGTGGTATAAATACAACAAGTGGTCGATTAAACGTAACTCATTTCCGAGTGATTGTAAAGCAACAATTTCAAATCTATTTGTCGCAATAAACGATTCGAAAGTGTTAAACATCATTAATTCGATTTATGAGGTATTGTTGAAGTGGAGCAATGATTATAAACGATTGTTGCAAGAACGATTTGAGGTAAAATTATTATTTATTACAAAAAAAAACCATTTAGGATAATTTAGAGGTATTTAGACGGGGATGAGGATATCGTATTAGACTCAATGGAGGAAGAATTATTTTTGGATAAAAAGGAAATTGAGGAGATTCATCGAAAAAGAAATGTCATTTTGGAACGAATGAAAACTCTAAGAAATTAATTATTTTTTCTGTGTAAGTTAATTTAGTATAATTATTTAGATTATATTTAAGTTAAAATTAATTTAATCAAAAATTAATAAATAAGTCGATGACATCTATTGAGAAAACCCCGAACTAAATTTGACATTATCCAACTTCACACCAAAACAATTTTCTTAAAAACCAAACGTAACCTAAACGAATAATCGAAATTAATCCTAAATCATCGTTAAATATTTTCGTTTTTAATCCTTAAAAAGTTTTAGAAAATGTCGATCGGTGTTCCAATTAAAGTTCTGCACGAAGCCGAAGGGCACATCGTAACCTGCGAGACGATAACCGGCGAAGTTTACCGTGGTAAATTAATCGAAGCTGAAGATAACATGAATTGCCAAATGACTCAAATAACCGTAACGTACCGAGATGGGCGCGTTACGCAGCTTGAAAACGTTTACATTCGGGGCTCAAAAATCCGATTTTTAATCCTCCCGGATATGTTGAAGAACGCTCCGATGTTTAAGAAGCAAACTAAAAGTGGTACGGCTGGGAGAGGAAAATCGGCGATTTTACGCGCTCAAGCAGCGCGAGGAAGAGGTAGGGCTGCGCCCCCTGCAACTAGAGGCGGCCGAGGGGGTCCTTGGCAACCCGGACAACAACAAGCACAACAAGGAAGAGGCCGATAATAAAATAAACTTAAGATTATTGTATATGTATATAATAATATTATTATTATTTGGTATTAATAAGTTTTTGTGTCTAAATAATAATTATTTTTAAGATAAAAGTTAGGTTAGAATAATAATTTCCATTTGATTAATAAAGATGAAAAAAGGATGAAAGATGTTTTTCATTAAAATAAAGAGAGACGGATATATTTTTTTTGTTCCTTTAGACAAAGAGGTATGTGAAAGATCTATGATTAATTTGAGTGCGCATGCGCCAAAGGAAGTTAACAGCGCCACGGTTGGACGTTGGTCGAAATTTTACACGACTTCACATCAGTGTCAACCATGTTGGGTGCAGCGTGTCGGTCTTCTGGGTATTTAGCGACAAAAACCGCTGAAAAAATTGGAAATGAAGCCTTAAAAGTGTTCGGGACGCAATGCGGAAACAGTGAGTATAAATTTGATGGTTTCCACAATTTTATTTGGCGTTAAAATCGCGCTTAAAAATCGCCCCCCGGTGAAAGAGATGAAACGATTATGTAAGCGATTTTTTTTTCACTTCAACGAAATCGATTAAGTTTTTGGGGTAAATTGGTTGTCATTGAAGCGATGAGTTAATAAAATTTTGCATTAATCGGTTAATTTTGTTTAAATTGGTAAAAAAAAAAAAGAAAAAAAATCTTGGGATTTTTGTGTTACATAATCGGGGGGTTTGATAACATGGACATTGATTTTTTAGGTTGTAACTAATTTCAGGTTGGTTGAGTTTTATTTAAATAATTAATTATAACTTATTTCTTGATTATTAATCAATTTTTTAATAATTTGTATTAATTATTAACCAATTTAATCGTTTTTATTAATACAGTTCCAGCTCCTGATTGTTAAGAACATAACCTCAATTTTCAGGCGTTTCTTAACTGTAAAATTAAATTACGCTGTGCTCGCTATATTTATTAATGATTTATTTATAATTAATAAATACACTGTACATCAACATTTAATTATGTTTATTGTGTTGGGTTATTTGTTATTTATAATTTTTTTAAATAATTTTTAGAACGTTCTTATGCTGCAAAACCAGCAGCGGCTGCAGGAGGGGTCGCAAAAGGTAAAGTGGTCGCCGTAATTGGTGCTGTAGTCGACGTCCAATTCGAAGATAACCTCCCCCCGATTTTAAATGCGCTCGAGGTTCAAAACCGTCAGCCTCGTTTAGTTTTGGAGGTAACCTCGATTTAATTTTTTTATCATAACAATTAATCAAAATGATTCGTTTTAGGTTGCGCAACATTTGGGTGAAAGCACCGTGCGCACCATCGCTATGGACGGTACTGAAGGTTTGGTCCGTGGACAACAAGTCTTAGATACCGGTTACCCGATTAGGATTCCCGTCGGTGCGGAAACTTTGGGAAGGATTATTAATGTCATCGGGGAACCCATCGATGAAAGGGGACCAATCCCCACCGATAAACTGGCCCCAATTCACGCCGAAGCCCCCGAATTCGTTGATATGAGTGTCGAACAGGAGATTTTGGTCACCGGAATTAAAGTAATTTGAGTTCAATTCGCCCCACAGTTCCTGTACCTAATAATTTTTTTTAATAAATTAATTGGGTTTATTTAAAATCTGTGGAAATTAAAAAATCAGCGCTCGCTATATTTATTAACGATTTTAATTAATAAATACACTGTGCTGGGACATTCTTTAATTAATTATTGATTTAGTAATCATTCATTAATTTATTTTTAATTTTAGGTTGTAGATTTATTGGCCCCATACGCAAAAGGAGGTAAAATTGGGCTTTTCGGTGGTGCGGGAGTCGGAAAAACCGTACTCATCATGGAATTGATTAACAATGTAGCTAAAGCTCATGGTGGTTACTCAGTATTTGCTGGTGTCGGTGAAAGAACCCGCGAAGGAAACGATTTATACCACGAGATGATTGAATCAGGAGTTATCTCCTTAAAAGATAAAACCTCGAAAGTAGCCCTTGTCTATGGGCAAATGAACGAACCACCAGGCGCACGTGCTCGTGTTGCTTTAACCGGATTAACCGTTGCGGAATATTTCCGTGACCAAGAAGGCCAAGATGTGTTGCTTTTCATCGATAACATTTTCAGATTCACTCAAGCCGGTTCGGAAGTATCCGCTTTGTTGGGTCGTATCCCCTCCGCTGTCGGTTATCAACCAACTTTAGCCACCGACATGGGTAGCATGCAGGAAAGAATCACAACAACCAAAAAAGGATCGATTACTTCCGTGCAAGCCATTTACGTACCAGCTGATGATTTAACCGATCCCGCCCCCGCAACGACTTTCGCCCATTTAGACGCCACCACTGTCTTATCCCGAGCCATCGCCGAATTGGGAATTTACCCAGCTGTAGATCCCCTCGATTCAACCTCCCGTATTATGGATCCTAACATCATCGGGCAGGAACATTACAACGTAGCCCGTGGAGTCCAAAAAATCCTCCAAGATTATAAATCGTTGCAAGATATCATCGCTATTTTGGGTATGGATGAATTGTCTGAAGACGATAAGTTAACCGTAGCGAGAGCTAGGAAGATCCAAAGGTTCTTATCTCAACCTTTCCAAGTCGCCGAAGTTTTCACCGGACACGCTGGAAAGTTGGTACCTCTCCAAGATACTATTAAAGGATTCCAAAAAATCCTCCAAGGTGAATACGATCATTTACCAGAGGTCGCCTTTTACATGGTAGGACCCATCGAGGAAGTCGTTCAAAAAGCTGAGAAATTAGCCGAATCTTCCTCGTAAATTAATTCGATTTAAGATGAGTAAAAATGTAGTTTTTTATTTTTTTCCTTGGTTGGTATTAAATGTGAATTTTAAAATTAATTTAAAAAAAAATAGTTTTGGGGAAAATTAAGGGATAATTAAATCTTATAACATCTTTAAGCCCCCTCTTACGATTACGATTTATTATCTCTCGATAGCCCGAAACTTAAAACTTTAATTAAAGGAATATTTCGTTCTGTTGCAAAAAGAAATTAAATCAACATCTAAAACGCATTTTACTGATGGTGTAACTGTTATTAATGTTTTAAATAAAAAAAATTAAGAAGTAGTAAATTAATTGTTTTATTTAACAATTTTTATTAAATTAAATAATAAAGTGAGGTTAGATATAGTTCAAAAATCAATACATAGATAGCGCTGCAATAAATTAAATTATAAATAAAATTTGTTTCATATTTATGTTTAAATGTATTAAATTCTTCCATTTCGTTCTTAATTATCTTTATCTTAATTGTTTAAATAATAATAATTAAGTTATGTTTTATTTAATTCAACTCCATGCACCAATATATTCTATGGAATATTTTAAAGAATATCCCTAACTTTTCAGTGATTTTCATTTCTTTCTTCCCCTAGTAATCAATAGGTTGGTAGTGCGCACTGCATCATGGGTAGTTTAGTAATGGTGTGAGCGCGTGCTGTGTCGCTTGTGGTGCGTTTTGCGGAGTTTTTTACGGAAAAAATGCCGAAATCAAAACGTGCAGTAAGTTAATCGCATTTAATAATAAAACTAGAAGCCCCAAAGAGATAGATTTCGGTTTTTTGGGTGTTGTTGTTGCATGAAACGGGACGGTTTTTTTGAAAATGGTAATGTCATTTTTTCAGTTTAACCGCTTGCGTTTTTTTTTATTGTTTCTTTCAAAGTTTTGGGGCCCCGAGGATTTCTAACCCTCCAAAAACGTTCCTGTACGTTTCCAATATCGATTTTGTAAATAATTAATCGCCTCCCGTTGGATTTTTTGACACAAACTAAAATATTCATAACCAAAAAAAAAGTGTTGGGCGCAAAAAAAACTTTGTTTTATTTGAGTTTTTCCTTCTGTGGGCGGTCGATTGTTATTGGAAATTGTTCGAAATTGATTTCTCGACGCTCGTTAAGAGATTGGGCGTGGGTTTCGCCATATTTGAAGGGGAAACTTGAAAAAAAAATTAATCTTAGACTTAACCCTTAAATTATTTTTTTTCTTTTTAACCCAAACCCCGAAATTTTAACTCTCTCTTTCTTTCCTTTTCACTATTAGTTTTATTTTCTAGCTTGTAGCTGAATAACGCTTAAAAAAAAAGAAAAATCTTGCATTAAAAAAATAAACCTAACCTCTCGGACTCCGTTATCACCCTTTTTGCTCAATTTATTTCTGTTGCGCGGCAGTCAAAGAAGATGATGGACGAAGATTTAGAATCGTCCGGATCTGATTTCGATGAGGATGAGGATCCCGATAAAATCGAAGTACCCGGTAAGATCATTTTAAAAGAAGAATATTTTGAGGTTATGTTGTGATGATTTTTTGAATTAATCTTAGGTGGAGGTAAAGATTTAGCAGCCGCCGCTGGTATTTTGGATAAAAAGGATGAAAAAACGCTTCCGAAAGGAAATTTAATGCAACAACAATCCCTCGGAAGAGGTGTCGGAAATAATAGTAAAGCGAATATGCAAAACTTTCCGATGTTGGATATGATGAATGCTTCTATGGGAAATAGTGAGTAATTAATTCGTTTTTGCTTATTTTATCATTGAAATTAAATAAGTTGAGGTAAAAAAGAAAAAAAAAACAAATCTAACCTCACTTTTTTTTTAAATCGATTTAAATAAAATTGGATTTTGAGGGGGTTTTTAAAACTGCGGAGTATGATAATTTGCAGTGGGGCCCTCGTACGGCGGTATGAACAGCGTGACCGCAATGGCGAACATGCTGAGTAGCCTCGTTGGCCCAATGAACATGAGCGGATTATTTCCGCCAAATTCAGGGGGCGGCGGAGGTGGCGGTGGCGCCGGGGGCGGAACTTTCAACGCCGCTCAATTTTTACAACAAAGTAAGAAGTGGTTTTACGGTTTTGAGTTTTTGTTGTATTAATTTTACAAGTAAAATTGACCTAACCTCACTTTATTTTTTTTTTAGCATTTTTTACACTGATTTATTAATCTTAATATTTTTAACCTTTTAAAATTAAAATTTAAGTATAATTCAATAATAAATTAATGTAATAAACTATAATTTATTGTATTTAATCAACTTAACCTCACTTTTAACATAACCTAAAAGGTTAAAAAAATTTGCATGGATTTTTTTTTATTGCTTTATTTATTAATTTGCATTAAGTAAGTTTTAAATAAAACAATTTTTTCTTTTTAATATTTATTTTCGTAGTGGAAATGGCTGCGATGAGTATGAATGGTCCATATATGCAAAATCCGTATCTTCAAAATCAAATGTTTGTGGGAGGTCAATGGCCCCCTCAATTAAGCAGCAAAGCAGTTGCATCAATGTGGATGAACAACATGAATAACCCGAATAAGTTGCAAGAAGAGGAGGAAGTCGATGATGAGGAGATGGGAGTTGCTGAGACTTACGCCGATTACATGCCGGCCAAGTTGAAATTGGGGAAAAAGCATCCAGATCCCGTCGTTGAAACGGCTTCTTTATCCTCGGTGGCTCCAGCTGATGTTTGGTAAAAAATAATTTAATAAAAAAAATTTTTTTTTGAGGTTATGTTTGTGTTTTTAGGTATAAATTATCGATTCCTGATGAAACAATTAGAGGCGGACACTTATCTGCTTTACAATTAGAAAGTATAACGTACGCTTCGCAAGCTCACGAACATATTTTACCTGATGGCAGTCGAGCTGGATTTTTAATTGGTAAATTACTTTTAAGTTAACCTCACTTTTAATATTTTTTATGTCAATAATTTTTGGGTTGGTACTAATTTTTTAGGTTGGTATTATTTTTGTTTTGAAAAAATTTTTTTTGAGGTTATCTTATTTATAATTAATTTTTATTAAAAAAAAAAACCTTTTTGTAGGTGATGGTGCGGGAGTAGGAAAAGGTAGAACAATAGCCGGAACGATTTTTGAGAATTACATGAAAGGTCGAAAACGAGCAATTTGGGTTTCAGTGTCAAACGATCTTAAATACGACGCGGAACGAGATCTTAAAGATATCGGTGCTGGGAAAATAGACGTCCACCCGTTAAATAAGTTTAAGTACGCTAAAATCTCATCTGCGATTAACGGAAATGTCAAAAAAGGTGTAATTTTCTCGACGTATTCCGCGTTAATTGGAGAATCAAATTCTGCTGGGGGGAAATATAAATCTCGATTAAAACAGTTGTTACAATGGTGTGGAAATGATTTTGATGGGTTAATCATTTTCGATGAGTGTCACCGGGCTAAAAATCTTTGCCCTGTTGGATCATCCAAACCAACGAAAACCGGTTTAACCGTTTTAGAAATTCAAAATAAACTCCCGAAAGCTCGGGTTGTTTACGCATCGGCCACCGGAGCTAGTGAACCTCGTAACATGGCCTACATGGTCCGGTTGGGGCTATGGGGCGAAGGCACCCCATTTCCCGACTTCAACGATTTCATTTCTGCTGTTGAAAAGCGCGGGGTTGGCGCGATGGAAATCGTTGCGATGGATATGAAGTTACGAGGGATGTACATCGCGCGTCAATTAAGTTTTCACGGTGTTGCATTTAAAATTGAAGAGGTTCCTTTATCGCCGGATTTTGTTAGAATATATGATGCTAGTGTTAAGTTGTGGGTGGAAGCTATGCAAAAGTTTCATGAAGCCGCCGAGTTAATCGACGCTGAAAGTCGGATGAGAAAAACTATGTGGGGACAGTTTTGGTCATCTCATCAACGATTTTTTAAATATTTGTGTATTGCGGCGAAAGTTTCTCATGCTGTGGGAACGGCTCATGAAGCTATTAAATGCGGTAAGTTTCACATAAAAATAAATTTAAAGAATTTAAATTTCGCGCTAAAATGATTTAAAAAAGTTGTATTCAGCGCCATCTCTTATTGGGGGGCTAAAATATATAAGTACACTTATTTATTAAAAATAACTTAAATATTAATTAGTTATTATTAATTTATTTTTGTTATTAGGAAAATGCGTCGTAATTGGTTTACAAAGTACCGGAGAAGCAAGGACTTTAGAACAATTAGAACGAGACGATGGTGAATTAACCGATTTTGTATCAACAGCAAAAGGGGTTTTTCAAACTTTAGTTGAAAAGCATTTCCCTGCGCCCGATAGAAATCGAATACAAAGGCTTTTAGGTATTGAAAATAAAAAAGTTAACGGAAATGAAGAGGCAAATAGCTCAACGGGGAAACGAAAACCAAGTAAATAACAAAAAATATTTGTAATTAAATGATTATGATATTGAATTGATTAATTTTAGCTCGCCAAGCGGCTGCGAAAGCTTTAAAACGCAACAAATGGTCGACATCGGACTCTGATAAAGCCTCCGATTCAGATCGTTCCGATGCCGGGAGCGAGTACAAAATGTCAGACATAGAATCTGAAATATCCGAGGAACGCAGCGATTCAAACATGAGTAGCGATTTTAATCCGTTTAACTCAGACAGCGATTCCGATAACGACCCGTGGAATCGATCAAAGAAAAAGGGGAAAAAGAAGAAGAAAGCGAAACGAAAACCACAATCGACTCAAGATAAAATTTCGATGCTTTTAGCCCAAAAAAGTAAAGGAGGTGGGGCTGGGGCGAAAGCGAATGGGGGCACCGCTGGAAATAAAAGTTACGCTCCTCAACCAGATGCTATCGATAGGGCGTGTAGTATGAAGGAGGATCTTTTAAAACAAATTGAGAGATTAGGGGATAAATTACCTCCGAATACTTTGGATCAATTAATTGATGAACTTGGTAAGTTTAAAGTAATTTGAAATATAACCCCAAAATTAATTTAAAAAAAATTTAGGTTGGTATTTCTGAAATTACCAAAAAATTTAAATGGTGGAACTAACCTAACTTTTCGAATTATTTATTAAAAAATTAATTTATTTGATTTTTTTTAGGTGGTCCTGAAAATGTGGCTGAAATGACGGGTCGTAAAGGTCGTGTTGTCCAAACTGAAGATGGGATTCAATACGAAAGTCGTTCTGAAGTCGATGTCCCCCTTGAAACGCTTAATTTAACCGAAAAGCAACGCTTCATGGATGGTGAGAAAGACGTTGCGATTATTTCGGAGGCCGCTTCTTCTGGTATTTCACTTCAAAGTGATCGGAGGGTTCGAAATCAACGTCGGCGTGTTCACATAACCCTCGAACTTCCTTGGTCTGCAGATCGAGCTATACAACAATTCGGTCGGACGCACCGTAGTAATCAAGTGAACGCCCCCGAGTACATTTTTTTGATCTCTGATTTAGCTGGTGAACGAAGGTTTGCTTCGATTGTTGCAAAACGTTTGGAAAGTTTGGGTGCTTTAACTCACGGTGATCGCCGAGCGACCGAAACTCGCGATTTAAGCCAGTTTAACATCGATAATAAGTACGGGAGGTCAGCTTTGGAGGCTACAATGAAAACCATAATGGGATATGAGAGTCCGTTGGTGCCCCCTCCTCAAGATTATAAAGGCGACTTCTTTAAGGACGTAGCCGATGCTTTAGTGGGAGTTGGATTAATTGTAAATAACGAATCTATGCCTGGGATGCTAACTTTGGACAAAGACTACAATAATATGTCGAAATTTTTGAATCGCATCCTCGGAATGCCCGTTGATTTGCAAAATCGCCTCTTTCGGTACTTCACCGACACCCTCGCCGCGATTATATCTCAAGCGAAGCGTTCGGGGCGCTTCGATTTAGGGATTTTAGATTTAGGAACATCGGGGGAGAACGTAAAAAGGGTTAAAACGTGGATGTTTTTGAGGAAACACGCTACTGGGACTGCCCCGACTGAGTTACACACGGTCCATGTTGAGAGGGGAATGGCTTGGGCTGAAGCGTTGGATAAATGGTCGGAGTTAAGCGGGGCTAAAGAAGGGTTTTATGTTTCTCATCAAGTTAGAAATAATAAACACACTGCGATTTTAGCCGTGCAAGTTGATGCGGGGGTTAAAAAGAAAGAATCAAAGAAGGATCAAATGTATTTTGTGTATAGACCGAATACTGGGTTGCAATTTCGACAGGAAAGTTTAGCCGAGTTGGAAAAAAAATATAAAAAGGTTAATTAATTTATTTTTTTTAATTAAATAAATAAAATGAATTTGTTGTAGGTGCAATCAAACGAGGCTCAAGATCCATGGACATCGCAATACGATTCATCTGTAACAACTTGTTCGCACGCTTATTGGCGGGGAAATTGTCGCAATGTGAATATGGGGCATGATTGTGAGGTGGGGCTCCGCCGGAGAACGTATCACGTAGTTTCCGGCTCGGTTTTATCTGTTTGGTCTCGCGTTGAAGGTGTATTAGCCACGAGAAATGGCTCGCATAATAATAAAATGCAAGTTATTCGATTACGGACTGATGATGGGCTTAAAATTGTCGGTGAGATCATCTAATTAAGTTAATAAAGTAAGGTTATGATTAAAAAAATTTTTCTTTTAAGGGACTCTAATCCCGAAGAATTGTTTGGAATCTTTGGTTGAAGTTTTATCATCGGATGCGGAGAAAGTGGAGCAAAAAACGTTTTAATGTGGCGTTTATTAATTTATTGGGATTTTTTGAGGTTAGATCACCCCGATTGACAGTATTAATTGTAAAAGTCACAAATTTGGAAAACGAGGAGGATAAAAACTGTGAAATAAGATTAATGATGTATTTTAGGGTACTATTTTAAGTAATTTATATTTAGACATCAAAAAGATTTGTTCCTTACTTTGTTTTTTGTTGAAAGTTTTTTTTTTGTTAAATAATATAAAGTAGTTATTAATTTCCCACTTCTGGAAATAAAGTTTTAAGTTAATCTTGATTATTTGTACATTATTATTTAATTTTCTTTTGTATTAATAATAATTAGTGATTTGAACTTAATCCACACAGACAAAAGGTTTTTTTGTTTAATTTAAATAGTACAATGTAATAAAGCACTTGTAGAAAATTGATTTCGAAAATAAATTTTATTAAAAAATTAATTTAATGAATTAAGTTGTAGAAAAACGTAAAAATTTTATAAAAAATAACGATAAAAATGATTAACAAGGTGTAATGCGCCACTTTGAGAACTTTTAATTTCCTCCGACCAGCTGGGATCGTCTCAAGGGGGTCCTTCATCAAATACAGCCGAGCCCCTTTGATGTAATTAGTAAAAAAATCCTCCCAAGGCATCGATTCGATGTTGAAAGGAAATAATTTTTGATCACTTTCATTTAAATCGTTCCACAAAGATATCGTATTATCCGTACTAAAATTCCAAGATTTCGTGCTAAAATACGAAATGGCCCCGCAAAATTTATCAATCTTTTTGTATGCTTTAACCAACCTAAAATCAAATCACATTAATTTAATTAATTTTTATAAATTTATCAAAACATATAAGTAGTTCACGGCCGGTGTTAATTAAACTAGAACTAACACTGGACCCAGAACTAGTAACATTCGGGTTTGACTGTCTTAAGAGACACACAGCTGTGGTTTCTTATGAATCATTAAGATTCGTTTTTTAATAAAACTGCCAAATTTTGACATTAAATTTGATATATTTAGGTTATAACCACAATTTTAAAATTTAAGTTACTAACCCGAAGTTTGCTTACTATAATATGTATTATTAATTATTAACGTAAATTTAATCTTTAAATTAATTATAAACTTAATATTAATAACAAATTGAATGTGGAAATTTAGCTCTTTATTTTTTGATCGCCATCTATCGGATTAATACCCAATTAATTTAAATTAATTACATAATATGTATTATATTAAATTAAATAATCTTTTTATAACAATTACGCAATATTTATTAAATTTTGATTCAATAATAATCAATAATAATGATAATTTTTCTGATAGAATAAAATTATTTTAGACATAAACTTTAACCCCATCTGTGAATTGGACGTTCAATTAAGTTATAAGGGATCCGAAACGTCAAATATTTTAACCCGAAAGTTTTTAGTTGTAGGGTTATTAGTTCCAGTGATAGTGTTAGTTCTAATTTTAGTTTAATTATTAAAAAAACTTACATTGGTTCTTTTCCGATTAATTTCGCAGCGAAATCGACGACATAAGCCGGGATCGTTTGAACGAAAAACGAATAAATCAAAAATATTAACCGAGTTTTAATCAAAAATAACGTTGAGTGCCAAACAACTAACGGTGAAGGTACTTTTAGGGCGTATTTCCTCGTTAAAATTTCGTAATTCTCCCACGTAATCAAGTTCTGTTTCGAGCTAACGTAGTTATAAATTTTTGACTCTTGCGTTTTTGCCGTTTTATACCCCGCTGCTATTATTGAGTTAATCACAAAATCGACAGGGACGATTTCCGCCGGGGCGTTTTTATCCACGTTGAGGGCCCGAATCAATCCGAAACAAGCCCCTAATAAAATCGAGGTGGGTCCGAATAAATTATCTAACCAACCAGGGATTGGTTCTTTGTAACTACTTACAACTAAAAATTTATTTGGTTAATATTAATTAATTAGAATAAATTAGTTTTTACCGATACTCGGTCGAACCAAAGCAATCGGAAGTCTTTTTGAGAAATCCTTAATTTGATTCTCGGCTATTGATTTAGTAAAAACGTAAGTGTTTGGGTTATCTTGTAATAATCTAAAAGAAATTGTTTGATTTTAATGAATAAATTAAGAAATAAATATTATTATTTTTTTTAAGATTATGTCAATGTTGATTTTTTTTTTCTTTTCTTACGTTGGTGTTATTTGCTTTAACGTCTCCAAATCCAAACAATCGACTAATTTCAGCAAATTTTCGCTGGTTATTAACGGTTGGTAGAACTTTTCGTCGATTGTTTGTTTAGTGCAGTTGGAAAAAGCCGTCGAAACGTAAACAAAGCTCTCCAAATTTTCGGCTTTTTCCGCTAAAATCAGTAAATCCCGCGTGCTTCTCACATTAATGTAAGTAGCTTTTTGTAAGTTTTCGTCGAAACGAACCGTCGCGCCACTATGGATTATTACGTTAACCTCACTTTCGAGAATTTCTTTATCTTTTTGTTTTAACCCCAAATCGACTAATTCTAAATCGCCCTCAATGATCGAAATTAACGATTTATAATTCGGTTTTAGGTTAGTTAATGAGGAAAATGCCTAAAATTAATTTTTTTAATTAAGAAAAAAAAGAAACAAAAAATAACTTACTGGGATGTCAAATAATTCTTGGAGACGCTCACTGGGATTTTTTCCTTTCTTTTCTCTCAACAACAAAAAAATTTTTTTGGGGTTAGAACTCCTCAAAATTTTCTCGACGAACAATTTCCCCAAAAACCCAGTTCCCCCCGTTAAAAAAATCGTTTTGTTTTCGTAAAATCTTTGAATCTCACTCATTTTATTTTATTTATAATAATTTAAGTTCCAACTTTTAAATCCTATATCAAACTACCAAAGCAAGGTCGCCGGCTATTCTTTTTGTTATAACCCCCCCACTCTCAATTTTTTTTATTTAACTCTTTTCTTTGTGTTTTTTCGCTTTAGGAAGACTTCAACGCTCAAAGATGTTGTGAAAACCAAAAACACGTCCGGTGACTCAAACAACTTAAAAAAAAGAATGCTTTCGTAAAAGAAAAGGTAATCAAATTATATTTTAAGGTAAAATCAAACGTTTATTAAATTAATCCTCATTTTCTCGTTCCGGAGGAGGTGCTAACGTTTGATATCTATCGGCTTTAGTGATCGGTGTAAAATCTAAATTACAAATTTGTGGTAAACAATTAATAACATAACTTCTATAGAATGGTTTATCAACAATGGGATTTCCGTGGAAAGTGACACTTCGTAACCGCCCCAACGTAGCTAACTTCTTCACCTCGTCTATGTTGTCAATGTTGTTGCCATGGAAATAAATGATAATTAAATTAACGAATTTTTGGATGATCAGATCGATCCCTCCAATTCGATTGTACGAAACGTCCAACCACCCCAACCGATTGGGGTACTCCAAAACCGAGTTCATAAAAACATCCAAATTTTGAATATGAATCAATCTGTTGTTGTTTAACCAAACGGCGCGGGTTAAAAACCGGTGGTTTTGGCCCCTTTCGGGAATCCCTCCAATACGGGTCTCTCGGGCTTGCTCGCAATCGTATTCCGAGAGAGTTTTTAATTTTTTGAATGAAAAATCGGCCGGTCTCGCAGTCTCGAGTTCTTGCAGTTCGTTTTTTGGTACGTTCCCCATTTTTTTTTAATTAAAAATGATTCGCACTAAAAATTTTAATTTGGCACTAAAAATTTTTTTGACGTTTTGATTATTTAATGTCAAAATTTAATCATTTTGTTTTCAATTTTGAAAATTGCTATAATTCCGTAATCGTTTAAATCTTATTCGATTAATCAATAATATCCATAATTTTTTTGACGTTTTGACTATTTAATGTCAATAGTTAGGTAATCATTTTGTTTGCAATTTTGAAAATTGCTATAATTCCGTAATCGCTTAAAGCTTCTTCGATTCATCAATAATATCCATAAATTAAAAAAAAAAAAAACGTTTTTGCGTCTATTCCTTGAAAATTTTAATCGGTCAATTTGGAGTTTTTGTTGGAATTAATTGCAATTAGCAATTAGTTTCGATTAATGCACTTCAATAATATACAACCAATCAGAGTAACGATCGTTTAAAATTTCGACCAATAATGTGATTTTTTAAGTGGATAAAAGTTACCTAGGTTTTTCAATTGAATAAATCACACGTGATATTTTATAACTGATAAAAACGCGACTACCTATATCTAAGTACCCTTAAAATTGCCTAAAGAATCACCCCTGAAGTTTGGGCACGTCATTCAGATGTATATACAGGGTGTATCTGAATGACTGCAACAAACTTCAAGGGGTGATTCTTTAGTGAATTTTAAGGGTACTTTGATATATGAACCATGGGCGACTTTGGCTCCCCTAAGGAGCTACACCCCTCCAAAAATGGCGGAAAATTTTATTTTAATTTTTTTTTCTCGAAAACTATAAACGCTAGGAAAATGAAATTTAGGGAATATGTTTAACTCATAATAGGGCACGTTTTGATGCTATTTGTACTTTCAACCTACNAAAAGTCAAGCTCTTGTGTATTTACCCCCGATTAATGCACTCCAATAATATACAACCAATCAGAGTAACGATCGTTTAAAATTTCGACCAATAACGTGAATTTCTAAGTGGATAAAAGTTACCTAGGTTTTTCAACTGAATAAATCACACGTGATATTTTATAACTGATTAAAACGCGACTACCATATATATACTTTTGTTTACGTCACATTTTTGACAACTATAATTAAGTCAAAAATAGTTAATAAATAATTAAAAATTGTTGATAAATTGTGCAATTGTCGTGTATTAATCTCCCTAAAATACGCTCGAGCTTGATTTTAAATCAGGATAATTTTATTTTTAATTCACTCAAGTTTTGTTACCCTTTGGAAATAACTCTCAATCAAAATCAAAAGATAAAATCGCTCCAGCTAAAGCTGTCGCGATTTTATCATGCTTTTGATTTCGAGTTATTTCCATGGTAACAAAACTTTCGTGTAAAAATAAAATTATCCGATTAAAAGTCAAGCTCTTGTGTATTTACCCCCGATTAATTATTTAATTATTTTTCATAATTAAAAATAAAATCAAAGTTGGCGGATATGACTTGACGTTTTTGAGGTTATGTTGAAAAATTCGCAATAATTTGATCAAATTGCACCGTTTTTAATTGCTATTAGGATTTATCTCGAATTCGATTTTTTTTTTTGGGTCAAACTGACAGCTTAAAAAATATGAAAATGTCAAAAATCGATTTTTGTTTTGTTTTTAGTCGATGCGAAATTAAAAGGCGATTAATTCAAGTCCAAACATGACATGTTTTGGTTAAAAACTTTTTGAGATATCAACAAATAAAAAATCAAAGATAGCTGCCCCGTTTAAATTTTTTTAATAAAACAGGGTTGTTGGGTATCAAATTGCATCATTTCTAATCCCTATTATAATTAATCGGGAATTAGATTTCTTATTTGATAAGAAATCTATTTTGGTTAGAAATTGTTTAAAATATCAACGAATAAAAAAATTAAAGATGGCAACTTGTTTTTTTGAGGTTATAACAATTTTTTTAAGTAAAATATAGGTTGTGGGTATCAAATCAAAGCATTTTTGATTGAAATGACGAATTTGAGCAATTTAAATTCCATTATTGGAAATGTTTATAATTTATTAACCCTTTAACGACGGGTTACCGTCAACAGTGCACGTCTATTGACATGACCCGTCGTTAAAGGATTAAACATTAAAATGCATTAAAATTTATTTCTATATTGCGAAATATATTGAATAAAAACCCAAACTTGTTTTTGACTCGTTTGACCTTAAAAAAGATTCAACCTTGTTTCATAATTTTCTTTTTCTTGAAACATTTTTTCCCAAGTCCACTGACCGACCTTCCATTTACCCTTTCTATTCTGCATTGAGATGTTTAATCGAGTTGTTTACCTCATTTAAAACAGATTTTTTCCAATAATTTATTAGGTTCTAAAAGTAAGGTTAGAAATTAAAATTGTTGATCAATTATTTATTATTTTTTTCGTTTTAGAAGTAGCACAATGCTTAATCATCGATTTGGGTAATAAATTGTTATTGGAATTGGGTCAAAAAATAACTTAACTCAACAAAAATAAAAAATTTTAGGTTATGAAAAAATTAATTCAAATTTTTATATATAAAGTAACAAAAATAGTCTTAAAAATCATCGAAATCAATATCATTTAAAGCATCCCGAACGGCGTTAATATCTTTTTGAGTACTCTGACTTAAAATGACCACCGAAGCTGAATCTTCCTTGATTTGTATCGATTTAAACTTTTTCGGAGGTGGTGAATCAATTTCTTCATCGAAATCATCATAATTAAACTTGTTAACTGTAATAATTTGTAAATCATCACTTTTCTTCATTACGGAGTTATTAAAAAGGTTATAAATTTTTAAGAGGTTATTTTCGGTGATTATTAGGTATCGTTTAATTGGACTCATCGTTAATAAGCTGCACCCTTTCAAAATAAAAACCGAATTTATGGTTAAAAACTCTGAAAATCGCTCGTAGAGCTCCTCAGAAATAATCCCTCCAATTTCACCCGTTGGGTCGCACAAAATAAAATTGGGCTTCTTTCCGATTAATTCCAACTGCTTTATTTTAACTGCTAAAAATGGGATTTTCCGATTTATTATCTTAGAATTATTAATAACCCATCCAACGTTGTATTTATCCAATAAATAACCATGATTATTTTGATTTAAATCGTCCATCATTTCTAACCAGGTACCATCGGAGAAGGTATTCGAAGTTGATTGTGAGCAAAGAACCTTAAATTTATTTTAAATATAGATTTTTTTTAAATTTTAGTAATACTTACGGTTTGCGATGAAATTTGATTCTCTTTTTCGGGTAATAATAAACCAGCGGGTCCTGGAAACTTCCTTTTAATAATTTTTGGGGTCTTCATTTTGTGTTGAGAAAGATCTAAAATTATTTGAGGTTATGTTGTAGTAAACAGACATGAAATTGGTTATTACAGGAAACTGCAATATTTTAAGATGGCGCCACAACAAAATTCCTATTGAATAAAAATAGGTATTACTAATAAAGTAAAATTAAAAACTTTGCCTTATAACATTTTATTATTTTTTTTGACTACATTTTTTTAATTTATTTATGCTTATAATAACACATTCATTTTTAATCACGTTAAATACATATTCGGATTTTCCCGACCATTATTAATAAGAACATAATTAAATTAACATTACTTTCTACAAAAAAACCAAAAAGAAACAAAAATAATCTTTATTTGTATCACAAAATCTAATCTAACCTCACTTTTTTTTCGATTTAAGATTTTTAAATCATTTTCTTGGTGAAAATAATAACTTAGTAATTACTTAATAGTTAAAAATAAAAAATTAAATTTAAAGCGTAAGATGTTGATTATTTTTATCATATCTCGATTTTTACAAAAAAAATATGCCTCTAAATCTTACGCATCATTATCAGCGCCTCCGTAAACGTTTTCATCGGAATAAGCGATATAGAGGAAAAAATCTTCTTCATGATGTTCCTGGTACAACGTGCCCATACTTGCGGAGGTTGGAGCGATCACGTTGTTCACGAAAAAGAAAAGGGCATCTTCCGGGCGGAGATGAATTCGTTTACGGATCAAAAAGTAAAATTGACCAACGGTTAAATCGGAGGGGACTAAATATTTCTTTTTGTCCAAATCACCAATTCGGGCTTTCGGTGCTTTTTCAACGATTACCTAAAATTAAAAGGAAATTTGTAATATTGCGAAATCATAACCTCAAATAATAATAAACGTCAAATAAAGGAAAACAAAAGAATAAAAACAGCACAAAGGTTAATTTTAGTTTGCGACGTAATAGATTTGCATCACAATAAAATTGTGTTGAAAAACAATAAATTTTGCATATAATTCAATTTTAATTATAATTTTTTGGGGTTTCGCCCCAAAATGATGGTTTTAATTGGAAAATCATTAAAAAATTATTTTTAATTTTTGACGTTTATAAAAACAAAAATGGCTGCTACAAAGGGAAATATTTTCATTTTTTTTTTTTCGGGTACTTACGGGGACTCTATCGGGATATTTTCTTCTGATTTTTTCGCCCTCGGCCTTTCTTTTTTCGAACGCGTGCTCCTCCTTGTATTGGAACTTCATTTTTGCACGAAAATTTAGCTGGGAATGTGTGTCACGGTTATAGAAGTCGATTTCGTTCTGCGTCTTGTTTTTTCTTTTGTGTCAATCGATCGGAAGTTGGCACTACTGCGACGATCGTTTACTAACTCGCAAATAAAATAAATACCGCTTATAAATCGTTATCGTTATCGAAATCAATAATAATAACGATGTTTTGATAAAAACGCTTTATGTTATTTATTAGTAACGAATTATTAATAATTTATTACAAAAATTATCTTATCGGATGTTGTTTTGATTCACGTTGTCTTAATCACGTTTTATTTAGACGTAAAAATTATAGATGGCGCAATTAATTTCATTACTTTAAATTAAATAAATAATGATAGTAAATATTTAATAAAAATCAATTGGGACTTCTTTATTAATTATTTATTTGCGGAGAAAAAAATTTAGGTCGATAAAACAGGTTTATAACTTTGACATAAACGTCAATTTCGAAAACATGAAATTTTTAACTCATAAAGTTGTTGAAAAAAATTTACAAAATGTGCCATATCTAAAATTAAGAAAAGTTTTATTTGTATGTTTGGGTGAATTTAGAACAAAATTGAATCAAAAAAATGATTTAGATTGATTTTTCACTTTATCATTTAAGGTAACATTTGCCGATCACCTATAGCTGAAGCTGTTTTTACCTATTTAGTTAAAAAAAGGAAATTGGAGGAGGCTTGGAGTTGTGATAGCGCGGCTTTAGGGCGATGGCACGAAGGTAAACCACCCGATTATAGGGCGAGGAAGGTTCTATGTAAACACAAAATCCGTTATTACGGAGTATCGAGAGTTGTAATTTCTCAATTTAAATTTAAAATCGAAGCTAAAAATGAATTTGTAGATTTGTCGGAATGATTACAAAGAATTTGACTTCATATTGGGAATGGACCTAAATAATATATCGCTTTTAAGAGATGAAAAAGGGAATTCGAAAAATTGTAAAGCCCAAATCATGCTTTTGGGGGAATTCGACCCCAACGGAGAAAAAATTATAGAAGACCCTTATTACGACCAGGGAATTGAAGGATTTGAGAAGTGTTTCCAACAATGTTTTAGATCGTGTGAAGGATTTTTAGATAAATATTCATTAAGAACATACAAATAAAACTGCCTTAATAACATAACCTCTTTCTTATAAATTTTAATTATGAACATAGATGGCGCCACATAATTTCTTTTTGACAGATTAAAATTTAACCTCAAAATGAAAAAGGTTTTATTTATTTGTTTGGGTAAGTTATAAAAATACCTCAATAAATTTTATTAATTCTTTAATTTTTAGGTAATATTTGCAGATCACCCATCGCCGAAGCCGTTTTCGCCCATTTAATTAAGCAGAGAAACTTGGAAAATGCTTGGAGCTGCGATAGCGCCGCTTTGGGGGGTTGGCACGAAGGAAATCCCCCCGATCATAGGGCAAGAAAGGTTTTATCGAACCATAAAATCCCTTATAATGGAGTTGCAAGACAGGTAAAAATTTATTACAAACTTAACCTCGAATTAATTTTTTAATTTTTAGATTTTCTCTGAGGACTACAACGACTTCGATTTTATCCTTGGAATGGATGAAAACAACATTTCGAGCTTAAAAGGAGATGCTCCGCAAAATTGCAAGGCCAAAATCCTTCTTTTGGGGGATTTTGACCCAAACGGAGAGAGAATAATTCGTGATCCTTATTACGTTGGTTTGAAAAAAATTAATTTTAATAATTTATTAAAAAAATTTTTATTTTTAGGACGATGGGATTGAGGGGTTCGAAAAATGTTTCGAGCAGTGTGTAAGATCATGTAATGGATTTTTAGATCAACATTCCTCATAAATACAGGTACTTTTATTAACATTTTCCTTTATTTTCCAACCAAGGACTCCAAGTTCCATTAAAAAACGTGGGGTTTGACGCAATATCAACTGTTGGAACTCCTCTTGGTACCACGAATTGTTTAAAATCATTAATTTTTCTCCATAAATCATTGGAGATTTCCTCAAAATCATCGATGATGTTTGTAGTTTCTAACGGATTATCTTTTAAATTAAACAAGCATGTTTTGGAGCAATTAAATTCGTTGGTGTTATTAAAAATTCCCAAATCTAATTTATTTCTGATTTCTTTAATTTTATTTTCGGTTAAAATCTCATTTTTTGTAGAAAATCTTTCGAGGATCTTATTAACGGGGCTGTTTAAAACTGATTTTGAGTCATAATCCGGGTCGTTAACCCCCCTTCCAGTTTCTCCGCTTCTATTATGATAAAATCCCCCCAAATAATTATCTTTAACCAATTTATAATCTCCGGATATGAACCCAAAGACATCCATGTGATCATCTAATTCGAGTAACAACTCTTTTCTGGAACTTTGAGTGTTTTCGAAAAGATTTTTCTTGATGTTTATTGAATCAAAACTTGATGAATCATTTAATTCGCCCCCTTGAATAAAAAAATGTAGGATTTAATGATTTTTATTACAAGAAGTTTACCTGCCATGTTAATAATCGTTGAAAATAAATCAACGATGTGAACCAAATCGTGCTTAATGATGCTTTTGGGTAACTTTGGGGAATAGATAATGCATGGGACGCGAATTCCTCCGTTTAAAATTGTAAATTTTTGCCCTTTTAGCGGCCAATTCGATGCTTTATTAGCGTGCATTCCGTATGTTTGGCCTCCATTGTCCGATAAGAAGAAAATAATGGAATTTTCCAATAAATTTCGCCTATTTAAAGCTACGATTGTATCAGAAATCGTCGAATCCAGTGTTTGGACGATATCTTTAACCCAAAAATGATTTAATTAATTTAAATTTCTTCTTTTGTTTAATAAATTAATCGGCAGATGTAAAAAGGTTATGTGACATTTTTTTAAAACGAGAGGTTAATGGCGGACAATGATCAGCGCACTTCGTCCCACATAATATGTAAAAACGGAGTTCTTTATTAGAACTAGATACATTCGGGTATAGCCGCACGTGTTAGTTCTAGTTTTATTTCAATAGAAATGATTTTCGTGTTTTTTTGAACGAGTTCCGAATGATTCTAGTTCTAAGTCTTGTGTTAGTTCTAGTGATGCATCATGTTTGAACACTTTGGACTCATTTTAAAGGTTCTTTAATAAAGAATACATCATGAAAGAACACCATGAAGTTGTCCATTTCTCAATTATATGACAACTAACTTCAGGCTTAAAATGTCAACCTCAATTTTGACATATTTGTAATTTTCAATATTAATGAAGTAGTGAGTTTACACATGCATGGATTTAGTGGCGCCAATAAAAACTGGCGCGCCAGTAAAATTAAATTGCATGTGTAAACATCAACTGGCATGCAAGTTGAAACCATGCATGCATGGATCGGAAAAGTCTGCACCCTTCTGAAATTACTGGCGCCAGTGATGAGTCTAAAACATGTAACCATGGCAACATAGGTGAGTGTCCACAAAAATACAAAATTTTTTAATGTCAAATTTAGGTTATGTTTCATTGCATTCAAATTAAATCCCAATTACGTTAACAGATTCAAAGATACTGTTTAATTATCCACATAAACCCTAGAATATATCTATTTTCGTTTCAGTTGAGGTCCTAATTTGTGTATATAGTTGTAGTACACTTTAAAATGACACTGGCGTGTCACTTATTTTTTAATGTAAACCTCTACTGGCGTGCAAGTAGAACTGGCGCAACTACTGGCGCCACTAAATCCATGCATGTCTAAACTCACCTTTATGGTCAATTTCCAGTTACATAGAAATGTCAACGTCAATTTGCACATATTTGTAATAGCGAAAAATTTTTGTCTCCTCTATAAAATATGATTTTTGCTACATAACCCCTTTTTACAACTGCCGATTCAAATAACCTGCATATCTCCTTCTTTCCTCATCCTCGATAAAATTAAACTTGTTATTAACTTCCGTTTGATTTTTAACAGGCAATTCGGTTCCATTTTCACCAACATGAGGTGCCAAGTGGGAAATCATTAAAAATAAAGGCTCATTTTCGTTGTGATTTTCAATAATTTCAATTACTTTTTCGTTTAAAACGTCCAAAATGTATCGATTTGTGGCATCATAGCAAGTTTCGTTGTTTTTATGAAGATCGTAACCTAAAAAATCCTTAAATAAAGCGATTAAAATAAAGATTTTGATTTTTTTGGGTTAATTCTTACATTTTGAGCCATTTTGTAGTCGAAGTAACCGATAAAGCCATTGTAGTAGCCGAAAAATGTATCGAAACCTCTTCCAATTGGGGTGTTCTTCAAGCAAGGACTTCCTAAATGCCACTTCCCAACTAAATGAGTTTTGTAATTTAATTTTTTTAATTCTTCCGGTAAAGTTGGTGATGTTAATGGTAAGGGGTGGTTTTCTCCCCCCAAAAGGGGGTAACCTTGGAACCCTATTAAGTGAGATTTAATATATTAAAGTTTGTTAATAAAAAGTTTAAGTTTTACCAGTTCGTATCGGATATTTTCCTGTTAATAAAGCGGCTCGTGATGGGGAACAAGCCGATTGGGTGTAAAATTGATTTAAAACGATCCCGTTGTAAGCCAAAGAATCGATGTTTGGGGTGAAAATTTGATTCGCTCCATGGAAGCTTACATCGTTCCAACCCTGCAAGAATCAATTCAAAATTAAATTAATCCATTTTTATGGGAAAGACTTACCAAATCATCGGCTAAAATCAAAATTATATTTAAACGGCTCGATAAAGCTGATTTGAATAAGAAAAATAAAATTAAAATTTTCATTTTTGAGGTTATGTCAATTATTTATTATTTTTTTTTTTAAATTCAAATAAATACGTTTAAAATGAACGTTAAAATAATTAGGTTGATAAATTTCGCACAAATTCTTATAGTGTTTTATTAAAATTGTGTCATTATCGTTATTAAAAATTAAAAAAATACAATGTAAATGTAAATAAATAAAGTAAGGTTATGTTAGATGTTGCCATCTATTAACGCGATGTTGCACTTATTACTTAATATATAATATAACTAATTCTTTATTAAAATAAATTGTTATAGGATGTAATATAATGAAATGATACACCTGAATGTTTGTTAGATCAATTTTAAGCTACTTTACTCGTTATCTTCGTACCTTTTTGTTAGAAAAAAGATTTCTCTTCCTTTTTTTACTGTTAGTTGAGCTACTGATGTCGCTGGATGACCCGCAAAAATCGTTTCCCGCCCAAATAATTGTACCTAATAGAGCGACATCTATTATCCAATAGGATAATCAACGAAATCTAACCTCACTTTTACTTGGCGCATTCGCGTGAGAAGCATACAAAAAAATGGGAATTATAGCGAGTAATTCGTATTTAATGGGAATTGCAACCGGCTCCTTTTTGGGAATAACAGCAACTTATCTCGTTTTAAGATTTAAAGGTATTAATAACCCGCCGGAAGCTGTACCGATCGAGGAACGTTTCGAGGTTCGTAACATAACCTCAATTTACTTTTTATTTGAATTAAAACTTAGCTTTTTAGTTCCCCGATCCGAAAGACGAATATAGATTAATTATGGCGATACGAACTGATTTAAAGATGCAAAAAGGTAAAGTTGCCGCTCAATGCGGGCACGCCTCCGTAGCGGCCTACGCCAAAGCTTTAAAATTAAAACCAAAAACTCTTCAGAGGTGGTTAAGATACGGTAAATAAATTGATATAAGAAAATAATTAAATTAAATGTATAATTTTTTGTTAGGTGGGACGAAGATTACGGTTAAAGTTGATAACGAGGAGGATTTGTTAAATTTGGATCGAGCCGCGAAGGAGATTGGGGTGTTATCGAGTGTTGTGAGAGACGCGGGTCAGACTCAGGTTGCGCCGGGGAGTCGGACGGTTATTGCGATCGGGCCCGCACCGAAAAGCGTATTAGATCGGATTACGGGACATTTAAAGTTGTATTAAAGTAAGTGGATTTAATTATTTGGGGAAAAACGTGTTTATAATTTGAAAAAAAATTTATTATAAAAATTAAAAAAATGTAAACATAACCTTAATAATAACTTAAAAATTAAATTTTATTATTTTTATGGACGGATTTTTTATTTTTTAGGCTAGGTGGTAAAAATAAAAAATATTTACACTAATTAATGATAATAACGATAAAAATAATAATAAAAATTGATTATTTAAAATTATGAATTAATAATACTTCTTAAAAAGTGGTATTTTTGTAATTTCTTAGTACGGAAAATGATTCGTTGCATTTTAAATTATTTTTCGATTATTTACACGTTTTTTTCCTTCCCCTCTTCGTTCGTATAAACGATTTCGGCGTACTCAGTCTTTTCGTCGTCTGTTTTTAAAACGACTGGTTTTGGGTTAACATTAACCAAATCCAGCTCGGCGTAAACGACACCTTCGCGATTATGTTCTTTAACGTCTTTATTAGAATCGTTTTTGTCGGTTGTCGTTAATGTTTCATCGGTTGGCGCCGAATTCTTTTTATCCGACTCTCCTTCTTCCGTTGGGGCGTTTAGGTCATCGCTTTGATGGCTCGGAGATGCTGCCTCTTTCTTTTTCGCGAAAAAGTCGGACAATTTCGGGACTAAACTGCGTTTTGAGTCGGTGTGTTGAACGCTTTCGGTGTCGCTACTAATTTTGGAATTAAATTAATTAATTTGTTGTTAAAAGTGTTGTGGGTTTGCTTACTTTTCTACGTTTCGGTTTGATGAGGAGGCTTAAAAAGAAATTAGCTTGATTAATTTTGTTGTGGAGATAATAACCCCTATTTGTTTGGTTTTTTGAGTTTTTTTGAATTCGTTTATTTATTTATAAAAAGGAATTTTTTTAACAATTTTAAACCAGTCTTAACCCACTTTTTTTCTTAACTATTTTATTAATATCAATACTTTATACACAGATCTTAATTTTATCCGTTAATTTGCCTTAAATTAATTAAATCGTTTAATTAATTAATTAATTAAGTAATAGTAGTACTCCCTAATATATTTTAATTCGCTTAACAATTAATTTATAGGGTTTTTTTGATTCTCTCTTAGTTTGCCTTAAAAAATTTACAATTACAAGTTGGACATAACTTCACTTTTTTTGACATATTTATGTTATTCAACAATTAATCGTCTAACTTAAATTAAAAAAGAATTAATTAATGTTTACTCCTTATTGTCTTAAAAAATAGTATAAAAAAGTAAGAAAAATAATTTTTTCAAAAAATATCACGATTTAAAAAAATTTTGGAGAAAAAATAATAAAATTGGAATGTTTGTCTTTTTAGTGAGCGCCATCTCCATTTTTTTAATTTAATCAATGGCAGTGGAAATGTCAAAAAAGTTTATTAACCTCAAAAAAATTAATTTATTAAAATAAATTAAAAAAATGAAGCTGGCTTATTTTTTTTTAATTGTTTAAACCGCGGTGTCGATTTTTTTTTCTTTCTCTTTGATGTGATCGCCCCCGTTGACGAATTCTTGTGAATTATGCCGATTGGGGTTCTCGATGCCGTCCACGCCATGATGGCTCTGATCTGAGTGATGATGGTGGTGGGGGTGGTGGTGATTATCGCTCCCCGTTGTGTAGTCGATTACGCGGGCGCCCCCTACAAAAAAAACGAATAAAAGCTAATAAACAATTTAATAATCAAAGTTGGCAAGCTACTAATATGTACGTCAAAAAAATCATGCGATTAATGTCAAAAATCCCCAACACCAACATAACAAAAAAAAATTAAAATAAAAAAAAACTTGCCATCTTGGATGGATTTAGCTTTTATTTGTTTTTTTTTCGACTCAATTAATTAATAAAAAATAAAAAAATAAACGAATCACAAAAAAATCTAATTAAAACACTACAAAGAGGGATCAAATCAACCAAACAAACAACACATAAAAATCTACGTGGATTTTTTATTAACTTACCCGAAAAACACCATTTTCCTTTGATCCTCGCTATAATAACGGTAAAAACGAGTACCATGACGAGCATTAAAACAACGACGATTCCAACGATTCCCCCGACTCCTAAATCGAAACCTTCACAAAACAAAAATAAATTGATTACTTAATTTGATTAATTAATTATTAATTTTTTTAAATTAATTATTTTCTTACCAAAAACGCGAACGTGCGATCTAATAAATTTATGAAGTCCTGTATCAGCGTGAAATAAAACGACTTTGGGACAGTTTATAATTTAAAGATCGCGGGAATTTATTGAAGTTATTAATTAATAAAAAAATGAAATAGATTATTACCTTCCGGTTCGGGGCTGGTTGATATTAAAATGGAGTAATCCTGGGCGCCGATGCTGTTCATCGCCGTTAAAATGTATTGTGTTTCGGTATCTTGCTTGGTGATAGCGGCTATTCGTAAATTTGCTAAATATTTTCCTCGTCCCTAAAAAAATTTTTTTCTTATAGCTATGCACAGTCCGCCCACTTTTCCGAAGATATTAAAAAAATTTATTAGAAAAGTCGGTTCTAAATCGAATTTGTAGCAACTTTTATATATAGTAATTTTTGATTATAACGATTTTTGATATTGATGTATAGCGCCGTGCAAAAACTTTTATACCTATACACATCCCAATCTAGTGAAGATATTAACATATTTTATTAAAAAAGTTGATTTTAAATCGAATTTGTAGCAACTTTTATATAAAGTAATTTTTGATTATAACAATTTATGATATTGATGTGTACAGGGTGGTTCAAATTCGATGTCCGAATAGGCTAACTCGGAAACTATAAGAGTTAGAAAAAAAGTAGCTTACATGTCATGATCTCGTTTTTCGAGAAAATGCTAATACCGAAAACCTCATAGCGCTATCGTCTTTTGTTTTTCCCCTAGAGGCCAAAATTGAAAATATCGTAAAACCAATAAGTGCAATTATCTTGGTTATTATTATAGGTGGAGTATTATAACTACGACATTATACGGACACTTTTTTACAGAGAATTTCATGACGTAGTCAAAAAAAAATTTTCGGTTTTAGATTTTGAGATATAATGAGAATTTTCGTTTTTTTTAATGGAAACAACATTTTCTGATTACAAAAATATAGGGTTCGACAGGTCTATTTCTTATTATTTTAGAATAAAACTAAAAATAAACTTTTTTTATAAAATTTCCATCTAGTGTCGTGGAGGAAATTAAATTTACAGTTTCCTGTAAGTTACGGGGCGGTAGGTAAAATCTAAAAAGTTAACAATTAAATACGAAGATAACTTCTGGTATTTAAAAACCAATAATTTTTTAATATGTAACATTCTAACAAGTCAAACTTTTCAAAATTTTCGAAATTTTTGATCTTAAAAACAGGATTTTTAAAGTGACACTTCAGAAAATTTTTGAATACAAACAAATGTTGCTAGGATTATTTGAATTTAAAAAAAACATGAGCGCCATCTATCGATAATTTATTAAGTCATTTAAAAATAATATTAAATCGTAATAAAAAATGTGAAATAATGCAATCTATTCCAACTTTTGTGTAAAACATATATAAATTAAACAGTTCAACAAATATATTTGTTTCAAATATCAGAAATATGTTTTTTTNTTATTACAAAGATCGGTTCTAAATCGATTTTGTAACAAGTTTTCTTTAAAGTAATTTTTGATATAGTGCCAATTGACCATATTATTGTAATACCTACCATATCTTGCACTTCTTCCGCATGAATCCTTCCCGTCGCATCAACACTCCCAGCTTGAATTTTCTGCTCCCTCACCGTCCATTCAACCATCGGTTGGGGGTTCGCCTCAATCTCGACCTGAATAGTCCCCGGTTGACTTAACTCAAATCCAAATCTTTCAATAGGATTTCCTTGGGGAAGCGGAGGATATTGAACGTTCAACAACTTCATCGTGCTCGCCGTGTTTTGTTGCATCGCGGGGTGCGTCGCAACGCATTTCAAGTGCTTCCCGTGGTCGCTCGCATGAAGTTGCCTACTGATGTTTTGGACCTTCGTGTGAAGATCCTCTTTGACGTAATCGAACACGGACGGCATGCTTAAACCGTCCAAAAGCGGCTCGTCGTCTAAATACCAACTTATATTCGCGACGGGCCGCCCATCTCGAACGACGCAGGACGCTTGAAGTACGTCGTTTATCCTGTGGGGGTCCGCGTTTCTCGCAACTTCTAATTCAGGCGCTTTTGGGGCTCCTAAAAATTAATTATTAATAAAGTATAATCAAATAGAGATGAAGCAAGAACTAACTTGCTACGGTTAAATGCATCCCCCCCTCTTTTTCTTGGTCTTCAGTTTCGATTCCGAGAAAACAAGTTATTTTCCCGTTGTTTTCCTCGGTGACGCGATTTATGATGAAGCCGCATTGACCCGAATCCAATCCGTTACCATAGTAAGATACCTGCGATAAGCACAAACAATTTTGAATTTGGGGTGCGTTCAAAAATTGGGTTCACTTACACCTTTCCTCGATTGTAATTTGCTGTTGAGGTTTAACGATCCTATTCCGGGGATGAGAACCCTGCAATATTGTAAGGGGACGCGGAGGGTACACAAAAACGTCGCGTTTTCATTCGGGAGGGCGATCGCTTCTTTTGGGATGACGTCGACGAATCCAAGACATCCTGAAATAAATCGAAAAAAAGTTTGAAAATCTTTTTCGTTTTGTTTCGGGGGGAGATTTTATCGATTTAATCTCGATTTTTTTGCACCCCCAACGAAACAATCGAAAATCACGTAAACAATGGGAATTAATCGGCGGAACGGACGGCATCGTCCGGTTTTTATTGAATAACGATCCGCCCTCTCTTCGCCATTTGATCCGAAACGCGCTGATTTACAACCCCCCGAATTCTTTTTAGTCAACAATATCTAAAAATTTAATTATTATTTTAACTCTAAATAAAAATCGTTTAAAAAGTTTTGCGAAACCGACTTTAACCGAATCCAACCCTTAACGCCACCAACAACTTTGCTTCCTCTCGTTTATAGCAGGAAACCGCGATTCCGAAATAAATTATGCACGACTCAATTTGGACCACACCAGATTGTCTCAGACGCCGCGCTTTCGGCGAAAACAAAACGAAAAAAAAAACAACGTTTGTCTGTTTTTACCGTTGTTGATTGTACGAGGGAAAAAAATTTTATAGATTTAAACGAAGTTAATTTTGTTGCCGGAAAAAGGAGAGTGGAAACTATAAACACGTAGAAATGTTATAGCGGTGTAAAATTTCGGATGAATTCATCAAAATTTAATATTTCGGGGTATTAAAAAATGTCAAAATCGTTTTATTAAATAAAATCATCTCGTTTAAGTATTCATGAGGTGTTTTTAATTGATTAGAATCATTTTGACATACATCAATAAGTTTTTTCTACCGTTTGATATCTTTGATATCCTTTCATAAAATGCCAAAACCATTTTAATAGATAAAATGATGCCCTTTAAATACCCTGATTGACAACTTCATGGTGATAAAGTCAACATTAATTGTGATGTTTTCGTAATCCTTATTATATAACTTTTAAAATGAGCCCAAACATGTTTTTAAACCAGGAGGAGTATTTTAAATTTGTCACCAGATTGACCTTGCACGTGATTGGTTGAATGCGAGGAAGGTTCACACACAGGCAATTTTGAATTTTGAATTTGAAGGTTAGGTTATTGACAATTCGACAGTTTCGTGTCATTATTGTAAATTTTGTGTTCTTAAACCCTTCTTTATTATATTTTGAAATAAATACACTCATAACTTCAATGTTAATTTGTATGTTTAGTGTTGACGATAACAAACGAAAATAAATACAATAATAAGTAAATAAATAAATAATAACAATTATTAATTTAAATTTACCGCCAAAATATCTAGTGATATTTTCTGGTGATTTTTCCTAGTGTAAATCTGACTTTCGCGTTTACTCCTCCTGGTTTAAAAACAGAGTATAGTTCTAGTGCAAGTGTTAGTTCTAGTTTTAATTGTTATTCAGCGCTAAGTTGTATATTTTTAAGTTTCGNTAGGCCATTCTCTATCTCTTATTATCACATCATAATACCGATATTTTCTCTTTGTCATCTTGATAGAAATCCTTAGTAGATGGCGTACATGTCGTTAGTAATATTACAGAAAGCTGTTGACTTTGTTTAAGCGGTTTTGACATTTTATGTATGTCACATGTCACACAGTCCTTTTGCGTTTATTGTCTTATTTGTGCTTATTATCTATTTTTGCGTTGTATTTTTTACGAATAATTTTCGAGAATAATTATTGTAAAAATGTTTTGCATTGTGTGTGGATGTAGCGAAGATGAAGTTGGAAAATTATTTTGTTTTCCCAAGAATAAGGACAGGTTAGTATTTTAATTATATTAATTTTTAATTTCAATAGTATTCAAATTAAGTATTCAAATTTTTGATAACACCGTGTCATTTAGGGTAAGAAGCAGTTGGTGGTTGATAACCAACATTTATTTGTTATAATGCTTTTTTGTTATATGTACTTTATCAATTGAAAACCACAGACAAAAACGGCCAACCCAACCCAACCTGTGAGGGTCATCCCGGAGAAGACGAGGACAGGGGTTTTTAGTGTAATTATATTGTAATTTAAATATAAAATTTTAAATCGCCAATGGATTTCTCTTTATTTTGCATTGAAATTATAAAATTATAACTTTTTGATTTGAGGTGCTTTTTATTGGTCTATTAAGCTGTAATTATTTTGGCTTACGCAAGCTAAATATAGCTTAATAGATCCACAAAAAGCACATTAGATCAAAAATATTTCTGTATTCAAATTTTAAATTAAATAAAAGATTTGAATTTGGCGCCAATTGCATTTTTGCTTCTCACTGCCATCTACATAAGTGTTACATGATGAGTGAGAGAGACCGGTATATATTGGATCTCGCTTTCACAATGGAGTTGGCCCTCTGGTCATCACATAGATCAACAATCTCTTTGATTCCATTAATTTGCGTCGTCCATCTCAAATGATGAAAAGATGTATTAAGTCTATTTCAACAATTTTGTCACGCACCAATAACCGTTTTATATTTTCTGACATCTTTGAAACTTTTCCAAAAAACACCAAAATTAAAATTTTCAACTTGGAGTTGGCATTAAATTCATTAAAATCGAACGAAATGATGTTTGCCCTGTCAAAAATGACGTTTAACTGTCAAATTGAATTAATTGTCACGATTTATGGGGAATTTCCCAATTTTGTGAGTGATATTTTGGAAAAAAGATGATGAAAAATGTTTCCGCCCATTTCGGTGGGTTTTTAGTTTTAGTTTTCATTTGGCCCAAGTGGCAAGGAAACTAAGTGAAATTTCTCGAGACGCCGCGCCCCCTCATTTTTCAACCCCCTCGAACTAATCTGAACGCCGTTTCTAAAGTGGTAGCGACGTCACTTTGATGGTTACTCGTAAACTAAATCGCCCGAAGGAACGTTTATTTTGAGAAGGGGGCCAAATTGTCTCACACGAAGCGATTAAATTAATTTATGTAAAAGGAGGAACATGTATTTTCGAAAAAGAGTTGATTAAAATTTATTTTTTTTGCTTTTTGAATTTTAGAGGGGGTAGTTTTAAAGGGATAATTTGAACTCTCAACCCGTGTTAATTTAACCCCCGAAACCCGCACTTCCTGCTGCAATACGATCGGTTCGCTTCGAATACCGACCTCTGGAAAATTTGTTAATTAAATTTTATCCCTCAACCCCCACGCGAAACCATCCACTATATATTTTTAATATTTTTTAAAATTTTTATTCAAATATATATGAATTCCCTTTTAAGTTTGTGTTTTGTGGTGGAGTTAAACTTGACACCTGTACACGAACAATGAAACATCACCTCAAAAACCCACCCCTAAAACCCACCCTTCCTGTTGTTTTTAGGGGGTTTCCGAAATAAATCGCCTTTAAACTGTCAGCGGGGCGAAGGTAGCATATTGCTCGGGGATTCACAACCATCTATCATGCAGTTAATACTCCCCGGAGAAGTTTCGAGACGCTTCGGGGGTGGGTTACTCGCTCCAACATTCTATATTATTGAGAAATGAGAAATAATTTTTTTTTTCGAGTAACAAACAACTCTATTGATTGCAATTTCAACTTTAAATGGATTCTCAAGTACCTCCTGAAAGACTCTAACCGGTTGGAAATCAAGTTGGGGGTGAGTTAGCCCACCCACAGCCCTTCCGAGATAGGCGACAGGTACAGAGCTTAATTTGCAGAGTTACAACTCCATAGTTGGAAAAGTCCAAATAGAATCCTTAACTTTATTTCGCTTGCTTCTTATTATTATTATTATTTCCCCTTTATGTTTAATTTTCACAATTTTATAATTATTAGGGGCGGAATAAAAATGGGGTAATTAAAAAAGTTTTCCTCCGATTCCAATTTAAAAAGCTCTACTTTTTCACAATCGGTTTACGACGTTTCATTTTTCCTTTTAAAACTTTCTAACTGTTATTAAGCGGGAGCGGGTGTAAAAGGGGTTGAAGATTCTCGTAAAGGTGAGATGTATCAATCTTGATGGGAAATTCTCCCTTAATTAAGCACCTAACGTCGGAATTCGAACTAACTAAAACTAACTTCAACACCCTATTTTAACCCCTCCAACAAAACGGGGGCAAACTCCCCCAAAACGGTTTTAGACAACACAAGCACAACTTCCAAAACGCAGCAGTTACCGCGATTATGTAACTTCGCAAATTTAGCCGTAAAAAAAAAGTTTTTCGTAAATCTCCGTACTCTATTGAATCCGGTTTGGTTTATTGGCAGTGTTAACCCAATTCCGGGCGCCGTTTTACACCTGAGCTTCTTGGGATCCCATAAAAAACAACCCCTTTTACGTTGTCCCTTTTTCGTGAATATTTAAAAGATAAAAAAATTTAAAAAAAATTGTATTCGTTGTTTTCGTCGGAACGAGGAAGTTATAACTGGGTTTATGATCTAATCGAGGGCGCGTAATCAAGAGGGCGCTGCCATCTCGTCGCCTTCATCACCGGAAGTTAAAGCTCCCCTCATTTTCTGAACGAACCCTCTCCGAATGGACGCCGGATGTTTACTTTGTCGCCTCGCTCAAAAGCTCTTTTCACCCCGCCCATGCTCTAATTTGATTGTTTTAAAAGAGGAAAGTTTTTGTTTTTTTTGTTAAGCACTTGCTGAATCGATTCAAAACGTCAAATTTTGACAGATATTAAATTTATCATCAATTTAAAGCTAATTTTAAGTCATATCTGAACTTTGAATCTCAATGGAAACTCAAAATGTGAAAATTTTGATTGCCAAAATTGTTAGAATTGACTTAAAATATCTTTTTATTACTTGAGATGGATGAAACAAGTTAATGGAGTGTTTTGTAGAGGATTGAAAAAATTTGAAGTATGCGAAAAGTTGATTGGTGCGAGTCAAAATGATTCCAATCGATTAAAAACACCTCGAAAATACTTAAAGGGGATGATTATATTTAAAAAAAAATATTTTGGCGTTTTTTGACAGAGTTTCAAAGATGTCAGAAAATAGAAAAATCTTATTGATTATGTCAAAATTGTTACAATCGACTTAAAACTTCTTTTTATTATGTGTTTTTAAAAATAAACAATGTTAAACTAAAATTAGAACTAAAACTAGAAACTTTCGGGTTTTGCCGTGCGTCTTTTAAGAAAAGGTTTGACGTTTCGGATGCTATGTTGCAACCTTCTTCAGAAACTGGTTCGAAGTGACAAATTGCTTATATCTCGCGTAATATTGAAGTTAAATGTATCATGTTTGGACTTCGAAGTGACTTCGATTGAATAACCTTTAATTGAGCCCAAATATGACGCATTTATCTCGAAAAAACAAAAAGTTGGAATAAAAAATATCAAACCTGAAGTTGGCAACAATGAAGTTAGCAAAATAATTTTTAAATATCAATACCAACCTTAATTTTTAAGTTTTTTTCTTATATTTTCGTTTTTTATGATAAATTTTAAGACATTTTATGAATATTAAGAATATGTCAAAATAACATTGACATTTAAAACCGGAAATTGCTTATATCTCGCGTAATATTGAAGATAAATGTCTCATTTTATTTTTTCAGTTGGTATTTATTCAGCGTTAGATTACTTTAATAAAAAAGGAATATTTAAAAAGATGAAAGATGACAGGTCTTGTCAATGAGGGTTTATTAAAATGATTTCGGTGTAGTTAAATAGCGCGTTATTATTTTTTGTGGGATTTTAGCGGTTGTTATTTTCTAATAATGCGGAAACCGGGGCAATTTCCGTCCGCCCGGTGGCCCCCGCCACGCCAATTTAATTAATAATTTATAAGCGATTACCCCAACCGATGCGCCGCCACTGACTCTGATTTTCATAAAACGCGAATTCCCCACCAAACGAGTGATCGATATTCAATATTGTCGCCAACATTCGAATTTATGTGCGGCGGGAAATTATTAACTTTTGTTTTCGCCCTCCTCCCCCCATCTCGCCCGCCCCCTTTACCCCCAACATCAACAACCGCCATTGTCGAAAACAACCCCTAAAAGCCCCGCACATTATTCACCGATTTATTTTCGACAAATTTTCATTTATTTCCGCCGATTTGATTATTTATTAAAGTTTTTATTTGAAAGAGAATTTTTTTTTTAAACGAAAATGTAACCCTTAAAGTACGCTTTCAGTAAAGAACGACCGTTCGGTCCCAAACACTCACTAAAGATCGCGCCCCGAAAGCATTTTTGCCACGGTGAGTGTGTTTTCTTGTTCGCTCGCGTGTGCCGAGACGTAAGTTGGTGAAAACCCGCCCTGAAAGGGGGTTGGGTTGTCGAAAGGAAAACCAGCGGCAACTACGGACATTTTGAACCCTTTCAACGTTGCCCTCAGGGCACCCGAACGCTTCGAAATTACACAGGAAACTTGCTTTTAGCCTCGTACCTACCGTTGAAGACATAAATGAATTTTCAAAATAAAGTTTGGTTAAAAATAAATAAATTAAAAAAGAAAAAAAAGCGTAAAGTAAAAAAGGAACGAATAAGAAGAAGAAGAACGATATTGGATTTTTATAGAAAAGTTTTCCGACGCCGACGAGGTTTTCGAGGGGGATGATGTTTACCTCTGACCGAGATTCGTAGACGTCAGCTTGTTTATAAGTCGAAATCTGGGAAATGTAGGGCATCTCGACCATCTACCCAAGTGAAGAATTGCGAGGGGACGAAAAAATAGGGTCAAAAACAAACCTATTTATTATTTTAATTTATATGAAAACGAATAAATAAATCTAATATAAATAATCAATTATATTGAGAAATTGGGTGCATTCGCGTTTGTTAAAGCTATAATTTTTGAGAAACTTCGACACGAAGCTTAAAACACGGCAAAAATAAAAAGAACCAAGTGAAATTACCAAGAAAAAAATTAAAACGAAACCAACTCAGAAGTAGTTACATTCATTTGCATATCACGCGAGCTTCGTGAGCTTAATGACGGTAAGTTTATTCTAAAAATTTTCGTTGGAATATTAAGAATTTACACATATACAGGGTGTCACACAAAAAACGCCCCAACCTGTAACTGTCTGGATAGAGATTCTTTTCTGAATAAATTAATGTACAACACATCAACAATAATTGTAATTGCAGCATAGAAAAACATTAAAATAGTTTCCTAACATTCTCTTAAAGTGACTTGTGTTATACTGTAGTGTGCCACGGAATAAATAAAAAAAAACAACTTATAAGTATCATTTATAACTGCTTCATTTTTGTGATAAATTTTAAGACATTTTAAGAATATTAAGAATATGTCGAAATTGAGATTGACATTTAAA